GGCCCACGCTATTCGTCGACGACTTTGGCACCGAGGGTGGTCGTTTCTTGAGCATCACCAAACTTCGAGTTTTACCAGCCCCCTGAATTACTGGCAGGATGAACGCGGGCTCACGCATCACGCACTGCGCTCCCCTCGCTGGCCCATTGACGTCCTTTTCACTTACTACCTCTCGCCCCAGCCATTTACCCCTGACTGCATGTAAGGCGGAAGGAATCACCGGTCTTCCATTTTGCCATCGGCATCTTGTCCGGGATTCTCTTTTTCATGTCGTGTCTCTCCTATTGAGACTGCATGCTCGTTAGGTTGGTGCCGAGGCATGGGCATGTTTCAACAGAGTACTGTGAGAGAAATCCCTCGCTCGGTTGAACTCGTTTATGTATACATGGATACACATAGTGAGCGATGGTTGCGGATGGGCCCGGCACGATCCCTCTCAATAACCTAGCTGTTTCAGCAAAGACCCTCACAGTAGTGGAGGTCCGACTCTGGCCTACCTTGAGGGGTGTTGCCCCCAGCACCCAACGAGAACGATCTGCCCCAATGCCATGCCGCTCGCCGTATCATGTGTCCTGGCCCTGGTGTAGCCCTGACTCTGGAAGCCTCAAGTCACCGAATCGTCCCCCTCGCCGCAAAGATCCTTGTGTATCGGGCTTGTCGTCAGAAGTATACCCAACGTATCGAAGGCGTACTTTTGACTGGTCAGAATAGATTAGGAGGCGATGCATCTTAATATCTTTAGATGGATCAGGCGAGTCGCCAGACCGTGCCGAAATCTCATGGCCTTCACTCTTCCCGCCCTTTGCCCTCTCTAATCTTCATGGTAATCTTCCCATCGCACCCCTTTCTCACAATCTGGTGCCAGGAGCAGTTGTGCTGTGAGTCTTGGAGGGTGGAGTGGAGAACAGAAACGAGGCCATCTATCGTGCTCCTCCATATGCCGCCGTCTGCGAGCTTCCCATGGGGGATTGATTACCTGCCCATTCCACTGTCAAACTTGCCTAGCATCCTACTATAGGGATTGCGGAGACGCTGCCGATTTCCCTTCGCGCATGAGTGGCTTCTCGTCCCCGTAAAGTAGCTGTATTTTTGTCTGCCAATCTCTCTTCTTCTCTTCTCCCGCAGCTGTGGTAAATTGCGACGAACTCTCCATGACGCCGGGAGGATAATCATTAGCACATGGATCGTACATTCCAGAAGATTAGATTGATGAGGGAGCTCATCAAGTTGTATTGCCATCACACAGAGCACTACCGGCCCCGTGAAGAATGGAGCTGGCTTGTTGTCCCTCGTCACGCTCTCGCGTCAAGTGACTCGTTGCTCGCTTCCGTCAGCCGTTAGTGGCTGGCGGAGACTTTGAGATGCGCGAAAGTTCTGTCTACACCCATCGTGGAGACTATAGTTGGGGGGAAATAATGGCCGAGAGCTCGGAGTGCGCCATCCTCGATCTTATTCCCTTCGCCCGTGATACGACTTGCATCTTTTACCCTATGTGGCAGTAGCTAACTGTGGGCACGCAGTGGGCAGTGGGGGTAGGGAAAGATGGGTGTGAAAAGTGCGTTACGGGCCTCAAGTATTGATGGCTAGGAGGTGTACGTGGTACAGTAACTCCAGCTTGTGTCAATCGAGCCGGCAGGACGGCCCTCAGGAAGCGGGATGATGAATGGAATTCCGGCCATGATCATGTCCTCTACTCCATTACAACAAGCACACTTTGTGCATGCCATGCTGTACAAAGACACCATTAGGAACGCACATGCGCATGGCTCGAAGTGAGTTGCTGACAAGGATCACCCGCGTCGTCGATATTCCTGGCCCGGGGCCGGGGGATGTTATGGGAGGATCTCCGCATCCTGGTCACGTTGGTGCCCCCTCTCGTCTATTGCCTATTTTCTGGTACCGTCGGTGCAGCTACTGAGAATCAGCAACTAGTCAACCAACCCCGTGGTTATCATGACTAGGAGAGTCTGTGCTGCAGAAAACGTGGACTCGTGATGAGTTCTAAGTTTCCGCTATATACCAGGATCGTTCTCAAAGAAGGCCTGATGTATCACCAGAGGGGCGACGTGTAGCGGTACAAGGCTCGATATCTACTCGTGCTCGAGATGGTGTACTCACTTTCCTTCACGCCATGCCCCCTTCTCCCTCCCTTCTCGTCCCCCGCCTCTGATCACTTGAAAATCCCGGCCATTGCGGATATTGAATGCAATATCTGTAGGTATACCCCTCCCACATGGCGTCCCCACTATCAACCAAAACTTGTCGATGTGATGCCCTTTCGAGCGAAAGCGTCTTTAGTTACCTATTGCCTATCATCTGTGAGATGGACTTCCTAACCCCCCTTTCCGTGATGGCCATGGACCCGAAGCGGCTTAACGTCGGGTCCACCACACAGCCCCTCCCAGTACCAAGCTTCGAGAATTCGAGAACAAGGCGGCAGAGATGGCGGAAATTTTTGGAGTTCTCGACCCAGCCGTTAAGATCCATAGCGTACAGGGAAGCCGGGCTCGTTTGAGGGGGAAGGGAAACGAGGATCACTATCCCGAAGAATGAAAACAAAATCTTTTCTTGAACTGCAGGGCCTTTGTCCATGAGGGCTTTTTTGGCACTTTGCTTTGCTGTTTCCCCCCGGTAGAAAGCGAATGGAACACACCCCGGCCCCCGGAAGTTCGAAGAATCCGAGAGATTGCGGATGCTTTCGATAATGGTATTCCGGAATCTCTATAGTATAGGTCCCGGTGGACTTTTGCACGCTAGGTTTTGGCGGACCGCTTCGCCAATGGCTGCAGAACGAAGCAGCAGGAGGGGCGCGAAACATTTTGCAGCTATCGTGGTACGGAGTATGTTACTGCCCAGTACCGACCAACGCTTGTGAGGCTTCCATCAAGGGCTAAAGATCTCCGGGAAGCTCGCTATCGAGACAGCCGGATATACGGGCAGCCGTGAAGGAGAAAAAGCTTAAATATCCATTTTTAGCCTTCTTCATGTTTCTCGAATCTCGCAAATCCCGTCCTGGTTGTGGGGATATATTCGAGAAGTCGATTAGTACTATGTGAATATTCTCCTACTCGTTGCCCCGGACTTTCCTAACATATTAAGAGTATGAAATTGGAGCTCACCACTTTAGGATTTCCTCTGGGTGGCTTCGGTACTCCAGACCAACCCCTACCCAACGAAGAAGGGAAGGAGGCAAGAGGAGCCCCACGATTTTGTCCCTTTACTCCCTCCTGGGTTAAAGTGTGGGGTGGTTTTATAGTGGAGTGTATCCTAAGAAGAAAGTAGATCATAGTTAAGGGGGGTTTTCCCTTTTTGGGGGGGGTATGAGATCAGCAGCTGTAAGGCGGCAGAGAAGAATGGGATTGGGATGCAGTACGGTGAGTCTGCGGATGTGGGATGGTGGGGGAGTGAGATGATGGAAAGAAATGGGCGGAGGGCCCGGAGAGCAGGCGAGCTCGCCCGAACCCTCCCCGGAGTCCGGGATTGAGTTGTTTTCTGGCCGGCAGACGACACTCCCGACTGCATGTTGAGTGGGGAAAAAGGCAGGAGGTTTTTGAGATTTTGGTTTTCGAGGAGTCTTGTTCGGCCCGTTTAGAGCTTCGTTGTGTGGGGTTGGGAGCTGCGAGTGAAAGTTGGGAAGGGAACATGACAGTTTTCTGCATCGAACTGGGCCGTCAAACTGCGAGTCGACGGGGGCGTATACAGATCCCAGATGCATGCGAGGTTGGATAGCTTAGTGTTATGAGGGGAATGGAGGGGAGAGGGGTAGGTAGCTTCTGGTGGACAAGAGAGGAGAGGGGGGTTGGCAATGACGTGCAGCGTGGTACCCCAGGATGATGTAGAGGGTTAAACAAGCGAGGGGTCTGTGGTGGCCGTTGCGGTGTAGTGAGGATGACCTCCCCGAAACCCTGGTTTCTTCCAGGATGTGGGCTCATTCGATGTAGGAGGGGGGTTGGATGAGGTGTATCTCTTAGGTGAGGGTTAACTCGGCTAGGTATAGACATGCAGAGCACAGCCTGCAGTCGATAGGAGAAGACCAGGGCTGAAAGAGATGGCATTATCAGAGGCTCTTTTGCGTACATGCATGTTCTGGAGTGGGCGGCTGAGATGGCTTACGGTGCCATGTCTTCCACGCTAACAAGCCCGGCTAGGATAAGTTGTAGTTGGGGGTAAGCTTGGTGATATAGGCCGGGTTTAACACATCAGGGCTACAGGAGAGAGAGAGTTTGTTACGGTTGGTAGTTCGAAATTGCGGTAGAGTCTGTGAGGACGATGGATACGAGGAAAACGGACTGGTTTCGGCGAGGTCAATGATGAAGTGTACTGGGAGCGTGAGTCTAAGTTCCTGGCCTACTTCTAAGGGCTCTTACGTTGATCGCGAAGACTCGGGACACGATGGAGATAAAGTTCGACCAGGCTCGGTGAAGATGAGATTTGAGCCTTGGACCCAAGATTACAGTACAAATGTGTAACGGCTGAGTTTGCACATTTGATGCGTTTGACGATTCCTGGAGATTCGGTGATGCGGCGCAACCTAGATATACTCCTCTCACGTCCCTCACAAGAGGCTAAGTGATATCCGTCCCCGGAGCTTCTTGTATAGTTTCTCCATCGTGTTAGCAAAAGTGGACTACTGCTGGAATTGGAAAACTAGCTTCTTGAGACGGACATTGGTTCAGTTCACTGTTGGGGATATAAGTTGTCTGGATCTGATCAAGACTATCAACGTGAGAAATATAGAATAGAACAAAGACGATAGACAATCTGCTCCGGAACTCAATCGATTCTCTCTATCCACAATATCATGTCTATATATGTGTGTGTTCTCTTCTGGACTGCATCTCTCCTCTTCTACAGTAAGGGTGTGGAATTGCCATATCATCTAGGACAATTAACCTCTAAAGGCATTGATATGACCTCGTTTTACACACCAAAAGTATTCATAAGTCGTCGTAAAAGCAAAGCAGTCAGGGAAACCCAACAAAGTCAAGGACTCTTCCTCCCTATCCCTGACTCGGTCTAGCTTCACTATCATCGCCGTCCCCTCTCCCCCGCGAGTTTGACCTCGCATGCCTCCGCCTCGTTGCCGTCTCCCTCAACGAGTCCCGACTCTTTCTTGACGCACCAGGATAAGCAGATACACCCTCTTCGTGCAGCCCTGACCCACGGCGGACCGCACTACCTAACAGTCCTCCCACACCATGATGAGACTCAGAGGCCTTCTTATCAAGCCTACCACCACCACCACCCGAGGCATCCGAGTCATATGCATCAAGACCGTGAATCCCTCCACAACTCTCCATAGTAAACGGGGAAGCTGTAGGTTCATCAAGGACACTCAACTCCTCCTCGGTAAACCACCTAGGCAAGAGAAGCGTGCGCACAGGGATGAGCGCCATGATGAATACAGGGAACCCCACGGCGGCGATAGTCTGCGTGATGGCAAAAGTAGCACCGAAGCCGACGAGCTCGACGGCGACGAAGAACCAAACGGCACGGCGGCGGCGAATCTTGAGGAGCGGGTGGTTCGGGGGCGTGAGGGCCTTGTCGCGCCCGAGGAAGAGCAACTTGTTCGTGATGCCGTTGGCCTCGAGGGCCTGGATGCCCATGACGAAGAAGAGACCGGCGAGAACGCCGTGGGGGACGAGGTGCAGACAGACGAGCAGCGGCCCCGTCATGGTGCCGAGGGTTAGGAGGCCCTGGGCTAGGTTGGAAAAGCGCTGTTCGACGACGTGGGTGGTTTCTGTTACGAGGTGTCCGGGTTTGTGCTCGCCTTTCTCATCGACGGCCTGGACGGTCCTGGTCACGCAGAGGGATTCGGTGTGGAAGGGGGCTTGGGGGATCAGGCCGTTGGGGAAGGGAAGGCCGAGGACGCCGGCGACCCCGGTGGTGAGTCCGAGGAGGAAGAAGTCCCAGTGGAAGCCGGCGGGCTTCTTCAAAGGAAACTCGGTGCCCTGGGCAATCAGGGAAGAGACTGCGGAGGTTGTACGTTAATCGAGAGTTGCTTCTGTCTGGAAAAGAGAATTGCCCCCCCGCCCGAGAATGGAAGAAATAGCTTTACTCACCATTATGGTCGAACCAAAACAGAATAGTCAATAGAATAGCAAACGGGGCAGCCAGGAAGGCTTGGCCGACCGTGACATCCCTCGGATCAACGACCCAATTGCGGCGACTCGTAGGCATAAACGCGGCCCCAGTAGGAAGGACCTCTAGATCCTTGACATCGCTCATCCGACCGATGTGGACGAAGCCGGTGAAGAAAATGAGGGTAAGCGGAGTGCCATAGTCCTTGAGGAAGACGCGAAGAGTGTGCGTGAAGAGACTGCTCCCGCCGAGCTCGCCGCAGAGGTAGGCGACCATGAAGACGAGCAGAGCAGCTACGATGGAGAGGTAGAAGGCCTCGCCGCTGCCGAGACGCTCGAGAACTTGGATCCCCTTTTGAAGATAGATAAAGGCGACGTAGAAGCCGAAGATGTCGCAGGGGAAGCGGGTGACATATTTGAGAAGGTTACAAGAGTTGGTTACTGCAAGTATCCAGTGGAAGATCAAAGACCAGCTGCCTGGGAGTCAGTAAAAACAGTCACGTATGACTTATTGGTCCAGAAATATCTAGAGAAGGGAACACTTACATTCCGATCCAGCACATGAAAGCCATATAGTTCACTCCAGTTGGTTTCATTATGTCGTATACCGTGCTAGAAATCCTTGTGTAAGTGATTTAGATCGCAGCCACGCGTTTGATCCAGCGTAGGTCAAGGAGGTCATACTAGTTGAAGACGGTAATGGGCCCTGGGTTGAATATTAGAAGCCTATTCTCTCAAGATGGCTCTCAGACAGTTAACAGTGACTTACCCGTCACGCCGACAATGACCAAAGGTTGGGCTGCAAAGAGAGAGAAGACAACGGCGCCTAGAACGGAGGCCAGCAGGACTTCGTTGACACCATAGTTGGAATCCGTACTCGTAAACATGTCGAGGGAGAAGGCAAGGGCCGGTAATATGCTACGAAGTGGTGGCCGCACACTTGGTTAGTGTTTTGTGCAAGGACGGGAAATATGTATAGGCCATTACGAAGACCGAGGTGCTTATGACGAGATATGAAGGGATTTACTGGACATATAGCACTTCCTTGAGGCTTCGAGGTTGATCAAGGGGTGACGGATAAGAGCATCGGGGGCAGGGTGGGATGCGGAAGAGGGTGTAAGTAGATCAACAGATCGACTTATCCAACGACGCAGTGCCTGAGACCATGTCTCACCAAAGGCTGTGTATGGTTGGGAGTCACAGAAGCAGAATCCCGGCCCCCACGTGGGAAGGAAGAAAAAAACAAGCCATCAATGACGACAACTCATGCCAGACAGGCCGTGGTAGAGGACGTTCTCCGAAAGAAAATGGGGGCTTCGATGATACAAGCAAAGGGGAATGGAGATGAGAAAGTAAGGCAAGGCGAAGTCGGGACGGGAAAGAGTCTTCATTCAAGGCTACATACTTGGCAAAATACATGTAGATTGTGGCAGGCACAACACGATAGTCCCAGGCATCTTTCCAGTCACTGGCGTAGTAGGGAGAACGGCGGCGGAGATCGTTGGCAATGCCGCTGAAAAGACGAATCTTCCACCAGCGGTCGCGATCCGCGGTGGCAGTGCGGCGCCTGGCATGACGCTCGATGTCCCGTTCACCGTCCCGGGGTTGCGGGTCGGCGACCACGGCCGGCCGGGTCTCGTCGGTGGAGGTCATGACGGAGGAGGGGCTCGGGGAAATTAGGAAAGAAAGTACCAAAAAGAGAGAGAATTCAAGAAGACGAAGGGAGCTAGAGAGCGACACGGCATTTAGTTTCTCTAGATATATCCTTTGCTTCTTCGTTTCGGCGAAAAGAAAAGAAAAACTGGATCGTCAAGGTGCGGTGGCAATTCAGAGACGAGAAGTCAAGGAACAAGGATGGAGAAACAGCAAATCGACGCCGACAACGGGCCTCCGGCCTGGCGGGGAGAGGAACTGGAAAGGTTACTTTCCGGGTGCTTGGCTAGGATTCCCCGAGACTTCAGCTTCCAGCAACAATTGAATAGAGACGATGGATTTGATCAAAGGGAGTTAATGCGACAATTGAAGCAAAACCTGGCAATTCTGATATGCACTGTACTTCGTAGCCGCAAACCAAGACTCCGCGTCGGCACAGACTTCCCGTCAAGGCGGTGAGGCTCGCCGACCATTTAGAGGCGGCCTTTACCTCACGCTGCAGAAAGAAACTTCCAAAATAGATAAGTTACTTTGATCGACCACCCCTTCCACCCGTGGCCCAGAAGTAAGTGGACCTTCTCCGATTCTGCCTTCAATGCTGTGAAGAAAGGGGCAAAAAGTAAGCAGAAAAGTCTTGTAAAAAACCTCGCCTACTTACTCGCCGCCACCGAAAAATAACCCCCATGCAACGCCAGAAACTGGACCTAGCACCGCAAAAGAAACGCTGGAAATATCAGAATAAATATCAAGATGCATTAGATTCCAAGGAGCTCACAATAGTCAAACAATACAGACGCAGCTCCAGACCTAGGGTTAGGGTTAGGCGTATCGCTCTCTGACCCATGCTGGCGACGTAGATGTAGCCGACTGACTACAAAGAGTCTTAAACACTGGCTCACTCTCTCACTCTCTCACTCTTTCAGGTCACCGATTCATGCGATTCAATCAAGTCTAATAGATCCTATCTACCTTTTCTGCCTCTCCGGGCTAAAGAGGCAGCATCATATACACGCTTTCTGTTGCATCTGCTCCTCCAGCACGTCACCTCGCCTCCCCACGCGTCTTTCGAGTAAGAGCGCAGGCCAAGCAGTCCTGCCCCTTTTCCCAACACACCAACTAAATAGCCTCCCTTCTCCCAGGTAGTAATACAAAAGTCTAAGCACATGAAGAGTTGGGAGGGAGAGAGGGAGTCCTCATGCGAAACAATGACCGAACAAAAGTACAAAAAGAAAGACGACAGACCGTATGAACAGCCGAGGTGAACATGTCTAGAGTAGTCGATGATGATGATTTTCATGGCCTTTTTTTTTCCTTTTTAAATAGAGCGAAGAGTTGCTTAGGGGATGGACGCCTTTTGTTGATCGGGGGCACCGTGCATAGCTGAATGGCTGGGTATATATGGTCGCCGAAGTGTCGGCGTCCACGTTTGCTAAATTTTCCATGTATGCCATGTCATTGGCTGACCTTACAATGGGGCGGGATCCTCCTTCTGAGTAGGCACGCTCGGAGGAGTATCCGTCTCCGATGTGGGGAACGGAGGCGTCCCCTCCCCGGGCTTGCCGCCAAAGTACTTCTCGAACTCCTGGTGGTTGTCGGGGAACGGTCGGGGGCCCAATAACCTCACGAGATCATCGCGGGTGAGCATCTCCTTGCGCAACAGCTCCTCCGCCACGAGACCAATCTCCTTCTTCTTGGCGAGCAAGAGGTCCTTGGACATCTTGTACGCCTCGTTCACTATCCTCTTGACTTCGGCGTCGATCTGCTGGCCTGTCTCCTCGGCGAAGGGCTTCTGGAGCTGCTGGCCCTCATTCTCGAAGTGCACAGGGCCGACCTTGTCCGACATGCCCCACTGCGTCACCATCTTCGTGGCCATGAGCGTCACCTTCTTGAAGTCGTCGCTGGCACCCGTCGTCACCGTAGGGAAGTGGATCTCCTCCGACACGCGTCCACCAAGCGTCATGGCCATGCGGTCCATGAGCTGGTGGACAGACATGAGGTAGGCATCCTGAGGGAGGTATTGAGCGTATCCGAGAGCTCCTTGGCCTCGAGGAATAATGGATACTTTGAGCAGCGGGTCAGCGTCCTTGAGGAACCATCCGCAGATAGCGTGTCCAGCCTCGTGGTAAGCGACCGTCTTCTTCTCCTCAGGTCGAAGCACTAGAGACTTCCTCTCGAGACCGCCAACGTGTCGTTCAATAGCCTGCTCGAAGTGCTTTAACGTTACTGAGTCGGCGTTGGCCCTCGCGGCTATAGAATATTACGTTAGCTCGAGATCAATGATAGATAGTGGTAAATCGTTTGAAAAAAGGCAGAGAAACATACCAATAAGGGCGGCTTCGTTGACGACGTAAGCGATATCGGCACCGGAGAAGCCAGGAGTAAGAGTAGCAAGACGACCCATAAGGTGCTCCTTGTCCTCATGCGTGACAATCTTCTTGAGATGGACCTGGAAGATAGCCTCGCGGCCCTTCTGCGTAGGTCGGTCAATGAAGATGTGCCTGTCGAATCGACCGGGTCGCATGAGGGCCTTGTCGAGAACATCAGCGCGGTTAGTACCAGCGAGGACGACGACTTGGTCGGTCGTGTTGAAACCGTCCATCTCCGTCAGAATCTGGTTGAGCGTAGCCTCCCGCTCGTCGTTTCCTCCGCCAACTCGGGAATCCGTACGGGCTCGGCCAATAGCGTCGATTTCGTCGATAAAGATGATGCAGGGGGCGTTCTTCCGCGCCGTCGCGAACAGGTCCCGCACTCGGGAAGGACCAACACCGACAAACATCTCCACGAATTCCGACCCGCTGACGCTGAAGAAGGGGACCTCGCACTCGCCGGCCGTGGCCTTGGCAAGAAGGGTCTTACCAGTACCGGGGGGACCAGCCAGAATGGCACCGCGGGGAATCTTGGCACCGAGCCTTCGGAACTTCTCGGGAGTCTTGAGGAAGCTGACAAACTCCATGATTTCCACCTTGGCCTCGTCCATGCCCGCGACATCCGAGAACTTGACCTTGACGCCCGTCTCGTGGTTAAACTGCTTAGCTCGGCTCTTGCCAAATCCAAACATCTGGTTGCCGCCGCGGCCGCCCATCTGCCTCGTCGAGTACATGAGGAGACCGACGAGGAGGAGCGTAGGACCAAACGCTAGCACTAGATTGAGCCAAGGACTCTTGGTGGCGTACTTGACAGGGATACGCTCCGACGTGGGGATCTGTAGGTCATCCTGGGCGGCGTCGAGACGCTTCTCGAACGAGTCAAGAGATCCGATGGTGAAGAAGTACTGCACATTGGGATCAACAGACTGAGATCCCTGGTACACGGACCTCACCGCCTCCCGGTTTAGTTGCACTTCGACGCGGTTCTCGTAGACGACGAAGCGCTCGACCAAGCCCTTGTCCAAGAACATGCGCTGGAGCTCCTGCCACGTTATCTCCTTGCTGTCGCCAAAGACAAGCCTGTCGAGGAAAGGCGACAGGACGAACCAGGCGACAGCCATGATGATGTAGTCATTGACCGAGAAAGGGCCAAACTTCCTAGAGAAGCCGCTTCCCTGGCCGTCTGACTGACCATCCTTGTTGTCCTTGTTTTGCCTGTCACCTCCCTGCTGCTGCGCATTGGGTCCACTAGTTTTCTGTTCTTCTTCCTTGGCCTGCAATTCCATGATCTTGATGGCAGTCTTGTGAATGAGCCGCGTAAACTTGAGGGCCTCCTTCACCGTGGGGCCCTTTCCATCCTTGGGGGCCCGTATCATGTCGATGAGCTCCTTTGGCGCGCCGTACTTCTCCAAGTCATTGATAAGCGACTTCAGCATACCAGCCTGCCCGACCGGCGCATAATCCACCGCCTTCTCCAGCGCCGCCTTGTCCTCCGGTGTTAACCGTACCCACCCTTCGGGAAGTTCCCTCGTCGTCGCGTTCTCTCCCTCTTTATTCGGCGTCTCGGTCGTATTTGTCTTTCCGTCCCCGGGTTGCTGCTGTTCCGGCGTCTTTTCCTGCTTTTGTCCTACATCCTTCCCCTCTTCGCCGCGTTTCCTCTCCTCTGGCTTCTTGCCATCCTCTCCAGGGGGAGTCGGAGGCGGTGTGGGAGGAGCGGTGGAATAAAATCTAGACCGACCGCGCACGCACGCCACCGACGCACCCGCGCCGAGCACCCGGCCCCTCGGTATCCTCGCAAACGACGCGGACGATGTTCGAAGTGGCGATGTCGAGAGGGCGAACGTCGATGACCTCGTGAGGCGGGCCAGCTGGCCCGCCCTGATTAATCTCGACATTTGGATCGGTGGTTCTGTTTGATGGGGGATGATATAGGGAGGCGAATCAAGAAAGATGGACTGAGGTCAATTCGGAACGAGAGGAGGAAAAACCCTCCCAATTGGATATGTACAACTCTCCCCCCTTAAAGATCCCTCGCCGAGGTATACTTGAGGCCCGGCAAGATGCAAAAAAGAAGAATATGGGGGAGCGGGCGTTGGGATTGAAATGGAGCGTTGGTGAAAAGTGGAATGATGGTAATAATTGGGAAGGGGAAAAATCGTGACGCATCGGAGCTCCCAATTGACCGAGCTTTTTCCAACCCGGACTTAGCTTTTTTGGAAGGTGCTGGACAACGGTGGTTGGGTTGCCCGTAACTTCCCCATGTCGGGATGATTGGTAATGATAAATCATGTGACTTGGTTAAGCCGGGGTTCCCGGCGTGTGATGTCAGCACTTTGGGTGCCTGAAATAATCGATAATGGAACAAACGCCCTCAATCCTTCTCACCTTGAGCGGGGCCGCTGGTCTCGTTCTCAGCGTCTTGCTTCCGGTCTCCCAAGCTGCGCCCAAGCTGCAAAGTCTTGGTGGTTAAGGATTCCCCACACTGCCTGCTCACAATAGTAAAGATCTGATTGAATGATCCCCTAATTTACTGTAACTCGAAGCGGGCTGACCAGGAATGCAAAGCCTCATAATCTCTACCTACTGATACATACAAGCTTGAAACATCTTTCGACCAAAGGAAATGTAAAAATCCAGAGGTTGTCTTGATACATTGGGGATACAAATCTGTAGTGAAACCGAAAGCACAAGTGAACTGAAAACCAGAACCCATTGATAGCCATGTATCCACATCTAAATTAAGGTCCATCGGGTGAAAGCAAGAGTTAGGTGTGTCCACAGGTTCCCCCAACTCCAAGAGGAAAAGGCCAAAAACAGGAAAAAAGGGAAAGAAATATCAGAAAATAAAATGCCCGCAAATATCGTCAAGTCGTCACAAATATCTTCCAACGCCGCCCCCTCGCCGTCCGATTTTCCCAACCCTTAAGTTCGATGCTCTATAAGTTGATCACTCTGGTGGCCTTGCCCTCTTCCCCATTAGGCGGCCTCTTCGTTTTGTCGTTGAATAGCGAATATTAGGATAGATGTCGGTATTATGACCGGGCGCGTCACATTGGTCTCTGGTTCGCTCCAAAGTTTCCATTCTCCACGGTAGGATAGGCGCCTCCACTCATTTCGGCCCATTCCCAATCTAGTGACATCGGAAGCGCGTAAAGATCCTGTGGCAGTAGAGGTTGCTGGAACGGTATGCCCATATGTGGTGACTGAATACCGTTCGGCGCAAATGCTGTTAGGTCGTTGAAGTTGAAATCGCCTTCGGGTAGGTTGAACTCCTGGGGCCATCCGGCTGACGGAAGACCGGGCGAGGGCTCGTTCGCTACTGTCGACTTCATAGGCGCCAGGTTCCTAGCACCCCTTCTATCAGGTATGTCTCCCGTAGGAGGTGGAGACCTCTGACTCGCCATACTCGATGCCAGGGGCGTTCCGTGCATCGTGGGCGTCGACATATTCGTAACTCGCGGTGTTTGTGCTGCCGCCGATGGGGTCGGTGTGTTTGCCGTTGAGGTAGAGGTTGGTTCGTGGCTCTTGCGCTTACGGCGCGAATGCTGCTCCTTCTCCGCCTTCTCAATAACCTTTTTAGCGATGCGCTCAAATTCGGAGCAGACACCTAACATGCGGTGTACACCACCAGTCTCCGCCTCCTGACCAAGCATGGAAAGGAAGTTGACGACTAGATTCATCAGTTTTGTGTCAGACTTGGCTCTCGGGTCGAGGGGGTTCTGGAGAATGTTTCCAAAGAGTGTCATGAGCGCCGAGACGGGGAAGTATAAAATAAGCCTTAAGGGATTCATTCATATTAGCTTTCGGAAGTCTTCTTTCTTTCCTAAAATCAGGCATGATGAGAGGAAGTTCACGTACCAGACGCAAGAGAAGTCTCCCTGAGGAATATACTTCAGCAGAGAAATCGAGGCACGAGCAGACGCGGTGCAGAGTGCGGCGGAGGAGAAGATCCTCGGGTTCAGAGGCCTCGAGTTGAGGCCCTGGATGGCGTAGTTCGACAGACGGCTGGTCCAGTAACCGTGGTGAACAGACATGCGGTGTATGGTGGTCAGGCAGTTGTAGTAGGCGAAGTGGAGCATGACAACGTGCAGAATCAAAGGAGTGTGGGAGGCCTTGATCTCGTGCTCGGGTCGGAAGTCGATGGGAATCTTGTCCTTCCAGTCCTCAAGTTCCTTGTCCAATTCGCCGATCGTGTTCAATAGTTCGCCTGCTGTCTGCTTTGTGGCCATTGTCGAATACAGTCGCTTGTAGACCTTGCTCTCGATACAAGCAAACTCGCACATGACCCTAAAGAGGTTCATCTTGCCCTTGCCATCGGCAAGTGGGATATTGCCAATACCGTCTTCGGGATCTTCGCTAGGCAATTCTACATTCATATCATCGTCATCTTGCGCCGGGGGTCGTCCAGAGCGGATGCAGAGATCTTTATCCAAGATGTAAGAAATCCAAAAGACCCGCTTGCGTTGCTCAATCTCGATCGGGTTAAGGTTAAATCCGGTACCCTTCTTGTGCAGACCGATGCTGTGCGACAAGCGGATGGCCGTAGCGATCAGCAGGGTCGAGGGCTGCGGGTTGGGCGTGCCTTGCATGAAGGCGGCCATACCCAGTAGAGCCTGTACACTGAGGAGATCGTTGTTTCGCATAATCAGCTCGGAGAACACGCTCATGGCATTTTTGAGATAGGCCCAGGACTTTTCATCCTCCTCCTGCGGCACGAGGTTGCTCATAACACGAAGTCGGTGGGCGATGGCAAAAACGATGTTCAAACTCGCCCACCACCCAGATCCTTGGTAAGGGTTGTCGGAATACTGCCTCTCAACTAGGTGCATAAACGTCGGCTGGTGGAAAAGCGGGAACATGCAGTTAAAGTTCTCGAAGTAGTCCCTGACCAACGAGAGCGCCTCGGGCTTGGAGGGCAGAGGGCGGAAAATGGGCCGTTGGAAGAGGTCGCAGAAGATTTCCGGCTTCCAATTGGTCCACTTGTGATCGTCGAGGGAAACATCCGAAATCATCTGCTGGAAAGATTCGTCTCCGGTTTTTTCATTGACCCACTGGATTCCCTTTGGCGAGAAGATGGAGAAGCCTGATGACGAACCTATTTGCCGGAAAATGTTAGATACACAAAGACATCCTTCACAGCATGCCACCTAACAATCAATGTTGATTTCAAACCTACCGATATATCTCGTTTCACCGCTTTGGTTCGTTACGAGTGAGCACATCATCTCAGAGAGAGCCTCGACTTCCTGTTCTTCCTCGGGAGGCTCTGAAGGAGCAACCGAGTTACGGTTTTCGGGATCTTTCTCCTTCATGGGCTCCGGCGAAGTCAATGCGCTTTGGGGCGAGGAGCCGGTATCCCGACCGGAGGTCGCCTGGGAGGGTGAAGTAGGGTTAGAAGTGGTCTGAGCCTGCCTGACTTGCTGGGTCTTCTCTGCCAGCCTCTTTTCGAGGGTACCCAGATCGGTCGCGCCATCGTCATCGCCAAGGAGACCAGAAAGCCTCAGAAGGCTTTCCATGCGGCCCAGACGGTTCTCAAGACCCTCGATATATTTAGCGCTACACGATTGTCAGTGAAAGGGTTATAGAAAGACGGAGAGAGCACGTAGGCCTCTGCCAGATTCAAGGCCTGCGCTTCACCACTAAGTGGCGGTACGTACCCTTTAGGAGGGCTTCTCTTCTTCTCGACTTGCGTGAAAACGCAATCGGTCTTGTAGTTGAGACAATGGGTACAGGCAGGCAGCTTGCCATCGCACTTGATCTTCTTCTTCCGGCACATGTCGCATGCCTGCATAGCGGAACACCGCATCTCGTCAGCGCACCAGTTTCACTACCTCAACCCCGTAGTACAGGCCGGCAAGGAGAGCGTGCGCTCCTTTCAGAGGATTACCTACCCTAGCGATTCGTCTCCTCTTAGCCTCATTGGCTTCGTCTAGTAGCGTTGCGGGGTCGGGGAACATCTGCGCGGCCAGCTCCGGAGGGAGATGAGCCAGGGGCATTCCATCATGAGAATAAGCCCCAAAGATCTGAGGCGGAGGGTTGACTAAAGGCTGATGCCCCATTGGGGGCATCTGAAAACCCATATGGGCCATTGCGAAGGTAATGAGACCTCAGTTGAGAAAATAAGTTGTGACGCGACGGCAAGAATCTCGAAGCCGGGGTAAACTAGGGCAGCCAGTGATGGAAGAACGTTATGTCGTCGAAAGGCTGTGATGGACCAGGCTCGTTCGAAGCAAGATGATTCGTATTAGTTGCAGAGAGTAACCGTCTAATCAAGGCGTTATAAAACAAAATATATTGCCGAGTGAAGTAAGGAGTAAGAAGAGGCGTTGTGGTGGATTGATGGGTGACGACCTGGATCAAATTCAAGAAGGCGGTAGTGGGCTTGGTTTTAGTGCTGAGGTGGACTGGGGAAGGTGGGATGAAGCTTAGTATTATTAAGTCGTTGACGACCGAAGTACTTTTGTATCGGGGTCCGGGGCACCTTTCTGTAACCTTGGGGGCTTCTAATTCGCTGGCTCGCGGGGGGTGGGAAGGGTGCGAGGAGTGGCGGAGCACACTGAAAATGGAACTTTGGCGCCGAAGCAGGGTGGCGTCTTTCACTGCGCAAGCTTTCTCGAAGTTTATTTCTGGAACAAGGGTGCTACCATTCGCCGCGTCTCGGGCGAGTAAGGTCTGTTGGAAAATGCGACTAACGACCAAAGGATTGCAATGGAAGCCTCCAGTCGGAGTGGTCGGCAGAGGACGTTGGGATGAAGAGGCGAGGAAAACGATGATGGAACAAATGGAGATCGACAAATGTGGACTGATACTGAAAAAAAAAAAAAAAAAAAAAAAAAAAAAAAAAAACCAAAACGAAGGAGAAGAAGAGAAAGAGAAATGAAATAGAAAGGGTGTGACTTGGAGTGGGTTCAACTTGCAGGAAACGTCAGAGTTTCGAGTTTCGAGGTTGTCAGAGGGGGCATAGCAACTTTCCCCAATTAGGCTACACAACAGTGGGATATCTTGCTAAACCAAACCAGTGGTTGGTTTCTCGGGATGAGAGAACGGACTTAAGACAGCGACCTGGGAAGAAAAGCGAACTTGGACAGGTAGGGGAAGGAGGCAGAAGCGAGGCCGATGGTGAGACGAAGATAAGAAAGAACACACCGGGGGCCTTGTGACGGGTTGGAACGAAGCATATTCCACATTCACGAAAGAGGCTCTTGGTGGATCGGATCAAATGGGATCAATGGGTCGCAGGGGTTGAAGGGGCGAAGGGGCCCGATGCCTGCAGGACCAGTGGGAATTAGACCAGACCTGCTTCAAGCCTCCGTCAACGTTTTGTGCCGCCCAGAGCCTGGCTCCAGGTCTGCCAGTGCGGAGCCCCTGGACTGTCTGTCTTGGTGCTCGAGCTATCGGTGCCCGTCCAACCCACCGTCGGCGAGTCCAAGCAATCACCGCTGCGGATTCCCTCGATGTTTCTAAAGGGCTGGCATCTTGTGCCGGGGTAGCTAACGGCATTCATTTGATAGCACCTCCACTCCAGGACCTACTCCGTACTTGTAGATATCTCGGAACAACAAAGATCATCGTATTAAACTCCAAAACTATGTCATGTCAAGACAATATTGAATACCGGACAATGGAGATCGAATGGTATCATATTACTTCATACACATCGGTCTTCCGTCGTGGTTATGGCCGCCCAGACTACAGATATTGACATTGATCGTGGCTAGCCAGGCTAGCATCAGCAGGAGTACACGAGTGTAGAGCCCGAACCTCTAAACCACCAACGGCAACGAAAGAGAGACTAAGTCGATCTTGATGCGACGTCATCCGCCTGTGGTTCGGTGGTATTTCATCCCAGATGAGAGAGAGACCAGGCGGCGGTTTATGGGAGAGCGCCAACGGATCAATTGATCAATTGATTGTTGATTGGTCGATTGCTCTGTTCTCAATGCTTCGTCCGCCCAACTCCATTTAATCCGTCAATATATGTAGCGTCCGACGCATTCAATAGTTGAGATTTGATTGATGCTTGACACAGCTTCTAGAAACGGGGATGCAGAACGCAGTGCACCCACACTGCATTCACATACGAAGCAGTGTAGTAACTGGGTAACACTACTACTTCGGACAAGCACACTTCTCCGTAATCCTCCGCAGTTTTGGAACGGGCGGGACCCCGTCAGAGATTTACAACAGCCCCCTTGTCTGATGACACTTGGCGGAAGGCCCGGGATTTCAGGTTTGCCCAAGCTCCCAACCTTTCCCCTCGGTTGCCTCCAACCTGAGGCCTGGTCAGGCTCAACGGACTCCTTCGGGACGGCGAAAAGACACTCGCCGTTTTGACCCGCGAGATGCACGAAGTGAGGTGTCGGCATGCGATTCCCCTCGTCTCCCAGGTTTTGATCCCCGACGATTGGCAGAAAGCTCTCGAGATGGTCAATCTGATTGATGAGTATGAAGAACATCTGAGTATATTCTATGTCCGGTTCGTGGAGCGTAGGACTTGTCCTCTCTCAGCATGGTACGGAGTAGTCTGTACTTCGTAGATAGCAGATCGAGATCTCATAAACGGGCTCTCGTCGAATCCAGCAACAAATAACACAAGCGGAGAACGGACCCTCCTAAAACTTTGTTTGACCAGGGGGTAGGCGGCGGTGGGGGCGGCCAATCACTACTCGCCTCCCCCTAACACCAAACACCCAGACGCCATCAGAGATCTCGAAGCTGCCGAATCGGGGTGCCGGGGCTGGGTTGCGAAGTCTTGCAAAGGAAGTTCAATCCCCATAAGCGAGTCTTGGAAGCGCGAAGAGTTTGCACGTCCAAGTTACGACCGGCATCCTCCCACCTTTGGTTCTAGCTAGCGTTCCTCCGCATTTTTTCAGATCGTCAGAATCGGGCCACGATGGACAGTGGATCGTGGATTGGGTGCCCATGCCTCCTCCTCGTCTTGGCTTTAGATTTCAAAGCAGAAAAAGCGTCGTCAGCAGCGGGGAATCAGCATTAACACCTTGTCCCCGGTCGTGCCATGCAAAGCTGTTCACCCATGTTTTCCGATCGAGCCTCGCTTTGTTCTCTATAGACTCGAACATTACGAAGTAGAGCGTCATTGCATATCGGCAACTTGTAAGGGATTCCTTTGTATCATGGAGGCACGGGAACCGGCCATCCATCTACCGACAACCGAGCCAGCTCAACATGATCTTCATTCATCTAATGTCAGAGACAATGCCCGTTGTATCCACATATAATACGTCGTCCACTGTTATAGGACCCCTGGTTTCCAAGAAGGAAAAAAAGCCTTCCTACGAATAATACCCGGGCTCACCGCATGTCAAGTTGAACGGCCTGCCTACTTCGTACGGAGTAGTCGGACTTGTCATCCACCTGGCTTCCTTGTCGGTCGGGTTGGCAAATTGTTGGTACTTTGAGCTTCGGAGCCGAAGCCTACTTCGTACGAAGTAGGGCTTGCTGGAGCCGATGCCCCGGAAAACATCAATGACACAACTAGCTTAGGCAACAGCGTTGGCTGTTGCAGATTTTGGCCTGGGGACAGGGCCTGTTTGTTCCCTTCACTGCTAGACTATGCCTCAAGGAGGCTAGGTTCGGACCCGGAAACGGCCACTAGCATATAACACGATACTGAGAATGTCTCCAGCCCAGTGGGTCGCCAATGCAGAGTCTGGTATTTGAATTGTTGGTCCTGGTCATGTTGAGATATCTCGCCGTCGAAAGCTGAACTGCCCCGGGTCTGAAGCTGCTTGACAAGAGCGAACACACAGGCATGGCATACGAAGTAGATCCACACACCCACACACATGCTGATAGACTTGTAGTCCATGATGTGGACTTCGTCGATGTGCGTCAAAGTAAAATGGGAGGACCATCAGTCCTGTGCATTTGATGTAAAATAAGCTCATGAACCTTGCTCACCAGACTCATGCCTCAATCTGCATGAAGAACAGAGCCCACCAGCCAAATCCACCCCATAGAATAGAGAAGAGGGCCAGAGATCGGACTGTTTCTAGTTCTGTTTCCGGGTCCCCCTAGTCGTCGATCATTCCCTACAAAGCGGTGCTTCTTATTGCACGCCTCAAGTACACTACTCCATAGAATAGACATCAAATCCAATCATCCAAAAAAAGTTCACTCAAACCAGCCATCCTTGGACCCAGGTAGCGTCTCTTCGACCACGATTCCTCGGCAGTGGTGGATAGGCTAATTGTATTTCTCTCTTACCCTTCTATCAACTATATGAAGCACACTTGTCCATAACTGTTTAGCCGTACCCGCGCAGCTATACTGTAAACGTGCCGTTCCAGCCCCCAACGAGTTCTCTGCTTTGAACAGTTCAAGCTCATCCTGAGGATCCCGAACTACGTGTAGACATTTCTTTTCTTCTCAATTCTTCGTAGAAACTCTTGGCCCTAAAATACAACGGTCATCCCACGGTGGCAGTGCAAGCTCTGCCAAACAAGACAGCTGTAGATGTCATCGGTCAGGGTTACGATGCCGCTAGGGCTGAGAAAGAAACACTCGGCCCAATCGACCCCTAGCGTTGAATTTGTCATTTTTCTCCCAACCCTTCTTTCCTCGTTATCCGAAGTAAACGAAGGCAAAGCAAGTGAAGGAGGAGGCTCGAGCAACCATGTTTCCCCTGTCGTTAATTGCGAGACGTTATGTACAAGACGGGGTTTTAAACTCGAGTTTCGGCTCCACCCACCCGCTGCGTGTTTCATCTACGTCTCATCACTCTCCTCAGAATCAGCTTTGCCTCCCCGTTTTCCAAATGACGACAGACAGGCTTTTGACAAAAGAAAAGAAAAAAGAAGAAGAAGAAGAAAATCCTTGTGAATTCGAATTGCGTAAGTGTCGATTTGCCTTCGGGGTTGTGCCAAAATCCGGTTCCGATGTAGAGAGGCACGGGAGTTGTTGAGAGGGAGAGGAAATCCGGGGAACGAAAGATGAAGATGGGCACCCGTTTCGGGAGGCAGTCTTGCCCATCACGATATCACCATGTGGACGATGGCTTGTATAGCGCCAATACTGCAATAGAAATACCATACAGCAGTTCTAATAGACACGTCTCCATAGTGAGCAACCTTTCTCATCTCGCCGTTTAGCTATTGCCCCTCGACGACATCTCAACTCCCATGTTTCCAATTCCCTGAAGTCCAGCTCACTAATCTAGCCATCGAAGATCTCCAATCCCAACTTTAGTGATCTTCTCACTCTCCCTTTGAGAAGTAAGAACTCCACCACCCTTGGACAAAGATCCAAGGCATGGAATCCAAAGTAGATCATCGGCCCACTTTTTCATCTCTCGCCAGCAAGGGAGGCCGCCAGTTCCACGTCTGGGTAGAGCATAAAGGAAGTTCGAGAAGGCCAGCCGGATTCGCGACTCCGATCTAGAGTCAAGCACGCCGGCGAACTCGGGTTTGTGCTTGGTTTGTCCAGCGGATCCGGTCGATCAGGTCTGCCTGATCTCCTTCATCTGGTCCTGTCATCTTAAATCAAGGACAAAAGAAAGAAACAGAGTAAGAAGAAAATGAGAAGGCATGTGAACTGCGGAAAAACAAACCTCAAGAAACGAAGTCAAGTGTTCTACAAAAGAGAAGAAGTTCTCAACCGGAGAAATATATAATATTGGGACCAACTACCGAGGTATATACAAAGATCATGAACACTTTTGCTGTTGAATCAATGCAAACTTGTTCTTCTTCGGCTTTCCTGTCCCGTCCCATGATCCTCGCACGTTTCCAAACCTTTTCCCAATTCCCTTCTTCCCTGTTCTGGCCAGTGTAGTACTAAGGAATCGGAAATTCAAGCAAGACCGAAAAAGAGAAAAAGAAAAGAAAAAAACACCAAATCAGCCCATTACTCATGGCCAAATATGTACGGATGAGAAGTGGAAAGCACACAAAGTGAAATATAGGGCAGACGTTGCCTTTGCGGCTGTCTGATGGAGGGGGTTCGTCCAATGGAACCAATGTATCTTGAAATGCAACCAACACCAACCCTCGGAATGTTTTGTAAAATGTGCAAGGCACGGCGCAACCGGGCAAGGAGAAGAGGAAGGTAAGAGTCCAGCATGGGCTGGACAAAATGTATACGGATGGTGGTGTGTGATGAAGGGTGAAATCCAGCAGGTTCTATCACTTCGAGGCGCAACTCTTTTAATGAGTAGAAACTCAAACATCCTCTAGAAATCGTGAGGACGACGCACGGGAGGCGTCTTGGGCTGTCAACGACCGGCCCACGGCGTCAGGCCGTAGGGTTTGGTTGGGAGGCGGAGGTAGAGGCGGAGTTCGGGGATCGGCGAAAGGGTCGGCCAGAGGGTTCACAAACGGGTTGTGTTCCGTGACCGGGGTCCGGGCCGGGCTCGACCGCATGACAGCCACTCCACTGACCGGGCGCATAGGGTTTCCGAGGGCCAGTCGCGGAGTACTGCCGTTTTCGACATCAGTCATCGGCGGCGGGGGCGGCTCCGGATATACAGACGAGATGCCGCTAACAGCGCTCGCTCGTGGATCGGTAAACCCATCACCACCGTACTGTAACACGGAGGGGAGCTTCTTTCCAGATATTCGGTAAAATCCGGTTTCCTGAGGATTCGGCTTCGGGGGGCTCGGCGGGTTCTTGTAAGATGATAGGGTCGCCAGTACAGCGGGGACTGCGAACGAAGGATTCGAACGTTGCACCATTGCCCCTCCATCGCCGCCGCTGCCCCCAGCATCAGGTAGGAGCCCGCGACTGTCGGTAGAAGGTGGTCCGTCGGCGAGTCGGAGTCTTCCGGATTGTCTCTTCCTCCATCGCAATAGGGCCATGATGACGAAAATGATTAAAGCAGCCCCTGCAATACTTCCCACCACGCTTCCCACAACGGTGCTCGTCGGTGTCGGTCCATCGCCATTAGAACTAGACTCCTCCGCAAAGGAACCTCCCTCTCCCGTACCGCCACCCGGGGCGGCTCCTCCCGTATCGGTGCCGACGATGACTGTAGGGGCTTGGGTTGGGGAAGTTGAGGTTCCGGAGGATCGAAGCGTCGTAGAACGGAATTTCGCGTGGTGGAAGGATGCGGTCTCATTGAAATGGCCGAAGCTGGAAATGTTACGGAAACCTAAACATAGCTTATCAGCAACTCACAGGTCCTTTCCCCTAGGCGTCGCCCTGGGGCCGTTATAAAACCTACCGCTGGGCACGATCAAGGGCGGTATCGTAGGCAGTGCCGAGGAACTTGCAGAGGCGGTATCGGGCGATAGTTCATTGCTCGAAGAGGCGGAAGCCGTTTCTTCGGGGATAATACTGGAAAGGAGATCGTTCGAAAGAGGAGAAATGATGTTGAGATCGGTCGGGACCAGGCTCTCGATATTGGAGGGTATTAGGTCGCCGTCGCCGGGCGGTAAATCAGTTACGAGCGGCGGCGTAGGTATTACGGAGTCGGCAGCGGCAGCTGCAGCTGCAGCATTACCTGTAACATCCTCGACTACTTTCCCGGTCGTTGGGTCGACGAGAAGTGTAGTTGGGGGAGAATAGACGGTTTTGATCTCGATGGGGGTGCCATCGGGACGGACGACATGAATGAGCGACACAGTTTGGTGGATTTCGGTAATGAGTGAATCGCTCGAATCGGTCAGATCTCGCTTCTCCGAAGTCGAGTCAGAGTTGGTACGTTCAGCGAGAGTAGTATCTGGATCGGTGGAATGATCGTCTGAGTTTGTCGCCAGTTCGGGGTCCTGAACGAGTGAAGGACCCCCGGTTGGCTGTGCCATGATGAGTGGTTCTGTTTTACCAGCAGTGGAAGGTGGCAGCTGCCTTTGTGGCTAGATCGGTGGGATTAAGCTTTGTGCTTGCGATATTAGCTCTACAATGTTGCGAGCGGGACGAATGAAACTAAGAAATCAAGCGAATGACGGTGCGAATGTGCGCTGCCAAACTAGTTGGCATCGAGAAACGAAGCGTTGGAAGACGAGATGATGGATGCAGGTCGATATCCATGTCGAAAGGGCCAAGCAAACGAAGTCTTTTTTCCCCTTCTCTTCTCTTTCCCCCGTGATGATTATACCTCGATCCACAGGAACACCGAGGCCATTTCCGGGGCAACTGCTCGCTTTTGCCAAGATTCGCGTCCTTCTCTTCTTCTTCTTCTTCTTCTTCTTCGTCGTCTCTTCGGATAGACGTGTCGCAATCGAAAGTTTGTGAGGGACTCCGTCGCATCAACCACGCCGCGAGACCGACGTTGGTGATGATGGCATGGTGCCGCGGCGATTTCGTGTCAAAAGGTCGAGAGAGGGAGAGAGGAAAGAGACGAGAAAGCGGACCCCAGGACGGAATTCAGGAACAAAAGGTAATATGAAATTCGGACAAAAAAAGAGCAAATGGAACTCTAGCAAGGGGGGAATGTGCAAGCCAAGGAAAATGAGTGACTCGTAACGTACGGGTTCAGCCCACTAGGCCCGATGTACCGTAGCAATGAGCACTGGTCACCTCGTACTAGCTAAGAGTTGAAAGCGGCGGAAAGGCGGATGTGCCCAATAATCCCAGCGATGCTAGTGAGCAGGGCAGGGGAAGGATAAAATGAAAAGAAACAGTTTTCTCGGGCGGAAATGTACTCGTGCACTAAGAATCAATCGGGAAATGACTTACACAGGCAGAAGATGGGATAATTTCGCTTGCAGCATGGGAATGGAGAGGCTCGAGAAGCTTGCTGGGTACCCAAGCCCACATTGACCAATCAGACCGAGCGGGTGGCTCTTGGGGCGTCGATTGTGTGATGATTTTCTGTGCGATTACCGTAGGTACTTGTGCCTTGTCATTTGAATCAATCGATCGTCTTTGTTGTCATTCCTCGATGGAATTGAACGTTGACGCAGACACACAAATCGTCCACGGACAAGGACTAACGCGATGATTTCTTCGTTTTCTTCGGGGAAACAGCGACTCGCCAATCTGCTTCTGGAATACCGAGGTACTTCGTGACAGTCCAAGTGTGGACGGGAAAGTACGATCGAGTCTCGAGAATGTGCAGCGGAGCGGGTAATACTGAGATGTGTCGTTATTTGGTGCAACGCCAGGCCGGAATCTCGCACAGGCAGTTTACTTCGCATCGATATTGGCAATACCTCGTAGCACACGGGCAGATGGTCAGTTTATCACTGATGATGACGACTTCTCGGATTCGTCTTAATTTAGGCGTGGGGGAACATTGAAGCTTCGTTGAGGACAAGGACCATGCATGGCATGGCATGGGGCAGCAGTGGTAATTATTAGAGATCTCATTGACGGGACACGCACACATTCGAGGCTTATACACTACGGGGCCTGTACACTACAAGTCCAGGAGAACAAATACGAGGGGGGACCTAAAATACTCCTTGCCCTCTTGACCATCACGATGGCAGTCCACTGGGGATGCTCTCCATAAAGAATGCTTGTCGAGTGGATTGCTTCGTCCTTCATAAGAGGAAATGAGGAGTACGTACTAAGAGCTTGGCTGTAGCCTAGCCCGAAGAAGGTTATAGGCATCACGAATAATGGATTGATCTCACCATTCAACCCATTATTCGACGAGAAGGAGAACGAAGTGAACATGAACAGGGCTTTCTTCACATCTTCGTTTCCCAAAAGGATCGAGGAAGTCTTGTCCGCTTTGCCGTTCCTGTTTGTCTTGGAATCCACAGCTGGTTTTTATCATCGACCTCTTTCAATTTGGGGTTGATCATTCTGCAGGCGACCTCGTATTCCAAAGAAGACGACCAACGAGAAGGCAGCTTGGAAGTACTCGGCGGTGCCTTTCCTTCATAAGCAGAGAAATATCACTGTCGAGGTGGGCAAAGGGTACAGCTCATGGTACATGTTGTAATTCAGCACGGGAGAAGTCCCATTTCCGTTTCATACTGTATAGACCGGTAGCAAAAGTACTCACTGAAGATTTGCAGTAGTATACCTGCGTACCAAGTACTTCGTAGTGCACTACGATGTAGGCTTGAATAACTTTGATTGCAGATTCTACACAGTACCAGAAAAACAACACTCACTCGCTGGCGTTGTCATGTCCGAAGTACAAACAGTACATTGTCATTTCCATGAGCAAAAAAGGTACAAGCAATGCTACATCAATAGTACTTCATCGTTGTTTCTGTCCAAAATTGTATACGAGCTGGACGCAACATTACTGCTTAAAACAGAGAATCTCCTCGTATAGTAAAGTCCATGTCGTGCTCTGCCTCTCACCATCGTGTCCAAATCCCTGCCAACCAGGCCCAGCACCTCTTGAAGGTCGAACAAAGCAAGTGTCGTCATTGTTACAACAACATGGGAAGAAAAAGCTCAGATCAACGACGAACCCTGCTAATTCCATCCGAATTTGGGGCTTCTATCCTGCCAGTCTTAGGCCAATCGCGGAATGATGGGCCAATCTCCGATGGGTTTGAAAGACAAGTTGCTGAGGCGGCTCGTTCCAAGGCAGACTCATGTCGCAAGTCCAGCGCTCAATTCATTGACTTGATTTCAATATTGAAACGCCAGACGAAAAACCGAGGTACGAAGAACAACACAAGTCGGTCTGGTGCAGAAGCATGCCTTTTGGAGTCACGTAGAATGAGTTGAGTTTGACATGCGGTATCATGCTGCAGAGGAACACAAGTCTGGCACGCACTAGTGCTACTTCATATCTCTTATCCGCAAATGAGGCTTTCGCAATGTTGGCTGGTCATCCATCGAGAGAGCCGGGACCTGCATTTCATTTCCGCTGGAGGGGTGGTGCCTGACGCCCCACGCCAGGTAAAGAATGCCATGCGAGGACAAGTAGCGCAAGCAGCGGAGACGTGGATGACAACACATTTGATGCACCGCTAACAGGCAGTAAGAACATGAACCAATTGGTTCTGGGTTCTCTCACTTTGTACTTCCTAATGTGGTGTGCAACGTAGCTTATCAACGACGCAGCTTTCTCGTAGGATTGGATAAATGCACTCGGCACCAATCACCGTCCTCAGAGACGACGACGACGACAGAAGCCAAACGGGGAATGGAACCCGATCTCTTTATTGATTGAGATATTCGATGAGAAACTAGTCCGGCGCAACTGGGGATATCATATCTTCCGGCCGCCAGCCAGTTCATCAACCCGACTCGTTCTCGACTCACGAGGATTAAGACATGAAAGACATGTCCGATCAAACTTTGTCATTCCAGACTCTGCGTCACCTAGATTCTGGCACCGATGCTTTAACAGGAATTGTCATCTTCAGCGACGTGGGCGATAATACGCACACAAAGGCTGTCCCCACTATGCAGATGCAGTATTACTCCAACCTCGTGCGACGAGCTGGCTGGTCGAGACTGGGACCCAACCCGTTCCATCTCTAACCCGACGAAAGGACAGTCTCCCCGCAAGCTCTTCTGCTTGAGGCAGGCTCTTGGCTGACCTGCATGTCCCCGACTGTTCTCCTAAATGCAATGAAAAGCGATGACCTCCTCGAGGAATGCTATGTTGAGCTGAGCAGATCTACTTCGTACACGAAGTACCTCATCGATATTATCAACCTCCTCTCATGGATCCGTTTCGCCTTCCGCTCGTACAAAGGATGCGTTTCCTTCGGGGGCTACGTTCCCCGGCCCCCAGAAGGATTCCATGCTTTGATTATTGGGGCCATTTCTCAAGACCTCTCTACCTTTGTACAAGGAGCTGTTTCACTGCTGGTAGTGGATGAAAATGCTCCACTACGAGGCAGTGCTTTTTAAGACCCTCGGGGCGCAGCAGAACGACAGAGTGCCAACATTGATAGGAAGATGGACACATTTCGATGTGCTCTTCTCCACAAACTTCCATGTCTCAAGGCCATTGATCTTTTTAATATGGGTAACCGCACCAAATAATATTATTGGGAGCAGCCCAAACCGTATTCCTCAAACTCCGGCCCCTTCAAGTTCCACAAAACAAATTATCAGGACTGGAGTGGGTTCTCTTCTGAAAAGCCTACATTCCCCATAGCGGCCCCCAAATGCACACTCTCACTTGTAGCATGCCTTGCACTGTAGTGCCCGGAAATTTGATGGAGGCAGATTATGCGTGCTTCAGCTCTCGACAACCTCGTATCGATAAACGTCTGCCGTTCTGAGTGGATTAACCGACATGGGGCTGGTCCTCGCCTGCGTTTCTAAAGTATGACGATCTAAGGCGGGGATGGATTTTCCTCCTCGAGGGTGCCAAGTGACGACCAGCAAATGCATGTGGTAGCTCTCAGTCAGGCGGGTTTTGCACTATCTATCGATCAACTGGTCTTGAGTAAAGATGAATGGACACTTCGTCTTCATAGTCATCACGGGAATGGTACAGGGGCTCTTCACCACCTCCTCTACGAGTATGTCTAGACCCCGTGGTAAAAACTCCTACGCACCATCTCCAACAAACATGTTGTGACACCTTGAGGCTGGGGACAGCGTGTTCCTTGCCCTGAACTGTTAAAGCTGAACATTTTCTTCTGCAAGGGATGGCTTCCTGGGATGCTCAAGACCTGGACGGCTGTACGTGCATGCTTTATAGTCTATCGAGATAGAAACAGCCAGCCTTCTTAGACCTTGTGAATGGGCCCAACGAAGAGAAGTTCGAACTCGGGTATTACTTGCAGGGGGATAAGTGGCTCGGAAAGCAAGGGGATCCTAATATCAGGCGACGAGTTCGGCCCCGTTTCCAAGCCACAGTTGGTTCCATGAATGCATAATTCATCTCATCGACTTGTGTGTATTTAGCACGGTGGAGGTGGTTCCGCAAGATTCACATCCTGTTATCCCTGTGTCTAATTAGGATCGAGTGGGCCAGTATAGTCTAGCTTAGCCCGTCCACGTAATAGCTGAGTGGGGAGATGTTCACGACCCCTTGCCTACAACCTCCTGGTAAAGTTTCGTTTGTTTCTGGTGCTCCTTCTGCAGCTTCTTCAGCTGGCTCTTCGGCACATCGCTTCCATCTTTCATCTTTGTTGGGAGACCGTTGTCATCCCAGGCCGAAAACCTATCATCCTTGAACATGTCCTTGGGGTTCACACGCGCCTTAGCCAGCTTCTCCTGCTCGGCCTTTTCCCTCGCTATTCTAGCCTCTTCCTTCTGGCGGATGCGTTCCCTCTCCCGCGCCGCCTTCTCCTCTCGCGCAGCGATGAGTTCTGCGGCAGGGACGAACTTGATCAAGGAGGGCTGCCCGTCTGGCCTGTCATCGAGGTAGACGCCGAGATTGGTGAGGTCAACATCGCGTATCCTGTCAGTGAGGGCAAGGATGCTCTTCTTAACTTCCGGAGTAACAGTGCCGACAAGCTTGCGAAGCTCGTCACGTAGGCTGGACACTGAGCGAAGATATGGAAGAGCAAGCTGCTCTATATCGCGGACTCCGCCGTCAACAAGAGCTTGGAACTCGGCATCGGGGACCTTCTCAAGGAGCACCTTGATAGAATCGGAGTTGAGTTGGAGTTCTTGTACAGCAGCAGAGACGCTCTCCAGGACAGAGGTGTATGGCTTGATTGCAACTGCTGGGTCCTGGTCGGCGGCGACCTTAGCAGACGCCCAACCTAGGCCATCGTAAGGGGGTGCGGCGTTTTCGTCCAATCCGAAGATGCCTACGATCTTCGTGATCCACCTGGCAATAGCCTCGATAGTGGCAAGGTCGGGCTGGTCCTTGGAGGTCTTGAGATGAATGTTTGCATCCTTGATTATGCCCGCAATCACTTGCATAGCTTGGGGGGTATCAAAGGAGTTGCAAAGAGCTGCATGGAAGTCTTTCTTTGCTTGTTCGAATTGGGTGGCGATATCTGACTTGCTTGTCTGGTCATTGAGGGAAAGAGCTGCTACCCCTGAACTTGCGGGCTTGGCTGCAGCCTCTGCAAGTAGGGACTTCGTGTTTGTGAAAAAGTTCTAAATTTGTTAGTATAAGGAACATGGGTCATTCGTAACGAAATGAAGGGGGTGGTAGTAGGTAGTTGTATACGAACATTCACAGTAGCCTCCCAGCTATCAGCATGAGATCGCATCTCTGGAGAGATTTCCACACCATCATGCCACTTTCCGAGCAAGAAGACGGTTCGTAGACTTCTCGAAGTGTATGTGGTAGCGAGAGCATCCTCAATTGTCTCGAAGTTCTTAAGAGACTTGGACATTTTCGATCCAGCTATGGAGAGATGTCCCATATGAAGGAAGTATCGGACCCAAGTATGCTCTCCCTTGTCGGGCTCAAAGAAGTAGGCTTCGCTCTGGGCAAGCTCGTTGTCATGGTGGGGGAAAGCAAGGTCGATACCACCTGAGTGGACATCCATCGAAGAGCCGAGGATTTCGGAAGCCATGACGGAGCATTCTATGTGCCATCCAGGCCTGCCGTTACCCCACGGGCTGGGCCAGAACGGCTCTCCAGCCTTGGACTTCTTCCAGAGTGCAAAGTCGCTAGGGCTCCGCTTACCACCGAGGTTCTTCGAGAGAGACCCTTCGCCTTCCTCCTGCAGCGACTTGTCGTTTCGGCTCTCAGGGCGCAATCGCGCATACCGGTTTCCGGCCTTTTCGAACGCAGCGATGTCGAAGTAGACTGATCCTTCGGCTTCGTAGGCGAAGCCCTTGTCCACAATGCGCTCGACAAACTTGGCAATCTGGGGGACGAACGCGGTGACTCTCGTAATAACGTCCGGGGGGAGGACGTTGAGGGCCTTCATGTCGGCAAAGAAGAGGTCCTCCATGGTCTGTGTTAGTTCGGTGAAGACAGACTGATCGGTGGTATCGAAAGTCTCCTTGTACAGAGAATCTAGATAAGGGAGAAGGACTTCTTCGGCTCCCGGGAATATTTGACCATCCTTAATTGCTTTTGCGGCAGCGTCCATGTTGGAGATATGCATCCTGATCTTAGCTTCGGCCTCTCCGGGCTTGCCGTCCTCGGTCAAAGCTCCACCAGCAAGGACCTTCCCATAGGCTACATCCCTCTTCGTCTCATAGTTGGATGGGTCAAGCTCAGAACCGTCATCTACGAGGGCGGGAAGGCTGCTCTTGGCATAGGCGCGGAATGCATCAAGGGCAAGTTCCTGGAGCTTCTCTTTTGAATGAGCCTTCCTCTTTTCTAGTTCTAGGAGACGACGACGCCTAGCCCTGATAATAATCTATGACGTCCAGCTCAGTATTAGCAAGAAGAAAAGTGTAGACGGACGGCACGAGTGAAACTAAAAGAGAACCGCATATACCTTGTCATCGATGTCGGTGATGTTCATGACGAAATTTACGTCGAGGTTAAAGTAGTGCATCATGATGCGCCGGATGATGTCCGTGGAGACATAGTTCCTTGCGTGGCCGAGATGGCTCTTGTCGTAGACCGTCGGTCCGCAGGCATACCACGTCACCTTGCCCGGGTCTTTGGGGTCAAAGCTGACAGGGCCGCCGGGCTTGAGAGAGTTGTAGACTCTCAGGCTGTCTCGAGAGTCGGCCATTCTGGTGGAAAAGCGCCGATTTCCTTGAAGCGAGAGATGGTGAAGACGAACTAGGCTTCGTGTTTGTGTTGGTAAAGCGGGTCGTAGACTAAGTCTGAGGGACAAAGTTGAAAAGCGCAGGGATCGAGACAAAAGAGTCATCCAGAAACGAGTATGAATCAAGTGAAGAGGAGGGGACGAAAACGGAAAGAAGGACTGTGACACACGGCGAGCGGGACGAATCACATTCACCCACCAAGACGCGATCCTCGAATTTGCGACTCACCGCCCGGCTGTTTGGGGTTAAAAGCCCATAAACGACGAAAGTGAGGTATGGCGCAGGTGTAAGGAAGGAAAACAGACTACCCGTAGGGCAGAGGCGGGAGCGGGAACGGAGGATGGAGAGAGGGAAAGGGATGGGGTTGGGGTAGCTCAGGAAACGATTATTGATCAACTAAAGCGAATGTAGATGACGGAATTTGATTATGGTCAAGTGTCCTGTGTCAGTCGCTTTTGGGGGAATGGGATCATTGGAGAGGGTAGAGTGAGAGTAAGAGAGGGAGTGATTCCGTCCGTTTGATGTTCACCGCCCAAGGCTATGACTTTGATGATTCATGGAGAAACTGATAATTTCGGGATTCTGCCGGGCATTATTATTTCAGCCAGCGCGTCCTTGATTGATCCAGGAACTGCCCCGCGTCCCTTACAATTTTTTTTCACCGCCTTCCCCACTAAAGCCTAGCAGAGACCACTGAACACCCCGCCTAGCTTCGAGATCCAATTCAACGCCAAGTCAAATTCTTATCGTGGATAAGAATTTTTTTTAGGCGCAAAGCAACTTCCAGCCCTCAACCTCTCAACTGCGACTTCGTAGTCTCGTCTCGCAACCGCTTCTGTCCCAACCGTCACCGACTTCCCTTCTTTCGCTGCAATGTCGGCGTCATCGCCCTTCCTTTACTCGACAACACGGAGTCGGGCCAACTCCTTGGCCATTATCCACCTTTCCCGCGATAACCTCGTTCCAGTCATCCTCCAAGACCCCGCGACCGCAAATGAGGGCTATGCCGAGGGCGCGGTGCTCAACAGTCGCTTTGGCTCATTTCCCCATTCAACCCTTATCGATGTTCCCTGGGGCTCTCAGATTCGCGCTTCGACTGTTGACACCGGCTCGAGGGGAGGGCGAAAAAAGAAACTGGCTCTTGCTACTGCCACACCCGACGATAGCACCGCTTCTGAAAATCCTGGCTCGTCCATCTTGAAGCGAAAGAGGGAGGAGAGGGACGGTGTAGAGGACCCTTCTGCCAGCGAGGCAGAGGTGAAGAGGCAAAAGCAATTGGCCAATGGGTCTGGTTCAAACAGCGGTGCTGCTGCCCCCCAGGTCCAGCCTGCTGTCACAGCCGCGAGTGGTTTCGTACACATACTGAAGCCGTCTCCCGAACTCTGGACAATATCCCTCCCCCATAGGACCCAAGTAGTCTATACGCCAGATTACAGCTACGTCCTCCAACGAATTCGGGCCTTCCCTGGCAAGACCCTCATCGAGGCCGGTGCTGGTAGTGGAAGTTTTACACATGCGTCATCGCGTGCCGTTTTCAATGGCTTTCCTTCGAGCCCTGGGGATAAGAAGGGTAAGGTCTACAGTTTCGAATTCCATCAACAACGATTCGAGAAGATGAAGCAGGAGATATCGGACCATGGCCTCGATGGAATCGTCCAAATCACCCATCGTGACGTCTACAACCACGGATTCAACATCGACGGCAAGAGCCCCAAAGCCAGCGCCATCTTTCTGGATTTACCAGCACCGTGGGAAGCATTGCACCACCTATCGCGCCAGCGACCGAGCTCGAACGGCCCAGACACGGCTACGAACGGCACAAACTCTGATCCATGGGTCTCTCCTCTGGACCCAGACCAAAGCGCATATCTCTGCACATTCTCGCCTTGCATCGAGCAGGTTACCCGGACCATAGAAAAGCTGCGCGAACTGGGTTGGGTCGACATTGAAATGGCGGAGATCGCCCAGAAGAAGCTACATGTCACACGAGAAAGAATAGGCCTCAACATCCCAGCGGAGAGAGGAACTTTCCAGGCGCCTAGTGACGTACTTGAAGCCGTCACGCGATTAAAGTCCATAAACGAGCGGGCGGCGGAATACCATTCTAAATCAGGGAGAACTTCCACTGAAGACGATATCAAAGACGAAAACATGAATGAGAACGGGGATTTCGAGGGGGCCGACCTCGACGCTCCCACCACGTCAAAACCTTGGATCGACGGTCGACTTGTTCATCGGCCTGAAGTGGAGCTGAAGACGCATACATCCTATCTCGTCTTCGCTATCTTACCCCGAGAGTGGTCTGAGGAGCAAGAAGCCGAGGCCTTAGCCAATTGGCCATGTGGCCAGGAGACGGGTGTTATAGGTTCCCTTGACAAGATCACGAGGAAGAACATGAAGAGGGAACTCCACGCAAGCAAGAAGAAGCAGAAAAAGGGAAAACCTGAATAGACGTAGGACGCATAGCATTCCTGGCATCATGGGCATTGCATTCGGCGTTTTTGGAGGTCAACCATTTGATGATTGATGTGTCTTGCAATGATCTGTTGTCTCGTTTATCGGCAGGAGTGTGAGCGCAGGCACAGGCCACTCATGACTTGATTTCCGGTGTATGTATTATGATGGATGTGAACCTGCGGGACTATAAACTCGAACTGTTTTTATTAGACTTCAATTGGCGAAGAAAGATTTCTCGAATTTATTTTACCTAGTAGGCTGGGTGAAGGATATCGAATCTGCGCACTCTTTCTGTAATGGAGCCGTGATTAATGTTTAGAGGCGCGGCGTGGTTCGGCACCTGCAAAAGAAAAAAAAGTAGCTCCCCACCTCGACTGCAGTAAATCTGATTGATCTCCTCAACTCCTCCCACCCCAACAACCACCTCTGGCCATGCCACCGCCGCGATCCCTGCGGCCCCTCGCGGGCCTACGATCGAAATCCCTAATTAACGCATTCAATCGGCCGTCATCATGCCTGTATCGTCACCGCCTAGCTCAGGTGACTTTCCAGAGTCCCACAGCTCGACGGAGCTACGTCACGCCAACTAACCTACCAGCGACCGCGCCTCCAACGATAGAGCCATCGATTGACGCGCGACTCGAGCTCGAGCAAACCCTCCAAGACCTCAAGAAGCACGCGGCGAACTACGTCAACCTCTCGCGATTGCACCTCGCGCTCCTGGGCCTCAGCCAGCCCGCAGGCGAGGAATCCATCCGCGTCGCCGTGCTCGGGGTCGCCAACGGCAACCGCTCGGGAAATACTGCCAAATCGGTCCTGGAGCTGTTGCTCGTGGATCCGTTGAAGGAAAAAGAAGAGTGGGAGAGGCAATTGGCACAGCGCCGGCCGGGCTTACCCGTCATCGTCAAGGTTGGACGGAGGGATGTGCCTGGTACTGGGGTGATTGAGCGGAAGGGCATGTTTGAAGAGGTGCACGTCTCTTCACCCGTTTACGATGGGTATAATCTGGAGCTTCTGTTGATGGATGTGAATGCGCCGTCAGCGGAGGAGGACGCTTCTATTGAGGAGCAGCTTCTTAACTTGCCCGTGGATATCGCTTCCAACACGGGAAAGTTCAGCCCCATCATGACGCCTGTTCACAAGGCGCTGCTTGTGGCAGACGGTATAACTGGGGTACGATCCGTGACGTCCATACCGGCCAACGATGAGAATAGTGTGATTCATTCAGCGATCAACATTCCCAGGTATAACCCTCCTAAAGACGCCGACCTTCCTTTCCAACCTATCGACGTCACTCAAGCTCAGGAAGGCGTCGAATTGTTCCGCAAGGATCTGAAGCATGCCATGGACTACGAACGGCTCTGGTTCCAGAGCAACCTTCCTGCCATTGCTGACTGGCTGAAGACGGGCATCGAGCAGCAACCCGGCACGACGAAGCCTGCTGTGCGACAGCTCATCGCCTCAGTCCTCCAAGAGACGGCCTCTTCAGTTGAAGCTGCCGAGTCGCGCCTCCTCGGAGGCAGACTGCGATTGGCGACTCAATCGCCCTCAACCATCGCACTGCAACGGAGCCTGTCTCAATGGGCTCAAAGCGCCCACGGCGAACTGCAGGAACAGCTTGATCTCGCCTTCACCGGCCAGCGCTGGAGGAAGCTAGGCTGGTGGAAACTCTTCTGGCGCGTCGACGACGTGACCATGCTTACCAATGACATGCTCAACCAGCAATTCCTCCCTACAGCCGAGAAGAACCTCGTCTACCTCTCCGGCCAGGTGCGCGGAGCCATAGCGGCCGCCGCACCCTCCGCCGTGCTGATCTACCCCCAACCAACCCCTTCTTCCTCCGCCGTCGTGCCGCTCCGCAGGGAAACCAGGTGGCCGACCCACGTCTCCTTCACCCGCCGATACCTCCAGGAGGAGACCATCCCCGCTCTTCAAGCCCTCGCGCAGAAGCTCGTCCTCCAGTGCTACACGACGTGTGGTCTCACCACGTCGCTGGCCGGCCTTCTCTACGTTTCTACTTGGACGTCGAGCATCTACGAGGCCGGTGCCGTGGCGGCTCTGGGTGCCGTTTGGAGCCTGCGAAGGTTGCAGAAGAAGTGGGGGGCTGCGCGGGACTTTTGGGAGGGGGAGGTGCGTGAGGAGGGGAGGAAGGCCGTGAGGGCGGCTGAAGAGAGTATGGCTGAGGCCCTAGAGGGTGAGTCCCGTTCAAAGGGCGTCATAGAGGGAGAGGAAGAGTTTGAGAAGGTGCGGGAGCTTGTGGCGAAGGCTGAGGATGCGCTTGCTCGGATGAAGTGAGAGGCATAGAAACAAAGCAAAAGCGTCTCAAGTCTCTTTTCATTTGTTGTTTGGAAATGTATATAAAACATGTAGTACTATTGGGTGTAAATATCATGATAGACGGAAAGAGCTACCAAGTCTCTAATAGGAATCGGAATCCCTCAACTCTTAGAAAGGAATGCAACAGTTTGGTCATGGTTTCTCATGGTTTCTACCAAAACGCTCCGAGAGGACAGTCGTATCTGCTGGACCAATACCTATTCTTTTCATGGTTTGCTATCCCAACATGTATTGCTCATTTTGTTTTTGAATCCCTTGACGCCATTATCAACATGAATGACACCGAAAACCCGTGCCAAGCCCCTCCCTCTCCGACAGAAACAACAGGGAAAAAAAAAAAAGATGCTTCAAATCTCCAAATCTCGATATCTTCCCCTCCTACTTATCATAACCGACAACCCCCCGACCACCACGAAGGAAAAAACAACCCCATTCATCACCTCCCACCCCTCGCGCTCGCACGCGCCCTGCTAACCGTAGCCCTACCTCTCGCGAGACCAACACCTCTACCGCGCACATTCCTACTCTTGAACATGGGGGCGTTGCGCAGCATGTCTGGTACGATGAAGAAGCGCACGTGAGAGCCTCGGATGTAGACTTGGTCGAGATGGCTGACGCGGCCGTCGCGGGCGGTAACGGTTATGTCTTTTAACTGGACGTTCATGTTGTCTTCGGCTGGATTCGGGGCACGAGAGAGTTAAAGAGTTAGCTAGGCAACTTGGGAGGCGGCGAGATGGCCATGGAGAACGGGAACAATTGGCGGGGACGGGTAAAGAGTAGAACGTACCTTCTATTAGCTTGCCACGGTAGGTTTGGCCAGAGGTAATCTCTAGGGTCACGATATGGCCCTAGTTCACGAGCTTCCTGTTAGCCTTCCTGCGCGCCGGCTATCCTACCGCTCAAGCTGCCTTCCTGAGGGGTCGGCTGGAAGTGTAACGTACCTGAGCTTCATTGAGAAGCTTGATGGGGATTCCGATCGTAGAAGTCATCTTGGGCGGGATACGGGACAGGCGCGCTAGAGGTGTCTTAAATCGGCCTGAAGGGAGTTGTGGTGGAGCTGGGAAACTGGGATGTGATGCGATTCAAAGGCGTCACAATTGGAGCTTGGTCAATTGTGCTTGGAGTCTGCTTGGGAAATCTCGAGGTGGTTGTTGATTAGGTAAGCATGCAAGGTCTCAATTTGTCTCTGAGAGATGGATTGGGCAGCCGCCAACATCATCCTCGGTGAGTCTCCAGAGTCTTCAGAGGATCGAATACGATTGAAGAATATGAGTCGCTTTCATTATTGTAGGCAACAACCATGCTCCAATTGCGAAATACGGCTACTCTCTAGGAAGGGACAGTTAACCTTTTTTTTTTTTTTAATCAATCTTCACTTGTTCTGCAGCTCGCTTGTCGCCTCAGCGGAATCGAGGATGGGGAGCACATGAAATCCGTGCCCTTGGCATTGAGTTGTCTCATTATCCTACAAAATTATGATTCTCTATACAAACAGGCCTTCTTATCTTACTCCAAAAGCTTACACTGAATCCAACCGTCACGATATTCTCGGAGAAAGTAGCCCAAGCTTGGGCGACTCTCTTCTCGGCTTTCTCCCCCTTCGCTCTTCGCTCTTCAGAAATTCCACCTCTCCTGCTTCCCCTTAGACTTGGGCCTCACGTTGGCCCTTCCGATTTCCTCTCGCATTGGCGTCGCGGCTATGTCTTCCTCACATCCGCTTGAAGTAGTAGGGTCTGCTCGCCGCTGGTCTTGCAAATACTTCGCAAAGTTTCAGTTGCCAGGGTATTGTCGATCTCTTCTTTACATGATGACCTGATGACCCCTCCTCCTCAGTAACTTGAGATGGCGCTACGGGCACCAAGAACAGAGATTCGTACTCGCAGACGTCAGACCTATCCAGGAGGTATTCATGTGTTCCTGATGACAGAGAGTGTGTTGTTAGAACAACATCAGTCATATATGAAACCCGGCGAAAGGGCAATTCTGTCGAATACTTACCATCAGACCAAATTCGACACTTATAAAACACACTGCGCACAAGGTGGTGAGACACCCATGCGACTGACCAACGATGAGGGAACGGCACTGGCGCAAGCGGAAATTGTGTTGAAACCTCTTGCAGCTGTGATTGTGGTGACTCCGTTGGCTCTTCTCCCGGGAATTCTTGGCTCTGCGCACTCTTCCTGTTATGGCTCTTCCGCTGCTTTTGAAAAGAAGCTCTAACATCTCTGTTGTCGAAGTAGTTTCCCTCGAAGCACCACAGCTCGGAACATTGACATTTCCTATGGCCGCAGGCGGGGCATTGGGACCCCAGCTTCACTCTGTAAATGTAATACTTGTAATCTGACGGTGGGCCCCAGCAGGAGCAATGGGACTTGTTGTTGCAGAGGGGACATCGATCTAACGCCTCGACAATCATTTTCAAACGGGGTCAGGTTCGTCACGTATAGGGTGAATAGAGTGATGAGAGAGGGAAGGGCTTTATGTTGGGAAAGTATGTGAGGTTTGCAATGGTTTGGCATAATAACGTAGGCCGAGATCGAGTTGAGCGAGGAAGAGGGTCAAGATATATCATCACAGCTACATGTAACGACATCAGGTTTGGAACTTTACTCGACCTTCGACGCATCTCGATATTTACAGTGACCAGTCTTTTTCAATGAAATTGTAAAAAGAAAAGAAAGGAGAAAGAGAAAGGAAAAAAAGACAAAAAGCTACAGAAGCGATGATTGGCAGACCCGAAAAAGAGGTTCATGTTAATCATGGCATCTGGCCAAAGGATGCTGCGTCCTCTTAGGCTCCCACGCTATCCGGGTCGAACGCACAATCTTCAACGAATAGCAAGATGCATGGCATAGCCAGCGTCGCCAGGATATCGGCTTCTATGTCCTGCAGAACGAAGACGGCATTACTTTGGAATTCCTGCACGGATGACGAGGGAGCTGTCATTGGTAGAAGGGTATTGATCGGAAGAGGGAATTGTGAGTTTTAGTCGGGGACTAGCACGAGTGCTGCCTGCACACCACACGGCCACCCCCCCAAAGTTTTAGTCTGCAACATTCGGATGGTGCCTGACATGTAAGTCTTGAGGTCGTGGAATATCATGGGCTGATGTTCATGTCTCTGATCAACTTGCATCCAAAGGCGGCGTTGATTCGTTGAAGAAGGAATCCCGGCAGGTGATTTGGAGGGGTGTGTGGTTTTGTGTGTTAGTACGTGGCAGAGAAAGCTGAGTCCCTACGAAGTAAAATGGATTTTATGGAAACGAAATTCCATATGCGACTGGGACCGTCGATAATCACCAATGCCGTGCTTGCCATCCCTCAGTGGTTTTTGCGTCTCGCGGCAACGTGGAAGAATGTTGTGATCGCGATGAAAGTGAAGCCGGTTTGCCTGTAAGGAACCGGAGAGTGGCTTCCGGAAGGTGTTTTGAATTTTAGCGACAGTCGTCTGGCCAGTAATGTGATCGAGTGGCTTGAGAGACGACAAATGGAAAACCTGAGATGTTCGCCATTGTTCCTTTCTGATTGCTTCCTTCCATTTGTCCCCTCCCGACCTGACCCAAGCCCCACCGCGCTGCCCTGCGCATGTACTCCGGTACCCGCCGCATTCTTCTTCCCCAAGCGATTGTGCCGTTGCCTCCGCCACTGGCTTTGCCCCACCATCAACCTCACCTTCAAGCAACTGCGTCCTTGTGCAGCCTCTCTTTCTAACGACGCAACCCGACGACAAACACGCATTTTGCCCGCCACGAATAGAGAGGAAGAGGGAAAAAGGATCCCGATTTTCTGGCCCCTAGAAAATACTATACTCGTCCCCGCACCCGACCCCTCCCCGAAACCCGCAGAGTCCGGTCCCCCTCCCACCATGGCCCAATCCACCGCCCACCGCCGCCTCCTCCAAGAGTACCGCGCCCTCACCAACAACCCCCCCGACGGCATCACCGCCGGCCCCGTCTCAGAAGATGACCTCCTCCACTGGGAGGCGCTAATCCAAGGGCCCGAGGGAACCCCCTTTGAAGGCGGCGTCTTCCCCGCGGAGCTCAAGTTCCCCAAGGACTATCCGCTTGCCCCGCCTACTATGCGCTTCCTGACAGACATATGGCATCCCAATAGTACGTTGTCTCTCTTTGCTCTCAATATTCTATAGAAGAAAAAATAAGAGAGGGAAAAATGACTAACGAAATTCAGTCTACACGAGCGGCCTCGTCTGCATTTCCATCCTCCACGCCCCCGGCGACGACCCAAACCACTACGAGCACGCCTCCGAGCGCTGGTCCCCCATCCAATCCGTCGAGAAGATCCTCATCAGCGTCATGAGCATGCTCGCCGAGCCCAACGACGAGAGTCCCGCCAACGTCGAAGCCGCTAAGATGTGGAGGGAGAGGAGGGAGGACTACGAGAAGAAGGTGAGGGATGATGTCAGGAAGATGCTGGGCTTGTAAGAGAGAGATTCGGAACAAGCGGGGGTAATTTGAGGCATAGCGGAATGACCGGCTTTGCGGTTGTATTCTGTTTTGGGGGGAGATGGGTATTATGATAGATTTTTTTTTTTTTTTTGATTTCGCGTTTTGCATTGCATGGTGTTCACGTTCATCACGGTCGCTTCAGTTGGCATGTAGAAATAATACAAAAACACACACTGAAAACTTTCAAAATATAATCATCCTCTATCATTATGCGATCATTGTCGTCTAATAACACCGTCAGCTTCTAGGGTTACCGGATGGAACGAATTCCAAATCTACAGTCCATTCTCCGCCTTAAACTTGTCCCAGCTCTCATTGAGCGTGCTAAACACCGTTCCCGCGATTAGCCGCACCTCGGTCGAGGCATCCTGTGGTAGCTATACAGAAGTTTGGTTAGTTTAGGTTCTATTGTGCAACGCTAGAGTAAAACAAGGGGGATGGGCCTCAACATACCTTGTCCGGATGCGTCTTGGCAATCGCCTTCATGTAAATCACCTTGACCCTATTCGCCATCACAAGCTCATGGAGCCCGACCTTCTTCCATCCACTACCCTCCCAGAGCACCTGATCGAGGCTGCTAAGCAGCGCCCGCAGGTTCTCCCTCTTCCCGTCACGCCATGCCCCAACCCGCGCATCGACGCGCTCCGAAATGACAAACTTCTCCTCGTCCTCGCGCGCGGCGGCCTGGTTCGCCGCCCGTAGCCTCTCCACGGCTTCGGAATTCTTCTGGGGGCCGAGATCGGACAGCGCCGAGGTACGGGGTTTCGGCTTGGGGATCGCAGCAGGACGGGGAGTCGGCTTGGGCTTGGGGGCTATGGCTTTTTGACATCGCTGTCGGCCGGCGATAGCGGCTGAGCCGCCGACACCCGCCTCGACGCACGACTGCCAGACCGTGCCCGCGTCGGCCCACCGTTCCATTTGCTCCAGCGCCTCGGCCTTTCGGCTGAGCGCCTTGCCGTACAGATCCTTCATGTCGCGGTGCTCCTCGCCGCCGCTCTCAACCACGACTGCCACCGTCTCACCCTGGCCGAGACTAGGACCGATGAGCTTGATGGCCTGGTCCGCATCTTCGAGCGCCTGCTTGGCCTCGCCGGTCTTGAGGCTCGTCAAGGCACGGTTTGTAAGGAGGATGATACTAAGTGGGTGGGTAGCTGGGATGGCGAGGAGGGAAGATGAGTAAGATTCATGCGCCGATGCGAAGTCGCCACGCTTGAAATGCGCCGTTCCTTCGAGTCGGTGCTTCGTGGAAGTTTGAAGAGCGATGGGCGTAATGGCGGGGATTTGGCGCGTCGGGCGCGGTGTTGGCTTGGGCATGGGCGGAGTAGCTCGTTTGGGCGCCGCGGCTGGTGTCTTTTGTGCCGGCCGTTGGGGAAGGGTGGTAGTAGTGGTGGATGGTGTAGAAGTGGTGCCAAAAAGAAGGTCCGGCTCCTCGGAGGGAGGTGGCTTGGGCGACTCCACCGGCGTCGCCTTTCGTCTTCGGTTTGGACTCACATACGTCGACACATCATCATCCTCGGCAGCAAGCCTGTTCAAGCGCGATCGCGCGTCAAGAGGGCGGGATTGTTGTTGCTGCCATTTGGGTGGTCCTGGGCTTTGTCGATGGGACTGGGGCGGCGGTACGGCAGGCGATCGTTCGCGCGAGGAAGGTTGCTGGCCGCGAGCCGGGCGACGGTCTGGTCGCATTCCAGAATCAAGCATCATGGCTTCATCAGTAGCATCGGGCTGCTTCTCGGATGCATGCATTCTGTCCTGCTGCGCTGTGCGCATCCACTTCGGCTGGTTTGGGTCTCCTTCGTACTGGAAATCTGCCACGGCTTTCTGAACCTTCTTCTGGCCAGTTTTCCAGAGCGAGTTGGCCGTTTTTAAGAAACTTGTCCCCATCGCAGCTGCAGTCTTAGCTAGGTCGTTATCGCCACTAGCCTGAGGTCGGTTTTCGGGGCCAGAGGGACCGTCTCGAGCCCACGGCGGTTGTGATTGACCTGGAGAGGCATCCCGTGTATTTCTGGTGGGACGCTGGGGGGCGCTTCCCTTAGCCTTCTCCTTGGATCTCCTGTGAGCGTCATCCAGCAGCCAGTTCACAGCAACCTGGACGTTCAGACCCGCCCCGCTCTCCGTCAAGCCGCGCCGCGCGTCTTCATCGGTGAATCCATAATCTACTAATTGAGCAACCGCTTTGTCGAATGGATCGACTTCACCTCGGGGGGTTCGAGTTCGGGGAGATTGAGGAGCATCTACCTCATCTTCAGAATCGGATTCGTCCAGTTCTATCGGCTTTCCAGGCTCTGGTTGCTGCGCCGCCCGCTGCGCTACCTCCTGCCTTTTCCGAATTTCCTCAACAGGCCGGCCGAGGTCACCTAGAAAGTCGTCATCTTCGCTGGCAACCGCAACTGGTGCGCTTGCCCGTTCTGCGGGCTTCCGCTTCGGCAAGTTGCTCAGACCGAAGGGATCGTCGTCGTCCTCCGCGAATGCAGCATTGTCGGCGCCAGGGCTCGGGTTCCACGACGCTGGGTTGCTCAAATCGAGGCCAGGTGGGGGTGTGGGCTTGCTGGACTCAGGAGGCGGCGGGTAGTGGCTTGCGTTGTCTACTTTAGTATCGGCTCGGAAAGCCGCGAAGAGGTCGTCGTCATCGCCGTTGGGTTTCGATGCGGTGGAAGGTGGAGGAATGGCGGGAGAGGATGTTCGTGACGTGGCGCCCGAGCCTAGGGAATCGAGAAAATGGCTACCGAACTGCGACTCGGCGTTCTTTCGGCGCTCTTCTTCCTTCCTGCGCTTCTCAGCCTCGAGTCGCTCCTGTTGCTCCTTTAGGCTGAGATTCGCATTGAGTTTCGAGGGGCCGAAACTAAAGAGGTTGCTGAAGCTGTCCTCGGTCGCCTTCGCAGCAGCAGGTTTTGGTCTAGAGGAGCCTGAGCCCTGTGTGGAGAGCGGAGTATTCCTCCCCGAGGCGAAGGGGGAGGGCGAAGGGCGCAGGGATGGATAGGAGCCGATCGGGGCGGTGGGTGTGGGGTTCGCGGGTTTGGAGCTTTGGGTACTGGAGGCGTTCCAGTTCAGGCCGGCAAGGTCATCCATGGTGTTGTTAATTTAGGAAGAAAGGAATTACGAGAATAAACTGGTATCCTCCTAGAGTCATTGGATCATTATGAGGGTTTTGCGGCCAGGGAAAAGGAGAAGGATAGAGGAGTTGGTGTTCTTGGTGGATCGATCGATTGATGCCCCAAGCTGTGATGGCGATATTAGAGGCTTTAGCTCCCTGAATATTATCCACCAAACGAAGAGGCGCTAATTTGGTAGCAATTGTCAACAGCTGCACATGGAAAATTTGGCTCAGTCATCATGGGCCTTATGTCACCACCCGTTTATAACGGTATTATTGTCTTGATTCATGCTTGCCTCTGAACTTTTTCAAGTTCCCGCAAATAAGAGCCAACAGCCAAACATGAAATGGATTTTCTAAGTCAGAAGACCAACCCGCGAACCCAACTTACAAGAAATCAAATTGATCGCCTTAGGATTCTATCAACAGGCGCACCTCATGGAGGCGAAATCGGCTGCTGCCGGGTGATCACCGTAGCGATCATTGGCTAAGAACTCTTCATTCCGACTTACTGAAGATCTGATTCCTCTCCCAGCTTCATACCGAGAAACACAGAATCTGCTGCTCCCCAAATAGTGAGATCTCGTGCTACCTGCATTCCGCATTGCCGACATGGCGGTGACAGTTGAATGACTGGTTTGTTCCCAAGGGACGATTGATCCAATTTCCCCTCGTCCTATTAGTTTCTCCCGCCGTGTTTCACCTCTTCAGCCAAAAGATACCTAGTAACCCGCTAACTCACCAGTCAATAATATTCCAACATTGCAGGGGCGATTGAGGGTTTTTGGGCTAGTCCCTCTGAAGAAGCAAAATTATGCGATGGGTGGCAACACGGCGCCTCGAAGGGGGCGGGATTGAATGGCATGGAAGCTATTCATGACCTCACCAATAAGGAATTTCCTTTATTGGGCCCCAGGAGAAACAGAGCCGATGTGCAAGTATTGTCTTCGAAGGATCAATCTCCTCGCATCTGGGGGAGAGATGATATTAAACTCTTGAGATTGTTCATCTCAAGTCCTCGACTTGGTTAGCGCTCTGCATCCCATGATCTGTGGCGTTCTGGGGTCAGGAATGTCTGGCAACTGATTGGTCTTCAGACTGTCCCTTGTCTTTCTGGGACCCTGAAACCCGTTTCAAGTCAATTCCAAGATGCATGCCCGGCCCAATCCGCGACGCCCACTTTCCCATTTCAGATTACACTTGACAGTAATTATCAGAGTCGCACACTGTGATCTCGTTGTACCTCAGTACACTCCAAGGCACTAATACCCCTTGCCAGGCATGCCGGGCACAGGCAAGTAATTTCGCTGGCCTTGGTCGTGGAAACTCGCAATGGTCTAGCCCATCGATAAGATTAAAGCTGCCATCAACATCCTCTATAAGGCATGGATTATGAGTGGATAGAGATCATTGGCACCCCATGGTGGCAAGGAGTGGATAGTCTCCAGGACCCGGGCGTAACCGTCGATTGAGCCTTTCCAGATTCATAGAATCGATGTTGATGTCGTATTTTGTTGGGATTCTATCCTGGGGAGATACCTCCTTGTACGAAGTGCCATTGAGGGCTATTTCGGAGGCGAGGAGACCCAAGTGAACGGCATATGACGCCACTGACGACAGAGCCAAGCCATGGATCAATTGATCATGTCCAGTCCACGCCGACACAAAAGGTGCAACATCACCACAACACGACACGACACTACTTGTACAAGTTGAAGCTTTTGGAAACTCTGCTGTTCAAGGTGTTCAAATTCTGCCCAGCGGGACACTACATATGGTCGAAACACCAATGCGCCACGAATAATCGTGCCGAGTGTGACGAAGAATGTGAGGCCTAAGGCGCCTGGCCAGACTGATCTCAGGAGTTATGTTTTAGCTGCTGGGTAACTCATATCCTTCTAGAGAAACTAATCCGGTCACGCAAAGTATCAAAGAATTGGCGGTTTAAAATGTCTGCTGCTGTATCGTGGTTGCTTTGCCTGGGGATGCAAGTTAAGTCTCGAGCCCGGGTTCCGCCGATGCGAATCCTCATGCCGTCCCACCAGAATGTCGACGTACAAAGTCGAGGTCTGACAACTTGGGAGAGTTCGAACTGAGGGGAAGGATCAGCCAGGATCAATGACCCTTGTGACGTGGGTTGGAAAACCTGGGAGAGAGACCCCCTTTCCCGGGATGACTGGATCTGGGCGATCCTAGGGGCGATCTTGGACCGAAGAGAATGTTGACCAGCTTCATATTGCCCTCCAACTTCCCACACCCCTTTATGAACTACCTAGCCTGGCGGGCACTCCCCCAGGTTCGTGGTACTAATTCCGTTGAGGTCCTTCAAGTGGTCAATTTGTGCCCATACTATGAAATCCACATGCTAGAGATGGGTCTTTCCCGTTATTACCCAACTGTTTGTTCAACGCTGGGCAGGCGAGTTGTTACTCACGAACGTGTACTACGAGGGATATCTAACTGTACTGCCTGTGGTAGCCTCTTGCTCCATGATGAGAAGCGACTCATCATTATCCTCATCATCCAGAATCTGGAGCCAAGATGGCATCGGGCGTGCTGTTCGTCTAACCCTTGCGGCCGTTCTGGCCTCTCATTTTCTTTTAGCTCTGCCCTTCGTTTCACGGCGTGTTAGTGAGGTTTCTCGTGAAGCCTTGCAATACCGAAGGTGGAGAAAGGGAAATGAGTCTAAGCCTGTTCCCTGGAATGCCAGGCACGATCTCATCCCGCGCATTCATTTATAGTCTAGCCCCGGGAAGGATCTCTCAAGCGCTTTTTCCAGGGGTTCGCCATCGGCTCCCAATAATCAGACGTGAATGAAGCTGATAGCTGTCCCAAAGAACTATTTTTGTCCTCCGCAGTATCCTCACGGGTATATCAGTCCCTAAGGACGACTTGATTGATTTCCCTCAGTCTACTAGAAGTCAGCGTTGTGACGACAGGCTGGCGATGAAGTCGCGAGACCGTTCTGGTCTAAGTCGAAGCGACCAGGGCTCGTGCTCAATTTACCCTGGCCCGGCACCCCTCACTCCCACCCTCGTCAATCGTCAATTGATGGCTTGGACACATTCCCAGGCGTTATCAAAGTCCCTGGCTAATTAACAGGCTCGACGTCCCCGCCGTGGATTGGCTAGTTCAATTGCTCCTCGTCGCAGAATCAAGCGCGGCAGGGAAGCCCCGTAAAGCCCCCCCAAACTAATTAGAGCGCTGCTCCCACTGTGTATCCGAGGTACCTCCACACAGCGTCTACCTTTGTACTTGGACCCAGCCAAGGCACGATCACACCTCGCCAGTGGCGCCCCTTCCCACTCTCTGGCGCTCTTCATATTATCGTCTCTGGTTCTTCCTTCTTCTTTTTGGTCTTCACCTTTCCTTCCTCACCTCCTTCCTTCGCTGGTGGATTCCTCCCTTCAAGCTTGCGAGCCTCTTCTCAACCTCATCAGTTGATCTTGGGCCGCTTGTCAGTCACTCTTTTGCAAACACTCCTTTTCTAAACGCTCATTTGCTTGCTGTCGCTCTCATTTTTTTGAGGAATTCGACCCTCGTTTCGCTCATTGCTTTGCACAATCAAAATCTTGTGTTGATCACATTCGCTTCTTTGGTCCAGATAGAGGAAGACACGAGAATATCACCGGGATCCGATTTTACTACGTTTTGCGACACTTTGCTCGATATAGAAATCCCGGTGCCCCATAGCCGCCGACTTACACGCTGGTCGCCCCGAACCTCGACCCATCCCACATCGGCTCCGATACCAACGCAATCCACTCACGGAGCCCAAGTGACGGACACGACGGAGTTTGCTCCTCATTTCCGATCTCAACTTCATTCTCCTCGAAGGAAGTATATGAATCTGTAGCCACAGAGCCCCAATCACCTTGACAAACGACCAGACTTAGATCTGATCTCGTGTGGAGGAAAGTGAGGTCCAACAAAACCCTAGCTGCACCGGCCCCAGATTTCAAAGTCAACGTCGAATTTCACTCCGACCGACTATTAAAATGCTGAGTAAGGCTGCCCTTGGCGCTGCTCTCCTCGGCGCCGTTGGCGTCGATGCGTTCTGGCGTATGGAATGCCCTCACCGACTTGGTCTCGCTCGAATTGACCCTTTGGTCAACCCGGGCGTTGCTTCCGCGCATGCCCATGCCATCTATGGTTCTAACGGTATGTCGCCAGATCTTGCGCGAGAGCATCCCTTCAAGTTCGCGTCTAGTTTAATACCAACACTAACACGAACGCCATCGAAGGCTTCGGAGTCAGCTCCGGCTTCCAGGATCTTGCCGCTGGTGATTGTACATCTTGCCGTGTCAAGCAGGACAAGTCCGCATATTGGCACCCTCAACTCTATTTCAAGGATGCTGCCACTGGCGAATATGAGGAGGTGAAGCCTCTCGGAGGCATGCTTGCGTAAGTGGTCTCCCTTCTTCGTCCAAGAAAGAATAAAACGGTTTTAACAAACTGAAGCTACTACTTCCTCAATGGCGAGAATATTCAGCCCTTCCCTCCTGGCTTCAGGATGATTGCTGGTGACAACAACCGACGTGACTTTACCGCCCCTTGGGATTACACCGGTCCCGACCCGGAGAAGTCTACTTGGAGGTCGCAGGGCTATGTTGACCAGTCCATCCTTCGACAGTTGGCCATCGGCGTCAATTGTCTTAACTATAACAAGCCCGGAGAGCCGACTTTGATGCGCCACTACCTCCCCGACAAGGCTTTTCTTGATGCCAACTGCCCCGACGGCATCCGATTCGAACTCATGTTCCCATCCTGCTGGGTTGGCAACGGCGTCCTTGAGAGCGCTAACCACAAGGACCACGTCGCCTACCCCGATACCGTCTTAGACGGCCCTTGTCCTTCTGGCTTCCCCGTCCGTCTCCCGGGCCTGATGTTTGAGAGTTTCTATAATACTCCCGAATTCAAAGACCGCGCTGGCGCCTTCGTCATTTCCAATGGCGACACCGAAGGTAACGCCTCCCCCCCGGCCCTCTTAGCATTTATGTTTTCCTGAATGTACTGAGGTAAAGACTAACATTTCCCCCCCTTTTACCTAGGCTTTGGTTACCACGGAGATTTCATCTCTGGTTGGGACGAAGAGACACTGAGACAAGCTGTTAACCAGTGTACCAACTTGAGTGGAAGGATTGATGACTGTCCTGTTTTCCAGCTCCAAAGCCAGGATGAGGCTTCGCAGTGCAACCTCAACACCCCTAGCCTCCTTTCGGCTGACAATGTCTTCGGTCCTATGGCATCCCTTCCGGGTCTCGGAGACATCGTTAGTGGGGTTGTTGATGCTCTCGGGGGTGGTGATTCGCAAGACTCGGCCTCCAACGGAGGTATCTTTAAGGAGGATCCCAGCCCGATTAATGCTTCTTCGCAGGAACCCGAGCCCGAGCCAGAGCCCGAGCCTGAACCGGAACCGGAACCCACACCTGAACCCGCACCTGAACCTGAACCTGAACCCGAGCCGGAGCCGGAGCCGGAGCCGGAGCCAACTCCCGAGCCTGTCGTCACCCCACCTCCCGTGGCCGTCACCGAGGAAGACAATGATGAGTTTTACAGCACCGATTACATCAGGAATGGCAACGTTTTGAGCAAGATTCTCTGGGTCCAGGAGGTCGTCTATGTCACAGAGGTCGCCTCGGACGCCGAAGTTGTCACTGTTACCCCCAGTGCACCCGCGCGAAAGAACAGACGGTCGCATCTTCACCTGCATGGACATCTCCGCCACCGCCACTAAACCAGCCAGCGGACCCGATGATATGTCCGGCTATCGATGAGCCAGGTCGCTTGCTTCTTGCTTTCCTGTACTATTAAATTTCATCTCTTTAAGGATTTTATCTTCTCAAGTGCGGGGTTCATACGTGGAGGAAGGATACCCATTGCAGTCCAAACTCTGGACGGGGGTTTTGCATGGCGTTTGATGGTGGGCAACGAAAGAATTTTGTTTAGTTTTTCTAGCTTTAACAAAAAATAGGATCTTCTTATTTTGAAAATGCCGCTCAAGTGGCGGTGCTAGAACATCATAGACGGCTTCTTTTTCCCGTCCATCAATACCAACCATTTATACATAAACGAATTGCCGATGAAGTAATGCATGACTTCGAAAGACTCTAGGTAGATTCAGGGCAATCCACCACGTCAGACAAGACCAGTATGAAATGAGAAATTCGAAGCAGTCTATTTTCTCTTGATGGTTCCGCGTGCTTTCCCGCTCGCTTCTGAAATGATAAAAGGACTCGTTTAACGAAGGGCAAACACCCCGACGACTCGGCAATTCTTGACTTCCTCTTCCCCATTAACATGTAAAACCCCCCGGCTGTCCGCTGACCTTCTTCGCTGCATTGAACGTGACTGGAGGTACGACGAAACAATCAAAAGCATCATGCCCTGAAGGCAACGCATTTCTCGGCTGTTGCAAATCGCCTCAGCAAACAGGGCTGCGCCGGTCGATCCTTTTTTTTCTTCCCCTCCACTCTACGCTTGGAGGAATCTATGCGTCATGTTCTTTTCCTCGCTTGGCCGAGCGCAGCCATGAATATCGCATAAACGAACCTGGACTTGCCCGCTTCTATCACCCCACACACTATTTTTCATCGGCCTTCAGAGCTAAAGGGGTCTATTTCATGGTCTATCCTCGATTTTATGTGTTGTAATGTTACTACTTTTTTACCTTGTGGACGTCATCCGTGAGGATTAAGTTGGTAGTCAAGGGATACGGACGGAACCCTCAATTGCTCGAATGTATTGGCAATGAGATAAGGCGCTTCGTCCCACGACAGGAATATATTAATATACGCACATAGTAAGTGCCGTGTCTCCTGCGCCGTCCCTTTCCAAAGGATCAACGCCCTGCGGCCCTGGTTCCAGGTTTGGATGGAGGGTGGGCGCAGATTGGAATGTCGCATATATGCAGGTCGGCTAAGTCGTACGCGAGTAACGCATTCCTCGGGAGATGAGGGTCGAGAGCTGTGATCAGATCGTAATGGCCTTCTCGCTCTGCGAATTCCCGGGATGGAGGGTTGGTGTAGAAATGTGAATGGGGTGAGTGCCATTTATATGGAGGCTGGTCTGCATCTCGATGCGGAAGCGAGTTCTTCTGTAGTTTGTTTTTGGGATGAAAAGACTAACACCAACCATCGCTTATGTCTTCTTGCCTCCTCTTTTTCTCTCTCTACCTTCTCGGTTATCGGCCTTTTGCCGTCCTCGCATATCACGATAAGATAGACCTCACTCGCGTCATGGCGTGGTGAAGGGAGGTAGAGATCACCGTTTCTTACTCCGTGGCTTCAAGACTTCGGCAAACAATGTCTCCCCTTCCCAGAGATAACAACGGAGGAAGGAATCTCTCTCCAGAGAGTATACTCGCCATGGCTCTAAGTGGCAGCACGCTCTTGTTCCTCGCAATCGGATTAGTCCTCGTTGGTATTCGGGGCCATCGAGGAAGGAGGACATCGCTACGGCCACATCTTATTCCCAGACGGCTTTCGGATGATGCGAGGACCTCTTCTCCGTGGAGCATAACGTCGGCCAGATATCGGATTAGAAGGCGGAGTGGTGTGGACGACGGCCATAATGATGAAGACAGAGAGAGTCTCGTCGGAAATGCTTCTCGTGGGACGCAGACCATACCGCAGATGCTGGAGGTCGATGACTTTCAGGATGGGGGCGTATTACGGTCGCCCATGATGGCGGGCGTAGCGGCACTTACGCTCGACCCAAGGAAAACGCGTCCACATGCCCGAAGTCAGTACCAGCAAGCCTGGGCACAACGGACCCCAACATCTCCACCACACCCATTTCCCGGTCTTCCAGCACATCTAAGCCGTCCGGGGCGAGTACCACCGTGGCCACCGCATATGTATGTTCCTAACCAGGCCGATTCCGATTTCGGACACGGCGGCGCCTCCTACTTTCTAAGGGTTCCTCCCCTGGCGCGAACCCGGCGCGACGTTACCGACGCGGAGCTCGATGAGATCCTTGAATCTACCGCCCAACGCCTGGCGACGGGGACTTGTAGTGACAAGCCCCTAGATATCGTACGTCGGCAGAACACCCCGACCAAGTCCAGTGCGCGTCATGCCCTTCGGGCCAAGGATGCTACAACAGGTGTCTCCGGACTCACCACCAGCAACCCCCAGCTACGCTCCTCTTCTCCTCTCCCAACGATATCGACATCTGTATCGCCTCCTGGGATCCAACTATTACTGGAAAATAAACCTAGAGCAAGCACATCAACAGAAAGCGTGGTTTCTTCCCCGCTCACGCCCTGTAGCGAGGAAGGAGAGGAGTATAGCACTTGAACAAGCGCTCAAACTACTCCCGCGAGATCGAACCTAGAAAAGGGGTTTTCTTTCGCAAAAGCAATCCCTCCCTTATTACCACCAAGAATTATATCTCAGGTGTTGAGGCCGGTGGCCTTGGGTCAACTCCACAGTCGAAGAATATCGTGGCCACCAGGGTCAAGCTCAACGGACCAGAATGAGTCTCTTCAGTATTCGGCCGGCTCGCCGAAGCCTCTTTGGTCGGACCCGGTCGACTCTGCGCTGAGACAGAGTTTGAGGGAGAGATCGCTTTCAGCACCCACGACTTATACACCCTATGGGGAGGATCCAGAATCCCGGCATGTTGACAGAGTCCAGGGGGGTCAATCCGCTCCAAGACCATGAATTTCGCTCCGGGTAACAAGGCCTACTACGGCATGATAAAGCATTAAGAGAAAGTATTTACGGGCCGATGGGAGGCATGCCCTATCCTGCTTGTACACATAATGAGTAAAATAGACCACGGAGTTAGTCAGTTGCCTTACATTTAGTTCGAATTATCTGTGTATTGTACTTCGTAATCGTCTCAGCATTACCACGTGGGCAACTGCATTTTGTTAGTCGCTGTTTCTGTGTACCCAGCCTTATTAAGTCAAGATAGTTGCGACTTACTTATTGTGACGGTTATGGCCCTCCTAGCCGAGGGGCGCACATTCGCCAATTGCCAATTGTATTAGGTACTGTCGCGTAGGTTTTACACGACCCGTGGCCGTTTATTTTCCGAGTCTTCCTCAGTGCCCTGCCCATTGATATTATCGACATCCGCCTCCTCCCGATTCCGAACTCTTCCAGCGCCGTCTCCTAATTCGCCACTAACCCCTTCCTCTCCAATCCAGTTTCCCTCCTCGTCAAAGTACTCGTGGACATTCTCCGCCGTGATCCAGCCCGAACTGCCAGGCATTGGAGGCGGAAGGCCGCCGTTGCTCGTGCCCCTCATAACACCAGTGAAGCCGGCAAGCGCCTCGAACTCGTGGCTGCTCTCAAATACTATACGGTCGTCCTCATCCTCGTCTTCATCGCCTTCTTCGACTGCGTCGGGATGGAGGTTGGAGCAGGCGGAGATGGCCTCGAATAACCTTTTAGCTTCTCCCTGTGACGTCTGCTCGCCCGTGACTGGAGGGATGATGGTGAGCTCAAAGGTGTTGAAGTCGTCGTCACCCGTGCCTCCATCGCCAAGCTCCATCTGCAGCCAGACGGCGTGAACTTGGTCTGAGCCGCTTCCGATGGCTTTGAGCGCGTGGATCGAAATGATTGGGTAGGGAATGGTCACTCCTACTTGCGCCTCCTGGTGGAAAAGCGTAAAGTTCCTATCTTAAAGTTAGGGACATGTACCTATGGTTTCTAGAGGTTTGCCTGGTATCCGTGAGAGGTACTTACTCAGTGTTTACCCAAATGTCGAGCTTCTGCTCTGTCAATTCCTCGCCGCCTGCTCCCAAGGCAGCCGCCTCTGGGCCAGAAGGTGAGGTTGAGGATGAATCGGTAGGGAAAACGGGCAGAATGCCACACTGATCCTTGGAGATCCAGGACTTTGCGCCCTTCGCATGGTAGTGTAGCACGGGCTTCCCACCGAAAAAAGTCTCTGGAGTTTGAGCCTGGTATTCGGCGAGGGGAGTGAAGTCTTCCGCCAATGGCGGGGTTCGAATTGTTGTTGTGGGCATGCCTTTTTTTTTTTATTCTTGGGACTGTAGATGTAAAATGGAGAGGAATTATCGAGGGAATAGCTGGGGATATGTAATAGTGGGGATTAGCAATAGACCTTAGCGAGCTAGTTTGAAAGATCAGGATCGACGGGACAACTGCTGTGTTGAAGCTTCATTGTTGCCCCTCCACCTTGGTGCAGCTTGCTATGAGCTCTGATCGCTGCTGTTCCAGGCAATGCTTATCGCTATCTTCACGTGCCTCATGCAGAGAACCCCGCCGCCACCTCGAAATAGCCTGAGAACCTTAAAACAATGGATTGATGCATTGAGAGTCGACGGGGACGTCATTCGGTTCCTGAGCCACTTATTTACACTACTTCGTACTGTTTCCGCCGTTTCTAACCACCGACCGTTTCAACCATCAACACTTAACATTGATGGCAAAGGAACTTATTTCCCAGTTACCGACGGCATTAACACCATCTTTCTCCTCCACATTCTAATCATCGAGTTCATTGCGTGCAATACCACCATGTACAACAGTCGTACGCCCACCTTTCCTCCAACAATATCCTTTCTTTACCAAACCAAGAGAATACTAATCTTCTTGCCTCCTAGGCCCCCATCCTCTCCTCCAACAAGTCCCTCTAACAGTCTCCCCCTTCGTCGCCCTTCCAACAGCCCCAACCCTCCCATACAACTACCAACCAATGCCCTCGACCCTGCCCCACTCGATCCTCACCCCCCCGCCGTCCTCCACCGGCGCCACCGCCGACGCCAACTCCTCCACCGCGGCATCCCCCAGTCCATCCACCCCCAAACCGCGCTACGTCGTCTCCAACTCTGGCCACGCCGCCCACCCCCAGGACATCATCGCCTCATGCCGCGAGATGCAGTCCCATCTCGACAAGATGCGCAGCGACGCTGAGCGCGAGCTCGCGGAGCTGAAGGAGAAGATTCGCCAGATCGAACTCGCTGAGAAACGGAGGATTGCTCCTGGTTGGCTTGATAGCGATGTTAGGGTGTTGGAGCCTGAGAGGAAACATGTCGGTGAGGAGGGTAAGGCATCGGGAGAGGGCGCTGCGGAACCGCCGGCGGGTGTGAGCGAGATGGCGACGGATGAGGGGGCTGAGTTGGATAGGGTGTTTGGGACGTTAAAGATGTGATGGAGAGTGGCAATGTGCGTTATTTTCTTTCTCTATTTTCCGGTTTAGACTCACTCCTCGGAGTTTGGTGGCTGCTTCTTGCGTGTTTAAGGCACATGGTGCCATGGAAGTCGGGCGTTCTAGGGTCTAGGGTTCGGCGTTCTAGTCAAGGGATAACGTATCCCTTGAGTGCATGTTATATATATACGTTCTTAGTGACCTCGTACACGCATCTTCATGGTTGACGTCGAAATATCTCCCGATCGACTACTTAGATGAAGTTTACGTTTGAAAGACAAAAGTAGGAACCTGACAAAACGGACGCGCAGACGCGAGAAAACAGTATCGGCGGTATGATATTTTACTCCTTCAGCCCAACCGTCGCCCGGAACTAAACACCGTCCAGATTCAAATAATAAACACAATCCCGCTAATATCGCTTGTTTGTGCTAAGGTATATCCTCCTGGAAACATGGCTTCCTTTCCTTCCCACCCGTCCCAAATTTTTTTTCTTTTTCAGACTTTCTTTTTCATATTTTGATTCGATCCGTTCATGGCAGTGCCAAGTGTTCGGATTCTCGAGAAGTTGTAAAGATATGCCGTCTTTTCTCTTTCAAAACGCCCCCCAAAAATAGACCGTATACAACCAAGTAAAAGTTCCTTGCCATCGAACAAAGCGAGGCCGGGTTAAGGGAAAAATAAAAAAAGAAAAAGGAAAGACAACATTAAAGACAAAAACAAGGAAATGTAAGAGAGTGACAAAATCGGTCGAAAGTGAGGCATGTGTTGATATTCCGTTCGAGGTACAAAAGGGAAAACTGATCAGTTCAAGGTGAGTTGAGTTGGGGCCGCCAGGGGGATCCTGGAACGGCTCACGGAACTTGGATGGTAGTAATAGAGTGAGCAAATTGTGAGTAATGTAATGTTATGGGGTCATCGGTCAAAATTCGTCAAATTGCGGTGAAGGGAAGGGAAAAATGTCAAGACATGTTGACATCGCCGTCGGGGCCCGGGGGAGGACCTCGTGGTGGGGCCTCGGTCTTCATCTGGATTTGGGGATCAGAGCCATCCCTACCCTCTCTTCTTCTCTTCTTCCCTAATCGTTCGCACCATTCCTCAGCGCTGACGATGGTACCATCCAGCACATCACTAATCTGGGCCATCATGTCGAGACCCTCCTTGGCCAGGACGAGGACCCGCTGTGCACCTTCCTTGACATTCTTCTCGCGAGGCCTGCCGCCGTCTTCGCCATCTGCTGATTGCTGCCCCTGCTCCTGTCGTTGCTGCTGCTGTTGTTGGTGCTGCTGAGAGTCCATAGCCATGGCCAGCTGCCACTTCCGGGGCAAGCTAGTCAGATGACGTCGGACAAGAACCCTGGCATTCTCCGGCAGCGCTCCTCCTGTATATTTGGAAATGGTCTCAACAACGTCTCGAAGCGTCTTCAGGACATCGTCCCGAAGCGAGGCTATTCGGGCGGCTAGCTGTCTACGGTTGGCCTGGGCATCCGTCGCAGCCGTCTTCTCCGAGCCATTTCTAGATGCAGAGTCACTCTCGGTTTGCTCCACCTGTTCATACTGCTCCAAGGCAGCTTTCAACGAGCTGATAACCTTGGCAATATGATCATTGGCCCATCTCAGCCAGGTCAGGCAATATTTCAAGCTGCGCAAGCTTTCCTCCCTCATTGCTATACTTAGTCCGGATGTAGACATAATCAACCGCGATTGCCATGGCGCATTTGCCGAATCGCGCTTGGTCCCGGCGTCTTCAGCGGTCTCGGTGTACGCGGGTGACTTCTCGTAGCTCTCGTAGGCCGGGAGAGTGTCGATCGTGCTCGCTTGCGATAATCGACGATCAGCTTTGAAGCCGTAGGCTTCCAATGCTTTCTCATTCTTTTCATCAGAGTCTATGGGTAGATTCCTGCTCGTGTGTTCTGCTACTTTCCGTCGCTTGTGGGAGATAGTAGCTCCCGACTCGACGTCAGGTCTTTGCGACTTCTTGCGGCCAAGAAACCATCGCACGGAACCCTCCACGCCCGTAACGCGGCCGACCGAACCCACGGTATTTGCGATCGGGGTCAGGTAGCCCTCGACGTACTCCGCGCCAGATTTGAAACGCGGTGAGTAGTTCTTCGAGCTATTATAAGCCGATGCAGCACCGCCGATGGTTGTCGCAAGCAAAGGGTGGGATGTAGTAAGAAGTGATAACAAGGGCTCCGGTTGGGCGTTGTGTTGCTGCGCACGAGCCTGCGAGGATGTCGAGCTGTGGGATGGAGACTGCATAGGGAGAGACGCGTGCGAGTTCGGAGGAGAAGATAAGAAATCTAAACGGTCACGGTCAGCATCCACGTTCACGTTCGCGTAGACAAGGGGCTACTACTAGTGGCTAGAGGGCCCCCCAACTAGTCGTCGCTAAAATCCATCTTCACGTACCTGCGCGCAAATCGCCCAGAGCCTCTGCGGCTAGACGGACGTCGGGGTCATCTAGGCTCACACTACTCGCCCTGCCATCACGGAAATAGTCTGGGGAAGCTGCGCTAACTACACTGTTGCTGCTTCCGTCGATATCCATCCGGGCAGGGGAGTCGGCGAGCCGTGAATAATGGTTGGAGAGGGGGCTTAACGCCGACCATGGCTGAGGGCCCACAGAGGTTTGACGGTTAGTCGAGCAGTCTGTTACCTGCGACGAGGCGCGGCGGTATTCTCCGGTTACGCTCGACAGAGAGGGCAGGGTGTTGCCGCCTTCCTGCCGGTTCGCGGGGGAGGGCGACTGGATCGGCGGGAGCTCGGTGGTAGGGACATCCGGAAACTTGAGCAACGCAGGATCGTGGGATTGGAGGGGTCCCTGCTGGGAAATGTGATAACCAGTATTATGGGTGTGGGTGTGGGAGTTGATGGGATTTGTCCATGGCTCTGGTGAGTCGGCGGAGTGGCTCCGGGGCTCGAGGGTTCGAGGGAGCATGTGATTCTGCTCCATTCGCAACGATTGAGAGAGCCGAAGACTTGGTGAAAGTCTCAGGGTTGGATTACGGTGGTGTTAATCTGAAATTCAAGATCGGACCGCCCGCCAAGGGCTCAAGTGGTGATAACTTCGAAATTTCCGGCGACAACAGGAAAAGAAGGAACCGATGACTTTTTCGCAGGGGAGGAGTTGAAATCACGAAGCCGAAAATTGGGAGACGTCAAGGCTACAAGTAGAGGGGGGTTATGCTAGGTCTTTAGCAGACGCAGGGGCAGGCGGGCGGTCAAATGGTGTGATGACGGGGTGGAAGCGGCGACGGGCACATGGTAAAAATGGTAAACCTCAAAGCATGTGCATGGGGCGATGGGACATTGACATGGACAAGGACAAGGACATGGAGGGAGGGACAAGACTGGACTGGGAACGAGAATGGAGTTTTTAGGCGATGTGAGGGGTGTGTGGGGGACCAATTTTGCTTCTTTCTCGTTGAGTAGTGTACATCGCAGTGTATTGATCAATGCGACTTTGAAGTGTACTTCGCACTTCCGACGAGTCTTGGTACTTGCATCAATTGGTACTTCGTATCCACTCCTTCACCATCAAAATCAATCCACTGCCCCGAGCATCAATTATCAAACGTCAATCTTGATGGATCGATTGGATCCTTCATCCTTGGACCAACTAATATCTTAGTCCCGTCCACATGCACTATTCGACACGCTACATCTTGTAATTGTGCTACGCCAGAGCCCGACTTTTCTTACGGTTTTTAGCGGGCAGAGCCGGCGTATTGCGGGGTTTAGGTAGCCGAAATCACAGCAGAACACAACAGAAGCTGATCCTGTCAGGTTCCCCCATGAGTCTCGCAGGTAAACAGGTACACTTCTCAGCCTCGAGAGACCGAGTTTGCTCGGAAGTCGGATGAGTTCTGTTTTCCTTCGTCAGTGGGCACTTGCCACACGATGTTCGGGCCTGGTTTCTTCTCTCGTGTTTGTCGCTTCGCCTTATCTTCTCCATCGCTAGAACTGAGACCTTCGATTGCTGTCCGGGAATTGGCATATGCAACAGGATAGTGCAAAAGTCGTCTCTTTCTCCTGACTAATAGCCGCTCTAGTTTTCTTCTGGTCCGAGGCATCCAAACAAACTCGACTCATGAGAAGTTCTCGAAAGGAGCAGGAGAACAACATCCTGTGGTGAGGTGGGTAGTAGGTGGCCAATTGCTAGATCCGATCCCTTGAGTTGTCGTTGAAAGCATGTTACCGTCTTCGGTCCCCGAAGTACACTACTTTCATGAACTGGATCGAGGTCACCGACGCCGGACGGCAAATGACCAGTCAGCCATAATATGGAGAGCCTAGTCACTCTTGCAACCCATCACAGGCCGTCACATTGGGGACAGTGCCACTTCTTGAAGTAATAATACGAAGAGGCTGCACCAAGTACGAAGTAGGAAAGTCGGGACGAGACGAGGAAAGGGTTTCCACCTCGGTCACTTTACTGTTTTCCTGATGTACGCGAAAAGTAGCTGGAAATGGAATTCAGATGGAAGCCGACTTCGAACCTCTTATTGTTGTTGGACCCGGTCATGCGTCATGATAGATCCAAGTCTAATGCCGCTTGCGTCATGTTTTGAGCAACATCCTAGTATGAGAGGCTACGTTACCCATATCCAAATATTGTTGAAAAGCTTAGCTTACCTCCAACACCCCTTTACGAGGTCTTATGGCAGCAAAAAACTTTAGAGCAAAAGCGTAGCGTCAATAAGACTAGTGCGTCGTTGAGCGTGGCATGGCAAGTACTCCGTAGAGCGTGGGCAGCGTGGCACGGATGCTTGTGCACTTTCATACCCGACCTGACCAGCGTACGTACGGAGACCGAACAAACAGAGTCTGTTCACGTGTCAGAGCCGGGGTTTAGATCCGTTGCCCCATGTTTGCTTTCCTCCAGACAGGGTTATCAGGGTCCCGTCTTGCATGTGATGAAGCGAGCTTAAGTTGCCCCAGACTTCCTGTTAGTAGTTTTGCGGAGTATTGGCTTTTGGTCTTAACAGCAGAGACAAGGACCTTTGACACATGCCAACTTTGCTGGGCTGCCAAGCCGCCTAGTCGGCATTCGGCTCTTCTCTGCCGTCCGAGCATCAGCTCCTGAGCAATTTGAAGGATTTTTCTTGCTATCAGCCTGTTGCGCCTTCCCCAGGTTCCAGCACAGGGGAAATCCTTCGTAATATACCTCGTAGTGGAAAACGATGCGTGGGCAGTAGCCAGCTTGACAGGCATGGTACCTCTGTACTGAGTACTCCTGTTCCAGATAATAGGGCTAAGAACCTGAAGAAGCCCCTGGAGCTTGGGAACAACTATTACCGGACGTACCTTTGTGTTGCTTGAATTTATCCATTTGCTGGGTGCCTTGACACAGTTGTCGGCATCGATTACTTTCGAAGGCGGGAGGCGCAAAAGCGATCCTGACAATGAAAAACTCGACGTTCCCTTTCACTTAGGCACACCGAGATAGTACGATACTGACACTTCATTGTCTAATCGATAGACGCAATGTGTTTTACTCACACAGAACGTTCCGAGCGAATACATGTGTGGCTCCTCTGACGCCGTCCAAGCAATAAGAAATGCCCGACCGGCTCTTAAATGAACCATAACTCCTTCTTCGCGTCACGAAATCGCAGTTTACATCGATGGCACACGGTCAGAACTTTCAGCAGAATGCTGTGCCTTGTTGTGTGGTACGCAATGCGCTGCACTGTCTAATGGACGCGTTGGTTGAGAAGTTTCAAAAGAATTTTTTTTTCTGCTGCGAATTTTCGAATTTCAATGCCTCTGCTGGGCAATGTTTGGTCACGTGATATTACCTGATTAGGTAATTTTGCGATTTGGTTTGCACGATGTCGCACTTCTCGTTCCTCCACTAGACCTGATGAACGGGTTTCAAAAGATCCAAGAGGTCGAATATTATTGTGCTTCGAAATACGACGAGGGTCTCGTGTCATTAAGGTCCCTCAAGGGAACGATTTCGTCCGGTATTTTTTGAGGGCAGATCTCATTTTCATAACAGGCGTTGTGACGGAGTGACCACAAGCAGAATTTGACACTCTCAGTTGTATAAGTCACGAAAGACCCGAATACTCGTCCTTCACGACCTCGAGTTTTCAATATCAGCACCATTATTATTATTATTATTTTTTTTTTTCAGTGAAGCCGATTACTCGGAGAAGATATTGGTCAATATGGATCGCCAGGACTTCGTGTCAGCGAGCGAGCATTTTCTCTCTTGGTTCAAGGCCATCCCGGGGTCGACTTTTCACAATGATCTCAGCATGGCTGATCTCAGGAGTCGTAATGCAGGTCGAGGATTGGGTGAGTTTGGCAACTACTTGTGCTCACCACTTTACATATGTAGTAGATGGGCTCGGTGATTTACTATTCCGTTACTCATAATTTCCATAGTTGCAAAGGTAGACATTCCAGCAAACACCATTCTCTTTACAATACCACGATCAGCTGTCATTACGGCTTCAACATCTTCTCTGGCGGAGAAACTACCACATATTCTGACCAAGGATGGTGCCGTTTTACCTGATGGCTCCAGCGACGGACCTAACTCCTCAGATCCGGATCCATGGATCGGCTTAATCTTGGTTCTCATCTACGAATACCTACAGGGAGAGCACTCACCCTGGAAGCCCTACTTTGATGTCTTTCCGGAGGAGTTTGATACTCCCATGTTTTGGACAGAAGAGGAACTAGATCAGTTACAGTCCAGCTCATTACGATCTAAGATCGGCAAAGAGAAGGCCGACTCTATGTTTATCACGAAAGTCATCCCGTGCGTCAACACCCACACTAGTGTCTTTTATCCCGAGGGTCGTACCACGTTAAATGAAGCGGAGCTACTGGCTCTCTCGCATCGGATGGCCAGTATCATCATGGCTTATGCCTTCGACCTTGACAAAGATGATGATGAGGGACTGCCAGAGGGAGACTCCGACGATGAATGGGTCGAGGATAAGGAGACGTCTATGCTCGGAATGGTCCCCATGGCAGATATTCTCAACTCTGACGCTGAATTCAACGTCTGTTCTTCTCCTTCAATTTCCCCAATTTGAGCCCTCATCAAATGCATCGATAACTAACTCTCGCGGTAGGCACATGTTGACCACGACGATAACGTTGTGACGGTAACTTCGTTACGGACCATCAGAGAAGGAGAAGAGATCCTCAACTACTATGGACCTCTGGCGAACTCAGATCTTCTCCGGCGTTATGGCTATGTCAGCAATCTCCATCGCCGATATGATGTTGTGGAGATCCCCCGCTCCATGGTTGCTGCTCATGTCCAGATGGCGCTTGGGGTATCTGAGGCCTTCAAGGAGAAAGCGGTAAGCCTTCCGATGCTATGGCGCAATCCTCCTAAATACTGACGTGGAGTGACATCTCTTTGCAGATGTCCTTCCTTGGCGATGACGTAGAAGAGTCCATTGTCCTGGAGCGGGATTCTGGTGAACCAAACTCAGATGGGACTCTAATAGCCCCAATTCGGACAGATAGGTTACTCTCGGAACTAGAAGAAGCAACGACGACTATCCTCAAATCTTTCCGGAAAGTATCGGCCTCTGTTGTTCCCGATAAGCGCAAGAGGGAAGAAACCTGCAGAGGAGTCCTACCCTTGATTCTCTCAACGAGGCTAGCAGAGTACCAAACCTCAGTTGCCGATGACGAGCTAGTACTCGCCGATCCTCAGACCGCCGGACGATTACGCATGGCGGTCGAGGTGCGGGCTGGAGAAAAGAGACTTCTGCATGAGGCTCTCGCCTTGGCGGCGGCTTCTGCGTCGTCAGATGCTGACGCGAATCAAAACGGGAGCGACAGGCCAAATAAGAAGACAAAGGTTCTTTAACTTTTTTTGTTTTCCTCTCTCTACGGGCCTCGGTGTTTGTTTGTTTCAGCAGTCTATTCTAAATTCTGAATATAGTGGTAAACTCTATATTGTTCCACCGACTTTGTCGACGCAAGCTCCGGGGACGTGGTCGTCGTCACTTGTGGTTGATTCGGAGGAGAGTTTCCCATGTGAGCCTGCCTTCGGGAGGCCAGGTTTTGCTTACCGAAGTCCTCGGCCTTCCAATCAACGAAGTCCTTCGTTTTCATCTCTACGCACCCCGGCGCCAGATCGTCCTCTCTCCACAACCCAAGATTCAGGTTGGGCTCCCTCGGAAGCGGGTTGGGTTCGCATGCGGCACTCGAGCTAAAGCCAGAACATTATTCGCAAGGCTGCCTGTCACACCCGCATTTGAACGCACGCAGTGAAGCCATGGAACAAACGGCCGCAATTTCCATCCTCGGAATGAATGTAGAAACATACGGACTCGCCGACGTACGGAGTTGGCCGATAGTAACACAATTCTGTGGAAACAACCCAAACGATGATATCCTTCATTGGTCTCTGCGATTCAATTTGCGAGAGGATATATTGCTTGATTTCGATCTCAATGGCCTATTGCGGCTGCTCCCGAGAGCCTGACCACCCTCCCTCCTCTCCCGTCCCCCCTCCCTCTCTTTGATCAATAGAAAGTAAAACGGGCTTTGGGATCGAGATAAGAAGTAAGATGTCATTTATCTCTTCTCTTTCACTTGACCTACCGAGCCGGCCTTACTGTAACCACGTTGTGTGAAACTGGCTTCAACCTGTCGCGACTTGCATCAATGCCCACCACATTCGTCATGATGGCTGCCCAATGTCCCGGATTTCCAATCCACCGCCCCTGCTACGATTGAGGGGGATGGTTGGCTATATTTGTTGGAGGAAGACCCCGTGCATTTCCCTTCGCTTGCGGCACCTCCAACTCCACAGCCTGGTCCCAGACCCGAGTCTTGGCCTTTCTACTGCTGTGAGGGTATTCATGACTCTGGCGGCGAGAATAGGTGTCACTCCCGGTCCAATTAAGTCGAAATCTTATATATTCTTCCTAACCTTTGCCTGTTAAAGATACCGAGGCGATTGGGCTACTCCGGTGAGAAGGTCTCCAAAACCAATAGCCTTGCGAGATGAAAGTAGCGATGGCTTAACCGTGCTAATGGGTAACGAGATGGCATTGAACATATCCCGTACATATCCTCCCATCCAAAGCGAGCCAACAATGAATCAGAATCCGGGCTTCGAGCGAGTGATGCGTTGCGGCATCTAGCCCACAGCTCCCTCATCCAGACAGTTTGACGTCAGAGACAACACTCCCTTATGCGCATTTCGTCTTGCATTAGGGCGAATAGAAAATGTCCTTGATATAAATGCGGACCACGATGGCTGCCAGGAAGTAAGTCCCCAAGAGGGTTCACCCGCCCCCCCTTCCCCGCCTTTCCCACTCCAACACCACCACGCAACAGAGCCTGATATGGTCCTTCCTCCTAAGTCATGACCTCCCAAAATGATGTTGGAAAAGGAATGTGATCTGCCAATTGCGGCCGGGTTTTCGATTGATCCGGTCTCTCGGACCTGTTCGGCGCTGGTACTCTCCCCTGGGTGATATGACAGACAGACACCCTGCCGAATCGCTTTCATTGCAAGGCTCTGCTCATCACGTCAGATGGTGTGTAGCCCCTCCCTTCCGGCGGTGAAGGAACGCGGCTCCCACGGTGTTTGTGTATTGGCCGGGTTGGAAGAGTTGGTGTGCTGTGCGCTCCGCAAGCCCTTTCCGACTGCGGAACCCGGGGGGAAATGAGGCTCTGCGCCGCCTGGTACGAACCATGGAGTATGGGCCTCATTCTAGTCCCCGGAGACGAGACCTTGGGAACCAGCAGTCGTGGTGCCGTCCCATCTCGCCCACCGTCTCACTCTTTGTGTCGTCTTCCTTGCCTGCTCCGCTCAAGCTATATCTTGCCTATCTCCCAGCCTGAGCCTTTCCCATGCTCAAGGGCATGTTACCTCTAGCACTAATATGCAAACTGCCTATGATACCCATCTTACAATCCCACATTCGTCCAATACGTCCTATTATTTCCCAAAACGCTCCATTGATATCAATATGGTACGAGTCCTAAGTCTCTACCTGACAGCTGCTGCCATGAAACTAATTGACATTCCTTTCACAAGTACTCACAGCGAGGATATTTTGCTAGCAGCGACTATAATGCTGGCAGTACGAGCACCGTTGGCACCGGGATTAGCTTCCTCTTCGTCGTCAACCGACTAGACATAACGTCGACGCAGCCACACCCTGATGCGTGGGGAAATGTTATTCCCCCCAAAGACAGCAATGGCTTCGCTGATGAGAAAGAAAGCGTCGTGATGCGTTATATGGACGGTCGCGTAACCCCAGCTTCGGGTTATCGCTGGGACCGGGAAGGTGGATGGGGGACCGCGGGCAGCATTGTTGGGACACGCCGTACTACGAAGTACAAGGAACAGACGGTATTCTCCTGCAATCCGCACCTCCCTATTGTCGTTGGCAATTTTGACCCGACGGTTGAAGTCAGCGATCGCGACATCGATGCCAGGAAGTGGCATCTCCTCCATTTTAAGTGCAGGCCAGAGTTTCCGGCCACCTCCTTCGCCAATGGCAACGCGGAAGGCAGCACGTACGTAGTAGGCAGTAACCCAACTTGGATGCCGAGCCTCGTCCCACATACGTTCCGGAACCGATCGCAATACCGGCTGCAACAATCGAGGGGTCTCAGTGGTGATGTGCCTCTCGTGTTGGGACTCATGGCTTTCTGGGACGATTGGTGGGATAATCACCAAGTCCGGATGCAAAACACGTTCTACGGGCACGATTCGCACTGGCGTGATGGGGTATGGACACGCAGAGACGAACCAAGAGGATGTAAGGAAATCCTTCCCTATCACTTTCCCCGTTTCCCTAAGAAATGGCGTAGCCACCTCTCCCCTTTTCTTTTCCTTCTTATCAGATGTCAGGGTTCTGAGAGATACTTCTTGACCTAGATCCCACCATTGAAGAAACACCGCGAGGCTTTCTCGTCCATGTTAGCCTTGACGACTACGAGAATCCTTACTCGACAAAAGAAGCATTGCGTAGGCTTGAACGAGAGCACCCAATCGTCCCGGACATCTCGGGGGACGTCTCGGGACATTACCCTTACCACTAGTAGCGCCATTCGTCTCCTCGCTAAAGGTTCAAGGACCGGAGACATGCGCATTTCTTCAGGAGCGCCTAGCACTCAGCAGCCAGTCTTGTGTTATAGGGGATAGACAGGAGGTGCGGCCCGGGCCTGAGAAATTGCGGTGTCAAAGGCAGGATCAACCAATAGTTGATATTTCTCCTGCCATGTTTTGCCAAAACACCAATGTCCATATTCGAGTTTCCTTTTTCTTTTTCTCGCAAATCTCAAAATGCTTCACACACACACACACACAGAATGCTTAGCCGGTTCAAGAAATACACAAGAGACAACTTTTTTAAAGCCTCCCATTTTCATTAAACACGCTATAAAACCACCTCTTAAACTCGACTTTCATACAGCATCAGGGAGTCTGACGGCTATATCCCCAGACTGCGTAATGTACCTCACCCAGGGAAGAGACGGGTATTGTAACTAGATTACGCGGCGTTAGATATGGCTTGTATGAGAGGAAATTGGAGAAGGGCGAAAAAAGGACTTACCTTGGGTTCCGTAATCTTTAGATACCGCACTTGGATACCGCTCGTCGTGAAATATGGAATCTCGAACTTAACCTGAATCGGCCTCTTCGCGCCTTTACCGCCACCAACGCCACCCATACTACCTCCGAAACCACCGGTCATACCGCCGCCATGCTCATCATCTCCCCTCACAGAGGGTAGGCCTAGCTCCGCCCTCATGAGGAACTCCTTGGAACCACCAAATTGTTTAATCTTCCATACAATAGCGCTCTGCTCCGGTGCGTAGTGCACCGATCCGATGTTCGTTCTGAAGCGGGGTGAGTCGGCATCGTCTGGTACGGGAACTATGATCTCGACGTTGTTTGCGGTGCTGCGGCGCTTGAATTGCGCCCTGGCCTTGAGCATGTACTCGATGCGGGAACCGCTATGCGACTCGACTACACATTCAACCCAAATCAAGGGTTTGACCTGTGTGTTTAGACGATAACTCATGAGTTCGAACTCGCCGTCTGGAGGAATAAAGGAGATGGTGCGGTCGTTTTCGAAGCGTGAGAGTCGCACACACTGGTGGAACTTGACGTCTTCCATCTCGATGGCCTTCCCTCTGGTCGTTCGCCCCGTAGTCTCGAACATGACCTTGTCGTTAAGACCTAACCTTAGCTCGGGCATGCCGCTGAGGTAGCACTTCATCTTGATAGCGCCAAGAATCTCCGACCGCAAGACGCTGCCGTTGGAAGAGACCAAGAGGTTGAGACTCTCGATGACGTCGAGGAAGACCTCGTTCTTCCGGTATCGGATACCTTCGGAACGCCAGGATACTGCATTGGTAACGGCAATAGGAGGGCGGGCTTGGATCTCGAGCTTGTGCGACTCTTGCGTAATGTACTCTTGCAGGATCTTGGATTCGGTGGTCTGGGGGTAGCCAAAGTCCATCATCTCGTCGAGAAGTTCGTAGATGATGACAAAGTTGTCGCGGATGGATTCCTCCTCTAGAACTTTGAAGTATTCGGTAAAGACTTCGACAACCTTGTGTAGGAATAGCAGGATCTCGGCGGCGTTTGTGTTTCGTTTGGTAAGGGCGAGGAGATAAAGGTTATTATGTCGGATGTAAAGGTACTAAAAACAAGTGATATTAGATACTCCCAAGAGCTCCAACGACGGTAGTGCAATACGCCGGGCTACCACGTACGTTGATGCCTTCGTGGGAGAAGCAGGGAGGGACCGCTGACGATTCCTCTTCCGCTTCGCTTAACAGTATGGGGAACTTCTCGACGGCTGACATGGGGATATCGCCCCTATAATTCCGGGCAAGAAGGGTCTTCCAGGAGGGCTCAGTTAGCACAAGCAATACCCAGAGCGAAATCAATCCCATAAATAGCCTACCTTGCCCTTCAAGTCGAGGAAGAAGACGGCAGACGCCATCTTGAATGGGAGATAGGAGGTGGGAGGTGGGGGAGCTCTTAAGGGCGGTAATTCGTAGAGATCAGTGATGCTGAGGAATAAGATGATTTACTTGCGAGATCGAGACCGCAGGGGGCGTTGTGACCGGCCTCTACTGGGGAAAGGAGGATTGGCGATATATGAGGCGGCTCATCGAGAGACGGTGTCGTCAATGGGATAATGTGGCGGCCTTGACAGCGAAGGCAGGCCCCCCACTGAAGCTGTGCTCTCGACCCAAACCAGAACCCCTGGCGCAATTTCTCGCCACACAATGATGTGGCGCTGCATCCTTTAGAAAGTGGCGTTTTAGTCACGTGATAGATTGGGTCTTCTCTTTCAACTGGGTTGATGCATGTTGGAATCTAATACAACTTCTTCTCTAACGCAATATTCTCCCGGTATACACAGGTATTGTGGATGGTGATAGTAGTTCCATCTTCAGAACTTGGATATTCTCTTCACAGTGTGGCCGTAATAGTCCTATATAGTTTACGGCACGGTTGCTTCTCACAAGTCCGACCGACTCCCCCATTCCCGTAGGCAAAGAGCTGCAAGCTGGCGGGGCAAAACCCATCAGGTTAAAGGCCGGACGGGGAAAGGCCGCGGTAAGATTTATGGTTCACATCCCCGCGCCAGTTTCTCTTACAGAAGCAGTATCACTTACGGAAGCAGTTCTCACTTACACGAAATGATGAAGATTCAGTTCGGCTCATATTCGAATTACCATTGAAAGGGCGAGATGCTTAAGAACTATATACATGAAAAAATACTTTCCAGTAAGAGAAAATGTGCCATCGGGACATCGATATATGTACAATCACTGGCCTCATGTGCACATCTCAAAACAGCCACCTCCTCTCACCCAAACAAGAAACCTCACGTTGTTTTCATATTGTTAAAAACCATTTATGGCTGGCACTGGTGGTACCAGTCGTTGAGGACGACGCACTTGACGCCATTAGCACAAGTGGTAGGGCCAGTCCAGCCAATACCACCGCACTGGCCGTAAGGAGTCTGGGCGGCACCACTAGCGGAAGAGGTCCTCGTGACGAGAGTGGTGGAGCTGGAGGATGGGGCCGGAGCGCTAGTAGTCTGGGCCTTGGTGGTCGTGGTAGGAGAGGGGTTGCTACCGCCGCCAATGGTGGTGGGAGTGCCCGTAGCGGTGGCGGCCTGCGGGTTCTGAGGAGCGGAGGAGACACCTCCGGGGATGATATCACCGCCGGGAACGATATAGTTGAGCGTGGCATCGTAAGTGTTGACGAGGATACCAGGATCCCTGTCGCCGTAGAGCTGAGTGCCTGGGACACCAGGGAACTCGGCGGTACCAGAGCCGACGATCTCGAGGTTGAAGCACTGAGGGTAGCTCTGGGCACCATCATAGGCGGACGAGCCGTGCAGGGCAATGATCTCGTGGCGGAGAACGTAGTGACCAGGCTTGATGTTCTCAGGGATCTTCAGGACCCAGCGGTCGTTGTTGTCCATGAGCTTGTTGGCCGCGTAATATCCGGCGGCGCCCGGGGTGATGAGACCCAAGCCATCAATCTTGAAGAACCTAAGGTCTTCCTTCCTGACGTTCTGGCAGGGCCCGTTGCAGGGAGCGAGCCAGTCAATGACGGGACCGTGGTGGCTCTCGGGCCAGGTGGTCCACTGGAAGGTGATGGTGTCGCCGGCCCTGACCTGGGCGTGGCCCTTGGCGGGGGCACCCTTCTTGTGGCAGATGATATCGGAGGTTCCGTAGGCGCTGGGAGAGACGAAACCGAGATCAGGCTGGTCGGCAGACCAACCGACGACCGCCGGAGGGTTGCTCATGTAAGGGTGGGTGGTGGGGTTGAAGCCGGGGTATTTTACGCCGTTGACGATGATGTGGTCGACATATCCGTGTGCCGAGACAACGGCGGCAGACGCGAGGGCGCCAACGATAGAGGAAAACTTTGCGCTGACCATTTTCGACAAGTTTGTCGTGTCTTTTAACGGGGTTTTAAAGATGAACAAGGAAAGAAATGAGAATGGAAGTTATGAGCCTTGAGGAACCCTAGGGAGAGATCTGGATATCGAGGCAAAGGAGCTGGGAGCGACCGTGAGTTTATATATCCATGTCCATGGTATCTCACGAAGCAAGTTGACCCTTGTCTCAATCTTCATGCGAAAAGGGTTTGGCCACTATGCCGATTTAGTTAAGAGTATTTTGTGTATTCCGCGAATTCTGTTCCACCGTCACAATGACAACAGTACTTCCACGCACCATAAAATCCAAGGAGACGGTAGGGTAGCATCATGGAGTTGGGACCAATGCGCCCTCTCACGCTGTATCGGGTTGGACGAAATGAGTAGCCGGGAGAAGAGGTACGACGTTACCCAATGTTCTTCTCAAAAGAGGCTCTAGCGCCGGGTGCGTTGCAATATTTGGATATCGCTCTGGCGTATTCTTGGCGCCTGGTTGTCCTTTTTTGTACTTGCATATGTGGAAGAATGGGTGGGCGTTCTGTATTCGCGGCTTTCCTACTTCCCCACGGGGGAGCTCTCCATTTTCTTGCCGGCACGAATCTTCAAAACTCCGGTTCGCACGTGGAAACCATAGCACAGCTCCCACATTCGCTACCAGAGAGACACAGAGGCGCCTGGCAAGAAACTAAGGTAAATGCCGAGAGATTCGATTGTCAAGAACTTACGAAATACAGTCATAGGCTTCCTGCGGGTTTCCCAAACTATGAAGTATACTAAGGGTGCATGGGCTAGTGCCTGACTCCGATCTCGAAGGCCAGTGAGATGAACAGAATCTCGTCGCCCATCATATGCCCTCCATAACCCTATATCCCAAACCCAGGGCTTAGAAAGCACCCCATGGCGGAGTAGACGTGAAAAGAAAGATCAGGAAGATAGATGTACGCAGCAAGTCAACGTAAACAGAATTCGCCGGGGTCGGGAGAGGGAGGCGCAATAAAAATCACGAGACAACCTAGGACTGTGAGAATTGGCAGGTATCATGCCCTGACCATTTTTGAAAGGGGCGAATTTTTGACAGTCTGGGGATAGATCTAGACAGGTCGGAATCTGAAAATGTAACGGTGGGTTTCAGCGTGGTTCGCGGTCCTGGCCCCGGACCCGGCGATTGGCGGAGTTTCTCGGCCGCCTCCGAAAATCCCGGTTCACGCTTCCGATGTGGGGCGCATTAAGATTTGACGGCATCAACGGAGTCCCGCGAATCATCGTCAAACAACACCAGTAGAAAAAAAAAAAAAAAAAAAAAAAAAAAAAAAAAGAAGAAGAAGAAGAAGAAGAATATGATGAAAAAAAGACCAAATAAAAATAGGAACTGTCTTAATACGGGGGCTTGATTATCCTGCTCCGTTTTTTATCTGTTTTATATGTCTGAATTTAATTTTCTGCTAGTTTTAGGGAAACCACGCATCGTTGGTTGATGGAAGTATTGTGCTAATATCGGATATTTAGATCACCGTCGACATCCACCCCAGGACGACCGATCTTGCCCACGCCAATACCACCCCGCACTACCAGTGGGAAATCACCACCCGTCTCCACGTTACATACCATCTGTCCTGGCATTCGGAATACGGCCCTTGAAAGCGCCTGAGGATACTACATGGGCTAGTAGGCGGGGACTCTGCAAAGAAGAATCCAGCTGCAAGGTTACCATCCTGGGACCCGCATGATCCAAGAACGCCACCCCGCTGGGTGTGATCAGGATAAAAAGTCGTGGGAGGCGACCGGCTGTTGTCCGATGCCCCTCAGAACATCCGTCCGAGGTTGAGGGTGGGGGGCGAATAGATGCTATGCCTAATCAAGAACCCAGCTCAATCATCGTCGTCGTCGTAGTCGCATAGCTCAATACCACGGTGTCCGGCTGAGGTTCTTCATGTCAATATATCAATCTCCGCATGGCCTCTGGCGGCACGGTATTAAATCCCATAACCGGCATGCTTGACGTTTTGCAAGTGCCGCCTGGGAAATCCTTGTGGAGAATGGAGAATGGGGGTTAGATGGCGAGTGAGAGAGTGTGTGTGCTGGTAACCCCCTCTCTCCTCTTCCTCCTTCTTCTCAGCCCCAGACTCCTTGTTTCAGAGGGAGCGGAAGGGTGGAGCCTGCTGCCTCGGAGGTTCAAGAGACTTTACCAAGATCTCGCTGCGGGAGATCCGACTTGGTATATATTAGTGTATATATTATTGTATATATTAATGGAGACTTTATGTCCTGGTCCAAGTCGATCCTGGATTTCCCAGTCCCGAGGGAGAGGATATCAATGTGCGAGTCCCGAAATTTGAACTTCGAGAGTATATACTATATATTGGTTACTGGACAACGAGACAACCCAACAGCCTACATTATCCCTCCGGTGGAAAGAAAGGAGAAGAAAAAAAAATGGTATCGATTAAGAATATAGAGACGGAGATGCAATAGAACCCCGACGTATTCAACCGTGATTCACCACTCGATTGCAACCCAACACCTCCTAAGGCCAACGAATAAGTCACGTCAACGAGAACCGACCTCCCCTCCTCGCCAAGTTCGCTGCGCTCCACCGTTCTTTCAACTTGGCTGTGGGGGAGGCGACCACGTCTGCTGGTGCTGTTGTTGTAAGTGCGGCTGCTCAGCCAACCCATCCTGCCTAACGAACCCATCCCCCGGCATCTCATACGCAATAATCCCGGGCGCCTCGTGAACAGGCTGCCCATGTGCCTCAGGTACTTGCCCAATCGCCACGCCTCCAGCCGGCGACCCAGTCTGCGCCACAGGGCTCATAAACGCAGATGACGGATCGTACGCCGCGCTCCCTGCATACAAGCTACCCGGCTCTTGGGCAGCAGCTGGCGGTATGTAAGCTAAATGACCACCTTGCTGCTGTTGCTCAAACTCTGATTTCATAGCGGCGGCCTGTTCAGGGGCCTGTTCGGGGGTCTGTTCTTTGGTTCCAGCAAGTGCAGCTGCGCCGGTGGCTGGCGAGGGCGAGGAGGGGTCCGATGCTCCCAGTTGAGGTTCCGGCTTCAACCGGTTTATGAGGCGTCGGAAAAATAAATAGGCAACGAGGCCCGCGACGAGGGCGACGAAGGCGGCGGTGCCGATGACAATGCCTGCTATGGCTCCGCCAGAGAGGTTAACTCCTCCCCCTCCCCCTCCTCCTCCGTTGCTGTTGCTGTTACTGTTGTTGTCATTGTCTCCATCGTTTTGACCGTTAGAGTTGTCGCCAGACCCATCGCCGGCATCTCCTCCTGATGTTGGTACCGCGCCTCCTATCCTGTAGTTAGTTTTCATGCAAGATATGCAGCTTCGGGTGAAAAGGCAACGACCAAGGAGAATGAAGAGAAAGAAGAAAATAATCAGAGAACAAAAAGACAACACAAGAGACATACGGTCAACCTCCGCAAGCGCCACCGTCGCCGAATACACATTCATCCGCGCACTCGCCCCACAAAGCGCGCCCTTCGCGCCCCTACACCCCTCCGAACACTCCGCCTCTGGCGCGGTCGCGGCGAACGGCTCAACCTGCCGCCCGCATAAGCAGCTATACTGGTCCTTGAGCCCGAAGATGCCGCACTCTGCCACGAGGCAAAAGTTGCGACAGAGCTCGGGCGTCATGCCTGTGTCGAACTCCGACGTCACGGTGAGGATGTGGTTGCTGCCATCCTGGAAGCAGCCGAGGTAAGAGTAGTCGGCGACGGTGACGCGTTCGGGGACGAGGCTTGTGCTGGTCGAGCGCGTGGATGTCGTTCGTGTCGAGGAGGTGCTGGCTGCGTTTTGGCGGGGCAGGAGGGCGCGGGGGCTTGGGGCTATTTGGCGGATGTTGGGTCGCGATGGTGCTTGGTTGTCGCGGACGCGGGCGTCTTGGAGAGGATTCGCGGTTGTGAGGGGTGAGAGGAGGGTTAAGAGGAGGAAGGCCTGGTGTATTAGCGGTGGTGCCATCGTGGCTTCGGTTTGCTCGGTCGGTTGTTGGCTTGAAGATGCGCGATCTCGAGTGCCGGCGGACAATGTAATTGACGGATATGCACTGGATGAATCTTGGGAAATCGAACTTTAGGAAATCAGGTATTCGCGATACTCTCCTGAATATTCAATTGGAATATTGAAAAATTACGTCAAGGAGGATTCGCTCGCAAATGTGACCAAGATAGGGACGATCGTAATACGGCCAATCTCTACCCCGGTAAGAGGCTCCTTGCAATCTTAAAGTGCGGTACTGCCTCCAACCAACCTGAACGTCCCCAACCGTCATTGAGGCCGGGCTGTGACGTGCCAAGAAAACCAGCATTTATATACTGCGACCTCATCAGTGCCTCGGGGTTACTGGTTGATGCTTGGGCCAAGGACATCTCTTTCCAAAGCATTCAAATACGAGATGAGGATGACGCCAAGAAGAAATGCAACACATCGACTCTAGATTATATGGCGAGGATCGAAGCAGACGCAGGCGATGCCCAAAATAATTCCAAGAAGAGGGATATCATTGCGTTGCTAAGATGGAGAGAAAATAATCTCTGAGCAGAGATAAAACGAAAGAAAAGAGCAAAAAGAGGGAGAGAGAGAAAAAGAGAGGAGACTGCCATCAAAGCCCAGTTATTCCATAGACGCCGTCGAAAGAAACCAGCCGCTCAAAATCTTGGGACTCGAAAGACAGCAGCAGTATTCTGCTCGTATTATACAACACATAAGAGTCATGACCGTTCCTTTTTTGCCTCTCTATTCTATGCTCCCTCACACAAAATCAGTTACACATCACTCTCCATTCCCCTCCTGCGGTCTAAGATGGTTTAAGTTTCTTTTCTCCCTTCAAAAGAACTCGTCCTCACTATTACTGAGGACGCTGGCGCTCCAGAGACCGACAAGACCAACAAAGCTAATCTTCCATCCGCGCGTAAGACCCGCGAGGCCTTGTCCTTGCTTGTACACCGTCTCGGCTATTGGCCGGCGGCGCTTAGTCGCGGCAGCGGTCACGCGAGGAGGAAGTGCCCGCGATCCTTCCTCGACGGCGATATGGTAGATGGTGCCCAGGATTCCGTAGTACGGGCCTACAGGCACGACTGTTTGGAGCGACGTTTCCTTGGCATCAAATGGCGCAAGGTATGGTCTCGCGGATAGCACCGAAATCTGAGCCCGACGGAGGGCTGTCTCGAGGGGAAGGCGAACGAAGAGGGCGGCGGAGGCGGAGCAGAATTTGGAAATGGAAAATGCGACGGGAGTGAGCTTCAGGTCGAGCTTGAACTTGGATTGCACGACGACGGGGGCGAGGATGGTGAGGACTGGGTGGACGAGCGAATGCAGGACAGTCGGTAAAAATAGGGTTGAGGGGCACATGTAGGAGGGCAAAGATTTCAGGGTTGCCCATAAGCCGCGAGTTCGACGTGACGCGGGCGTCAGAATGTGCCTTCACAAACACAAATCATTAGTCCCCGCTGCAGCAGAATTTCAAGGCAGTACGTGACGTTTCAAGCCTTACCTTATGCGAACCAAATCCAGCGGCGCCAGGAGTAATCCCGTAATCACCGCCGCCGCCGCCGCAACACCGAGCGTCGTCCACGGATGTGGTGATCTCGTAAAGGCATCTAGCATGTCCTCCTCCACCCCAATATCGGGCACACTAAGCATCGCCGCCAGGGCGCTGCGCGACCAGTTCTCTATCCACGACTGAAGAACCGTGTAGAGGAAAGTGGCATTGGTGCCCTTCCACGTGCCCCAGACTCCCTCCTTGTTCCAATTCTTAGCTATAACATCGAGGACAGAGTCTGAGCTGGAAATTTGAAGTTGATGTTGCGGAGGTCGGGGTGGTGGTGATGGCGTGGTTGGAGTAGACGGGCGTCTCTTGGGGGAAGTGTTTCGACCCTTGGATGTGGACGGGGTAGATGGGAAGTTGGTGGTGAAGTATGCGGGCTCGCCATCGGAGTCGGAGCCTGGATCAGATTCGGGATACTAAAGAGAGAACCAATGAGTATACTCGATCTGAGGGTTAACGCGGTTCGACGGTTTCTACATTTACAATTTTGGCGGCGGGCTGCACCGGGGCCGGCTTGGGTACGGCCAGCGATCCCGGATCATCACCCAGCTTCGCTTGCAGCAGAACCTTGGCGACCTCGAAGGGCTGCGCCGTCAGGACAGAAAGGTACTTCCATAACAGCCGATCAATCAACTGCTGCACGTTTCCTAGTGTCGAGGATTCTTTGTCTAAGTAATCTTCGTACTTTTTCCATGGGGCCGAGAAATCATCGCGTATCGAGGAGGTGGAGGCGGTTTTTAAATCAGGTATCTGGAGAGAGCGTCGGGCGGCCTTGACGTAGGGCCTCGCGGAGTATTCCTCCTCGCCCAGGGACCATGAAGAAGACATTTTGGAGAATCGGCTAGTTTAACATGGCATGCTTGGATGGGTCATTCCCGTGTTTCCCGGTTGGGACGATTTTAGGATTGCAGATATCACGACATGGATAAGAGAGAGAATGGCTCTTTCCTCCCAAATTTCGAGGTACAATTATTGATCAAATCCACCTGGCAAGCACGCGTCATTGGCACACGCCACTTGGAGCCCGCTGAGAGTGACACAGTGCGTTGTGCTGATATTAATTCATGCGGTCGGTGATGAAAATGTTCCATTCCACAGAAGTTTGCCTTCCCAACTCCATTCCAGCCAATAAAACAGCAAGAATACTCCCCTGGTCGGGACTCGCCCTGCGGAGGGGACTACAGTGCGAGAAAACACTCGGTGATTACAGTGACTTTTCAGTCTTTCCAGCTCTCCAACGGGGACTCGCAGGCCAGTAGGATTCCTTGCGATTGGAATTGAACTTTTTTTTTTTTTTCTTTCCGCGGCGATCCAGTCTCGTCAAAATACTTTAATCCCCAAGCTGGCACCTTCCTCGAGCTCAAGGAAGAGCATCCCTTGCCTTCTCCTCAGCCTAGGCCAGTACTGAACTCGGCTCTTCTTTATACTTCTGTCGTCTTGTTTATATCTTTTTATCTTTTTCTTCTTCTTTTTAGGTTCGCATTTCTCCTCGCTTCTTTAACCCCCTTGAACCCGTACCCCAGATGACAGAGTTGGTTGTATTTTGTACCTTTCGCATCTCCTCCAACCCAATCTATTGATACCCCTCTACTTCCGACATCGCCATCTCCTTGACTCGATACCATACAGATGCCCTCCCTACGAACTCTCGCCCCCCGTCTCGGGGGGAAGCGACTCTTCACGTCCTCCTCGATTGCCCGCGCGAGGTCACCAATTTCCAAACAGCTCCAAGCTCAATCCGCGACGATGTGGAGCTCCCGGACGCCCCAACTTCCCCAGCACGCATTCCAGAGGCACACTCAGCGCTCAACATTCCGGAACACTAGAGGCTTCTCAACGTCTAGTTCCCTTTCGCATGGCCATATAACGCCCCCCAAGCCCGGCGAGGAGTACGTCCCGCGCCATCTCTTAAACCGGCGCTCTCGGCTGTATACCCTCTTGAGCGAATGTACTCACGATTTACTAGGCTCTATGTGACCTTTATCGACAAAGATGGAACGGAAGTCAAGCTTGCTGTTTGCGAAGGCGACAACCTCCTTGACATCGCCCAAGCGCACGATCTCGAAATGGAAGGTGAGTCAGCCCCGTTGAGCTATCTCCGTCCGCTCCTCCGATTCCCCGCCACGGCCTCGGCTTTTTCTCCGCTCCCGATGACTCGGACTTTTGGTTTGGAACTTCTCTGACTTCTGGGGTTTTGGTAAATAGGCGCCTGTGGAGGCTCTTGCGCATGCTCTACGTGCCATGTCATTGTTTTGGACGAAGAGTACTACGACCGCATGCCCGAACCCGACGATGACGAGAACGACATGCTGGACCTCGCCTTCGGCCTTACCGAGACAAGCAGGCTAGGGTGCCAGGTCAAGATGACCAAGGAGCTAGACGGTCTCAAAGTCAAGCTCCCGGCCATGACCCGTAACCTTCAGGCCAGTGACTTCAACTAAACTCCACCACGAACATGCTCATCCTTTAATGAATCTAAGGGAGCGCGCCATGAGAGCAAGCCAAGTGGAGTGGCCTTTATATCATATCCAGAAGATTGGAATGTATCATAAAAACTCTCATCATGGATGCCGTGACGGTTTCTTACGGCCTGGCATATACTTGTACACTACATTATGAAATCAAGGGGGAATCAAAATAGACGGCTCGCATACCGGAGTGCAAGGAGCGGATGAATATACCACGAATACTCCACTGTTCATAACTTTTCTCTCTCGCCATCTCCCCCAAAAACAAGATCCTTGAACGCCGTAGCATGCAAAAGTCTGTAACTCGCATCCAGAGAACGAAAACCCACATAAAAGAAGGAAAAATAAAAAATAAAAATAAAAAGCAGCTCCGCATTAGGCCTCCTGAAGCGGACCCTTCTTCAACTTCCCTCCTCCCGAAGCAATCAAGTCCAAAAATCCCTTTTTGCTCATCTCATTCACCTTCTCTTCCCGCCTATTCATTCCGATAACACCGTCATCCCTGCTCTTCTTCTCTGCCTCAGCGGCTTTGACCTGCGCAGCCCGCACAGCGTTAAACAGCTTAACAACGCCCCTCTGCGCTACCTTTCTCAACCTCCTCTCCTCATCCAACACATCGGCCACCGTGGCGCCACTGCCTTCATCGGGCGCCATGATGTCCCGTATGCGACCCTTCTCCAAGGCCTTTAACTTTTCCTCTTTGAGATGCTTCTTCGCCTTGATCTCGAGCGCCGAGTCCGCGGCGGCGCGAGATGCCGATTGAGCTTCCGCGCTGCGGGCGAGCACGGGGTCTTGACGCTTCGTCGTCGAGAGTTTCGTGGATAGAATTTTCGAGAGGGACGTGGCGAAGGCGGACGGATCATTTCGTTTCGAGGGCTTCTTCTCGCGAGCCATCGTCGGTATTTCATCGTCCGAGACGTCGGGCTCGTCGCCCCAATCGTCGATAGAATCGGAATCCGAGTCGTCCTTGTTTTGCCTAGACGCTACTTTCTTCGCGGGACGTTGCTTCTTCTTATTCTTCGGGGGTTCTCCGTCGGATGAAGCGTCCGAGTCCGTAGCGGCGCCGTCGTCGACTTTTGCATTCTCAATGTCATCTTCTGAGTCGAGGAGGTTGACGGCGTCGAAATCTTGGGGTTCGTCCGACGCTTCGGATTCGCTCTCTGGGGCGGGTTGCTTCTTTCGTTTTTTCATCGGCTGGGCTGCGGCGCCGTCGAGACCGCGCTTTTTTGTGGGTTTCGCCGCCATTTTGTGTTTTTTAACCCTTGGTTCTCGATTGGTGTCGAAGATGTGAAGGGAGGAGTATCAAAAGGTTGGTTCCGCTCCAAGTTGTCGAATCGCGGGCGGTGGACGGAAATTTTCTCTGGCAATTGGCAGAAAATTAATTGTTCCTAGCGGGGCACATGAAAACGGAAGGCGGTGAGTGTGTTTACACCGAGCTCACCGAACCTCAACCGCGAGACGGCGCAAGAGGCACAGGTGAAACATTCTGGCAACTACTGCATTTAGGAGGAAATTCAAATATTTCTCCGGAAGGTTTCTTTTTTTTTTTCCTTTTTTTTCCCCTGGATTATGCTGGAAAATTAAGTCTACATAACTCTACGAAGACCTCCCAACTAACCATACCCTCATGCAGTGAACAAGCCGGACTAGCACAGGCGTCCCCCACCTCTCAAGATTTGTGACAGCGAGCTCCCCTTACAGCGCAACAATGACGATACGATTCTCTGGAATAAAGAATAAACTCCTTGTTTTGACATAATTTCCAATGGTTTTGTTGTAACTAATACTCGCCTAAACTAAGCTCTCACGATGAAAATCAAAACTTAAGCCGAAGCCCACTTACACGCATCCAATTATCCCATCCAAATCTTCCACCCAGTATTACTTTTTATTGCAAATAAATGAGCAAAGGAAAAGGAACGAAAAAAACTAATAGCCATCTTCCGTGTAGATGTCCAAATGTTCAGGCACGGCAGCCAGAGATGCTAGTGAGAGCATCGGGACAGGAGATCTCATGATAGTCGATGCCCCAAGTGTTGACGTCGCCTCGAGCCCAGTTCCACCTCCAGTAGCAACCGGCTTGCATCCTCTCGGGGATAGATTCACAGTCCGAGGCTTGGCTGACGCCGCCCCATTGTCGGCCCCTGTTATTTTAGCGGTTCATGTTAGTCGCTTTATTGCCATATTGCCACATACACCCCAAAGAGAATAGTGACAAGAGCAAGACATACCAGTCCAAGCCGAATTGGGACTCGCATCCCTGGGCGTTAGGTCCAACACCACCACCGGGGGTTAGAATAATAAACTCCCTCCTGCCATCCGTAACGCTCCCGCCCTCATTAATAACCTGCACCTGCATCCGCTTGCCGGCAGCAGGGCCCTCGGTCCACTGAAGCTCATAGCACTTGCAGCAGTTCTCGATACCGTCCGTGATGGCGAAGCCATACGCCAGGTTTTCGGCCACAGGACGCGGCTGGTAGTCAGAGCAGAGATAGCCCTGGTTGGAGCCCGCAGTATCACCACAGGAGGAAGGGACCGAGTTGGAGAGGTCGTTGCTGAAGGGCTGGTCGTCCTTGTTGCAGACCATTACTTGGCCACTACGTTGTTTGTTTAGTGAGGTGACGAAGGTAGATTGCCGCAAACGGGTCTAGTCAATGGACTGGAAGAACCTACCTAACACCTCCCGTGAGAAGGCTCCTCCATGCACAGGCGGGTTTGCAGCTAGAATCCTGTCAGCTCTGACGGCCAAGGTTGTGGGAGGATTACCGGGTCTCCTCCTTACCAGTCCCAGTTTGTTAGTGTCCTTCCTGGCTCAGCAGATACTTGGGAAAATAAGGCTGCAGCGGCCGTGAGGATAAGGGTGTTGGTCTTCATGTTGTTGGGACTTAGTAGAAGAAATATGAAGTATTACTATTATGTTATGCGTTCTGGCTAAGACGGAAAGAAACTTTGAGGGAGAAGGGAACGAGTGAAGCAAGAGTTGGTCTCTTGTTAGGAAGGAAATTGTAATAATGGAAAATCCAAGAGGAAAGGGGTAGCTGCCCGCACCTTTCGGGATGTATTGTGAATCGAGACTTATATATACATCGGTAAAGTGCTCAAGTCTCTCATCGCCCCGACGTTCCCTTCCCTGGCCCGATTCCTGGTTGAGAGCACTTCCCTCGGCTAACCAGGTCGTTGCCTCTTTCGGGATCGGGCCCCAAAGGATGACCAGGCTTGACCGATGACGAAAATAGCACTCAGTCCACTTAGAGTCCCTCGTTTGCAAGGAGCGTATCTCTCGCCAAGACCGCGCGCCGTCTGAAATTCTGGATGTGTATATTGCCCCAATATCCTTTTTGCTATATTGTGCCGCGGCCAAGTCATCTGTAGGAGGCTTTTCTTAGACTGGATTTCCAAGACTAGAGCATGAAAAGTCATGGAGTGGGTGTGAGCCGGACTGGACTGGTTTACGGGAGGAAGAGTGGGATCACTCGCCGGATATTCCGTCCTAGTCGAGATGCTGATTCTTCCTGCTCTTCCCTGGTAGCAATACGCCTTATCGTTTCGTGATCATTCCCCGAAAGGGCATGACGCCGTCTTAGAGACCCAGTCAATCTTGCTCAAGGAGGGTCGGAGATCCATAGGGACATCGCAACACGCAGGAACACTAGTGCAGGTTGCCGGGACGTCGTCAGTAGCCACGTCTCAATATATAGCTATTTTACCACCCGCCGTCGCATGTGCGTGTGTGTATGCCCGAACTAAGTACATGCATCTGTCAGGAAGGAAATAGCCCGGACCCGGTGCATGGCCTCGATGGCAGGAGCTCAAATTATTTTCAGAGATTTTTGCGTCGAGAAGCAGACTAGACGACAGGGATCACATGAAGCAGCACAGGTCTTGTACTCCTCCACAGAAACCAATTGACGCCGTTAGAATCGGAGGGCTACGTGCCCCTGATATCATGTCCGTGAATTCCTCCCAAGAATCAGGATTTTTGGCTCTCTCAACTAATCAGACCATATACATAAATCAAGCACAGGCGTGTCGGATGTTTAGTAGTCCTTTGACCTGCTAGACTGGCCGCAAGACGCTCAGCTCTCACTTTTATATGTGGATAGCAGCCATCGCATCATCACTGACCTTCCAGTTACACTGAACACGGAGCTACATGCCGTTGCAATCATGCAAGGTACGCGGTATCGCCGGCCCCTCGGAGTGGCCAAGGAGGAACGAAGAAGCAGTGTTGTTCACATCAGCTCAAGCATGAGGCTGGATGTGGTCCGGATAAACCTGCCGATAGCTCCTGAGCCTCTTGAACCTCAAGGCAACCCTCCAAGTCGACCCGGCTTTTCATGCTGGTATATACCCACACGGGATGCTGCTTTCAGGGTAAATACGATTCCACCAGAGCCATGCGGCCAATCCCGGCTGTCGGTGTCGATGGCAGTTATCGTTTTTGTTGTTCCCTATTTATAGTCAATCCCGAGCCTAATATTGAATTCAACCACCCTTAGCACCATAATACCTTGATATACGTCTGTCGTACCAAGGTTCTGGGTGATGGAGAATGTTTGATTTGTCTGAGTAATTCGAGGTGTTACGCTTTTTTTCTCCATCGCTGCTCAGCCAACCTCGGAAAATGGCCCCATATTCATCTTTAAGTTTCCCAACTTCTTTTTGTTTGGACTCCGTCTCTTCAGTTCTGGTTAGTTCGTCTAGGTTTTCTGAACCCATAGGACGCGAGTCAAAGGAGTTCTAAGTCGGGACCGTTGTGTCAATCCTTCGAAGCGGCGCCTAGGCAAACATGCTCGTTATTCTCATCGCCTGAGCTCCGCCCGAACCTAAGCAGTCCCTTTTTCTTTGCGTCGGCTCGTCCCAATGGCTACATAGAATTCCCGCTATAAGCCTCCCGTGTTGAATCAGGAATTTACACCCGCTTTTAGCCATGTCGTGAGCCGGGACGGGACAGGAAGGATAGCCATGAGTGGGCTCGACAATACAGGTTTTGGCTCGTTCTCGAATTCCATATCTCTATTGCCTAATGAAGGATTGCAGGTGCTAGTTGCTGATACGAGCTGTAAGTAGATATTGCTTGATAGGGCACCTATTCCAGGAGCTTCCCGACGAGATAGGTTGCTCTCATACCCCGGGACTGGGCTTCATGTCATCCGAGTTGGGCTCAAAAAAGTTGGGTGATTTTGTAAGATACCAAGCCCAGGACTCGCCTCGAATGTTGAGTTAATTCAGAGTTGGCAAGAGCGGTTTCACTTCAATGACCACCCATATGGCATATATCTCAATGGTAAAGCTGAAAGGTATCGCTGGGGTTCACTAACATTAGAATCAGAATCGATAAAGCTGCCGCCCGGTTCGCTTGCCAATCCAGGAACCCGGAATGATATTGATATAAGACCGGATTAGCCTTCACCGATTCATTAGCCGAGTGCCTGCGTCAGGACTCTCCTCTCCCACCATGATCTTACAGCCGTCAACTGTTTACTCCTCCTGAGCGTTCTCTTAACCGAAGGTGACATGGCCCGGCAGGTCCGTCATGATCGAGCGTTCTGCTCGTTCGATTCTTTTCTTACTTTCCGCCCGCGGTGGCGACCTCTTTTCGTATCGGCGGACGAAATGGCCAAATAATATAAGCTATCGCACAAGCGACGGAGGTTCGTTTCTCCGTCCGATTTATCGACCCTTACGCCCATCGTCCTGCTGGGTCGTACCCGGGAACTAACTATAGCCGCTGAATCCTAAGAAGGGGGGAAAAAAAAAGAAAAAAAAAAGAAAAAAAAAAGAAAAAAAAAAAAATAGACGGGGGTTTCACCGATGGTCCTGGGGGACCAGAGACTTATGTCGAGGTTTAGTCTGTCCTAGCAGATAGGAGAGCTTCAAGTTCTCAGAAGCGCCATCAGGACCAGGATCATGGGACTATCAAACACTTTCGTAGTCTTGCCTAGATGTTGTACTCAGATTATTGAGCTTAAAAGGGATGGCTATTTTTTTTCTCTCTCTTCTATTTACATCTTTGTAAATAATTTCCGTCGCATGGAAGCCATGTGCCACGCAAAATTAGTCTGGCTGGACGTGATTTCGACGGTTCCGCATACTTCTTACTGGACTTCGGGTCCGGAGGTATCTCAAAGAGATGGCCGTTGCCACGAATCGGCTAAGCCTCATATTGCAAAGGAGTAGAGGTACCTTCGTATGCAGGGCCGGTCCTCTAATCTAGACCAAACTACTTCCAACAATCCCAGGACTATCCGTAGTACCAGACAGGGTACAGTAGTCGAACACGAGCGATAAGTTAAGCGACCGGGCGAGATGCTGCAAATCTCGAAAGGGCGTGATTCCTATCTATTTCGACTTTCCGGAGGGAATTGCGAAAAGAACCACGCGCTTGGCCTCACCCTCCTTCCAGTCAGCAAGGCCCTTGTCAACCCGGTAGAAGCCCCGGCGCTCGAGTTGGATGATATCATCCTTCTTAAGGAGAGCTACACCCTCATCACACAACGCCTCCTCCATAGACTCGGTCACTGGGTTGAGGCAGTCCTCCAACTCGTCATCCGGCTCCAACTTATCCTTGGTAATAAGGTAATCGAACTCCCAGAGCTCGGCCGGGACGAGGTTTGTACCCTCACTGGACAGCCAAGTAATCTTCTTCTCGGTAGACTTGAAATCTCCAGCCAAGTTCAGCTCACAAGTAAGAGTCTTGATGGGATCGCTTGGGTCGATCTCTCGAACAAACGCATTACCCCAGGACATGAGAGTAATTTCCTCGTCCTTCTTAAAGGACTTGGCATCGGCCTGGTCAAGAACGATATGCGAAGAGTACGTGACCTTCTTGGTGCCAACTTCCGGGTTCTTGGGGTGCTTGGGCTTGTCCTGCTTGAAGGGCTCCGCGGGCGCTTCCTTGCCGGTAAGCGTTACCTTGACGATATCCTTCTTCAGGACAGCGGTGTGACGAGGGGCCACAGGGTCAATTTCCTTGATGTTGGTGGCCCAGAACGACTTCCAATCCTGGAGAGAGATGTTGCGACTCGGCCCTTGCCTGATAATGAAATCTCGAAGAGCAGCAATGGTCATACCACGACGGCGGATACCCCTGATGGTTGGCATACGGGGGTCATCCCATCCCCAAACCTTGCCGGTATCTACGAGCTTCGCAAGCTTGCGCTTGGAAAGGAAGGTCTTGATAAAGTTGAGTCGTGAGAAGTCCCAAAGATGAATCGTGCGAAGTTTCAAGGTGTCAATGAACCATTGGTATTGAGGGTTGCGGTCCGTGTACTCGGTGGCCCTTAGCGCGTGCGTGATTCCTTCGAGGCTGTCTACAACCGGGCACGCGAAATCGTATGTGGGATAAATCTTCCATTTATTGCCGGTTCGGTGATGGATGTCGCTGGGGTTGCACCGGTAGACCACGGGGTCTCGCAGGGCCTTGTTCGGGTTGTCGATTGAAATCTTCGCACGGATACAGTTCTTGAGCCCCTCCTCCGAGCCTGCCTTCATCTCCTCGAAGATACGCAAGTTCTCCTCGACAGATCGGTTTCGGCGCTGAGATTCGATACCGTCGAACCGCTGCTTCTGCATCGTCTCAGTGTCGGTATCATCTGCGTACGCATGGCCCTCGCTAATGAGCCTCTTGCACTCGTCGTAAAGGTAATCAAAGTAGTCCGAGGTGTAAGACAGAGAGTCGGCCTTGATGCCCATTAGGCGCAAGTCCTCAATGATGGCATCCTGGAACTCCTCGCTTTCCTTCGCGGGGTTGGTATCGTCGAGTCGAAGACGGAGCTTGCCGTCATATAAGCGGTGGGCGAAGTAGTCGCAGAGGAGAGCGGCCTTGGCGTGTCCGATATGAAGATATCCACTGCTACTGTTAGCCTCGGAATCTCAAGGGACGACGAGGAAGAATGGGTTGGGATGGGTTAGGACGGACGATGGCTCGGGCAGGAATCGAGTAACGACACCCTTCTCTGCATCCGGAAGAGTGATGTTGTAGCTACCGCCGGCCTTTCCAGCAGCAGCCTGTTTTGCGGCCTTCGCCGCCTCGGCAGACTTGATCTCTTCCTGAATTTCGGGATGGTTCTTCTCGACGAAGGTGAACCATCGCGACAGATTGGCGAGCGATCCCTTGCGAACGAATCCGAGGGCAGCCCGGTTGCTTCGAAGCGCAAGCCAGATCTTGGTGTCGATGTCCCCTAGAGTGTATCCATCGATGTATGAGCGGAGGGTAAGATGCTTGTCGAGTGCACGAAGGTGGGCATCAATGGACTTGAAGTCCCCCGCTAGGGAGGGGACAAGGGCTTGGAGCTCGTCTGGGGTCATGACTCAATCCGAACCTATTCTGAGATGAAAGTGAGCGGAAATGAACCGTAGACGATCTTCGACTTCAATATATAGCTTTGAAGGTCGGGAATTTCGGAATTGAAACGGTCAATGACTCAATAATCACCTTCGTATCACACACTGAATGGGAATTTTTGCGAGTGGGGTGCTCGTTTTCGAGTCAAAGTTGTTGCTCATGGATGGCGGGGTAAATTGGGCAAGGTACAAGGGAAAAGTCAATCGAGGTGTTGTCAGCACCGATAAGATAAGAAAATTTCCGCCTGAGATTTAAGGAGTGAGGAATTATTTCTTCGAAAACGCGACCAGCAGACCACCAAGAGCTTTTTGAAGATCTCGGTTGAATATGTACCACGCCCTCTAACGCCAACCTCACGTACCCGAACGATGGCGTCTGGACACCAATGCCTTGCCTCGATGGCAAGGCTCACGATTTCGAGCACACAACGTCCTCTCGCCACCCAGGTTCGCCAGACTCTCATACCATCCATCACCCAGGTCCGGTATGCGAGCGGAAAGTCCAAGAAGAAGACGGCAAGCAAAGCGGGAAGCAGCAAAAAAGCCGAGAAGAAGAAGTTGCCAAAGCACTTCAAGTCTTTTGACCCTACTGAATACCCTCAATTTTCCCTATGCGATGCTATCCGGTGAGTCTGATACTGGGGAATTCCTCGAACCATCTCTTCCCATGAGACCCTAACATTTCATCTCCAAGATACCTTCGAGCCTACGAGGTTGGCAAGAGGCCGCTCGGCGTTAAGTACGAGCTCTCAATTCGTCTTAAGACCATGCGAAACGGTCCCGTTGTCCGAGATACGATCAAGCTCCCTCATCCCATCACATCGGGCGAACGATTCGGCGTTATCTGTCCCGAGGGCAGTGAGATAGCCGTGCAGGCTCTCCAAGCAGGAGCCACCGTCGCCGGCGAAGAATCAGTCTTCGAGAGAATAAGGAACGGCGATATGCCGTTCGAGCGTCTCCTCTGTCACGAAGACAGTGAGAATGCCCTCAAGCAGGCGAATCTGGGCAGGCTCCTCGGTCCCAAGGGTTTGATGCCTAGTCGCAAGCTTGGCACGATCACGAACAACATCCGCAAGACCATGACATCCGGGGCTAGCGAGTACCGTGAGCGTGTGGGCGTCGTTCGAATGGTCGTTGGGGAGGTTGGCTTCACGCCTCGAATGGTTGCGGACAACGTCGCCGCCATGGTTAAGGAAATCAAGTCTCGATGCACTGCTCTGGAGGATCTTACTGAGAAGGCCGTTAGCGAGGTGGTTTTGAGCTCTACACACGGACCCGGATTCAACTTGAACGGAAAGTTCCAGTCGACGGATCCAAATGTGAAGGAGGAGGACTTGGCGGGAGTCATGTAATCTGCGTTGGGAACTGTACATTCATTGTAACACTATTAGCCATGTCATATCACTCTGAAGATTATCTATTTATTGGTATCTCATAAAAGCAAAATAGACGTGTCTCTCCATCTAGTCATTAAGGTTTTCCCCGGTTCCTTTCTTGCACCACTTTCATTTGGAGCTTCTGAGAGCTACCACAGCCTCCTGCGCAGCCCCCAGGTTCCGATATAAGCCTAGGTATTTGAGAAGCCTAGACTGAGCGCGTGGGCCTGTCGACTTTGCTGCTCTTAATGCGTTTCCGAGATCTATCAGGATTGTGTTCCGGCACTTGAGGACCCGTTCTTCAGCTCGGGTCACAAATGGCGTCTCCCGCCCGATAGTGTCTGCGAGCCGTTCAATGATGATGAGATCTCGGACATAGGCGGTAAGTTTGGTGGGGCTGGTTCCGACAAGGGGTTCCAAATCGCTGTCGTCCTCATCATCACTATCTTCCTCCTCCTCCTCGTCGCTTGAGTTGAATAAATGACTATTGGTATCGCCTTTGGGGTTTCCGGAAGGGGAGTTTATGGCTAACAGATGCTCGAGATCCGACAAACGTTCGTCAAGCTCTAGCATGCACCTGCCGGTCTCGATCTGGTTTCGTACTTCTCCAAGGTCTGCGTTCAACGCCTCCACTTCCCGACCCCGCGCGCCGACCTTCGATTTGACTTCCTCCACGGCTCGTCGAAAACCTAATAATGCCACCTTGACATCCTCGACCTTTTCGTTTCCTCCGCGTAACTCGTTGCCGAGAGATAGGAAGGAGGTGTAGTTGTTGTTTACGAGCTCCAGAAGTTCTGCGCTGATGGCGGCGCTTCTCTCGCGCAATTCGGCGCGAAGGTCTTCAAGCGTCTGGTGCCGTTGTGGGAGAGACGACAAGTATTCTGCTGGTTGGAAGTCCGTTGTGAGGAAGTCGGACCTGGGAAGGGCAGTTGGGAATGGCAGAGGGGCATCCTCATCCTCAGAGGATGATGACGATGGTAAGTTGAAGCCGGTAGATATTTTGAGGCCCGACATCTTGGATTCTGGGGCTATACTATATGCGTCCAGATACCCGCATTCACTGGGGCGCTTCCAAGACTAGGGCGATAATGCCCTTGTTGCGAAAATATGGACTTCGCGTACGATTCAGATGCATCCAGATTGCAGATATACCGTCCTGATGGGCTTCTTGAGATGAGCTGGAAGCTCACTGCCAACTCTGGCTCCTTGTGGGCCAGTCTCCATTACATCATATATCATATATCGTATAATTGCATGTTATGCGTTGCTGGTGAAATGTATAAATAGACGAAAAAGCCTCACGTGCTCCGGCCGAAAACGAATGCCAAGAAACTATCCATCAAGGTGCGATATCGGCAACGCCATATTCCATGGGGGGACGAATCTAGTACTTCGTACATCGTAGAATGGTGGGCTCGCTGAGAACTCAGCACAGCAGTGAGGACTCATGGCGAGGGACCCCCACCTGGTACGACCATCATTTATGTTTTAGACAACAGCCGCCTGCCGAGATCCCTCATCTCCGCTTGCTAATGCTCTCATCCTTTCTCAAGCCACCTTGGCGATTTATTGACAATTTATGTGCGCCCCCTCGCGAGGAGGGCGAAAAGCATGGGTTGGATTGATTTCCCTGCCCGTCAGGAACGGGCTATAGATAGGATACGAGTCACATCGGTTGGTATTGGCTGAACGCCACCTACCCTGAACCATGAGAAGGATTCTCATCCCGCAAAAATTGGGGTCTTCAGATCGAGGGCCTGTGACAAACCGTTGCCTAATTGGGGCTTCTAAGGCCAATAAAAACCCCGCGGAGACGATCAGGTCGTGGATAGCTCACAAGAGTTTGGAGGGGCTATAGGACGAGGATCTACCAGCATACTTTATTGTGGATGGTGGCTCGCTTCAACAAGGGCCAAGGTGTGTGGGTCGCTTGGGGGCAATCGCACATTGTGACTGGGATGAGTCCTCCGCGTCTAGAGTCGTGTACCTTGCCGGTGGAGTGGAGCTCGCATCACCGAGCTCCGAGCTTCCGAGCTCATGCGAGAAAAAAATTCTTTCGTTCCGTTCCGTCACAAGAGCAAGAAGACGAGCGAACAGAAGGAGAACCTTGCAGCAGTCGAAAGTTAGGACCCGCCTCCCACGTCGATTCCATGAACTAAGTTTGAAGACAGTAATGGGGGCCCTCAATGCCACCGATGGGCTCAAGGATGAGCTCCAGAGCAGGTCCCCCCAAACTGAGAACAGAAAAAGGGAACTTCCATGCGCCCAATCCCGGATAAGATCTGATCTGTGCTGTAACGTACTGTACCTCGCTCCCACACAACGCACTACATGACACTCCTTCGCACGCAAAGTTATTTCAAACGCGTAAAGTGCCAGCAGAGGCAATCAAGACAAGCCTAAGTAATAATAACGTGGGTGGTCTTTTGCAGCATCAGCGATTGGAGGGTTCGGTGAAAGGTTGGGGTGGGCCAATGTTGGAACGTTGAAGTGTGTGGGCAATTTTTTTTCCAGGTCGGCTCCCGACGATGGAGCAGCATTCTGGGGCTGGACCAGTCTGGAGCCAATCAGATGCGGCGCCACTCCACCCGGCTTATCCTGGATGATGCTGGTTAATCTTATCAATCTGATCAATCAGTCGAGGACCCCCCCAACCCGATCACGTCCCCGTCGTCGTTCCCTGTTGACTCCTTGATCGGAGCCTCTTGTTCAAGATACAATTACAACCAACACCCCAATTTTGAAATGCCAATTTTGAAATGAAATTCCATCTGTGCCTTTGGTCGCACTCATCGTCGTCAACTTCGTTTATGCTTGCATTGTGCCGATCTATATTCTGCGTTGCGTCAGCCCAATTCGGAGCTTGGAGAGAGCACTGAAGCTGTCAGATTATCGACCCATCGATCCATCTGCGGTGACAGAACCAAGACTTTGAGGGCTAAGTTTGAAAAGGCGGGCTTTGAGACCACTTCGGCACAAGCCAGAATTTTCTTCCCCCACAGCAGAACCGACTTTCCTGCTGGGACTTCTCGCTCAACCATTAAATACTCTTTTCTTTCCTTCCGACCTTTGGGTCCTTGCTGTTTGGTTTCGTCTCTTTTTCGTTACCACCACTCCAACACTTGTCATCACCAAAATACCCTAGCCGTTTGACTCAAGAAGAAGATAACGGGCCCTGTCGTCTATTCGACTGTCATCTCTCATTTTTCTTTAACCCCGAACGGGTCTTGACGTGCCATCCGAGACCTTACCTGGATTGTACATCCACATCTGCACATATATCCCATACCAACGTGCTTACGCCCGCCGCAAGCACTCAGACCACGGGAAGAAAAAGAAGAGAAATATCAAATATACCAGTATTTATCCCCCCGTTTGAGAGGGGGTCTTAAGTGCATGAAGACCGAATTCTGTGGCGAATCGGAGGCGGGTGTTGACCTTTGGGGGCTCTCTGCAAAAGCAGTGGGTAGAAGCACCACAATGGCTGCGGCATTCTCCGACGACACCGCCCGCCCACACCCACCACAGGCCAAGATTGAGCCGAGCCCCCGAAACCCCTCACTTAATGGCGGTCCACCCCAGCAAAACCTTTCTCAGGCCACTATTACCACCGCCACCACCGCTCCAAACCGCAATATTTCACAACCTCCTCCTATCAAACCCAGCCGAACGCTTTCGACTGGACTCCTCCCGCGGGTATCCATCCGACCAAGTCCGCTAACTTCGACTTCTTCTTCGCCGACAACTGCATCGCCGTCCAATGCACGCATTAACAAAATGTCGATGGCCTCTGTCATAAGCCCGGATCCGACGCCTCCGCCGCAGCTCATTCCGAAGGTCTCCATGACCACGAAAGAATGGGTGGTGCCTCCGAGACCTAAACCCGGAAGGAAGCCCGCCACGGATACCCCGCCGACGAAGAGGAAGGCCCAGAACCGCGCAGCGCAACGAGCATTTCGGGAGCGCCGTGCCGCCCGCGTCGGCGAGCTCGAAGAGCAGCTCGAAGAGCAACGTGAAGAACGTGACAAGACTGAGCGCGAGCTCAAGGAGAAGATCCGAGTTCTCGAACTTGATCTCCAATCTTTCCGTTCGAAATGCTCTCTGCTCGAGAATCTGCTCGAGCGCGAGCGACAGGAGCGTATCCGTGTCGAGAGCGAGGCAGAAACACTTCGCCGGCGCTCGGAATCCACTTTCTCTAATAACCACAACCGCGGCAATAATCTCCCCAGCATCCAGCACACGTCGAGATTCATGGCCGGTGGCACCCTTCCATATAACCAAACTCCCCAAATGCCACTCGCTGCAGTCAGCTCACCTAGCGAGAGCCGGACCGTGACCCGGACGGCCATGCAGGCCTTTGCCATTTCGCAAATCATCTCCCCTCCTGATCCTTCAGACCCTCTCAGCAATCCAACGGACCTTACCTGCGGAAACTGCCAGCCCGACGGTCCCTGTGCTTGCGTAGAGGAGGCGCTACGATCCGTCCAGGAACCTACTTGCGGAAAATGTACCCTCGGGACAACCTGCCAGTGCATGGAGGAGACCCTCCAGACCCTCGACGCTTCATCTCTCCCACCGCCACAGCAACAGCAACAACCTAAGCGATCATCTTCGCCGTCTAATTCAGGGCCTTCGGGTAAGCGTTTGCGGGCGGCTCCCTCGGCAACACCGATTACTTCTATCGAGACGGATTTTACAAACGCTTTCAAGAAGAAGGAACCTTTAGAACCCGTAATCAATAGGCCATCTCAACTTCCAAGCCAACTATCGATAGATTTTACGCCTCGGATTACTATCCCTCCTAGGGATTCATGTGGTTTCTGCGAGGACGGGACGTATTGCGTCTGTGCAGAGGCAGCCATCTCAGGCTCTTCCCTAGGTGAGAGCAACGACTCTTCGAGCTCTCTCCCCTCCATTTTCTCCCAGGAAAGTCAAGTGACGCAACCGACGCAAGGTCTGTCGCCTCCACCTGAGCCCGAAACTCTACTGCCGCCCATGGCGATGGAGGTCACCTCAACCGGCGCTATCAAGCTGCGTCAGAGGCAAAAGCTTCCGAGCAGCGCTTCGACGACTTCGTCGAAGTGCGGACCTGGAGGGCCTGGCACTTGTGCGCAATGTTTGGCCGACCCGCAGTCTGGGCTGTTTTGTAGGACACTTGCAGCTATTAACAGCGCAGGCAAGTCCAAGAGCGGCGGCGGCTGCTGCGGCGGTGCCGGTCCCGGTGGCGGCTGTTGCAAGTCGAATAGCAACGGCGGCGGCGCCAGCAATGCCACCACCAAGAGCCAACCTATCTCCATTAGCTGTGCCGATACCTACAAGACGCTCGCGAGCCACCGTAACTTTGGCCAAGCGTTCGAGGAGATTGGAACATGGCTTCCCAAGCTGAAGGTTGTCAAGCGCCAAGATGAAAGCACGCCTCCAGGGCGGCCGGCCGTCGAGATTGATGCGGCTAGTATCATGACGACACTCAAGTTTCTAGATGTTAGGTTCCGTGCCAACAAGCAGTAAGCGGCGCAACTGGCAAGGGGGTGGCGAAGGGGTGCTGGAGGGTGTTTGCTTTGTAAGGGAATCGGGTTGACAGGGGCATGCTTCGGGTCGGGTCATAGAAAAGTTACTGCAGAGTTTTTGATAGCATTTCGTGTTTCTTTCTTTCTTTGTTTTTATTTTTACGGGTTCGGCGGGCTGGCGGCGGTGCATGATGCGGCTATTGTCACTGGAAGAAACATTAGCGAAACACCCTTTACGTTGAGAGCGTGGTCTGGTGTCTCAGCGAAGGTTTTTAACTATATAGTCATTACAACATGTATAAACGGGAGCACTTGGTGCTACCCTTCTGTATCAATCTTGTGCGCATTGAATGTATACCTTTTGTTTTGTACATTCTTCATCTTCCTGTTAAATCCTCGCCCTCGAGCTATTACTATTTCTTCCGCTGCCGACGCGTGAGCATGATCGTATTTCAGGAGGTGTGGCCTATAACAAAACTCATCACGTCTTCCTACGTCATCTATGCTCCTCTCCAGCTCTGTCCGTGGGATATAAGCAGAGCCGTTATGAAATGCTACCTTATTTCGCACAGCTAGCTGATCATGCACATAATCCTTGATACATAGTGTAGATGTGTCTCTTGTGTAGCCACAGAGGAAAGGGGGGGGGGGGGGGGGGTCCCGAATATATTCTCTACAGGCGTTGACGTAGGAGGGGAGGTGAGGGTCTCCATAGACGGGAGAACACATGGCCGTCAGCCGTACCTACAGTAGCGCCGTGGCTATTGGGGGTGTGGGCCAGCAGTGCGTTCTCCAGAACACGAGAGCGAGGAGAGGTGACACGGCACGATGGGGATAGCTTATACGGCGGTGGAGGTTGTGTGCAATGGGCAGTGCTAGGCTTGGTGGCATGGCAGAGGATGTGACAGCTCTCCGGGAATACTGAGCTTAGATAGAGAGGACATGTTGCTGAGAGATTGGGGGAAACATAAGAGGGTGAAAGGAAAGAAGGACTGAAGCTGGTCTCGAGGATATATGGAGTAGCTCATCAGAGCGATGTGTAAACTTCAGCCCAGAGTGTGGGCACAAGAAGAGCCCTGCAACCTGGCCGAGATCATGGTACGACTCGAGTTGTCAGCGCCCAGCACATCTCCCACAAACAGCCATTAAGAACGAAGCAGCAAAGGCAATTTTCAGGTGGCCGGGTCACTTGACCCAACTGTCGAGATGCCAGAAAGTGCCTTTGGGCCGGTACGACGGTGAGCTGTAGGCGGGCTCTCTTTCTCTCCCTTTCTCTCTCCAATCATCAGGGAGATTCCGGAACAGATCTCGGCGGGGCTGTGTCGATGAGCTGAAATCGTCTAGCATCCCAACGGGTATCTCAACGGAAGATAGGACCGCCTACCAAGAGCTCCTGGATGCATGGATGCTCATCGATCCGACCCGCAGAAGAGCAGTACACACGTGATGGATTTCCCAAAAACCATCGCACGACGATTTTGGGGGGTGTGGGTTAATCTTGCCAAGTCCCAGTTATTTGTCGGGAGGGTGAGACAAGAGAAGAGCGTTCGCTTCAGATACAAGACTCTAATGGCCAGCTATGCGGTCCGCCCAGGTCCAGACTCGGGTGTTGCGGTCGCGGTTGAGGCGAGTGAAGAGAGAAAGAGGGAAAAGGTGGTGGGGGAGATTGGAAAAATAGGACAGGCATGATTGGGTGCTGCCTGTGTGAGTTGGCGGGCAGGCGTGGACGATGGAGATTGGACGGCCTTTCGTATGGGTCTCGCCTGGGATGGCGGATGGGGTCGCCTGGCCAGGCTGGGTCCTTGTCTTGTCAAGCCGCCACTGGACGTGGTTTTGTCCCCTGCCATGCAAGGACAACTCAGAGGAGCCGGGAGGCCGGGCGTCGGTGGCAACGCTTCATTTTTTATCTCCTTCGTCTTGTCTCAGCTTCTCCAGAGAGGCGAGAGAGGAGAGGGAGTAGAGGAGAGTAGGCATCGTCATCCTTTATGGATGTTTCCCACGTTGCTTTATAATAGAGACTTGATCAGACCAAGAAGCCGAGGCGGTGATGTACCCCGCAACCATCACAAAGATCAGAACCAGTCAGGATCCTGATCTTCTTCTGGTCCTTATGAACCCTCGTCTTGCCAGGCTGCTGGATCTCACCTTGTACTGTCAAGCAATGAGAATGCCATCGAATACCAAACTATGGAACCAAACTGATACGTACCGGCATGAAATTGACAATTCGATCGCTCCCTTCATTCCCATTTAATTGCCCTGCATCATCGATACGCCGGAAGAGTGTAGAAAAGGGCAGTGGCGTGCGACTTGCCAACTCATTTGGCGCCCTTGCTGCTTGACGCTGGCATATAATTCCGAGTGCTAATGGGCCCTAGCTGCAGCCAGCACAGCAGCTCATCCGTCGTATCGTCGCGACATGCTTGGACCTTGAACTGTGTTGTCTTACAATTGTACTTCCCTTCTTCGGTTCTTCCGTTCTTATTTGGGAGCATCGCTAGCGACATGGGCGGGGGAAGTACCTCGTAGCTTGTAACTCACTGCTCTGGTACAGCAAGACAACCCCAACTCGCTCTTGCCGCCTTGGCTCTCGAACTACATCTACATGCAGATCTCTCTTTCTCGTCCATTTCTCTACCCTCACCGAGATATTCTATTCTTCTTTTTTTCTCCTTGACCCCAGTAATTGTCCTAGTGGGGTTTAGACAACTGACATGAGCAACTTGTTCTCGCACCTTTTGTGCCAACTCTCTCCCTCCTGCTGGCTCACCTGAGCCAGGCCAACCTCTTCTACCCCTCAGTGCTTCCACGTTCCTGCCCTGGCGCCCCAATCCCGGCCCCTTCCCCTCCCCACAGAGCGACTGGGGGGCAGGAATCCGAATAACCCCAGCACTCAGGTTACCCAGCTTTGTGCTCCACTAACAAAACATTCTCGAGCCCAACGCCTTTTCTGCCTTCTTGGCCCCCCCTTTCTTCAATCCTTTCCCGAAAGCTGGTATGCTCTCAATCAAGCGCATATAACCTTTCGGTTGACGCCGTTGATCAACTGCTCCTTCGCGCCAGGAGAGCTAAACCTTATCCTCTAGCTTCGGGCCTCTAGCGCAAGGCACACTCCCAACATCACGCCGCTCCCCACCACTTACTACTCCATGGGCGCATTATGATTTCGATGCAGCGTTCATTGTCCTCGCCCGTCTGCATTCAGTCGTCCTCGCGTACGTTTGATGGAAGAGGAGGATTGGATTTCTTGCGATCCTGGCCAGATCAAAGGGAACTGTAATGCTGATTCGAGCTCGATGCCTGTAGAGCCTTCCGACGCGTCGAACTCTGGACCTCAAGCTGCTAGATCGCCCACCCCGCCACTGATCGACGATACTCTCGATGCGCCACGGCGGTCGCAACCGCGATTCGGGTCGCGGAGCCCGAGCCGTGCGCCGTCCGACACTATCACCACTACCGCAGCCCCTCCCTCGACGACACGCCGGAGCGATGATGGCTCGAAGAGACCTCTCTCCCTGCAGCCGCCGAACCCTTCGACTACCTCCTGGCGGCCCATTATAGCCCAACCCGCCATTCCCCCTCGCCCGTCCACTCCACCGTCCCAAGAAGCCACCATGCCTGCCGAGACCCCAGAGTCGGTCCCCGACGACCACGACCGAGAAAAGGCGCCACCGTCCCTTGCGAGCACCCTCCTGCCCGATCTATCACTCTACACGAACCCCGATCCCGTTCCAGACAATGATACGACCACTTTGGAAGAGCTTGCCCATCTAGTGAGGCTAAGCAAATATCAGGAGCGCAAGCGCGCAAACACTAGGATAAGGCTACAAAGGAGTTTGATATCTGCAGCTCTCTCCGCAAGGCTGACGCGCTGCGGGGAGATGGCGCATAGGAACCTGGTGGACTGCTTCCGGACCGATGACAAGAAGACTTTTGCGACCCTGTACAATGCCATCCATGACGTGAGAAAGAGCTGTGATGAGCTGCGGCGGTACACCCTATTGGAACCCGAGATGGACTCACTGAACTCATCTGCATTCAACTCCGCCGAGAATCTGAGTGCTACTAACAATCCCGTGCCAGACCCCGGTGCCCCCAGCTCTCTTGTCCCGTTTTTGAATGACATCTCCGCTTCTGCCCGGGAGGTTTTCTTGAATTTCTTGACCCAGATCCGAGCGAACCAGGATTTTTTAGCCGCGAGATTATGCTCTCTCTCTAGCTCTGAACTGACAGCTCTCACAAGCTTCCATCAGGGGTTGGAACCCATCGAATCTGTGCTGCCCTCCCATCTTAGCCGACCTCCTGCGCCCCGTGGAAACACAAGTACTGCGAACCGTAACCCTGCTCATACCACGAATACGGTGGGCCGCCTGCTCTCCTTCCAAAGACACGATCCCCTTTCCGCCCTGATCCATACTTGCTTCGCGAACTCTGCTGGCCCCGATAGCGCCGAGGATAGAAGGAGGACCCAGATTTGGGCCGCCGCGTGCTCAAGACTCATCTCGGAAGCCAAGTCCGGTTTGGAACCTTTCTTGCTTTCTGTTTTGAATACCTGGTCGTCTATGCGGGACTGGTCCGGGAGATCCAACATGGAGTGGTATCTCATGAAGATTCTGGAGGATGGTGCCTTTTTGCTTGCTCGCGCCGAAGACCAACATGGGACGAGATTCCATATTTCCGGGTGGGCGCGTGAAGGGAACACAGCAGCCGAGGATTTTTACCAGCGAGCCGTGGGTGATCTTTTTGCAGTAGTCGACGATGATGATGCCACGGGAATTCCAGAAGGCTTCCTGGAGCTAGGAAACGAAATCATCAAGCAGCTGGATCCCCAGCTTGCGGACAGTACCAGGAGATTCTTGGTTTGTAAATGGCTCTTCCAGACTTTCCTTCTCCGTGCCGTCATTCATCCAGAGAGCCATGGCATGATGGCAGAGTACCACATCACCGAATATGGACGACAAAAGATCCTGTGGCAGGTGGCCATGAGAGCTATGCAGTATGTTGCCGAATTTTCGTCCTGGACCAAGAAGGCCCCGCTCTCCATCCCTTCCAAGATTCAAATGCATATCGAAAACATCTTCAACAAGCTTCGTGGTTCACGTTCCTATACCCCTGCTGCCAAGCTATTGCCTGCCCGGTCTGTGACTTCTCTCCGGGAGACGGTGGAAGTCCACCCTTACCTGGTCATCAGCCCTGCGGACCTGCTAACCATGGTCAACGCCTTGTATCCTGAGCAGCGACCCCAGTCTCGTGCTTCGAGTAGCTTCCGATCTGGGGCGCCATCTATCTCTGGTTTCTCTACCATTTCCCAGCCTGTCTCGATAGCGTCTCGCAACAACACTGGCAACAACAATAACAACAGCAACAACATTAGCAGCAGCTTTGATACTGCATCCGTCCTCAGCAATAGTGTATCTTCCGTAATGAGTGATGCCGCTAGCTCCAGGGAACCATCGAGCCTCGACCAGCGGACGGGAACTCCTCTACGCTACACCCCACCAGTGGCCGACCCTCTCAACTCTAATCGAACAAGCACCTACGAAGACGACGGATACCGGCTGAGGCTAGCCTTGCATGAAATGTCACAAGCATTAGGGCTTGAAGTCATGAATGGATCCTGCCACCCTTGCGCTGAGCGATGGGCCGTTTTGTTTATCTCGTCCGATGGAAGCCGCCTTTCCTCCCAGATGACATTTGATCCTGACGATGATCCTGACGAGGATGAAAGCTCTTCTACTACAGATACCGACGAGGATGAAGAAGAAGAAGGACTCGAGCTCGACAAGGAGTATTCTCAGCTCAGGGATTCCATTATCAAATTAGTTCAAGATTACGAGATCCCCCGGACCATGGCTCCAGAAGGAAGTAGGACTCAGCTTAGCAACCGCGCCACAGGAATCAAGAAGTACCGGCACAAGAACAAGATCATCACATCGGAGAATTCTACTCGTAGCCGAAATCCCTATTACCAACGGAGCGAGAGCACAGACGCCCAAGCGAGGTCTCTCGAGGCAGACGGTGCTGCCGGGCCACTTGGGAACCCTGAAGCTGAAGACCAGGAATCCTCAACTCTAGTGGCCATGCTTAAGGCTGCCTCTTCTCAGTCGAAGGCCCAATCTGATTTCGTGTCTGCGCACTTATACTGGAAGACTCTTCAGCAGCTCAGCTCACTAAAGTCCCCAAGTCTTCGCCAAAACGGTTTCGCCCATCTTCTTAACATTTTCTCTTGGGGCCCCAAGGACTCCATCCGCCGGTCGGCTGCTGCTATTGAGGATTACGACGCTTGGCTAGTCTGGTTGAAACAAAACCAGGAACGCCTGGAAGGCCACCTCGATGGCATGTCGAAGCGGCTGCGTGCGCTTAGGGACAAGATGTGGTACGTCACCGACGTGCACAACTCGGCGCCCTACGAGCACAGCCGCAACATTTGCGTGGCCCTGAAAACTATGGGCCTGCCGCGGCGATGGCGGATGAAGGCCAACAACGCCCGGGGCTCCAGCGCGACGACGTACATCTACCGGACAGAATCACAGATCATGGAACTCCTCGCGGCGACGGAAGAACAGGGCGGCCCCAACAAGTTGAGCGACGATCAGGCAGAAAAGACGATGAGGTGGCTGCAGCAGTATGGAATCGAGTCTTGGTTCTGCCGGGGCGAGGAGCGCATCCACCGATTCTGTCTTGAGGTGGACAACTGCATTGGTAAGCTGATTGGGGAGAGTATGGTCGACGCGCCGGTTCTCTGGTCTAGTGAATTATTTTTGCGGGATAGGAAGATCCTCGAAAGCAACAAGGGCGCCGGGGGACGCGACAGGGACTCCTTCTGGGGCGGAGATGATACCTCTAGCATCCTCTCGGATTCTGAGAGGAGGTTCGGCACTGGAACCCGACCATTAACGACCCTGCGAGATCTACGCAATCTATCGGGTTTCAACTCGAGCCAGCAATCGTTTGACTCATCACGATTCAGCTTCTCGCGAGTCAGTGCTAACCTGTCGGATATCCTTGACGGCCAGGATTATTTCGGCGCCTCCTCACCGGTGCATACCATTGACCCTTCGACCACATTCTGGTCGCCGTTCCAGTCGACTATGTCTCCGAGCAACGCAACGTCCCGGGCACACTCTCCGACCTCTAGTGTCACCAATCTCTCTAGTACATTTTCCCATCAATACCACAACCCCTTACCATCTATTACTAGTCATTCCACCGGTACCGGCAGACCAGGGACTGCGACCTCTTCGAACGAGACAGTGTATCAACAGCGGCTATCCGAGGAGAAGTCGAAGTTCTTGGCGGAGCTTCGACAGACACTCACGAGTCTCTTGCTGTCCGATCTCGGAAACCTAGTGTTTGTGCGGGGTTCCGAGACAGACGCTTGGTTCGATGATCTTGGCCAACAATGTATCGACTTGCAAGAGTCGACAGACAGAAAAGCGAGGAGAGCTGCGGCAGCGGCTGCTGCAGCTGCTGCCAATTCTTCGGCAGCTTCTACTCCGTCTTCGAAGAAGGATAAATCAGCCGGACCATCCCCGCGTCCCAGGGTTATCGAGAAGAAAAAGAGCTTTGGTAATTTACGAGGAGCGGGCGAGACATCTGGAAGTGGAAAGGGCGGAAGTGAAAGCACTGGCACGGAGACCCTGCCAAGGCAAGTTCAAGCTCAAAGTCAAGGACACGAGAGCTCCACGGCGAGCGCGAGCGATACACTTACCGCGCGGAGCGGGACGTCTAACCGGGGTGGTGGACCTGACTTCCCATACAAGAAAGCATATCAGAGGCTCCTTCGCATGTTCGCCATCCACCCCAACCCTTACGTGAAGCTTAATACTCTTCACGAGCTCAAGCATCTCATTCTCTCATCCCTGACCTTGGGCGGCTCTAAGAGAAGTCGGCTTGCCTTGGCGCGCTCGGAGCTACAAGCGGCTGCGGCCGCGGCAATGGAGGAGCAAGGAGTGCGGCAGATCCCGCTCGAAGATGCTATTGACAACATGAAGGAGAGAAGATCGCAGTCGACGATTCAACCGGCGGGACCCACCTCGTCCGCCGGAGGACAATTCAGTACTACCGGTTTGGATGGCAAGGGGTCTACGGCCGCCAACGGGGTTAGTATGGATTCTGTGGTGATGGAGGTTCTACTATCACTCTTTAAAGACGCCGGGATCCGGCCAAAGACGCTGTTCCGCGACCTGCAGTTTATCGCCGCCTTTGTGCCGCCTTCCGTCCTAGACAAGACGGACCGTGGCAAGTCGTTCTGGGACGCCGGCATCGCCGCGATGCGGCTGAAGCAAGAAGTTTGCCAGACCATGATCAAAGTGAGCGACAACGTGGTAGAGCACTACACGAGCAAGCGCAAGCAGGCGGCCGACACACTCACGTCAAAAAGCGACGGATCGGAGCAGCCGGCTTCGTCGGCATCCCCTCCGCCCATCACGAGCAAATACACGCTCGCCGACGCCGTGAGGATGGTGATCATCACGGCTAAGGAGGGCCACGCGGCCTCGCAGCGCGAGCTGGGCCTCTTCTATCTCTCGCACCCGGAACTCATCGATCGCGTGACGATGCCGCTGTCCAAGCCGCGCGAGGTGTTCAAGCAGGCCATCATGGAGAAGTACGGCGGCGGCACAGGCAGGGGCGGGTCCGGTGTGAGATCGCACCCGGGCGACAGGGAGAGGGCGAGGGCGTCGGGTGGCGGGGCGCAGCACGGGGGTGGGGATGAGGGCACTGGCGAGGATGTGCGGAGTGATCCGGCGCTTATGTGCGTTGCCTGGCATTGGATGCAGACGGCGGATCAAGGGGGTGATAAGATTGCCATGGACTTTATACGGCAGCAGGGTTTGGTGTAAGTGGTAGTAATGGGGCATAGAGGCTGGGCCCATTTCTGTGTTCTTGTTTTTTGCTTTCTGTTTCCTCCCCCTTTTCCCACTTCATTTTTTTTGCATTGTCTTGTTCAGCATTAACATATACCATGGTCGTTCTACTTAGCTGGACGAAGGATCTGGAACGGTTCTTTGTGGGATTGATTCAGCGCAACTTGCTACAGGTCGAGTGACATGCGGAGTGAGTTGCAGCTTAGCACGGTCTTGATACCCGCCTTTGTTTCTCTCTCTTTTTTTCTTTTTTTTTCTGTCCATCATCTAGAGGGTCGTTTCTACCCTCATGCCTCGCTTTTTAGTGATGTCTCGCTCGCATGTGCCGTCTATGCTTGGTCTTTTTTTTGGTTTTGACTCAGTTTTACAGGGCATGGATGATCTCTTGGGTTTAAACACTTCGCTGGATACCGGTCAACATAGAGAGATACCGCGGTTCGGGTCGTATTTAGGTTAGGGATCTATCTATACAGGATTTGTACGTTTCTTGGTCTTCATAGCGTGTGGTTCTTCATGAATGAAAAATTTGTTTGGTATATTTTCCAAGTGTTTTCGTCCGATCTTCCACAATACAGGGAGAGATTAAATCTAACGCCAGACTTCAGCCAAGCCGGCATCGACAGGCACAGATTGCACTTTGTCCACCATCCCCGAGTCAGGTGCTTGAGGCAGTGCACTGAGTGCAGCCGTGGGCCGCGCTAATGCCACCTGCGGAATTAGCACAGACATCCAGAACCCCTCGAGGAATCGCGATTCCGCACCGGTCTGTGGAGAAAGTCGGGGTGGAACCCCAGCGGTGGTCTCATTTAATCCTTTGGGTCCAAGCCTCTCTCCAGCACACTGCAGATCGAGGACCTATCCCAACCAGGAACCAGAGCACGTTTCCAGGCTTCAAGGTCTCTCGGCCTTCGGCCCAGCGCACTTTCTCTGATTTCCCCATCGGACCGGCGATCTTGGGAGTATTTTCCTTCGCCAAGCACACTAGCCAGGCACTCGACGAAGCACATTAATGTGCTCGGGCGGCTAAGCGCGCTCCGAAAACTACGAAGTCGGCTTGGATCAAATCTAAAGCATCATCACACTTACACCCGATCCTTCTATCCTTGCGCAGTGGTGTGTGCCTGGACGAGTCCCAACAAAGCATTTGACGCTTGTTTTCCAAGGTCCAATGGCCTCGAGGATCAGCAGGCCCATATCACACCCCTCGACTTTTTTTTCTTTTTTTTTTCTTCCATTGGGGAAGCTCTCCCTAGCTAACTATTTATTTTATTCGACTCTGGGATTGTGGGTATTCAACGCTGTTATGCTGAAGGTATATGGTTCTACTAAGTTATGGATTCACAACAAGTTGAGCTAGAGCATTGTAAACATTCAATGTAAACACAACATTGATGTTTAGGGTAGGGTCAATTGATGCTGGTAACAGCTCGGGGACTCGTTGAACACCCTTTATTGTATTCGAGTGCGATCACGATCGCGATCATCGTCGGGTCACTGGGGCGTCTTGGACAGAGACACGAGTGTCTGTGTCACCAGCATATCTCAGCCATAATTCCTGCTGCTCTTCTCATCACAGTTTCTACCTGTACCTTGGTACAAGAACTCTTTTCTTTCGAGCTGATTTGGTTCCTAATCTACAGTCCTACAAGTACTTTGACACTATCCTACATCGAAGATGAGAGATGAGAAGATGGGGAAAATAACGGTGAAGACCATGGAAGCCGGGAGGAGTGGAGACAACCTTTGAGGCCCAGACAATAAAGACGCGGTGGAATGTGGATGGCTCGCTTGCCATAGCCTCCCAAAGTCAGCTCAGCTCGGGTAGGTCGGCGATCATCCATGACATCAACATTGCGGGAGATCTTGGAAGTCCAGGGTGCTTCTGCTTTCTAGTAGTTACTACTTTACTATTTTAGCGTAGTGTCTTGCTCGGCCCCACGGGAAATATCGAGGTAACCATCCAGAAAATCCGGTTCCCGACGATTTCGATGGACCCTTGGTTCTTTGATAGTTCAGACGGTTTGAGACGACAAGACAAGGACAGCTTTATCAATTAATCAATCTCCGCCCCAAGTTCCCGGACAATCTAAAATTAACCCTGGCTCTAGCCCTGTTTTGCCTGGCTGACTGGGAAGCCTAACATCAACGAGATGACAGCGGGAAGGGTTGCAGGAGGCGCAGGCGAGTAGCACGATTTGGTTGATGCATTGACGGATCCAGGGCGTCTGCACGAGGTCGGGGCGGCGGCGGGAGATTCACCGTCATCTTTCCTTCCACCGACGCCGAGGCAGTGAAGAGAGACAAGCATCGACCAAAAAATGAAGCTTGCATCAATGTATGTGAGGCCATGTCCACCGGTTCCATTTGATATCTCGCGATCTTCAGCATCGCCCGATTAGCACCCTCATTTTTTGTAAATAAATAGGAATGCTGAACCACGCGCCATCAATTTCCTCCCCTCCACCTTGAATTGTGTAGAGAATATGTGCCTTATTTTCCGCTAGCCCTTTTGCGTTAAGCTATATAGTCCAACTGGTTCCCAGGATTCCCAGTTCTCTCGCTCCCCAGCTTGGGTCCTAGAGGAGGTACAGAGTTATCGAGGACACTATACTCATTTTCCGGGCATCGCCTCTCGTCGCAATCCCCCAACACTCTCGCCAAAGATGCGACGGCTTTCCAAAGACAAATCCCAAATCGACCCATCCCTCGCCAATCTCCCCCTCGAGCAGCTCCTCGAGAGAACCTCCAGCAACAACCCGGCCGACACTCTCCCTGCTTACACCGTCGCGCCAACCGCACCGCCAGAGCGCCTAACCCGTTCGCCTCCCCTGCCCGTCAGCATCACGGCGGCCTTTGATTCGCTCCAGCTGAGCAACGAACCCCCCGCCTTCCCTACGGCCCAAACGTGCCTCGCGCACCTCAAACTGCTGTATGCTTTTCGGAACCTGAAGGATGATGTCGGGTATTCGGATGGGCTGTGGGGCATCAAGGATCCCGATCCGGCTTTTGGGGTTCCGGATGCAAGGCTGCTGAGTAGGCTGAGGGAGAAGAGGTGGGCTATTTTCCTCGCTAGGGCTGTGGATCGGTATGAGGCTTGGTGGAAGAGTTTCGGGGGGAGGCCGTTGACGATGACGGATATGGAGGCTAAGGACAGTGCTGCCTATTTGTGGTTTCCTACCGATGGTGATTCGGCAAGGTTGCGGTGGGACGAGGTGATGATGATTCCTCTGGGTAGGCTTTCTATCGTCGTTTCTTTTTTTTTTTCTTGTTCTTTTCCACCTTTCTTTCTTTCCTTCCTTTTAGTTTGATCCCTTGTTTGTTAACATGTCCGGGCACAGATGTTCTCATGGTTTGGCACACGCACATGCTCAATCCTCGAAGCTATCTCGAAGACTGCATGCGCGCCGGCCTCCGCAGCCTCTGGTTCTCCGGCCTACCATGGAAAATCGTCAACGAGGCCATCGACACGGACTTCAACTACCGCGTCTCCGACGAAGCCAAGAGGCTATGGACGGCCCGAACGGGTCGACAGTGGGACAATGCCTACGACCCCATGGTCAAGGTCATCCAGTGTCCCGCCTGCAACGGCCTCTGCCACGTCCCCTGGACCTCGTGGCCCGAGGGCCTCCAAGAACCGGCCGACGTGCACTTCGAGGGGAAAGGCTACGGCGACGGCATGCTGTTCATGTGGTGTCCCAACGTCGCTTGCAGCATGGCCCTCACCAAGGACCGTCTCTCCCTCGGCAGGTTCATCAACGACGTCAAGAACTTGGTCCTGTACCAGATCGCCATGCCCGGCACGCAGCTCGACCTCGGAACCGGGGTGCCTACCGTCGGTGAGCCGTCGAAGCCGGCGCTGCACGCATTTCCCAACTATCTCATTCGCGACTCTCTCCGCACGCCGCTGCTGGAACTGTTCCGCCCTCCAGGGATGGGGTGGGACTCTCGGGACCAGCCGCAGGATCTAGATCCTGTCAGGAAGATATTCGGGAAGAGCCTGGATGATAAGGCCAATATTGCGCGCATTGCTGGGACTCAGACTGGCAAGTTTTTCCTCCCGAAACAGGGGAGGATGGCGATTCGGAAGATGCTCAGCAGGTATAACGGGAATTGCTCGATATTTGCCCTGGACCTCGTGAGCGCTGTGCTGAGGCAGGGAATCTTTATCGACAAGATGCACAAGGTTTGTCTTTGTCGCTCCCCCTCCACGTAGTTGCATAGGGGTTCGCTTTTTCTTTACTCCCTTTCTCTAATCTACTATTGATATTAGATTGACTGGCTACACAGCCCATCAGCCAGGGCCACCATGGAACGCCTCATCGTCAAATACAACCGCTTCCTCACCATCATGGCCCGCAACCGCAACAACCTCGCCGTGCCGACCCTCGACATCGACCTCGCGTGGCACACGGCGCAGCTGAGCCCCAGCACGTACTACGCCTACACGGTTCCCAAGTGTCTCAAGTTTGTCAACCACGACGACAAGATCGAGACGTCGGTGTTGCAGGGCGGCTTCGAGTGGACGTCGAAAGTTTACCAGAAGAAGTACGGCGAGGTGTATTCGGAGTGTACGTGCTGGTACTGCGAGACGTTGAGGGTTGGGCATATCTCGTCCATTGGTAGCACATTGGGGATGTCGGGGCAGGAGAGGAGTGAGTTTTTTTTTTTTTTTCGTATTTTCTTTTCTCGAGGGAAAGATAACTAACTTTATACCCTCTCTTAAAAACAGTCGCCGAGAACTTCCACCAATCTGGCGCAGCGCGATTCTGCCCTTCGGACAACTCGGCGCACATTTCGGCGCACAACTCGGTGCGGACAGCCGTCTCGGCCGCTGCGCAAGAGAGGTTCAACAGGGAGCTAGCAAAGCAGTTCCTCAAGGCGCAGAAGCGAGCGCACCAGAAGGGCCGGTCGATCCCGTCTAAGCGGGAGTACTACGACCACTGGGGGTAAGTAAACCAGTAAATCACTCTTCCGTCTGACCAGAAAAATGCCCCAATCTGGTACACACATCCTCTTCGGCGGATGCAGGAAGATGAGCGTAAGAAGGCGCTAATTCGAGATTGTAGGACTACGTATCTCTTGTACGGACCATACGTCTATCCCATGTACTTCTACCCACCATTGTACTATGGTGGAAGTCCTGGGACAGCAAGTTCAGGCGGAGGATCGGGCGGTGGTGGTGGTTGCGCTGCCGGGACTTGTAGCGAGGGCGTGGCAGCCGGAGGGTGCAGTGGTCCCGGGGGTTGCGATGATGGAGGGGCACCATGTGGAAGCTGTGGAAGTGGCGGCGGCGGCGATGGTGGTGGTGGCGGTGATGGAGGCGGCGGTGATGGCGGTGGGTGCGGTGGATGTGGAGGATGCGGAGGTTAGATCAATACCTCAGCATGCCAGAGGACCTTTTGATTTATGAGGGGAGAGAGGAAGATTGATGGATTCTATTTCGACATTATTGTATCAACTGTCATAGCTAGCTTCTTTAGCCGTTTTCTTATATTCCTGTATATCGCCGCGATTCAACGATTTAATGACTTGACTTGAAACTTGATGTGTCGCCTGTTGGATATGGTTTTCATTGCTGTTGTCTTCTCTTCGACGCCGACAAGGAGGGTCGAGTTTGGTCCCCCTCTGGAAAACAAAGAAGCATTGGCGCCAACCAGTCCGCTCGACCGGTGCCAGGCAGTTGGCAGAGGGTTGACACTTGACAAGCACAAAGGGCAGTCGCTACCTTTGTTTGTACCACTAGTGACAAAGCTGCTGATGTCAATTCAACGTTGTCACTTTCCCTTGTCTATTGGGCACTAGGCAGCAGCAGGTGCCTGAAGCTATCACCAGCACCAGCCAGCATCATCACTGTCGAAATCGTCATACCATACCGAGACCAGCTCCATCTTAGTCTCATTCGAGATCCTCATCCAACCCTTCTATTTAAACACACCTCTGCTCTTACACTTGAGAATTTTGTCTTGACCTCGACTGAATCATCCATTGACCCTTTCTTTCACTCTACCAACTCCCAACTTGGCGCAAAATCAATTCCCAATCGCAGCCCCTCCCCCTCCCTCCCTGCTCCTTCCTATATAGACATCAGTCACAGCCTCTCAGCAATAACAATAACAACAGCAACAATAACAACAACAACACCTCTTAATACCTCAAAATACCTGAACTACCTCTTCATTACAAAACCCATGATACTCTCCTTTGCTTCTTAGATCCCCCCGACATCTCTGGCACTTTTCTTCTCTCCCAACGAGAAGAAGAAACATAGACCGCACATCATGGATGTCGACATCTCCATCTCCATCCCCATCTCAGTCTCAGACCCTCAGCATGAGTCCCACCTCATCCACGTCCTCAAGACAAAATTCCCCCTTGAGCTCCTCCTCCGTCTCACCGAGCTCATGGACACACCCTCCCTCCTCAACCTCCGACTAGTCTGCCACGACCTTGAGCGCGTCACCTTCTCCATATTCCGCAAACGCTTCTTCACCCACCGCTATGTCCGCTACAGCGCCAAGTCCCTGCGTCACCTAAGTGAAGCATCCTTGTCCTCGAGGCTCTCTCCCCCAACTGAGAGCATCCATTTCATTCCTGTACCCGTCCTCGACGATGACTATGCCGCCTTTGACATCGGCCTGGATCGGGACATGCTCGAAACCGCATTCTCCAACTTACCTAGTCTGCGCGCCATCACCATTCGCTTCGACGGCGCGGCGCGGCGTCTCTTCACCTTCGACGTTCGCATGTTCCGCGTTATCGTTGCGGCTCTCTCCAGAACAGGAACGACCCTTCAGGCTCTTAATCTTGACCAGAGCGGCGGGACTGGTGGGGGCCTCGCCATCAGCGGTCTCTTCATCCCAGAGTTCCTCCGCCCGAGCTTCTATCCACCCCTTCAGGGCATCAAGCACCTCTCCCTCTCCCTCTTCCCAGACCATCAGCCCAGGGACACGCTCCTCACGCAATTCCTGGCCATCTTCCGCAACCTCGAGTTCCTTCGCCTCAACCTCGACCGCGGCAACCCTCACCTATCGTACAGGCTCATGCAATCCATGTTCCGCCCTGCTCTCCCTAATTTATCCACCGTCAAGGAGCTGCAGCTCGGCAAGATGATGATCTCACCAGAGTCCATGGTCCGCATCATCAACGCATTCGCACCTTCCCTCACGGCTCTTGAATTATTTCGCATCGGCCTCTACATTAGCCGCGAGACCGCACCGGTTGATGACGACGACGACGCGGTACCGCGATATTCGGAGCTCGCTGGAAACCCTCAGTGGAAATACGTCTTCACCCAGCTTTCCAAGAACCCTCATCTCGCAAAACTCACGCGCTTCAAAGCCGGTTACTTGACGGAGGGTGCCTCCAGAAGACACGTCTCCTTCCGCGCCGAAGCATCAGAAGAGGGAAAGGAGCCGCCAAGCGTTGCCGTTTGTGAGCATCATGGGTCCAACTTTTCTAAATTCGCGCGAGATGTTAGGGATAACGTTATCGTGCCGCCTCCAAGCCCCACCGGGTGGCAGGGCTTCGATGAAGAGGATGAGGATGAGGATGAAGACGACGATGAGGATATGGACTTGCTCGACGGCGAAGACGAAGACGAGGATGAGGACGGCGAGGACGGCGAGGACGGCGAGGACGAGGGCGCGTGATGATTTACAGGTTAATGACCCTCTTGATTGATAGACATGCGGAATGGTCAGTCTATCCCCCTGCTGCGCCAGCTCATCATCATCTTATATATTTTAAAGGAAAGGCGGGTTTCTGCTGAGAGGCAAGAGGCGAGAAGCGAGAGGGAATGGCGGACTAGGCTAGTGTGGACACGGCGTAATTGCCCAGGTCGGGCCGGGAGGATTGGCTAGGCCGATGAGTGGTTGTTCACTGAACATGTATATTATTTATACCCCTCAAACGATTTGAGAAAATCATCATGAGAAGAAAGGAAAATGCGCATTGGGTTTTTGGTGGAAAACCTATCAAGAGGTATTACAGAGAAGATGGAAAGTATATGCGCGCATGACCCAAAATCTCATGCAAACGATCCCTCATACATTACTGATCTGCCTACCCCTAGTCTCGTGAATAGATCAGCCCATATTACGATCCAACCTCTTACATTCAATTTTCCTTATTTCTTCTTGCTCTTCTGAGCCTTGCGGGCTCGCTTCAGCCCACGTTTGCAAAGGGGAGGCTCAGGCTCAGGCTCTTCCCCACCAGCCTGCGCCAGGATAATCTCCGCAATCTTTTCCGCAACGGCGTAGACCGTCTCGCAAGTAGTAGCACCAATCAAAGTAGGCTGGATGCCACTATCAATAATCCTTAACTTCTTGGTGCCGTAGACGAACAGGTCCTCGTCGACGACGCCACCCCACTCCTGGGGCATCTTGGCCGTGGTACCGATGGGGTGGAAGACGGAAGGAATAACGTTATCCTTGACCCACGCGAGGAGCTGCTCATCAGTCTCAACCTCCGGGCCAGGGCTCGACTCAACGGCTTCGTACTGCGCAAGTTCCCCCGTCGTCATGAAGCGGCGCATGAACTTGACGATCTCGACCATGACGCGGAGATCGAGCGGGTTCGAGCCCGCGCGGTAGTCAACAAGAACCTCGGCCTCTGGGTGGGACGCGTTGAGGCGGACGTGCCCACGAGAGAATGGGTGGAGGTTCTGCACCGAACCGCCCGGACCGGAGAGCATCATTTCGCTGAAGACGACATTGGGCGATCTGACGAGCTCGGAGAAGACCTTTTGCTGTTGACGGTATCCCTCGATCTGCTCGGGCGTGTAGTCCGCTGGGAGGAACTCGGCGGGGTCCTGCGCGGCGTATTCGGCGGCGAGGGCTTCGTAGGCCTCGGGCGCCACGACGGGGAGACCCAGCATGGCGGCGAGGTTAGGATAAGCTCCAGGCCCGACGCCGGGGCCGTAGACGGGGGTCTCGTTGGTCGGGGCCTTGCCCCATTCGTAGGCGATGATGGGGATGTAGCTGTGGTCCTGGAAATTGGCGCCGACTCCGGGGAGGTCGAGCTTGGTCTCGATGCCGGCCTCAGCGAGGTGGGAGGCGGGTCCGATGCCGCTGAGCATGAGGATCTGGGGGGTGTGGATGGCGCCGGCGGCGAGGATGACTTCGCGCTTAGCTTTGACGGTGATGGGCTCGGCGGACGTGTCGTTTCCGGAACGGAAAGTCACGGCCGAGGCAGTCAGGACATCGTTGGAGTCATCAAAGAGGATGGTGGAGACCTTGGCGCCGACGATCATTTGGTAGTTGTCGCGCTGGAGGCCGTCCCAGTGGCCAGTGCGGGCGTAGGATCGTTGGAAGTTGACGTTGTCTTGGGCCATGGGGTACCAATAGAGACCGGCCTCACCGGCACCCGAGTCGACCGGGATGTTCACGCCGGGTACCTTCGACATGGCATCGTAAAGAATCACTTTTGGGGGCAGGCGTGTAAGTCAAAGATGCGACGGAAAGGAATGGAGACGTCAACTTGACAAGAGGGGACACATACTAGTCTGGTCACTGGCATTTCCATTGCTGAACGAGACTTGAATCTCAGCATCCGTACCCCAATAATCCAAGTCATAAAGAATCTTGAACTTTTCGACCTGGTCTTCGGTCGGAGGATTGAGGGTCATGGCCTAGCAGGAACCGTTAGACACTGGAGACCAACTTCCCTCGGTGTACAGTCCGGTGATTTAGTGGAGGAATCAATGAATATATCCATACCTTCCTAAAGAAGGGAAGAAGGCCATTCCAGTCCCAATCGGCAGCATCAGATCCACCAAGTGTCTTCCAGGCATCATACTCCTCCGAGGTACCCCTTAGGAACACCTGGCCGTTGACGAGCGAGCTGCCACCAACACCCTTCCCAATACCCACCAAGAAAGTCCGGTCATTCAGGCCCGGACTCGGCTGCGACGTGATGTCGTACATGCGCTGGAAGTCGAAACCGGTCTTCTCGTGGAAGACGCCCTCCTCAATGACGAGGACGGTGTACTTGCCGTTCTCCGTCAGGCGATCGCCGACCGTGAGGCCGGAGGTGCCGCCGCCGACGATGACGTAGTCGTACTCGTCGGCGACTTCTTCAGCACGGGTGAGGAGCTGGGCGTGTTCGGAGACGACGGGCCAGGCGGCGATGAGCTTGGCCGTCGCGGTCAGGAAGACCAGGACCGAACTTTTGAGATTGCGCATGGTCGTAGAGGTCTCTCAGACTCCGTGGACAATGTACAATGGCCGATTAGTAAACGAGCGGCGAGAGAAGAGGCTATCAAGCTATCAAGGGGACGGGGAGCCTAAAGGAGTGAAAGCTCTTAGGGTTCCTCTTACAAGCACCATTACAGGGCGAGAGAGGTGTCATGGGACTGTATTTAAGCCAACGCCCCATGATTGATCAATTGGCCCAGCCAACTTAGAGAACTTGGCAGTCTGACTCCCCCGAAGCTGCGGGCAAGGCAAGACAAGCCATGAACAATCTATGGTTCAATGGAACATTGAAGCAACAATATCGTGCAGCGAGGTCGCAACAATCCGGATCCTTCTCCACTGAGAACATTTTCCAAATCAGACCAGACAATATGTATTCTAGCATCCCCATTGGAGGATTAGCGCCAAGACGCAGTTCATCTCGTCTCCCCGCCATCAGGCTCAATTGACAACGAGTAACGAACGGGGGTTTTGTCGATGGAGTGGAGAGAGGGAGAGAGTGCCCAGGCCCGGAGTATTCAATGCTACCGTGGGTCGGGGAAATTGGTGGGGAGAAGACTTGAGGATGGATAAATTCAAGGCATCCCAACCCAGAGCTAGTGTAAGTGTGCGAGAGCTATGGTCCGATGCCAACGCTGCAAAGAAACTATGGAAGTCAAAACCAAATAGTCTAGACAATATATATCGGTTTGAACTTGCAACATGAAGTGGAATCTCTCTCGCAAAAGCCTCTTGAACTATCGGAATCTGAAGAAGAAATGACGATGAACTGCCTTGATTCTCACCAACACCGCCGCGCCTTCCCTGCTCCCAAAGGGACGATATCACCAATATGCACTATTCATGTTCCGCAATTCTCTTCTTGATTATTACCGGATACAGCATCGCTTTGATTCCAACGCCTGGCTGTTATTATCGCTAGATCGCTAGATCTACGAAGCACTCAGTAGTAAACCAGGTCAGGCCTGCGGGAAGCTCGGAATCTCGACCGATCACATTAATCCCAATGTTGCATGCCGATACAACCTTGGAAAGATGCGCCGACTTTTACGAGATAATGCGCCGCCCATCCAGGGCGTAAATCCCGAGGCGTCCGTTCGCATAAAGCAATTTCTCCGAACAGGAGTTGGCACATAATCCCCATGTTTCCGTAAATCTCCAGCCTGGACTGATGAGGCCTATGCAATTGATGAAGGCGGTCCTTTGCGGAGACGTAACTCTTCCTTTCTCCAACAGCTTCTCCATGCCGACGTCCCCCGCATTCCGCCCCCGGATGCGTATTCTTCCTCGAGGTGCTGGAGAGACGGCCCAATAACCAGGATCAACCCCCAACGTCTTGGCCTTGGTGACATCTACGCATCTAGCCATTGACCCAAAATTGCAACGACACCATCATCATGGAAGGAATGCCAAGCACTAGGAATGTCACCGCAGGCCGTTACATCGGGCAGTGACGTCCTGCGAGCAGTGTGAGTGAGAGTCTGCGAGCGCCGCGGAGGCTCCTGGTCGCACGCTTGACGCAGGTACTGCAGAAGATCCCTGAAGCCGGCTCCATTTGGCCTGGTCCGCATCTTTCAGTTGCTGCCAAGCCGGAGAATCATCCTCATTTATTCCAAGTTGGTGCTGAGTCTAGCAAGGAGTCGTGTTCGTCTGCATGAACCTGGTCAACTTCTTGCCCTCCTCTACCTCGCTTCGTAATATGAAGTAGCATTGGCGGAGATGATCTTCAATAAAAAGCGTCAACTGAGGAAACATTGTTGACTAATTTCTTACTGATGTGAAGATTCATGAAATAACTCTGGCAGTTTGAATTCTCACCAGATTCTCGCCTTGGCCTGCAGCAAGCGCAATCTCCCGGTTCCCTGGTTCTCATCTCAACTTATGCCCGGTCGCGTTAATACTTGCCTCGGGGAAGTTTGACAGGATTGCCATATGGCACGATTTGTTGGAGAGACAGCAGCATTTCCAAGGGCAAGTTGAATTTATTACCGAGTGCTTTGCTGGGTAGAACCCAACAGCTTTCGGACCTACGTCTAAACTGACTCTGATTTTGGGCTTCTGCGGGTTCCGGCGGTTGTGTAGTTTATCACCAAGACGTGGATCCCGCGAAGCCGAGTCGCCTCTGATGGAAGTGTCGTGTAAACACCCACAGGGATCTGCGCTCGCTCCTTCATACAATCATCAAGATATTGACGACTTTAGTTCAGAAAACTCTGGCATTCTCCGGGAAGAAACATCAAAGGGTGGACTTTAACCATGTCTGGTGATTACAAAATTGCAGGAACTAATATCAGATTGAATTGATGTACACACAGAGAGATGATAATCGTCATGCACCTCTCTCGCCAGATCTCGGCACCGCTTTGATACTCATCCTCCAAAACAAAACGAACTTAACTCTCACGCTATTGACAGTTTCCAGTTCTGAAATAGTCAGGTAGTGAACGAAGTTCCAAGTCAATCACTTGTGTCGCGTTCCGCTCATGCTCTACTGGACCGTAGAGGAGCCAGCCCGAGCTAGGCTGGAGCGTCCCGTGGTGAGCTGGGTCATCGTCTACCTCAGCTTCCTCACCATCATCGCCTGCCTTTGCCTTTGCCGCCCTTTGATAAGCGTCGAGGTAACCATCGGGATATCCCTCCGTGATCCTCTTGCCAAGCGTACCGGCAAGTACCATGGCCTGGAACTTCTCAACGTCTCTGAAGTTGTCCATGACGAACGGCGCCTGTGCGTATCCAACCGGCAGACCGTTGATCGGAACCCTTGCATACGTGACCCCATCCAACCGAGCACCATCATGCCGCGCAGTATCGTAACCAGGATCGCCTTTCTTGATGCGTGTGTACCTGCCAGCCGTATCCCAGTGAAAGAACCCCGTAAGCCAGCCATTGAGGAAGTACGGCGGCTCGCCACACATGCCGCCCGACTCGGCAATGACGATGCTGTTCCAGAAATCCTTAATCTCGTCGCTATCCGGTTCGTCGAAGCTCTTGACGAACCGCGATAGAATGGGCCGCAACTGGGCCTGGTACTCTGCTGGCTCATCCCCGAATTCAGAGAGGCGGTCGAGCTTGTCGTGCAGCTGCTCCCAGTCACTCTTTTCGCCGAGTAAAGTGACGGAGGGGAAACCGCAGATGATGCCGCCTTCATACCGAAAGTAGGCCTTCATGAGGCCCATCATGAGGACGTTGGCCGTCATGCGGTCTGACTCGGTGGTCGTGGTGAAGTTGGGTTGTATCCAATCCAAGAGCCAATCCGTCTTGACGCGGTCTTGGATCTCATATTGGAAGCGCTCGAGGACTCGGTACCACGTTACGTCCTTGATCTTGATAGTCTCGCGACCTTCAGAGTCAACGAAGAGACTTCGGAGTTCCTCGGCATGGGTGTTCATGTAAAAGTTCATTTGTACGAGAATGGTGAACCAAACCTCCTCGGGCCGGATGACAAAATGTAGGTGTTGCCCCCATGCATGGATCGCACCGCGGATGAAGCTATCTAACGAAGGTTGCAGACCGGTCTCTTCGGTGATGTCCTCGAAGTCGAGGGATGACATGAGAATGTCGGCATCGACTTGTATGAGCCCGCCGCCGACGCTCTCCTGGAAGAAGGTGTCTGCTGATGTGAGGGCTGCCGGGCCCGTGTACGGCTTGGGCTCGCCTCCGGGGATGATGATGACCTTGGCCGTGGCGGAGGCTATGATGAGAGCCGAGAGGAACCTAGATAGAGCTTGCCGCATCGTGAATGCTCAAATATATTCGATCGAACTTTATGAAAGTGATCCCTCTTCTAGTTCTTCAAGAGTAGGTCTGATTTTCCCTCACAGCTCATCCCGTTGCTCTTCTCATAGCATTACGAGGCAAAAAGAGAGTTAGCTATCCGTCGCCTTTTAATACACATCTAGTCCTTAGAATCTCAAGGCTGATTTTCTCAATCATCTCAGTCCCCAATTCCATCGCGATCAGCCTTACTTACTTTACAGTGTCACCGCCACAGTCACCGGCAGATTTCAGGCAGAGGAAGATATCCGGGAAATAAGAGCAGAAGAAGTAGATCGTCTCCTGACATATAGCATTTAATATAGCACAGCCTGGTTTTTCATTGGAAGAACGAACAACTTACGTCTAGGTAACAAGACTTAATTAAAGAGCATTGAATCAACCAAAAAATAAACCTCTCACTAAAGGCCCTTCCCAGTCCTACTCCAAGGGTTGCGTCTACTGCTTGGACCACTGGCGCGGCGTCCAGATGGGGATCTCCATTACTGCAGGATATTTCCGAGCTTGCTTTACTCGATCCCTGGGAACTAGTTCGCGGCCCGCTGTACTCAAAACTTGGGTTGCGGTAGGATCGAACCCAATCGGTCGGGGCCGAGAGGCAACGGACTGACCGTAGCTGCTTTCAAGGAAAGAGGTAGGTCTTTGGAGAAAGGTTGCGACATTATTGCATGTTATGAGGCTATTCCGAGTGTTTTTTCGAGGGAGATATTGGTTGGGAAGGAGCAACGCAGGGTTGAGCTGGAGCAGAGACGCGGAAGGAGACACGGAGGAGGTACGGATGCGGCAGGGAAGGAGGCGCAGGCGGCGTCGAGAGATCGAGGAAGGCACGTTCGTGAGGGCGGGGTTAGACACGAGGCTGACATAGACACTCCGGCAAATCTGAAGAAGAAAATGCTGTGTTACGCAGAAAACAAACAAGCCACCTCATCATTTGATATCAACTGTCGAACGCGGGAAAGATGTTGTCCTCATCATCTTGTTGCCGCAACATAACGCCCATCCACTTGGCCAAAACCAAACTCGGTGTATCCGAGGGCTGTTTCGTTTCCACCTTCCCTCGTATTTTTCTGTGTCTCCTCGCGACTATGGCCAACAGCTGGTGTAGTGCTGCGCAAAACAGAAACTTGCTTCACCTCGCTAGAGACGGTTGGTATGTGAATTCTCACGTTGTCGGTTCAAGAGCAAGGTCTTGGTCCAAGCCCATGCGGACATGCGAAAATTGCACCGTCGCATTGCAGACCACATATGTCTCCAGCCTGTACACATGGAATTATGTTGTGTTTGAACTTCCTCGAGCTTGCCCTTTCCTGGAACATCGTGAATGAGGTTCGCTTTCGCTTCATGAGCAGGGGCAAGCGGTAGAGTCTAGAGTACGGCTGAAAGGTGATACACAGGAGCAGATGCACGCACGAAGAAGCGTGTCTTAACTCAGGTGCTGAACCACCTCTCCAAAACCCAAAACGGAAGACACGCGGTGAAGAGCGTGGCTCGTGGCTTGACGGGACGACGCAATGCAATGCAAGGCCCGAAACTAACAAAAGGACCAAATAGTCTGCTTCCCCCCCTAGCCCTAGGCTCTAAATGGACCGTTTGAGAGCCTGTCCCCTGTTCCCGAACGAAGCCACCTCGCGATGGCTTCCTCAAAGGAATAGGGCTAGAGAGCGACTAAGTAGTTTATTGAGAAACCTTGAGCGTTGCGGCGAGCCTATGAGCAATCGGGAAGTCCTCGAGTCTCAGATTGGCTCTTCATCGCCAGAAGTTTGGGACTTTCTAGAAGAAGCAACCAACGCTGGAAGCGGACCAGACCGTCCGGGATTAACCTGTCTCCAGCAAGGATTAATGCGTGAGACGATATCATATCATCCTGGGTTTCTAAATATACTCAGCTGAAGTTGCCAAGACGAGTCGGCACCGGAGTGGTGCCGACCTGACGTCCTCGACGCCTCGAAAAGCCAATGAGAGGCAAAGAGGCTAGTCCGAGTGCCAATCAACGCGGCCGACAAAAGGATAACAGACAAGGGTCACGGTGCGATATGGCAGATATATTGACGTTGGGGAGGGCCTTTCAGGGGGGCTCACGCTAGGCGATGGCGGATTAAGGTTAGAACAAGGGGGAATTGGGGGATAATTAGGTTGGAAGTCCGTATAAGTGGAGATGACACGCCTCAAGGTGCAGCCAGGTCATCCGCACAGGCTGCAACGTTCGACATGCGCCAACCAAATGTCCGCGAAATGATACGAGGGCTGATCTGCTCCTCGAAGACGCAATGACATACCTTACCCAGGACAGTCTAGCACCCCCCGAGACCATGACAGATGAGATGGGACCCAAAAGAGTAAGTGGAGAGAACCCACCAAAGAGAACAACGCTCGCTGGGGCAGTGGGGAGGAATATTCACATCTCATCATATTATCTGAACATAACAGGAATACGAAATCAATCATAGACATACGAAGCGGCCCAGCCAAGCCCTCAGCTCTTCGCTCTGCTTGCCCAATAATGTGCTCAGCTTTGGCGGCCTCCTCGCCCCTCTCTCGGCGGACGGACCCAGGTCCGAAGTCCGAAGACCCGGCCGGAAAGCGTTGGCGAGTTGATGAGAGCCCGAGTCCCTCTCCACATAAAATCCCGCCAAGCAAGCCTGTGCTGTGCTGCTTTTCTTTGCTGGGATTGGAGCAGAGAAAGCAGTATTACGAAGTAAGTCCGAAACCAAACTTTGTAAATTTTGTGAGGACTCATCCTCCGTATTCCTTTTTTTTGATCACTTTCTTTTTTTTAATGTTGGACTTTTCTTTTTCTTGTTCTTCTTCTCCTTTTTTACCTTTGCCTACCTTTTCTCCCTTGTGGACTCGAGAATACTCGGTTTCTGTTTAATAAGTAACTTCTCCTCGTCATTCTTCCCTGCGTGAATAACCGGCTCCAAATCAGCCCGAGCCTTTCACACAATGAAGAAGGATTCCAAGGTAAGTCTAGGCTGCCACATTTCTTACCCACACTCGACTTACTCTATGCGAAGTATACGTTCTTCTCCCCCATTCCCCCCATTTTCCCACTTCACTCAGCCCCAAGGAAACACAAAAGCAGCGAGAAAAGTGCCCCCCCTTCTCTCTCTCCCAAACCCGCCGTCACACTAACATGTCCCTCCCTTCTTCTTCGCCACCCGAGCAACAGCCGCCGGCAGAGAACCCAACAGCGATACGCATCCGCGACAACCAGCGCCGCTCCCGCGCCCGCCACCGTGAGTTTGTCGAGACCCTCCAGCGCAAAGTCCAAGAGTACGAGCGCCAGGGTGTGCAGGCCACTCTGGAGATGCAGCGGGCGGCCCGCGATGTCGCCCTGGAGAACTCGAGGTTAAGAGCGCTGCTGACCCAAAAGGGCGTCTCGGAAGAGGAGGTCGAGGGGTACCTTCACTCGCTCAAGGCGGGAGGGGAGGGGATTCCCGATGTTTTGAGGTCGGCGGATGGCCCGGGATCGTCGCGCCGGAGCATCTCGGCCACGAGCGAGGCGAGTGTGCCTAGTGCGAGGGGCAGTATTAGTCCCGGACCGGCGGGTAGGACGGACCGGAGCTCTGCTGGGCCCATGTCGTTGAAGCATCTTATAAACGAGGATGACTCTACGCCGCATGCGCTGCCTATTCTTAGAGGCCCCGAAAGGCCTCTGGATCCTCTTGGGACGTTCCCGCCAGGATACAATCCGTCGATGGCGCCGAGGCACCTTGAACCGCACCCTTTCGTCACCCAACCTAGATCCCCCACGTCGAGAGAGTTTGGCGTGTTGTCACCATCTAGCCTTTCGACCGCTCCTTCGCCCCACGAGATGCCGTGTAATACGGCAGCGCAAATCATCGCTGGCGTGCAAGGCCACAGTGATGAAGGTCGGGCACGGCAAGCTCTCGGCTGTGAGGACTCTTCGAACTGTATGGTGAGGAATACCACAGTCTTCCAGGTACTAGAGGATTCATGACGGCCCTGGGTTCCAACAAGGTATTCGCACTCTCAAGCTGGATGGGAACAGTACCCCCCATGCACGCTCCCTTCAAGGCCTGGTTATATTGTCCAGCGTCATTGAGGAGGGAGCATACACCCACAAAATATTGTCATTACAACATGGTTATTACGGGCGAAACGAATCTTCTCTACCATGCTTCCACCTCAACTAACACCTCCTCTTTCTAAACGGGCACGTCCACGAAATACCGTTGCCACACGCTCGGGACATGAGAGGGCCGAGGAGAGGAAGAGGGTAAAGAAATTACATGTGCTGCCGCGATGAGTGCGACAAATCCAAACTCACATGCTTGCATGAAATGAAAAGGCGAGGAGGATACGTAGGATACCTAAGGTCCTCGGGTAGGAACCAAACCCGTCACCCGTCACCCGTCACTCTTTGGAGCGCACGAATATACGTCAAAAGCGTCGAAGAGGGCGAGACTACCACTGATGCCTATACACCCACCATACGTCGGAACAAAGCGCCCAGAGAGACACCGTTGCTCGGCGAGACGGAGAGAGAGGAAGGGACAGAACGTCGTCGATGGACGGGGGGTGTTGTTGGCGGTTTGCAGCAAGCGGGATTGACGCATCAATTTACCCAACCGCTTACCCGGAGAATCTGACGAGGCAGGACTGGTTGCCTAAAATATATTGGCACTCGCCGAATGACTGGATCTATATTCATTGATCTTAATCTCTCGGTCATCGAGATTGACAGCTGTGTTGCTACCCAGGGCTGCGGCTCAAGCAACCCGAATCTACGAAGTAGGGTAGGCGTGTGACGACGGCAAGAAGACGGCCAAATTTCGAGTCGGAAGGGCATTTATATTTCGCACCCGCGACCTGCGATACGACAAAAAAAAAGGGAAGGAAATAAAATAAAATAAAGAAATAAAAATAAAAATAAATTCAAATGTGAAGTGTCACCGAGCGTCAGCCTCCTCGTCATTGCATTGACCCTCGAGCATGGCTCAGCACAACGCACTTGCTTATAATTGATCGAGGTCAATTGAGGCCTTCGACTAAATTTCGACCGACCTGTTTTCGATCAACTTGACTCCCTGCTGTTCTGTTGCGGAATGGAGATTAAAGAGGCAAAAAGAAGCGAGCGACGCAAGACTCGAACTTGCAACCTTTGCTTGGTGCTCTTAATAGGAGAGCAACGCGCTACCATTGCGCCAGCCGCCCGATTCGCTTGTTGGTTGGCATTGCACTTTCTTATCCAGCCCTATTAACCAAGTACCACTGCACCTCAGCAAATTCTGCAGGGATTAAATCAGTATCCACTACTTCATAATCCACCCATCAATCAAAGGGTAGTAGCAACTTTGAAGTGAAGAGGACAAAAGATGTGGCGAGTCTCCTGCACTTCAAAAAAGAGAAAAAAAGAACGAAGGTGTAGGAGTCAAGGAAAGGGCACTTTGAACGTTGTGGCAATGAGTGAAATGCATGGTCATAATAATGATTCATTGTTCAAATTCAAAATTGTTACCATTACATTATAACCCATTCTGCAGCTCTGCTTGTAGATCCAGAGAGAAGAAGAGCATGCAATGTCATGCTGCCAGGCTGGGATGGCAATGGCACAGGCAGCCAACCCATGACTTCATCGCCACATCTTCCCAGTATCCTCAAAGGCATTGTCCTGGTGCTATCCTAAGCACTCAAAGAGCCTTCGAAAAGTGACTCTTGAACTTCTTGTTGGCGCGATCGGCTGCCCTGTAGAGGAATTGATCCCCATGTATCTCGAAAACAAAGTCTTCCACCTTGATCTCCTCCTTCGACTCCGTTGGGGCCGCCTCGCCCTCCACTGCCCCCTCCGTTATTGCAGGCGGCACCTTTACCTCCACCGGGACAACAACCCTAAAGACTGTTCCCTCTTTAGGAATTGTCTTAATCTGGTTCTTCCTCGTAACGATATCAAAAACAAACCGCGAGTCTTTGATTACAATCCCTTTCACACCCACCCTACTCACGCATCCGCTGCGACAAACCTCCACCTCGGCGCCGTGAAAATCCGCGCTCGTAAGTTTCTGTGCAGTGTCCGGACTCCGTCTATAAATGTCATTCCCCAGTATTTCGCGAATATACCCCAGCCAGAGCTTGTTCAGAGGCTCGAAGAGAGCATACTTGGCTTTGTCGCGGGGCACGTCGTAGAGGCCGAGCTGGCGGCGTTCGCTCGCCGATAGCGGCTTGGGCTTCTGCTTCCTTTTTTGCTTCTCGAGTTGGCGCGCTTTTCGGCGGGCGTCTCGCGCATTTGTCGGGGGTGGAGAGGAGGGCCGGAGGAGGAGGGGGCGGTATTGGATTTTTTCACTGTAGATTCGGTTGGCGCTGTCGGGGGAGTGCGCGCGGGCGAGGAGAGCCTGCACTACGGGCTGTCCGGTATTGCTCGTCATATCGGAGGGGTATGAGCACCCATGGCAGGCTGGCTGGAGGGAGCGGATGATGCTCGTCGTGTCGCCAGGAATAGAGGCTTCCTGGTCGTTGCGGGAAACAGTGTGCTGAATTTGTGGTTTTTTGACTGCTCTTTTTTTTCCCTGGCGGGGACACGACTTGGCAACAGCACTGACCAACACTCAGAAGGTGGTGACTGCGCTGATTAAACTAAACTTACAATCGTACAATCGGTACGTATCCATCCATCTGGTTACCCCACAGCACCTTCCTCCTCTCTGCGTTAGCGTCACCCAATTCACATGCTTCGAGTGGATATTCCCGGTTCCACTTTCCGCTCACGAGAGGAGCACCTGCCGAAATCTGGAGAACCCCTCGACAATCCCCGACATTCCCCAGTCCTTTTAAGCCCGACCCCATTGCTCTTTCCCCAGCTCTCATTCGACCACTCGGACTCTTAAATTCTGCCTGCAAGACCCTGTCTTCTCCAATTTCCTTGGCTGCAAATCAATGTGAAGAACTTGCGCCCATCAATTGCTTTCCCTTCCCATCAATTGATATCTCTCCAAATCTCCAGATTCTTCATACCGCCACTGCTGCTTCCGCCCTCCCTGCACGCACCCACATCGCACCTCGGCCAGCCATGGCGTCAACGAGCGACAACTCCGACACCCTGGCCCCGGACCTTCAGATCCTCGGAGATGAAATCATTCTCCAGCCCAGCGGTTTTGTCGAGTCGAGGGAGCGCAGTGGCGAGAAGGAACATGCACTTATGAAGAACACTGTTCGCTTTCGATCCGAGCCATTGCAGTGAGCTAGCCACCATTGTCCCCTTTCTTTTTCAACTTTTTACTTCTTTTTTTTTTCTCCTGTGTTTTATGACTCGAGCTTGTCGAAGCAGCCGGGAAGCACCACGGCTAACCACTCCCGGTTCCTCCTCATAGATTCCTCCGCGAAGTCTCCCTCTACGTCTCCGGCACAGGATGGCGCGCATACGACAACATAATTGGCCAGCCCGTCTTCTACCCCGGCTTCTCCGAGCAGATGAAGGGCCAGATCCTCTCCGCCCCCCTCCTCCAGTCGCGCATCGCCGAGCTCGCCGAGAAACGGATAGCGGTCGAAGAGAAGGAAGGTCTTTTGGATAAGCAGGATCCGAACTATGCCATCAAGCGCTCCCAGCGTCGGTCCGCTCTCGAGGCGGGTCTTCAGCAGGTGGCCGAGAAGCTCACAGACAACATGATTTGCAAGTTCGAGAGCAAGGCGTTTATCAGAGGGGCGTACTACCTCGTCACGCAGTTGACGCTCCGTGCATATCACCAAGGCATCCACGTGTCCAGCGAGGAGGTCGTGCGGCTGAGGAAGGTGGCCGAGATTGCCGAGAGGAAGAAGCAGAGCATCATCTTTTTGCCTTGCCACAGGTCGCATGTCGACTACGTCTCGCTCCAAGTCATTTGCTACAGGTTAGGCCTGTCGCTACCGAACGTTGTCGCAGGCGATAACCTCAACTTCCCCATTGTGGGGCAATTCCTGCAGAATGCCGGGGCTTTTTGGATTCGGCGGTCTTTTGGAGACGATATGCTTTATACCACTCTAGTTCAGACTTATATCGATACGCTGCTGCAGGGCGGCTACAATTTCGAATGCTTCATCGAAGGCGGCCGGTCTCGGACTGGCAAACTCCTTCCGCCCAAGTTCGGTATCTTGAGTTTTATCCTGGACAGTCTTCTATCCGGACGAGTTGAGGATGCGATCATCTGCCCGGTCAGCACGCAGTACGACAAGGTCATTGAGACCGAGGGTTACGTGACCGAGCTCCTCGGTGTTCCCAAGAAGAAGGAGAACCTGGCCGATTTCCTCACGGGGGGCTCCTCTGTCCTCTCGCTCCGGCTAGGGAGGGTAGACGTGCGCTTCCACGAGCCCTGGAGTCTACGCACATTCATCAACGACCAACTCACCAAGTTGACACCGTCTCCTTCCAGCTTCCAACTCAACATGAAAGACCCGCAGGTCGTCGCAGTGCGGCATAAGCTGCTTCGGACCTTAGGCTACCGAGTTCTGTCCGACATTAACGACGTCTCAGTCGTCATGCCCACGGCGCTGATCGGCACCGTGCTCCTGACGCTTCGAGGTCGAGGTGTCGGAAAGGCCGAGCTAGTTCGCCGCGTCGAGTGGCTAACATGCCGAGTGCGAGCCAAGGGCGGCCGAGTAGCGCATTTCGGCAACGCGCCGCTGTCGGAAATCATCGAACGCGGTCTTGACGTCCTCGGCAAGGACCTCGTCGGCGTCGTCGAAGGATTGCCCGAACCCACTTACTACGCCGTCGATCGCTTCCAGCTCTCGTTTTACCGCAACATGACGATCCACCTCTTCGTCTCCGAAGCCCTCGTCAGCGCGGCCATGTACACGCGCATAAAACTCGGCGGCGGCCCCGCGAACCAAGACATTTCCTACCAGGACCTCCTCGATCAGGTGCTCTTCCTGTCGTCCCTCTTCCGCGGCGAGTTTATCTTCTCGGGCGAGGGCTTGGTTGTCAATCTCGAGAAGACGCTGCGGGGACTCGAGGCTGATAACGTTATTTACCTCGAGCGAGACCCGGCGACTGGTAAGATTGTCAAGGCGGGGCTTTCGGATGAAGAGCGGCGTGCTGGGAGGGAGAATTACGATTTTTACTGTTTCCTTATATGGCCGTTCATTGAGGCTAGCTGGCTTGCTGCTGTGTCGCTGATGGGTTTGTCGCCTCCCGTCGGCGAGAAGGAGGATGTCTGGGTCGAGGTAGCGAAGGCCCAGAACAGCGCCCAATTGGTATGTTTCCTTCTGTATTCTTCTCTATCCTGACATCGAAAACTAATACACAATTCAAAGCTCGGCAAGACGCTCTACCACCAAGGCGACCTCAGCTACTTCGAAGCCGTCAACAAAGAAACCCTCAAAAACTCCTTCCAGCGCTTCGAAGAAGAAGGCATCCTCCAAGTCGTCCCGTCCAAGATCCCCAAAGTTCCCCCTCGCCTCCGCCTCGCGCCCGAATGGCGTCCGCCCCGCGACTCCTCCGACGGATCCCTCCTCGCGTCGGGCCGGCTCTGGGATTTCACGGAGAAGATCGCGTCGTCGCGGCGCGAAGGGAAGAATAGGCGCGACGGGGCGACGGTGAGCACGCGGGTTCTGCATTTGACGGATGGGTTGGGGAGGAAGCTCATGGAGGAAGCGAAGGAGGATAAGGGGAATGTGCCGCACCGGTTGAGTAGGGAGGATGCGGAGACGTTGAGGAGGAAGGTGAGGGAGGGGAGTGGGAGGAAGAAGTTGGCGGGGAGGGCGCATTTGTAGTTGTAGTAGTAGCAGTGGAAGTGTGTGAGAGTAGCTATTGTGACGTTAGCATTGAGAGGAGCAGAAGTTGTATCTCACATGAATAATGTAACTATATATATGCATTCGACGCTTGTATCAGCTCCAAGCATCCTCTATCTAGTCTATGTCGTCCAAAGCAGGCTATATCCAGAATGGCCCTTCGGCAGCATTCCATAACACACCTCGGCTTCTATGCCAAAAGGAGTTAAATGCAAACAAAAATAGAAGGAATAAACACACACGCCACGTATATATACATGAATATAGAACGAAAATATCTATTTCACTCCGCTCACTCCTTTGATCTTGGCAGCAGGCGAATATTATCAATCAACCTCACCGGCGGCCCACCACTATGCCCCAAGTCCTCACCCTCCCACGGCTCCTCAACCTCCAGCATCCTAATAGCCCCGCTCAAGATGGCACCCCTCTCAGGATCCACGACTTCGACCTCCTGCATGGTATCCGGGTCCGCCACGGAGATGTAGTCCACGACATACCGCACCCTCTTGGTCGGCGGCAGCGCATTCTGCTCGTCAAGCGTCGTCTGCAACACACCCCTCGCGGCATCGAGAATGGCCGCGCTATCAGCCACGCCGGCGCCGACGTAGACGTTCTCGGCGGCCTTGAGAGCCCTGCTAAGCACGGTAGCGACGGCGCGTCTCCTCGTGCCGAGGTAGGCGTTCCGCGAGCTCTGGGCTAGGCCATCGGGGTCGCGCATGGTGGGCCCGATGACGACGTCGATGGGCATGAGGAAGTCGCGGACGAGCCGGCGGATAATGACGGTTTGCTGGGCGTCCTTTTGGCCGAAGTAGACTCGATCCGGGCGGACGGCATTGAAGAGTTTCATGCAGACGGTGGCGACGCCGCGGAAGAAGGTCGGGCGGCTCTTTCCCTCCAGAACCTCCCCGACGGGCGTTATGGACACAAAACTACCCTTCGAATCGACCTCCTGTCCGGGGAACCCCTCGGGGTACATGTCCGCCGTGGAGGGCGCGAAGACGGCCGACACGCGACCGAGGTTCGCCCCATCCTCGGCCAATTCGCGATCCAGCTTCGCGATGGCTGCGACGTCGGCGGCCCAGGTGGAAGGGTAGGATGCGAAGTCCTCGGAGGCGCCGAACTGGGCCGGGTTGAGGTAGATGCTGACGATGACGTGGTGGTTCTCGCGGGCGGCAAGGCGGATGAGGGAGAAGTGGCCCTCGTGGAGGGCGCCCATTGTGGGGACCAGGCCGACGAGGCGGTGGTTGTGGACGAGGGGGTCGCGGAAGGCGCGGAGGGAGGGGACGGTGCGGAGGACGCGGATGGAGGTGGTGGGGATGGTTTCGTGGGAGGAGGGCATCTTGCAGGCGCGTAGGGGTGGGCTGGTGGTGAGTGTTCTTCGGGGAGTGGTCGACAGAGAGTGACGGAGGGCGAGGGCGGAGGTGGAGGACTGGAGAGGAGCGGCGGCGGCGCAGAGGGTTGGGGAGGGTTTGGATGCCCGGAGGAGGGCGGTGCCGAGGCGCGAGGGCAGCCGGCCCATCATTGGAGATATTTTTTTCTGTGGAGAGCCGAGGACGGAGGAGGGCGCGTCGGAGGGAAGGGTTGGGCTGGTGGGTTCCAGATGGAAACTCGGGTGGGTTGGCTCTTTTTGCTATTTCAATTTTTTTTCCCTGGCGGGGAGAGGAGGAAAGATCTTGCTGCGATTAGCGCTGCCGTTCAGGGCGGGAGCCTGGTTTTAGGGGACATTGTGGAGTCGAGTGTGACGGATTGTACCGCGAAGTTTGGAGGACGACGGAAAGGGAATTCGATCTGGGCGATGAAGGAGGGGCGGACACGAGGACACGCGGACAAATGCCGCATTTAGAGGATCAATTTCGAGAAGGCATGTGATGGTGATGAGAGGCATCAATTGATCGTTTTCGGGGGTGAATGGGCGAAGGGAGGAATTGATGGAGATCAATATGCAGGCGAGAGACCTGGACACTTGGATGAGTGAGATATTGGGAGTACCTGATTTGTAAGTTTCGCGATGTCCTGAGGCAGTTAGATTTACATTGGTATTCATTGTTCTTATTATTATTCTTTTGTAAAATACTTTGTAAAATACATTGTATTCTTGTCACTATTTGCGATTGATTACATCAATCGATCCTTCGCCATTCATTATTGTAGATTACTTCTTCAAACACGATCAGCGCTGCCCAGCGACTCCCGAGGGACGGAGCATCGCCGTCAGCGAAATCTTGAGATCCCATCCAGTCCATCCCTGTCCTTCAACTCGTGGGGTTGACCCACTGCGCCATCAGTTGATTTGCCTTCCATTCCCAAAGCGGCACAAACACCTTATAACCGAGTACTAGACCAAGAAGCCTTCACATCACTGGGCAATGGGTAGCCTTGCACCCGCCAGTCTACAGCATAACCCAGAACCACGTGTGGGACTCGGGAACCTACCCGTCGAGTTATTACTAGAGATCGCCTCCGAACTCGTTCTCGAGGATTTCCTCGCCTGCGCCCAGGTCTCTCGACAATGGCACGCATCATGGTCCCAGCCAGGCATGGTCGCTGTGCTCTGTCGCAGGTTCTTCCCCATCAGCACGCAGTCTAAACCTCACACGTTCTCCACCTTCCAGAAGGCATGCCGCAAATTCTTCCGTCGACGGCATGGGAAGTATGCGGCTGCGATGGACATCACCTGGGGGGACTGGGAGGCTGGGCGCCCTTGTCATTTTGAGCCTGATCGCAACGTCCATCCTGACGGCCAATTCCCGGAACCAGAAATAGATCAACTGTACATTCTCGTCTATGGTGATGGCAATATTGTGCGGACTGATAAGAAAGAGTTGATCTTTATCGATAATTTGTACACGCGGACACGGAAAGTTCTACAGGGAGCTAACTGGAACTTCAACACGCTCTCGGCTTTCCCATATACGTCGGCGGTAGGCAATTCACTTTTGGCTACGCAGGTAGGACATGCCGAGAGCGGATTCCCCGTGTAAGTCGACTTGGAGAAGCGCGCATTAAGGAAATGATGCTTACGCAACAGCTTAGATTCATATATCATCTGAAAACAAGTGTTGGAGTCAAGTATGTATTCGAAGACGACCTCACCCGTTGGCTGAGTATTCGCACCTGGGGCGAGAAGGTCTTTATAGCTTCTGGCCCTTCAAGTGTCCATGTATTCTCGCATAATGGAGCCGACCTCTCCCTCACCTACGTTATTAACCCCTATGGCTCCTTGCCGCCCGAATGGCACGGCTTTGTCCGCACAACCGGAAACAGATACCTTTTCGACCGACATCAGACAAACTTCCTCCCCCACCCGCGCAACCCAGATGGGGTATTCATTGTGCTAGCTGGGACAACCCTCGAGTCCGAGCTAGATGATGGCGCCTTCTTCCTAGTGCGAGAGTTTAACGGTACTACGCACGTAGCGACTTATTCGTGTGACGTCTGGGAAAATATGGTCGCGGCGATGGAGGCCGTATTTAACCAAGATGATAACAAGTCTGCTCAACAGGAGCTAGAGGCGGCCATGTCGAGGATGGAGGTGTGGGACTTTGACTGGGGAAGCATACATGATGAGTGGCCCGGGAGCTTCGGCGGCGATGAGGGCGTGTACGAGGTGTTCCGCTTTGCCTTTAATTCCAAGAACCTTGCCGGCCCCGGTCAACCCCCCCGATTCGGGTGGGGAATCCACCAGCAGATCTCGGTTACTTTCTGCACGACTACGAAGCAGTGGGGAGCCCAGGGCGCCCTTATTGATGATGGCGAGGACGGTCTTTTTAATACCGATTGGGCCTCGCGGGGTTCGATGCTAAGGAACAACCAACTTGTCCGCATGAACTATAACAAAGATGGCGTTCTAGGCCTAAGACCTACTATCACAACGCGTGATATCAATCTCATTGTTGGCGAGGAGAGAACCCGCACGGAGCTAGGAAAGCGCAATGACTTGTACCTTCTGGAACACGAGAATAAGGGCAGGCCCAAGCCACGCGCGGTGGGAAACCATCGTAGATTCTCCCACGATGAAGACTTTACGGTTATGTGGGACCGCTTTTGCGGGGACTGCGTTGTGTTTGACTTTAGAGAGTAGAAAGGCGATGACGATGTAAGTGGGTGAGTGGGGTGTTGATGGATTGTACATTGAAGTGTGGAAGACGACGGAAAAGGAGAGAAGTGGGAGTTATTTTGGGAACACACGGGAAAATGCCTCATATTGGAGAAAGAGAAGAGAGAATCAATGTCGAAGAGGATGTGTGCATGACGGGACACATCTTCGTTCGTCGGGGTGTTTGGTTGATGGGGAAAAGGTCGACCAGATCCACGGACTCGGAGATTTCGATTCCCGCACGGGCCCTGGTCAAACCTCCATGGCTTGTCGCAGCCTGCCCTGCAACATCATCTCCATCATCGAAGTACCGCTCCCGTCACCAACATCCGGACTCAAATCTGGTCAGGGCTACGCACCTCGAAATTCCCATGGCACCGCTCCTAAAATGGGCAAGAAATCTACTGCGCCGAACCCCGTGGCGCCCTTTGCGATTTCCGACGGCCGGTTTTGAAGTCGTTCCCGCCACGAAATTACTGGAGGAAGAGCGGTTCGACGAGTTCAAGACTGGCAACTACTACCCGGCCAATATCGGGGACCTCTTCGCCTCCAACAAGTACCAGGTCGTTGGCAAGTTAGGATTTGGGTCGACTTCGACCGTTTGGCTGGCCCGGGACCTCCAGCATGTTTCTTCCACCCTTTAAGCAAGTGCTCACGCAATATTGAATAACACGAAAAAGCAGTGATCGTGACTATGTCACTTTGAAGATCTTTGCGCGAGATCACGGAGACACGTGTAGGGACGAGTTTCAGACCTACAAGACTATCGACAAGGCGAACCCATCTCACCCGGGCCGCCGACACGTGAGAACCGCCTTGGACACCTTCACCATCGACCGGCCCGGAGGGGATCACCAGTGCCTCGTCCAACGGCCCATGTGGGATAGCTGGAAGGATTTACTCCTACGGAACCCAGCAGGGCGCTTCTCCGAGGCGCTTCTCAAGGGCGGTTTGCAGCACCTCCTTCGTGGCCTCGACTACCTACACACCGAGTGCAAACTTGTCCATACAGGTATGTTACAGACGGAATCACGTCGATACGGGGACATTGATTCTAACGCGGGACTGGGGCGGTGCAGACATCAAGGCAGACAACATCTTACACGCCATCGTTGACCAGGGGATTCTCGAAGCCTTCGTCAAAGAGGAGATGGAGAGCCCTTCACCCCGCAAATACGTCGACGGCGCCCCCGTCTACATGTCCCGGCGTTTCGGTCTACCCGAGGACTTCGGCAGGATCGTCCTCAGCGACTTTGGGTCCTCGGTAAGGGGAGACTTGAAGCGGAACCATGACGCGCAGCCTAACGTGTATCGGTCGCCCGAGGTGATGATTAAAGCTGCGTGGAGCTACCCAGTCGACATTTGGAATGTCGGGGCCATGATCTGGGACGTGTTTGAGGGCGGCCACTTGTTCTACGGCGAGGACCCCACTGGCAAGGGCTACACGACCCGCGCGCACCTCGCTGAAGTTGTTGGAATGCTTGGGCCGCCTCCCCTAGATCTCCTCGAGCGCGGAGTCCGAAGCAAGGAGTTCTTTTCGGAAGATGGTCAGTTTTACTATTGCGGCTCTACGTGTACTAGTGAGAGTGTGTGTGAGAGAGACAGGGGCGCATTATGTTAACACTCCTCACAGGCCAATGGATCGCAGACGTCCCAATTCCTCTGGGACACAGCCTAGAAACCGCCGAACACGTCCTCTCGGGGAGGAACAAGGCCGTGTTCCTCAATTTCGTAAGGGGAATGCTAGCGTGGAGACCCGAAGATCGCAAGACGGCGCGAGAGCTGCTCGAGGACCCGTGGCTCAACACGTGGGAAATATCCGATTAAGATTCACTCACCTGGCTACATATTGGCAGCATTTGCGAGGTATGCGAAACTTTCCTTTCGTGGGGGACCGTAGTCTTAAGAACACAGTAACTTAACAGAAACTGTCCAACTCACCAAACTGCTGCGCCCTCTCGAGTAGTCGAGGTCAAGTGCACCGTGAGAACGTCAAAGATGTCCATTGCGTTGCTCCGTTGAGCCCACGCGCGTGGCGTAGTGTCGGTGCCCGTAGCACCTCCAGGGACTTGAGTGGGGGAGGATGCCGCAACATCCTCCGCGAACCTCTGCATCCGATATCCCCATAGATCATCCAACATCTTGGGGTTGACAGAAGGGCTCCGTATCACTCCAGATTCTGTGTCGACATGTGCACCGTGTGAGATGAGCTCCCGCGCAAGTCCCGCAGCGCCATCCCTCCCCTCAGGGATTGCTCCAACGTAGGCGAGGGGATACGTCGTTGCCAAAGCGTGCAACGGCGTCCACCCTTCCTCGGTCACCACCCGGGCGCTCGCACCCCGGTGAAGCAGGACGCTCGCGAAGCGGAATCTGGTAGGGTCCGTCTTCATCTTATTCGGCGCTAGGACGCACATCAAAGGCGTCCACCCTGTGCTGCTCGATGCGTTGATATGCAGCCCGCGACTAAGAAGGAATTCGAAAATATCTTCCCTCGCTCCAGCTGCGGCGTAATGCAGAAACGATTCTCCGTGGAGATTTCGTAGGTGGACAGCGACATCTTCATCGCGGACATACCTGAGGCAGAGCGGCAACTGCGGAAGGGTTCCCGGGTTCGCAACAACGTGAAGCGGTGTTTCCCCCGCGTCGCCAGCTATCTCGGGTGATGCGCTGTACTGTAAGAGGATGCGCAGGGCGTCCACGGACGACGGCGGTGCGCCGAATAGGTGGTGGAGGGCCGTCCTGCCGTGGGAGTCTTGAACGTTGGGATCTGCATTCCTTTCGAGTAGTCCTCTTAAGGCGCCGATTCGCTGCTTGGACACTACAGCCTTGTGGACCAGGGGCTGGTTGATGATGCTATCGATTCCTTTGGGGTTTCCGCCTGCGTCGACGAGGCGACATACCAGACGCTGCTGGATAAGGTAGTCCTTAGGACCAGGGCTTGGTTCTCTTTCGTTCTCGGGCAGGATTAGCCTATTTTCAACGGCCCTTTCTAGAGCATATTGGATGTTATCAGCGTCGTAGGGAACCTTGTCTAGCAACAAGGCTACGACATGGTCGCGCCACGCCGACGCAGCATCATACAACGCCCGACGCTTCTCGTCAGCAGGCCAGCCATCCCATACATCGAGGAGGTCTACTACCAGGTCCGCATGGCCGTTTCGAGCAGCGACCTGAAGACAGGTAAGCTCAGGTCTTTTACTGGGGTAGAACCGGCCGTTGGGACCGACGAGTCCCCAGAACAGATGCGCCATTTCACGCCTGCCATATCGTGACGCGGCCAAGAGGGGAGTGAAGCTGGGACCGTCTTGACCTCAAACCCATCGATCTGTGCACAAAATCATCGAAGGAAGCTAATCCTATCTCGAATCTAATCCTCTGTCGAAACTGCCATCGATTCTGATGCCCGTCTCGAATCGTCGAAACGTCGAAACATCCATTGTCCAATACGCCATAATGTCGACCTCGAAGAACCCGTCCATCCGATGATTGGATAGGAAGGCTGATTGGAAGGTCTGGAATGAACAGCTGAGATCGTCAATTACTCAAAAGGACATCCAGGATATCATCTTTGAAGGGCAAAAGCCCATAGACAACCCAGATGCTCCTGACGACGTTGAATTCGCCTGAGAATTCCCACGAGCTCGAACTTCACCATCATGTGATAGACCCCCGGCGGAATCTACACAAAGGGCCGCATCCCGTGGGACTGATTTATCACAGATCCAGCCAGGCCAAGCGACTATGCATATCAGTGAGCAGGGACTCAAATATTATCAGATAGCTCTCACTTGCATCCAGCGTTAAGAAGGCAAAGTTCGATAAACAGCAAAAGACGCTTGAAAGATAATGGAGAGAATCACCGACAGCATCTCGCCATCCTTCTTCTCAACATACTGCTTCGATAAACCAACTGATCAGTGGTATCCCAATCTCAAGGAATCCCTGGGAACAACTGCATCAGAAGAGAAAGCTATAGCCCGCCGACGTTATCATCGAGCTATCAAGCCACTTTCTAGGTTCCCAAAGGATCCACAGGCTTGGATATCGGAATGGGAAGAAGCTATGAACGAGGGGATAAGCAACAAAGTGGTGGAAACCCAGACCCCTTCGGACTAGTTCGAGCACCTATGTAATGCCTGGAGGGAGCCATTACCTCAATGGGTATCTACATATGAAGCTATCTTCAATGAGGCTAAGGACGACCGAACCCTCACTTATCAGCAAGTCACAAAAGCCCTAAGAAGCAAGATCTTGCAAATGGAAACCCAACTGAAATCAAAAGGAGGTTGGATGAAGGGATCATTTGGACCGGCATATCATGGCCGCGAAGACAACCAAGCTACTAGCAGCAGTGATGAGCAGGAGCCAGATTCGACTCCTGAGAAGAAGGCTAAACCTAAGAAGGATCACAAGAGGAAAAGATCTAAGGCTGCTAACTCGTCTAGATCAGCTACCTGCAAAGCTTGTGATATCACAGGGCATCATTGGGGCGATTGCTTCCATCTCTTCCCCGACAAAGCTCCCAAGCGTTGGAACCCGAATCCAGCTAAGACCCAGATGATCCAGAATAGCCTTAGAGAGGACTTGGCATGGGCCGAAGAGGTTGAGCAATGTAAGAAGAAGAAATGACTGCAGGATCCCGGTAACCCCGAACTGCTATTTCAGACATTGGTGAGTAACCTCGCCGCCTTCTATATTACTAACTGTTGGCAGGTTGGCAGCTTGGGCCAACTGTTGCCAGATGCCTAAATGACCTCTCGTAGTTCTTAGTTTCCATGGGAAGAATTTCCCCTTTGGGGAATTTCTTCCGAAGAACAATAACATCGATTTCACCCACACTAACTATCCTTTGAAGAACTCGGCAATCCTAGGTTCAGGATCAAATCTTCATGTATTCAATCAGCTCAGCAGATTCCATAACTATCGGCCATCACGGCAGGGGGACTATCTGTATATGGGAAACCACAAGGTCCATATCATGCAGTTACGAGTTTAGTGCCGCCCGGCCTCATAGTCGAAATTACCTTGTCGTCACATCGCCTAGGCCACCGATTCACCCCAGGGTACGTAGGTCGTAGCTTGATAAACTCAGGACCTGCAAGTCGAGTTAAGCTTTCCGAGTTGATGGTGTGAATATATATATTTGAGCCAGGGAGACCCTGCGTTATTGGCTCGGTTCAGAATTTCGGAACGGGACGTAGGTGTCTAGAAAGAGGGGGAAGGCCCAGATCTGCTCCCACCAGCTAGGCTGTTTTTCAATGAGCAACGGTGGTAGACTTTCCCTTGGAACTGCGTTTCCATCCCTTGTCGACATATTCAGGACTCGCTTGCCGTCCAGATCACGGTTGGCATTTTTCGACGAACATCTCAATATCGAGTCTACCAATGTACGTATCTCGCTTTTCTCTCGAGCGTTGAATCGGTGACAGTCACTTTCTACCTCTTTCTTAAAGCCCTCAACTGTTGCTGCGACGTTATCCTCAACTTTGGCGTTCCCAACCGTAACGTACAGCGCAAGGCGGCGTAGTTCCTGGATCTCCTGACGCTTCGTGAGAATTGCTGCGCACGTTATCTGCATTGGCGATCTGGTTGCTTTGTGATCTCCAGGTACTTCAAACGAGAGAAGTTCCCCGAACCAGACTTTCACGCCGTGGAATACGAATTTCTCTTCGGGGTTGCACCCTAGTGGTAAGAGTAATTTAAGCATTCGGAGGGAGCAACCAGTGTTCCGAGGATGGATGAGGAAGGCGGACGCCTGCGGATATATGTTCTTGACGAAGTAGCGCCCGGACGCATGGACAAGGAGAGGATAACATGGTGTGAGCTTATAATCCGAGTACTTCAGCTCTTCAATGTATCGCTGGACGAGAGGGCAGAGCCCCATTTCGACGGCAAGGCAGAAAACGAATTCCTTCGCCCCCATCTGCTGTGTAGTGCCTTTTCTAGTATTTCTGCACGTTCCCGTGATCGAATTGTCGCGGAGAAGTTGCTCTAACTTCAGCAGAAGAGCGATTGCGGTGTCCTCACACGTACGGACTGATGCCGTGATGTAAGAGATAGCGACCGCAATATAGTGCTGGTGTGACTCGTCGGCCTCCCATATACAGGCCAAGCTTCTTTTCGATGCTATGTTGCGGGCGGCGTGGAGCAACAACGTTGCTAGAGCAGCATCTGGATTAAACGGCCGGTCGCCCAGACTAAGAACTTCCATAGACCACACGCCGTCGCATCTCAGGAAATCGAAAACCGTGCGGTGCATGAACTCCACCGTTGAGCCCGAGAGGATCGCGTCTGGCGAGGACCAACGGGAGCATCGGCACGGGGACGTCCTCGAGCGGATTTCCAGAAGACCTCCGCACCGACTCCTTAGCCGCCCTTCTAAGATGACGCACCTTTGTCCGGCCTGGCGATCCGAAATTGGCCCCATGGACGACTTCCGAGCCGAACCCATCTCTTGTTCCTCGAGATATGCGAGTCCAACAGCGGGTATAGTAATTCCCATGCCTAGAGACTGATGGTGGTAGCAGATTCGGAGTATTCTGGCCCCCTGGGTCTTGTACCGTTTATCAACCTTGTTTAGCATATACTTAAAGAGCTCTTCCAAATCCGGAGGTAACTCGTCAACTCGTTTCCGCAACTCAGACATCGTATCATATGCCGCAAAGCCGTCGAGAAGAGACCGACAAGCGAGAACGACCCAGAGAAATACGCCGGACGCCTTATTTACAATGTCCTCGATCAGTTCGTTAGCTGCGCTTTCCGAAGTAGCGTCCACGTCGATGAGTAGCCCGATATAAGGGTGAGGAGTCAACGTGGCATGCACGTACGTGCTGATATCCTCATTTGTCAGAGCCTCAAGGCGGAGGTTGGGCCTATGTCCTAGTATGTCTACGAGAACTGGCTCGGGGCGGCTAGAGACAATGACTTTGGTGTTTGGCCGGGCACTAAGCGTTAGCAGGAAATCAAGACCTTCTCTATAATCTCCGGAAAACTCATCAAGTCCATCGATGAAGAAGCACACTTTGACATCCTTCAACGCGTCGACTTGTCTCATCTTCAGAGGAACGTCCTTGAGCTCTTGCACCCGAGGCATTTCCAGCGTCATCTCTTCTGGTCGACTACGCACTGTATCCCAGAGCGTAGGAAAGAGCATCCGCGCTGAGCGAGGACAGAAGCGTAATATCTGGCAGATTATGGATCTGAGGAGGCCTTCAATGGAATGTTGGCGGTTTGTGCCGATCCTCCAAAAGTAAAAACTCGCCAGCAGGAGTGGGTTGTCACCGGCCCATTCCGAGATGAGCATTTTCGTGCGGCGCTCGTACCATAGGTATTTCATGAGAGTAGACTTGCCGCTCCCAGCTTTTCCCCGTATCCAGTAGACTCCTGTCTCGCGTTTTAGCCATCTAGACAAGTCATCCCAGTGCTGATTGCCTCGGGGGGTTCGCAAAGCCCACTGGAATGTTGCCTTATGCGCGGGGGAGATGCTGTACTCGCGCGACTGCATCTCTGGGTACGCGAGCAGTTTCAACATGTTTTCGTGAAACTGTGTCTCAAGCCCTTCTATGGCTGCTTGGGCAGCGATAGTCCCATCCTCAGAGGCATCGCATACTAGCACGAGTTCTCTGGTAGGAAGCCCGCTCTGGATGTCCTCCCGCATCAAGAGATGTGTAACACGCATCCCGTCGGATATGTCGGGAACAAGCTTGTCAAGTCGGTCCACAAAGTAAGAGACGTCGGCAACCAGTTCTTCAAGTTTGGCTTTGTCTTTAGCGACCCAGAGCGCACGATTTAATGGCGAGAGTTTCAGCTTCTTGACCCGGGCGCTCACAATGGCGATGGACTTGTCAAAATTGAGCTTGCGGCGCCCGCTAATGGCCGCAGAGTTCGGTAACACTTCATATCCTTCCGAAGTATTCTCAAGGCCATAACGGTTCCCGACTTTTGTTGCATCTGCTAGAAGAATTTGTAGTTGCTGGAGAATTTTGAAAACTGCCTGCTGAATTAGACCATCATCTAGTCGTGGGTCATGATCTCGCTCGAGGAGGCGGACCCTGGTTGCCCATTGGAGCAGCAGAGTCGTCTCAATGTCTAGTTTCGTCTTTAAGATATCAAGATCCCTCCCCGCCTGGCGGGCAATGGAGATAATGGAAAGGTAATCGAGGCAGTCTTTGAAAAGCCCGAGAAGCGCGACGACTCCGACCACAAGCCCGGCTGTTTCCATGATTGTTGAGGCGTATCAATATCCACAGGCCATCTCGCAGCTTTTCCATACGAGCCACTTTGTGGAAGAGGGGTTGCTCAGAATCCATCGTTCGTCTCTTGGTTGCGTTGGGCCAGAGTTAGAAAACGAGGCTAACATTCTTATTGGGCAAAAGGCGTCACCAACCAGAGAGCCAACCATTCGGCAGCGAGCAGGATTTTGAAATTCTGAGGCAGCGCAAGTGCCTGAAATCGCTGGCCTTTCCCTAAATGGAGAGCCGCTCCTCACCAACCCCAGTCTTTACCATCTAGATAGAACTCATTCTTACTGTGCACCTGACAATCTCTTAGTCAAATTCAGACACCCTCAATTGCGAGACCCCACAAAGGCAGGATCCGTGCCAAGTATTCACGGTTCCCATGGTCGAGGCATGGGCCTGCCAAGTCGGAAAAATCTGCGTCGAGATGTTGCTATGTCCATATTGTTGGTGAGAAGAAATCGGGGAAGAGCGATGGCCAATGTCCGCAGATGGGGAAGACGATGTGGGGAACAATAAAGCAGCGAATACTCGAGTCCGATCAACAAACATCCTTAAAGCACCATAGCACTATCAACATAAACCATATAAATAAAAATTTAAAAAAAGAATTTTTTTAAAAATAAAAAAAAAAAGAGTTTACCCCAAATATTGCCTATTTTATAGAGGAAATAAAATTGTAAGATTATTTTAAGAAAATAAAGAGTAGGAAACAAGACCTCTGTGATGTGCGGCTAGAGATGGCAACTGGCAGCTGTTGTCAGTCTCTGTGTTGCGTTTTCTGGGGAAGCTCTCGTTTCACTTTGACCCTTGAATCTTGAAACTTCATCTCCATCAACATCACCAAAGCTTCATTCACTCTCGAATCCCTCATCATCCATCAATCCCCTCTTTCATACACTCATCGATCAAATCAACCCCTCTTCGTAAGACTCCACTGTTTCCCCTTTCTCATCCGAACCCACCCCTTTAAACTATAAACACAATGCGCATCATCCTCCTCCTATCCCTCCTCCTCGTCGCCCTCCTCACCCTCCGCACAGCAAACCACCCAACAACACCAACCCCCCACGCCACCGTCCTCCGCACCACCTCCTACGCCCTCAACGCCGCCGTCCTCACAAACACCGCCTGCTCCGTCGGAGCCCTCGTCACGGCCGCCGTGCCCCGCGGCATGGAGTCCGACGCCTGCGCCCCCTGGAGCGTCGCCGCTTTCGCCATCACTGCGAGGCTGCACGTTTTCGGCGTGGGCGGGTATGGGAGGGAGGAGTGGGCTTATGCGAGGGGGTTGGCGGGGAAGGGGGTTGAATGGGTTATTGGGGGCCCGGAGAGGTGGTTTGAGACTTTTTAAGCGGAGGGGAGGAGGGAGTTTGGGATGGGAGGAGAAGCAAGCGTCATGACTTTCTTCTTGGAGATGGAGCTGGTATTTTTATGGGCGGAGTTTGCGAAGAGGCTGGTTTGTTGAAGATCTACGCGGTGAGACATCAGTGCCTCTCATCTCGCTGGGTCATCGATTCAATTACACCGGCGTACCCTCTTCTGTTGAGTGGGCTACTTAATCTCATCCCTCTAATCGGTAAGGCCAGCCCCAGCCTCTACGGCAATCTGCTCCTAAAAGATCCGCAGTCACTCACGTCAACTCAGACACCAACACCTCTCTCGGGCGGGGACCGGGGCTCCGCACGTCTGGAACTTTGGTGCGTGTATAATATAAGACAGGGTTTCTCAAGCGACTTAGGATTTGTACGATGGATAACTGGAGGAGCGCAAATCATTTCTCACAAGAGATAAGAGTATATAGATGTCATCTAGAGGCAACAAGACCACGAAAATCTTCATCAACTCGCTCATGCATAAAGAAAACATAAAAAAAAGCAGCTTCCAACGCCAACAACATGCAAAGACAACCACCAACATCTATACCCCCATCACCCCAAGTTAAACTCACTCGCCCCAGCATTCGCTGCCATCCTCCCCATCCGCATAAACAAATCCCTCCCAGCCTTAACATCCACCTCCGTATCCCCCTCATCGTCATCCCTACCCCTCTTGCCCCTACCGGCCGTCGCTTTCCCGGCTTTGCCCGCCTTCCTGTCGATCCCGTTCCCGATACCACCGGGCGCCTCGCGCAGGCAAAAGCTCTTGGCCACGTGGCCCAGGTGCAGTTGCGTCATGTCGAAGTAGCACCGTTCTTCCTTGACGTGCGTGGCGTACGCGCGAATGTGCGACTTGAATCCGTTGCGGCCGAGCTCGAGCCGTTTTCGATCGTCGAGGAGACGCTGCTCGAAGTGGAGCTGTAACGCCTCGGCCTTTTCCGTGTATGACTGGCTCTCGGTTACCTTCGAGTGTGTCTCGAACGGCAGCTCCATAGGGATGGAGAGTCCCTTTTGGAGAACGCCGTCGTAGAGCTGCGGAGTGGGAACGGACGCGCCGGACGTCATCAGTGACACGTAGCCCTCCTCGCTGCCGGGGAGCAGGAAAATGACGGCTTTTCCAGGTCGTCCAGCACGCGCTGTTCGACCGATTCGGTGGATATGGTCCGCAACGCTAAACGCCGGATCGAGTTCGACGACGAGATCGACCGACGGAATATCGAGACCACGCGAAGACACGTCCGTCGTGATCAAGACCGCCGGGTCACCGCAGTCGGAGAAGGCGCGCAGGGTAGCAGTCCGCACCGGCTGTGGGAGCGAGCCGTGCAGCTTATGCAGGACGATTGTCTTGTTCGCCGCCGAGGTAATGTAGGCAGCGTTGGCGACGGTGTTGGCAGTCAAGTTGTTGGATGAGGACTCTCCCGCCTTTTCCGAGGCTTGGCCCTCGGCGGGCGCCTTGAGTAACTCGTAGTGGAAATCAACTGAATCCGCGCAGGAAATAAAGACGATGGCCTTCATGACCGATCCTTTCCGCGCAAACGTAAACTTGAGGAACGAGAGGAGCGTAACGAGTCGAAGCTTCGCCGGCGCAACGATGTAAGATTGCTTCAGCTGAGCAGGGGCGGAAAAGTTGGCGGCATCCTGCACCTCGTCCTTCCTCGTCTCCTCCTTGGCAGCCTCGATATGGATGGCATCCTTCAAACTCATGTCTCCCAGCTTCTGCACGCTCATCTTCATCGTAGCCGAGCACAGAACCGTTATCCGCCGATCCGGCAACTGTGCGAGGGAAACGCCGTCGTACGTCTTTGGCGCAACCTCGGCCTTTTTCAGCTGGGACAAAATCCTCTGGATGTCGTCTTCGAAACCCATCTCCATAAGCCTGTCGCCCTCGTCGAGAACCAACCACCTCACCGTGCTGAGCTTCAGCACCTTGGTGTTTTGCAAATGATCGCCCAAACGACCGGGCGTAGCGATGAGAAAGTTGACCCCCTTCCGTATCCTCGCTTTTTCGGACTTCTTCGACTCGCCACCGATGACGGGCGACGCCACAAGCCACGGCGTCGATTTCAACAGCTGAGACATGACCGCGTACGTCTGTTTCGCCAATTCTCTCGTCGGCGTGAGAACAATACCGAAAATTCCCGAGTCTCGATGGAGACGTGAGGTCTGGCTAAGAGCCAAGACGCGATGAAGCATCGGCAGCACATAGGCCAAGGTCTTTCCGGATCCGGTCTCAGCCTGCAGGAACGCATCGCTCGTGGTGTTGATCATGATGGGTATCGTCTTCTTCTGGATCGCAGTTGGCTTGTCTAGTTTGAGCTTCGCGAGTTCGCTCACCAATCGATCCGACAAGCCTAGAGCCTTGAACGAGTCCTCGGCCAACGGCGCATTCGAAGGTTCCGCGGGCTCGGCCTCCTCCTCGGCATCCTTCTCGCCGAATTTCGTGACCGGCGTGGGATTGTAAGAGAAAAGGCTCGACGTAATCTGACGTCCCGAGCCCGAATTACCCCCTTGGTTCTGACCTGGACCCTTGTTCTGAGCCGGCTTCCCAACAGGACCGTCGAACTTGACTCTCTTCACCGGCCTCTCGTCCTCGCCACGGTCATCTTTCCCATTCGTTTCGGGTCCGCCTCTCCTCCCTAGCCGCGCCGCATTCGACCCCTTAGCAGGCCCCGCTGACGACGAAGTCCCTCCCTTCAGCGACCGCTGGGCCTCCACCCGATCTCGCCAGCGCCCGCCCTTTACCTTGACCCGGGGCTTCAAAGGGGCGTCCCCCAGTTCAAAGTTGAGAATCATACCATCGTCCGCCATCTCAAGTTGTAGTGCGCTTCGATACCTCGGATATGGGAGGAGTGTCGAGGTGCACTGGATTGGGAAAGGTTCCCACGATGAAATAAGGATTCTATCTAAATTCTACCTCTGTAGAATCTAAATTTTTGGCGGGGTGACGGTGCAGAATTAATTTTTTTGATGGTTCCTTATCGCGATAAGATTAGATAAGCTGTCCCTTCACCGCTTTTGGATCTAGCAGAAAGGGAAAGCCACATCTTTGGCTGATTCTCCCAATTCTCACCAGATTCAAGCCTGGAAATCTAACATTCCAATTGCTCCTGCCTAGGATATATAACGACTTAGACTATTAACAAGATTATATACAGTATTGAATTATTTCTCGTCCCCCCTAACCGTTTCCATATAATTCGTGCACTTTCTGCGACTGGTCCGGCAATTCGGCCTTCGGCGTCCATCCCGTCCACTGAATCTCTTGTCCAGTCGCTACGGGCATTACGGCACTGCTGTTCCACGATTCCCCGGAGGGAATCTGCTTGGTCGCATGTCTGCGTCTCCTTTTCCTCCAGAACAACCACGCCCCAAGTCCAACGAGGATCAACCCCAGCACAGTACCAATGGACACTCCAACGCTTAATCCTAGCGACGGACCTGACCCTGGCGTCTCCTTGGAGAGTTCGCTGGGTGCTTCGCCTGCGGGTTCGGGAATGCTGGTATTAGTGTCGTCCTGTCCTCCTGTGCTCGTCACCTGACTCCCGACGTTGAAGCCGTTCACGGGCCCGGCGAATATTGTGACCCTGTCCTCTGCCACCGTCGAGACAGTGGTCGCGGCTGTAATTTCCGATGGTGATACCAAGCCGAAATTAAGGAAGATTAAAATCTGTCCGCGTGTCGCTGTGCTTATACATTGGGACGGGAACTCTGGCGAGATCGGTTGTGCCACTAGAAGCCTGTATGACCTTTTGAGTTCCGGTCATGTTAGCTAACCGCTTTCACCAATCGATATGCCAGAGGATAAAAGAAAGAGATCAACCGATGGCTTCATACGTGGGACAGCAGAATATCTCCTGGATATTTTCCTCGACGAGAAGCGTCTGAACTGGTTTGTACGCCTCCGGACACGCAAAGGTCGGGCCCAGCGCCGTGAAGACCGTGCCAGTCGCCTGCTGAAATCTCCACGAAGTGACCTGAGGTGGAAAGCATGTGCGAGCAGCGTCCGCAAAGGAGATGCCGTACACGGGATCCCAGGCGAGGAGAGTCCCTTCGAGTTGCCGATACATGAACGTAGAGCATTCGGGTGGTTGTGGCCAGGGAGTCGGGAGTGGAAGAAGGGTGACGGAGGTTCCGCTTACGACGATCTCGGTCGGCGTTGTCGCCATCGCGAACGGCGAGGTGATCGGGGCACAATTACGGAGAAGAAGAAATCAAGCCTCCCGCAGCCTGGTTTGAAGCTGCAAGGCACCGGGCGTGAGAAGTGCCAGGAAGAGAGTTACACAGGAACGATGCGATGACGGATATTGAGTAGCACAGAACTTAACTCTCCCTCATGATAAACACGCGAGGGGTGCGTGGGCAAGATCCGGCGAACATCAATACCCTGAACAGCCGCCAGTCCCCTCTCTCCTCGCCGAGTAGTAGTCGATCTTCATCCTCTGGCGTTCTCACGCCATGTTTGTATGTCTACGAGATCCAAAAATAACACAACCCACGTCTTGGGACTGCGCCGCAAGCAGTGTTGGTCCTGGGCTTCTTCCCGAGCAACATCGTCCAGTCTTTTCTACTCCTTCCCCCCTTGTTGAGACGAGACCTGCAGCAGGCCTAAGACTAGGCCGTTCAATTGACCGCATGCTCGCTTGCCTAATCGACCGACCCGAGGCCATGCCATGTCTGGCGCGAACAGCCCCAATTAGCTCACCCATACTTATTTGGGGTTACCGGTCTGTCGGGCCAAGGCCAAGAATGAGACGGTTCCGTCACAGTGTCGCACCGATCGGCAAAAGGCAACGGAACCTTAAAACCTACCCGAGTCTCATTGACAGTTGACAGCGGGGTGAAGAAATAAGGGCATCGCTCATCGAGTCTTCATATCAGAGTCTTGCTCAGTTTTGTGGTTTCTAGCGAACGAAACCCCTGCTTGAAGCGCCCGCTTGGGATTTCCGAATGAAATTAAACAATCGATGTCAAAACACTCCGCGAGACAGAGAGCCGGAGACCCCCACGTGGACAGACTGAAGGATTTCCCCCTGGCGCTTATCTCGGGCGTCTCCGCAGGGCTGTTTGAAGATGGAACACGAAACAACGCACTCCACTGAGCACCCACAGGGGGGCGACGCGTCCTCCTCGGGCGAAGACGCAATCATGTTGGCGATGACCAAATGGCAAACGACGCTATCGAACGATAGAAGGTCGGTGGCTGGTTTCGAGACGAACCAGCGTAGCAGGGTGGAAAAAAAAAAAAAAAAAAAAAAAAAAAAAAAAAAGCAAAAGGAGGAAAAAAATAAATAAATAAATGAAAATGAAAACAAAAAGGAAAAAGAAAAAAAGAAGAAAAAAGAAAAAAGAAAAAAGAAAAAAGAAAAAAAAAATTTTGGCAGTTTCCTCTGTTCGTAGACTCTTGAATATGAAGTCCTCCCCATTCTCCTCATTTCCTTTTGTTCATTCTTCTTTTCTCGGACGATCCACGCTACCTTTGGCGAAGCTAGCTTGATGAAGCGCTAGAGGGCTCCCGCAGATACGAGCATACATACATTCATTAAAACTTCACTTATTTTTTTCGAGTATACTTGCACTTCAATTTTTTTTTTCCTTCGTCTTCTTTTTCTTCTCCTTCGTTGTTTTACTAGACACTTGGACGATGGCGGTAATACTCTCCGAGAGCAGATCCACAAAATCGCGATCCCTTATTGCGCTACTGATCCTCGTGGTTGTGTGGGTTGTGGTCCTAACGTCTAGTGGAAATGTGAGTGTCTTGGCTTTAATGCTTCGCCAACCATCCTTGTTCCGGTAAACAAAAATCGTCGGCACCTGCTAACCTTAACTCAGGATGATGGCATACCAGAATCCCTACCAGAAGCAGCGGGGGCTGGTTCTGCAACGGAGCATCCCGGTGATGCCTCTCCAACTTTCGAATCAAACGACATCAACAACATCAACGACGGCAGGCCGTTGGCGGTAGTAATAGAGACTCAAGCGACGCCGAACCTCATCCCTCTTATGCTGCACTTTTCCAATGTTCTCGGCCCACATTGGTCCGTTGTTCTCTTCACGTTAGAAGAGTTCTGGGAATCACCATCGAGCCTGGCCTTTGACCGCGCACTCGACGCTGGCAGGATTGAGGTCCGCTTCCTGCCTCCCGAAACCCAACTGAAAAGCAGTCGCGCGGTGTCGCTATTCCTAACCAGCCCTTGGTTTTGGGAGCAGCTGCAGTCGGCCTACCGTATCCTCCTATGGCAAACCGACAGCATCATCTGCTCCAAGGCCGAACAGGCCGTCGAGGACTTTTTCGGCTACGACTATATCGGCGCACCGATCCAGAAAGCGTACGGCAAAGGCTACAACGGCGGCCTATCGATACGGAACCCGAAACTCTTCCTGCAAATAACGCAGGAGTCCGACTTTGAGCACAGCGGCGTCCAGTTTGAGGACCAGTGGTTCTTCAACCAGACGTCCGCCCGGGTAGGGCAGGGTGTCGTGCTGCCTACTGAGGAAACGGCCAAATATTTCGCTGTTGAGTCGATATACCATGAGCGGCCCCTTGGCTATCATCAGCCGTCGAGATGGCAATCGGGCCATATGACGGAGATTGAGGAGTGGTGTCCGGAGGTGAAGATGATATTAGGACGTCGGCGGGCCTACTGAAGCTGGGCAACACACACCACGCACCCGAGCATGCACACAGACACACACGCACACACACTCTCTCTCTCTTTCTCTCTCTCACGAATAAATGTATATAGATATAGATACCATTACATAGAGGATCCTCTACCCTAATATGTTATCAAGGTTTCTTTTTGTTTTCTCCAAGACAATAGTCAATCTAAGATACCCAATCTCTCCAAACCTGCACTTGGATATTCATACAATGTGAATTCTGCTTAGCGTTGGCTCGCTCTCCTTCAAACACGGTGACTGCCCAGCATCTATATCCGTAGGGCTGGGCAACAGGGAGACGACGTATTTCCCACGTTTCATCAGGATCTTCTACAAACGAATCCAACCAGCCTCGAGATTGTTTGCTTGCAGAAAAAAAATCCCCCGCTGTGGCGCAAATCTGCAAACGCGCCCTGGCCTTTTCATTCGATTCCTATTGATCATGTTGGTTGTACAACCTGAGCGACACAAACAAGGACGAATATAGAAAATCCGCTGGTTTACCACGACATTTCGCCCTCTCTCGCCCTCATCGCACAAACGCAGCATCACACACCGACAACCATCGCATTGTTTTTCCCTTTCTCATATGGTCGTCCGTACGATTTGAAAGATCGCGATGCCCCCTAATATCTTCTGCTCCCTCTGTGGGGTTTTACTCTCTCCAAATGTCACCATCAACCCTGTTCCGGACATGAATATGCTGCCTTGGATGAATCGAGCCCGAGCCGGTGAGTGCCTTTCCCCGCTTCGTAATTGACTTTTTTCGCAATACCTTGCTAATGATTCGAAAAATATATTAGTCGTGATGGGCACAGGCACAGGCCCAAATTGCAGATCTCCGCGGCTCACAAAGCCCACTGTCATTGAGGATATAGTTATGGAGTTCCCCGATGAATGGGAGGATCACATTGGTACCAGGAACGACTACGAGCTGGTCGACGAGCCCATCGAACAAGTGGAGGAATTCGGCCACCTCGACCCGTATCCATTCCATGAAGCCTGCTGGCGGATGCTAGTGTCGAGGACAGTGTTCCGAAAGATGATTGCTGGGGACAAAACTGAGCCCCGGGAACTCGTCCGGGCACTCGTTCATCACCTCTCTTCTCTCTTCAACGCCCACCAGATGGACGGCTACGGCCTGATGCAAATCGACCACACCTTCGGCGGGGCCTCGCAGTTCCGACGCATCATCGGACTGACACAGTATTCTCGAGGGCTTCCCGAGCATCTCGGCTTTCTCGCCGAAGATCCGCTTTCGGAAAACCCCTTGACTCTGGCTGGCCGCTTCCCGAATGACCAAGCGACCAAGGATTGGACCATGCACTGGATGAGCGAGGCGTCAGAAAAAGGAAGCAGCTTCTCCTATGCCACGGATCCCTTCCGTCTCCTGCCTCTGGACATCATCTACGAGCTGATCACGAGCATGGCCTCGACCGACGTCTGCAACCTCCGCCTGGCGTCCAGGACCGTAGCTACATTGTGTACCGACCGAACCCTGCCTCAGGCCTTTTGGAAGTCTCGGTTCACTCCCGGCTTTGAGATGGAGTTTATTTTGGCAGGCAGCTCACTGAAGACGTCAAAGCCCAACGTCAACTGGGGTGCCTTGTACAAACATCTCCGTGCCCAGAGCAACGCTGGCTGGCTCCGCAATAAGAGGAGAATCTGGGAATGCCTCGAGCGCCTCTGCGGAGCTTTAGATCCTCTCATGGCCTGCAAGGGCTTGACCTGGCCTCAGGATGTATGGACTATGTTGAGTGATGTTCGGGTTCCTGTGCCCAGAGGCAGGATGGCTGGTGAGTTTGTCAACTCGAGGTTCACGGGCCATTACGTTGAGGAACTGCTTCTCTTCCCGGATCCGCTGAGATCGACTCTTCTCATCACTGCTTCGTTCATACGGTGGCCGGCCAACGAGCTACTTTGCATTTCGGGCTTCCGTGTGCATTCCAAGTCGGAGGACGGGTCATACGGCCTCGTCGCGGAGGCTGGCGTCTTTAACGAGGATCACCAGCAATCCATCGACGTCGAGCCCGAGCACCGCATCTGTTGGATCAGAGCATACTTGGTGGACGACGCCGTGGTTGCCGTTGCGTTTTTCGTTGACCGTAACGAAGAGAATGTCGACGTGACGAGACTCTATCTCGGCGACCCGTCCCTGCCAGAGTACAAAGAACAGCTTCGTGTTGGCGAGATGGGACCACGGCTAGAAGGGCCAGGCCATTTAAATGGACTGATCGTTCGAACGAATGCAAGTCACGACTCACGAACATCTCCCGTGCCATGATTCTTCTCGTTTTTCATCTCCATCATTCCCTTTTTTTTTCATTTTTTTTCATTGATACTCAAGGCTGACTTGGAATCCAGGTGTGCAAGTGCTCAGCCATCAAAGTCGTCGAGCCAGCCCCGCCGCCCAAGGAGTCAGGCAAGCCGCATTCCCCGATACACACCCCCAGCATCCTCTGGAGACCAGACGAGCCCGATGACGTCTGGGTAATCCCCAGGCTACTCGTGACGCGTGGTGATAGTCTGGATATGGGTTTTCCCTCTCCATACGTAGAACGTCTTCGGATCGAGTTTGGAGGATACCAAGGCGAAAGGCTGTCGATGCTGAACCGCGTGTCTTTCTACATGGATCCGAAATCTAACCTCTTCACCGGGTTCGGTTTCTTCTACGATGACGGGTCGGAAGAGTCATGCGGCTCGTACGAACTTGATCAGTCGATTCATCCCCGACGGACACCATCGATCGAGATGTCCTTTTACATCCTCGGTCGCCTCGGGGAGCGGATAACCTGCATAGAAGTCTACGGGGACAAACATTACCGGGGACGTAGGGGACCGCCATTGAGATCGTTAAGGGTGACGTCCACCTCTTTTACATATACCCATCAATATTCCGTTGTTCAAATATTTAAAACCTACAAGAGCTAACGCATGACCTGCCTTACCCATATATTAGGTTCTGACGAATATGGGCCAATCGAATTGGGTCGGAATGCAGAAAGGCCAAGAAAACTCGCCTGGTGGTTACGAGCCTGTGAGCGTGAAGATATTTCAGGTTCCGCCCGGTGAGATGCTTACCGGAATAGAAGCCGAGTTGAAGGTACGATGCTCGGTAGACTTTCCTTGATATATGTGCACAATATACTAACAAAGGCATTCCAGCCCCGCGAGGATACTATTGAATCGTTCGGGATCGCTACTTGCCCATACCTCGATATTTTGAGCCAGCCCTATGTTCATCCAGTCAAAACGAGGGCCCTGGAATTTCTGAAATCATCACCACGGGTTGACGCATACATGCTGCGCCAGGGCTGCGGCGTCACAGGCTCCACGTTGCAAGGCGTACGACGCATCCGATTTTCCCGGGGCATTAGGAACAGGGCGCGCGAGAATTGTCTGTCGGGATTACTGCTCGAGTTTGGCGAGAAGGAGCATCGTCGAATCGTCGGCCAGTGGATGGAGGAGACAGACGATGTCTTCGAGATTGGGAAACGAGACGCCATTGTACACGTGCGTGTGTGGTATCACCAGCAGGAACATGGCTTCCATCGATATATGATGCCGGACGAGAATAACGGCCGGGTTATGGGACTTGAGTTGACGACTCGGGATGGTGCTTCGAAGAGGGTTCTTTGTGGAGATGTGGAGGACACTGTAGTCCTGGACTTCTACACCAACACCATGGAAGAGATTGTAAGTCCTCTTTGCTTGTCAAGGGTAGATGTGTTTCTTATTTTCAAGAAAGAGAAACTGACAACACTCGCTCAAGTACGCAATCTCCTGGAGCATCAACGCCTCTTGGGACAGTCTCCACGTCGTCCGCCGGCCCCGACCAAGATATTTCGGAAAACGGCTTGATTTCACACCTCCGGCATCTTCTCCGCCGTTGAGCGAACGGCAGAAGCGAGAGGCTCGGATCTTTCCCTATACCGAGGTTGACACGGCCGGTAACACGCTGTCAATGACTGGCATTCGTGCCTTCTTCGGGGATAAGGTTATAAACGGCATTGAGTTCGTCTACGGCAGCGGGGGCAAGGTGGTGACATCATCCATCGGGTTGCTCGAAGGCCATTGTGAGTCCGTACAGTTGGGGACCGGCGAGTTGTTTGAGAATGTATATACGGAGAAGTATCCGTTTGCATCCCTGGAAACGAACGAACGAGCTGAGGCAATGATACTGGTGGTAAGAAACATCCTCACAAACCCTAACAACTGGCAGGACGGTGGCAAGCTAACCTAGATCACAACGAAAGATCAAGACCATGAGTGGTTCTCGCGAAGGCCGAGACATCACGCTCCATCACCCAGACACCCCGTACGTTCGTCTTAGCCACCAGCCTTCCCCAGAAACCGAGAGCGGTGGCGCTGGCGGGGGCAGTAGGTGGAAACGTCCTTTGCCGATCATTGTCTCAACGAAAGCGCCCCAGGTAAGCTCGGGTGAAACCGACGATTCTACTACAGTCGAAGATACGAGACTGGGTGGATTCTGGGCGCAGGTTCAACTGGTTCCTAGGTTTAAGCTCCGGGTAGAGAGCGTTCAGAAGATATGTTGTCGTTGACGGTAAGGTGTTCTGTTTAGTTGGGATCAATGGACTCTCTTCATCTCACACTTCACCACACCAGACTAGAGGAATCGAATAGCTGAGGAACAGAACGGAAAGCGAAATAGTTTGGCCTGTTAAGCCATTTATATATCTTCTCCTCAACGGGCAGGATCTTCCTATCCAACAATGCAGCCAAACAAAAGGACCGTTCCATGTAAAAAAACACCCGAAGAATCAAAACAAACAAATGTTTTTCCCATGATCCGGATCCCCTTTTTCTATGCTGCCCTTATCAAATATCATGAAACCCAAACCCCCAGAGATCTCGCTTGTTTTCGCCGTGCTGTTATGCAGAGTGGAGTTTATGTCCATATGAAGGGGGTCTTGTCCGAATTAGTGGATTACAAGCCCGAAAATGAAGATCCCTTTTTTTGGTTTTGCCCTTTGATAGAATTTCCCCCCCGAGAGACCTGAAAAATGAAATACCCCGTTGTTCTTTTTTGGTACACCTTCGATAAAACGCCGTTGTCCACCTTTGTAGAAATGTTCTGAGGCCAGAAAACAAACTTTGCGAGAGATTCAGACAAAGGAAATGGTGATGACACAAGGAAAAAGGTAATGGAATGGGAGTAAAAAGAAACGAAGAGAAAAGAAATCGGGCCGTGCTGCCGAGATGCTCGATGAGCTTGAAACACAAACAAACAAGAGTCTAAGGTCCCTCCCATCGACCAACCCAAAATTATCCCAAACAGAAAAAACAATTGCCTTCTATGCTTCTTCGACCAGTCCCCCGGGGTATCATATTACAGTCAGATGGGAGAGTCAACAGACTTGACATAGGAAAAAGAAAGCAACGCAATTGGAAAGAGAAAAGGAGAAAAGGAATGGCTAGAGTGAAAGACTGTCACAAATCTCTCGAGCCTTGGGGGATGGAGCGAGCAGTTGGCGATTCACTGCCCAAAAGGCCGTGTTACGGGCCTTTTTTGTTTTTCTTCTCCGTTTTAGGCAGCAGCTGCAGTCTCCTCACCGCCGCCCAAGAGCTCGAGAACCTTGTTGACAACGGCGCTGGGGTATCCACGGCTGAGCATCTCGCGGACGACACCTTGGGCATTATCCCTCTCCTCCACGGCGAGGAAAGCCCGGGTCATCGCCTCGTACGTGCTAGGCTCTCGCTTGTCACGGCCGACGACATCGTAGATGGATCGGGCCTTGGCAATGTCCTTCTGCGCAGCCCAACCGTGGATCAGCGTATTGGCGATGTAAGGGGTAAGCTCCACTCGCTTCTTACGCATGAGTGCGAGGATTGGCTCAGAGTCGGCAACACGGTGGTTGGCGACCATGGCCTCGAGCAGAGCCTGGAAGATGCACGCGCTGGTCGGTACGGATGGGTCCGCCATGACCGAGTCGAACACCTTGCGGGCGCCCTCCAAGTCGTGGAGCACGCAGCCGCGGGAGTGAATGAGGGAAGCATAATGGACAGGCTCGGGTCGCATACCCGCGGACCGCACCTGTTCCAAGACGGCCTCAGCAGCCTCCATATCCACAGGCTCGAGAGAGGCATGAGTATCAATCAGGAGTTTGTAGGTGTGCGAGGTGGGCGCAATTCCCTTCGACTTCATCCTCTCGTAGTAGGCGAGGACCCTGGACTTGTCACGCTTGGTGGTAAGGAAGAACTGCATCATGCTGTTATAAGGAGCGGGACGAGCCTTGTAGTTGGGCATCGACTCCATCTCCTCGAAGAGGTCCTCGGCAAGCTTTTCGTCGCTTACCCTGCAGAGAGCGTTGACAATGGTTCCGTAGGTGACCGAAGTAGGCTTGACGCCAAGAGCCCTCATCTCGGCGAAGTAGAAGAGGCAGTCATCGATGCGGCGAGCCTTTCCGAGCTTGCCAATGAGAGCATTGTAGAGGAAGGAGCTGGGCTCGACACCCTCAGCGCGGGCACGGTGGAAGATCTTGACGGCCTCGGTAGCCTCGTCGAAAGTCTTCGTCGACTCCTTGAGGGTGGTGATGTAGAGACCGTAGGTGTTGGCGGTGGGGGTGGCACCCATGCTAAGAAGCTCCTGGTGGAAAGTCTCGGCCATGGCACGATTGCTGACGCTAAGGCAAGCACCGATCATGGCATCGAGAATGGACGACCAACCGTAGCGGACAACAGCATACTGGAGAAGGAGAGGAACATCGCTCCTAGCCATCGCAAGAATGTCGTTGCAGAGGTCGAACTTGCCCTCGCGAGCGGCAGCCGAGATGAGCTTGGCGTAGGTGATGTAGCGCGGGTGACGACCGGCCCGGCGGATATTTCGGAATCGGGTGAGAGCTTCGTTGAGACGGGGACCACGTCGTCCATGAGAGCCCTCAAGCTCGTCAGAGATCAAAGACGAGCCCTTGAAGTCGGTGTTGTGGGCATAAGGATCGAAGCTGTCGTCGAAGCTGCTGACGGTGGGGGTCGACAAGTACGGGGAGTTGGTGAAGGGGGCAGGAGACATGGTGGAGAGCGGGGGAGTGATCTCTCGGGGGTCCGAAAGACCCCGGCTTTCCATGAATCGAGCAATGTAGGCAACACCCTCCTCAATCTCATCCACCAAAGGCATATCCTTGTGGTTTCCGGCGGCGGCCCGGATCCTGTCGAACATGATCTCGGATTGCGTCAAGCCCTCGGCAACCTGGCCAGTCAACATGAGACCGACAGCATACATGACGGTGGGCTCGATGAAGGACTGAGTGGGCACGAGAGCGGGGTTGCTCAAGACATGCCAGTAGCGGGTAGCCGCGGCGACATCGCCCTCCCGGATGCTGAGAGCGAGAAGAGCCGACGTGGGACCCGTGATCTCAGAAGCGCCGAGAGGAATGTGGGCAAAAGCAGCAACGGCAGTCGCCTTGTCGCCCCGGTCGGCAGCGGCGGTAGCAACACGAGACATGACCCTAGTCTTAGCCTCGTTCTCTACAGAGAGCGCCCATCGAAGAGCATGCTGATAGATGCCGCGTCGAATGAAGCCGTCAACGAAGCCGCTGGCAACGAGAGCATTGTTGATGTCGGAGACGCCAACGCCATACTCCCGGACAATCTTCTTGTAAAACTTCATGGCACCCTCAATCTTGTCAGAAACGATGTAAGCATTAATGACAGCGGCGTAAACCATAGAATCCGCACGAGCAGCGATGGTGGCCTCGCCCTGGTCGTTGGCAATGGCCAGAGCCCGGTACTCGTTGTAGCATTCGACGGCGCTGATGAGGTCTCCAGCCTTGGCAAAGGCAGTGATCATGGCGGGGAAGATGGACGCCATCGGGATGGCACCAGTTTCCTCCATGTGCTCAAAGAGTCGAAGCATGTCGTCAACACGGCCGGCGGTAGCACACGCAGTGATGACCTGCGTGTAGGTCTCGGATGAGTAGCATGCGTTCTGGGTGGCAACGGACGAGTCGAAGAGCCGCAAGGCGAGATCGAGGCGATCGTCCTCGCTGAGAATGGCAAATTCGAGTTCGTGGGAAGCGAACATGAACTTGCCAGCCTCCTCAAAGCCACCGTATCGCATCCTCTTCTCCTCGAGGGACTTCTTGAGATGAGAAACTTCGAGGGATCGGCTCGCCAGCAGATCGACGAGAATGTTGTAGGTCTCGCTGTCGGGAGAGACCTTGCGGCGGAGCATGTCGGCGTAGACGTCCAGCGCCTTCGAGACGACCTCGTTCTTCTCCGACGACAGCTGGATGGCGGCTTGCAGGAGAGCATTGTAGGCAGGGGCAATTGGCCTCACACCCGCAACAAGCATGGCCTCGAAGACCGGGGGGATCTCCTTGTACCGGCCGCCTTGGGCGAGGGAGAGAAGGTGGTCGGCATAGGTGCGGGCTTGAGGATGGATCGGGGGCGTGACTGTGCGGGCAATGCTGGCAGGCGTCCTCGACCTATCAGGGGTTCGAGCACGGGAAACCGGGGCAGAGGCAGAAGCAGCAGGCGTTGCGATTCGCTCTGCAGTCTCTGGCTCCTCCTCAATGGCCTCAGCGCGTCTTCTCTCCTCGATAGCCTCCTCTAGAGCAGCGTCAATGTGCGCCAGGACTGCCTGGTCTTCGGGGCTTATGCTACCCTCTCCGGCATTCTGCTCAGTCACTTGGCCGTCAGGGCCAACCTTGACTTCACCCAGAAGAATCGAAGCCGGGGTAGGCTTCCACTCGATACGCTTCTGGAATTCGAATTGGGTCCATTCCTCCTCAGCACCTTCTTCATCTGCTTCCGCCTCACGCTTCTTCAGGGCCTCGAAGTAGGCATCGAGGCCTCCGTGACTTAGTGTGCGATCATGGCGCTTGTCGGTGGAGAGGTTGGCAAGAGCCTGCCTCTCGGAGTGGAACGCGGACGCGGCTTGGGTCTGGAGGGTATGGAGTCTGCTGAAGCGGTGGCTCTGTCGACGAGCAAAGGAGGAACGGTTCTGGGAGTTGAGGAGGTGAGGGTGAGAGACAGCAACGACCGATTGGGCGTAGCCGTAGGTAACAGATTTCGTTAATCCGGAGCGGATGAAATTCTGGTACAGCGATGAGTAAGGAGCGGGCATTTAGATGGATGGGCTACGAAATCTAAGCAAGGCAATCTTAGGTTAGTATGCATATCGTCATACGGGCCAAGCAATGAGGGTGTGTGTGCCTGTGTTCGTGTGTCCGTCTCCAGCTGAGAGAGATGAGGACCGGTGAGGTGGTGCCACATGAGCTCAATATCCGGCCAGGTAGGGAATATTCGGGGCAGCTAAGGCCAAGAAAGACGGAGCCAGGGAGCTTGGTGAAACGACTCGACGGAATCGATCGGACGAGCAAGACAATTGAAGCGTCAACTTACATGAAAAGAAGGGTTAAAGCTTGAATGCAGGTTCATTTGACAGCAACCCACGCTGTCAAACAAACGCGCTACCTTAGGATGGTATTAAAAAGTTGGATTGGGATATTAAGTGTAAAGTCGTGAAGTTCCAAAGAAGGGGGAAGGAGGAAAAAAAGAAACAAAAGAGAGAAACGAGAGTCAAGAAGCCGCGGGATTAAGGCAGCGAGGGTTGTGGTATTATTTCCTCTTTTTTTTTCGGTGTTGATTTAACGAGGAAGTCGCGCTGGAGTGAGACACAATCAATTACATTGGTGGTTGGGGGAAATTTTTCGCGGAAGGGGCCTCGGGCCTGGCGCTGATACAAATGGGAACAAGGAATTTACCACAAGTACGAAGGTACCGGGAAGAACTCGGGACGAGGCGAATTTGGACCGGGGCTCAAAGGTCGATGACTCAGGTGTGAAAACGTGGGGTGGGGCGGGGAGGCGAGAGTCCACTGCAAGGTGCCACTAACAATTGAACCCACTGAAGGATGGGCAATAGTACCAGTACTTTAATGTTGATGTTCATACTGCAATGGGCCGTCCAATTCCAGCTAGGGGCTACTTCCCAGCCGTACTTGTACTTGGTACTGCATGCTCTTGCCCACGTTCGCTAGCCGTTGCGTGCATTGCGAGCAGAGGGACAGCTGCAGCCGCGACCACATGAGCTCTGTTGTACCAAGTACTGCGATAAGCCCCAGGCATCAATTGGTTCCCTCTGATGACGGCAGTGACGATGAGAGTCACGAATGACACTTCAAGGGCAGTGCATCTTACGCGCATTTCAGATATCAACGAGATTGGCGATAATCACCATGACAGGCACAAGTCAGAGTTCTCGAATAAGTCCCAGTATTACAGGTACCAAGCTAGCCAAGGTACCGCAAATACACTAGAAGTCGACTCAATGTACTCTGACAGTGACAGGAGGCCTGGCGGCCAAATCTGGACAGATCACTGATTGATCTTGGTTGATGACGAATCAAGAACCAGGCAGAAACATCGAACGTGTACGCATACACTACACTACCCCTAAACTCACAGTAGATGTTGCACAAATTGCTCCTTCAGGCCAGGCTAGACCACTTGTAGTAGTATCCAAGTACAAGTTCGAAGTAACAGTACCAAGATGACCTGGCCTCTTTCCTGGCTGTTCTGGCCCAGGACAAGGAAAATGGAATTCCATCATCTTCTTTCCAATGACGACCAGGGCGGACGCGTGGTGGGGAAAGGGAATACGACCAAAAACGAGGGAGCCCTTGACCCTCTTCTCCTCCTTCTAGCCCCCGGCCCTGGTGCCGGTCCAATCGCTCCCGCGTGTCTAAGTCCGAGTGCCACCGCCGACGCCCGCTGGACCAATACCTCTGCGCGGCAGGGAGGGAGGGAAGGAAGAAGCCGGAAGCAGATGGATGAGCACCAGCCTGTCGGGATTCGGTGTATTCAGACATCATGTACGAAGTATTAGTGGGTATACTTGGTCCTACCATCCCAGTTCATGTGCCCCGGCTTAGGATGGTACCTCTGGTTCAAGGATTCAAGGATTATTACGTCGACTGTGACTGGACCGAGATTTGCTTTTCATGCTGTTTCTGGATGCGAGACTAAACGAGCATGGATGAGAGCAGCTGCGCGAAGGATTTGTGCAGCAAAGGGCATGTGCTCGCCACAACATCCCTGTCCCTGTCGGAAAAGGGCAGTGAAAATTTTTTCACAACGGTCTGGATAGCTTCATGATCGACTGCACAAGCTCTCATGCAAGAATCACTTGATTTTCAACGTTCGCTTGGGGAAAAGCAAAGCTCGAAGTTGGATTTGATCGACCTCGACTTGGACATCACGGTGCATCACGAGAGAAAAAAAGAAAAACCAAAGAGCAGAAACCAAATAGCAAAAACCAAATGACGCCCCTTACGAAGTAATTCCCTCTGGTAGTATCGTCAACCCGCAGCATGAAACTGGAAATAATTATCAAAATTATCAATCCAGATATCTCCCTCCTCCCCCTCGTCACCCCTTACCAAAAGAAACACTCCCTTCATCTCGATCCCGCCCCCTGAAGCTATTATTAAAGTTTTCCACCCATCACAACATCCCTTCTCTAACAAGTCACATGCCGTCCGCCCCACGAAAATGACCCGCCACCGCCGTGCACCCTCGGACAGACGGCAAAAGTTGTCGATGCTTGAGGTTTTTTTTTTCTTTCTTACCCTTTTGGCTTTTAGCCGTGGCAAGCCAGCCGCACCCCGCGCAAGTACCTGCGCGTCGACATCATAGCCGTCCAAAGTCACTGATTTTGCTGATTTTGCGCTGCAACCTCCGGGACTTCCGAGGTTCCAAATACCCTCCTTTCCCCATAGCCCCGGCGGAGGGTTTTAGGCCGACGGGGGATGGTCGCCGACATTGCCTCGTGGCTGATCCTGTCGCTTTTGTTTTAGTGCGCTCCAAACCCCAGATTTCGATGACTTTGTGGAAATTGAGGTCCGCTGCTATGCGTCGCGGATGCTTCTTCCACTTCCTTGTCCTGAACCAATAGCAAGTACATTGGCAAATGAGGCATTCTTGGTATTAGTCTATGTGATGGCGATAGGACAGGGACCTGCGCATCTGCACACTCGTAGTAACTACATATTATGAAGCAGAGTCATCCCTTATTTTGGATAATCCTTGAGATGATAGCTCTTGAGCTTGACAAATTGGTCGAACCCAAACTTGCTTAGCGTCACTCCCCGTCCCGAGTTCTTCCACCCCGTCCATGCAAGATCCTATCCAAACTCTGGCGTCAGCATGCAGATTGTGGGGATGGTCATCAAGGAGGAAGGGCTCGTGTTGGTCCTTACCGGGCTTGGATAGTCACATCGATTGACGAATACAGTTCCAGCTTCGATTTCATCGGCGATCCGATACCCCGTCTCCGTGTCCTTTGTCCAGATGCTGGCAGTAAGTCCGAACTCGCTATCGTTCATCCTCTCAATGGCCTCTTGATCTCCCGCGACCTTCATCACGGGAATGATTGGCCCAAACGACTCGTCCTTCATAACCTTCATCTCATGTGTGACCCCGGTAAGAAGCGTCGGTCTCACGTAATTACCACCAGCTGGTGGGTTCTCGAAAGTGTCGTTCTGAGGCGTTGAATCCGTCGCGCCCTTATCCAAGGCGTCCTTGATGTGCTCCTCGATGGTCTCCTTCGACCGTTTCGAGATGACCGGTCCAATATGCGTAGCCAGATCGAACGGATCGCCAAGCCTGTATCCCTTCAATACCTTTTGTATCTCTTCGATGAACCGGTCGTGTATCGATTCGTCGACGTAGACTCTCTCGATGGAACAACAGCTCTGACCAGAGTTGAAAATTGCACCGTCGACAATCTCCTCTGCCGCCCACGCAACATCAACATCCTTTCGCACGTATGCAGGGTCCTTACCACCAAGCTCTAGCCCGACGTTGACGATCCGATCCGCTGCAGCCCTCTGGACTGCTAGACCTCCTGCCACTGATCCTGTAAAGCAAATATGTCGAATCTTGGGATCCCGGACGATGGTCTCGATGGCCGAAGGAGAGCCGGAGTGGAAATACTGCAAGACACCCGTCGGCAGACCTGCCTTGTCAAATATACGAGCGACGTGTTCGGCGACCGTAGGCGTTTGAGGTGACGGCTTGAGTATCACCGAGTTGCCGGCCAACAAGGCAGGTATTAGAGAATTCACCAAGACCAAATAAGGGTACTGCTCGTCAATCCGTAAATGTTAGGCCACTGATGCAGTCTGGATTACGACGGGCTTGTTTGTAGAGTGCACATAGGACTGGTTCAGAATCCTGGGGGTTGAATACCCTAGGGACCGGTCAGCCGCGGTTCACTTACATTCCAAGCAAAGATGATCAGCACCGGCCCAACCGGAACCTTTCTCAAAAACCTCTTAAACCCCTTCTCCGGCTCGCCCTCGGTATCCTTGAGGGCCTCGTCGCTGACCTTGACGAGGTATTCCGCCCTCTTAACCGCCGTCGTAATCTCTTTCGCCGTGTACGCGATTGGCCTTCCCATCTGCTCCGTCAGCTCTCTGGCCAAAACATCCTTGTCCTCCTCGAGAAGGACGAGCGCCCTCTTGACTATGGATACGCGCTCGGCGAGCGAGGTCTTGCGGTAACTCTGGAAAGCTTCGGTGGCGGCTTGGGGGAGGAGCTCGATGTCTACGTCGGAGATACCATTCCGGGTGAGGATGGGCTTGTTGGTGTTTGGGGAGATGGTTGTGATGACCTCGACAGACATTGTCGGAACCTCGTGCCAATGCTTTCTTAGATTCTTTGATGTGGAATTGACGGCCGGGTAGATAATTCTAAGTTCGATCTCGGACGGAGCGGGAGGAAAAGATATCAGGTTGATTGCGCGCTTCCGTTTGCGTTGATGTGCTCGGTACCCCGCTCAAGGTCAAGGTTTCCTTGCTGGAGCTTAGCTGCCCCGCCATAATGATAAGATAAGACACCGAGCTCATCCTCGACATTGGATCGACAGAACTTCCGGATCGTTGCAAGCGACCAATGGTTTTTTAAAAAAGACGTTGGTATAATCATTTTTGCTGATATATGTCTGTGGCGATCATATCACGACATGTAATAAAATCTGTTGAATAAAGAGTGGCTATCTAAACATTCAACCAGCCATCAAAGTCCCTGAGATGCTCCGTCCTCGCTCCCTCACTCGCACATTTAACCCTCATCAAATCAACCTGGTAATCAGGAGTCCTCGCATCCTCACAGCACTTCCGTATCCTCTTCAAAGTTTCCTCATCATCCTTAGCCACAATAGCCGCCGCATCAAAACCTCCAGCACCAGGGACAACGCCCCCATACACGCCCTCGACGGCCGTAAGCTTGTCAAGCAGCGCCGTCTGCTGGGGTGGTTCAATGGGCACGCCACTCTCCTCGCTCATGGTCCTTATGAGAGCACGGCAGCGAGAGATCGTCTCAGCAAGATGCTCGAGGTTTCCGTCCTTGGCCCGAAGTTGCTGCTCCAGGAAGAGGTTCAATCCGTGAAGGCTCCACCAGATCTCGGTTGCCCTGACGGGGTTCTTCGATCTCCACTCCAACACCTTCTTCACCATTGACACGGTCTGAGTGCCTGAATGGACGTCTACCATGCGGATCGCCAAGCCAGCGGGCAACGTAAAGTCGTCGATGCTCCCATCCCACTCCCTCAAAACCACGTCCTCAAGCGCGACGGAGAATCCAGGCTTTCCTGGTTCCGGTAGAGAAGACAAGATGCTAGGCGAGAAGCGCCGATAGTTGCAAGCGCCGTATACAGCGGCGGCAATGTCGAAACCGGAACCAATCTTGCCCTGTGCCGCTCCGTGAGCCACCTGAGCGAGGTTATGCAAAGTCCTCTTGCCTTCGGGCGAAGAAATGTCGAATGCGCCGGGCAGGTAATGCGTCAGAAGCGCACCGGTTAGGGCCGTGACTAGGGCGGCTGACGATCCGAGGCCAGTCTTAGGGGCCTCTCGGATCGGATAGGGGAACTTGGCGAACCTGCCTAGGCCAACCTTGGGAGTCTCCTCGTGCGAATTCGAGTAGTAGTCATTGTCCGCTAGGATCGTTAGGCGGGTTGGGCTCAGGCTCTGGTGGCTCTCCAGGCGAAGCCGACGGTGGATGAATGTCAAGACGTAGGTCAAAGTAGTCTCCACGAAGGGATTCTTTGCTGAGAGCGTCTTGCCGCTGGGAGAGAATTCGAGTAAATATTTGGAACGCACAAAACAACCAGCGTACGAGTAAAACGCCAAAGAGGATAGAGAAATTTACATATATATGTAAAGAAAAAGGGGAGAGAAAAAAAAGCCATACCTTTGGAGCTGAGTGACATTGATGCCGCCGTCATTCTCCGCCAGATGGAAGCCAAACCTCCACACGGCATCCAGGAACTGTGGGCTCGTCACCACAATCTCGGAGAGTTGCACGCCTTCACCGGTCCGGATCGTCCCAGCAACTACGTTTATCCTGGCATCAAGTCCTAGCACGAGGCCGTTATGAGCGGGATCCAGGACCAAGTAACCACCAGCCAAAAGAACCTTGCCAGGGGCGGACACCGCCACGGTTGGCTCCATTGGTCTGGATTCTGCGGGCTAATTTTGGGAGGTGGAAGTTCTACAAAACTGGGTGGAAGCAGCACAGGCAGATGAGAGAAGCTCCTCGGAGATGGTGTGTAGAGCAGCTAGTAAGGAGTGGGAGCGGTAGAGCTGGTGAGGAATTGGAGGTTCGGAGCTGTTGCTATCCTTTTCTGATGGTGGGGGTGAGCTGAGGTTATTTGAGAGCTCCGAATTGAAGTGAGGGGCAAAGCGCAAAGCGCAAAGCTCGGAGCAAGCAAAAAGTGGGATGAATTGTTAGAGGCACTGGACCAGCATTGAGACTTCCTCAAATCTTCACATCAAATTAATCCACGACTTCCCATCATCGATCGAGGATAAGGAGAGCGCAATCGTTGACAAAATGTTAAATTCAAGGTCCGAAAAACCTTGTAGGCTCGCTCACACGTGAAATTCAAGGCCAAGCATCTTTAATCAGAAAGTCTCTTGGTCTCTGTTTGCTCCAAGCCCGCGAAAGACCTCGGGAAGCTATGACGACAACGACGGACGACGACAACAACCCGGAAAACACCGAGTTCCTGCTCACTACATCACAACGCAGGCACAGTTACAATTTCAAGCCGACAGAAGTTGATGCAACTGTATTTATTTAAACCTTGGTAAATTCAAAAGTAACACCGATGATGTCTTCACTCCTGCTATACCCTGTTCACCCTTTATCCCGTCCGACACCCAATGTTCCGGATTCCTTCCAATTCCCAAATCATGTCTTCCTAGATAACACATTCCTTCCAGCTGGAGGAAGGAAATAATAAATAAATAAATAACTAAATCCATTGATGTCTCCTGACAACCTCAACAGCTCGAGAAGCCACAGCGGGCATAACAGGCAAAGGAACAGCAGCAGCCTTGTCCTTATTGGCCTTGGGCGGGCGAGGTATGAATGTAGTAAAAAGTATGGTGATGGATATTGGTATAGTGACGACTCTGTTGCTGTTGTAGTTGCGATGGCATAAAAAAACTCTATTCATGCCAAACATCACCCATCGCCAGTCGTACATTTCTCCGGTCTCGATCCCGCCAAGGAAAACGCCGGGTGTAGTGCACTCGAGGATCCGGGAGTCGGCGAATCCACAACGCCAATGCGGCTAGCTGCAGCCTTCTCTTTTAGGAGTGCGAGTCTGTCATTGCCGCGAAAAGAGAGGCACGGTTAGAAACGAGTATTCTTTGTCAGGCACGGAGGGTTGGATTGGGCTTACTCGAGATGGGAGATGCCTGGGAGTGTCGTGTCTTCATGCCTGAAACCGAATGGGGTGGACTGGCGAAGATCGTGTTAGCGGAGACCGCAAGGACTTGGGGAGACTAGAACTCATGGAGAAGAGCTGGTTTTGGCGTCACTATCAAAAAAAAAAAAAAAAAAAAAAAAAAAAAAAAGGTAAACTTACAATCTGGAGCCCTCTTATCGACTTCAATCTCCTCCCCAAGACTCTGGCTTGGACTCTGGCGCAGAAGCTCTTGATGTTCTCTCCCAGCGACATGCTGACTCCCTGACTCTGGCTGGTGAATGATAGCTGTTCGATACGAGATTCGAGGGAGAGGCTGGAAAGACACTGTCTAAGAAGTGTTGGGGGCAGACCAAGAATAAAAAGGACGAGAAAACACGAGGACGGCTTTGAACGGAAGGATAGGCGATGATGACCAAGATGCAAAAGACATGAGATGAGGAGTAACTATCAAGCTGCCAAGTCCTCAAACTGGCTACTATAAAGAAAAAGAATCGGTAACAAAGAGAGGATTCCTTTGAAGTCGAGACGATGAGCGATGACGGCCAAGGATGAGTCTGGAAGTGCGTCTTCGGCTCAGGCATGTGACACATTCAGGGCGAATAATTCTGGGAGCTAGGAATGTAAAATAAAAATACACACACGCGGAAGGGTCCGCGGTGAAGAACAAGAGGAGCCTTGACTCTGGATATTTTCCGTTTCTTTTTTTCTGGAACTTCAGGGCTAGTACCCAAGATATATATATATATAGAAATATTATGTCCCGTAATCCCAAGCCGGTCCACTCTCCCAACGCATACCACACGCCCCCCAGCCAAAGATCCAGTCCGCTCTTCAACAACTAGCTTACGACGGCCCGCCGCCGTGGTTTCATCACGCCATGCCAACACCGATATAGAAGCCAGGCCAGCGTGCCTGGAATGCTGCAAGCCACATCTTCAGGCCCACTCCATGGATATGGGCCCAACGGCCGGTCAGCCCAACCCCCAAGCCCGACAGCCACCTGGTTCGGATGTCGCAGGTTCAGCAAAAAAGCGAGGAATGAAATCGGGGCGGAATTAGAGAGCAGGGCTCGGGCTTTCCGCCATCCCTGTTGGCACGGGTCCTCATGCAAGGGAGAGAAAGAAAAAGCCCTCCGGTGCTAGCGGAAGGGAGAGGATCGTCCACCGAGGCTTGCTGCTCCCTGAGGAGGGAAGATGACAGAGGGTCCGGTCAGCATGCTGGAACTGTTTGTTGGAGACGAAACTCGGATTTCCTCCCTTGCATTTGAGGCTCGTAGCCACGGCCAGGGCTTTTAGTAAGACTTGCGGATTTCGGATTAGGGAGAATGCAGATGGAGGATCAGAGCGAGATCTCAAGCGATTTTATCGACATTGTACCTAAAAGGCGATGAGCAGGTGCGAGGACCAAGACACGCACTGTCCTCCGCTTTCCATGCTAAAATTCTTATCGATAAGACATTTTTCTCTTTTTCCTCGCACCCATCAAAAAAGACTGGAGAGAAAAGAGGAAGAACAGAAAAAAAAAGAAAAATAGCAATACCAACCACATATTCACCACACCCCGTACTATACTCCCTCCCCATCCTCACCCCCCACAAGGAGAGCTGAGACTCCCCCTTCGGTCGAGCCTATCGCCAACCCCTCCTCTGCCGTTCAACCCCTACACAATGGCTCCCGAGAAGCGAAACAAGTTCCTCGACACCGCCTCCGACAGCGACGACGACGCCGAGTCCCAAAACGACTACTCCTCCGACAACGAAATCCGCAAAGGCGCACGAACCGCCAAGCGGAGGAAACTAAATGAACCGACGGACGCATCTTCCGATGACGAAAGTGCCTCGGACAGCGAAGCCGGCGGCGTCCCAGTCGTGAGCAAGGGCAAGGGCAAGGCCAAGAGCAAGGGCAAGTCGGCCGCTTCCATAGGTTCAACCAAGGGACGGGAGGGAGACGACTCCGACGCCGAGGAAGCAGATGCTGCGCAACGTTCACCCGGGGGCAATCTCGACGAAGACGATGATCAAGACTCCGACGACGAAGACCCCGCGTCCGCCAAGTCCAAACTCCCCAAATTCACAAGCAAAACCGACCCCCTCCGCACCCTCGTAAAAAAGAACCTCGTCTCCACCGAATCCGCCATCAAAAAGTCCGGCGTCCTGTACGTCTCCCGCATCCCCCCCTTCATGAAGCCCCACAAACTCCGCACCCTCCTCGAGCCCTTCGGCACCATCAACCGCACCTACCTGGCCCCCGAGGACCCGGCGAGCCACCAGCGCCGCGTGCGCGCCGGTGGCAACAAGAAGAAGCTCTTCACCGAGGGGTGGGTCGAGTTCGTGGACAAGAAGGACGCGAAGAAGGCGTTCGAGCTGCTGAATGCTCGGACTATTGGTGGGAAGAAGGGGAGTTATTATAGGGATGATGTGTGGAGTTTGGTTTATCTGAAGGGGTTCAAGTGGCGCGATTTGACGGCGCAGATTGAGAAGGAGAATGCCGAGAGGGAGAGTAGGATGCGTGCGGAGATTAGCAAGGCTACGAGGGAGAATCTGGAGTTTGTTAGGAATGTTGAGCAGGCGAAGCAGTTGGATGGCATCAAGACGAAGAAGGAGAAGAAGGGGAAGCAGGAGAGTTCTGCTGAAACGGCGCCGGCGAGGACCTTTAAGCAGGTGGCTCAGGTGTCGAAGAAGAAGGCCGGGGCAGGTAATGACGAGCCGGCGGAAAATGTCAAGAGAGTTCTTAGCAAGATTTTCTAAAGAAGATAAAAAGAAAAAGGAGAAAAGAAAGAGACGAGAGCCAAGGGCGCGCCGGGGAGTTCCCAAAGCGTATGTGGCGAGTTACTGGTATTTTGGCATGGAGTTCTGGTAGTTTCACATTTTTTTAACACATTTTAGATTTGTTTGAGCTCACCCATCTCATTACGGGCTTTTGTTTTCAGAAACTCTTTCAAGTCATGCGGTCATGCTGCATTCCCTATCCACTGTCGGCTGCTGCCCTGACATAGAAGCCGGAGGCGAAGAAGAATATCAAGAAACGAGAAAGAAAACAATCATTGGTTGTCCTGAACCGTCAGATCCTCAAAGTCATCCAGCAATTCATCCACATTGATACGCGGCACCTCATCATCCTCCTCCGTCTCTGCAACGCTCATCTCATCGGGATCCGTCTTCTTCGGCGCCTTGTACAGCGCAATCGCTGCCCTCATCTCCTCATCCTCCTCCACATCGCGGAGGAACATTTCGTATTCGTTGTCATCCTTGCTCATGTTGGCCTTCCTGTTGAACAAGTCATCCTCCTCCTTGACAATGTGCTTCAACTTCCAGTTCCTGCGCTTGTTTTTCCTGCGGTTGGGGAAGTGCTTCTTTACGAGGATGACGTCAGGGATGGTAGAAGAGTAGGTATTGGACGCTTCGATGGCGTCGAAGTGTTCGTTGTTGAACATGGTCCCCGAGAGCATGTATCCCATGACAGAATCTCCCGGGTGCAGCAGGTGTCCGAGATGAGTCCGGGTAAAGTACGTGTTGTCGTTGACACCGAGATCCGCAGCACGAGCTACGGTAGCCTCGCATAAGTGCCACTTGCCTTTCTGGACTGGCGTCGATTCGATATCGAGGACGATGAACTCCACCATTTCCTTTGCGTCAGCAAGGGATGTGAACGGTGCCCTCCAGTAGATCTTGTTGCTAATATCGGCTGTCTGCAAAGTGTTGGGGTCCAGCAGATACACATGGGTTCCGATCCGGTGGCAGAGTAGGAGAGGCGAAATGTTCCCCATACTCTTGGCCAGCTTTATGGGTAGCGCCACTAGGTCGTCCTTGCATATGGGGACAAGCTTCGCGGCCCAGGTAAACTTGTAATTCGTCGTTGAGGTATGGGTGTCTTCGGAAATCAGTTCCTTGGACGACTTGATATCAGCCGGAACGACAGACTCGAGGAAGTGCACGAATGTCTCGGCTTGATTCTTCTCGGCAAAGTAAAAGTCGACACCATCCCGAGCCTCCTTGATGTTCAAAGTCTCTCGGTGGGCGTTGTGCTTCAGGATGAGTTGTTCGAGGTACATGAAGGTTCTCTTGTGCGGCACCTTCTGTCTCACCTGGACAGAGGCCCTCCAGACGTTGGCTGTGTAACTCTTTCGGCAGTCGGGACATTGTTGAGTGGATACCACGTACGTCACTTCGAAGGCTTGCTGCAACACAACACCGTGGGCAACGCTATCCTGGACGGTGATCTTGACCTTGATTCTTCTCGAGTGGGGTTCGGTCCAGATGAAACTGGCGTCGACGACGCGCACCTTGTGGATATTCAGCTTTTTGAGACATATGGCCAGGAGCTCTCGGGACTCGGGCTGGGCAACGACCCAGGTATTGGGCGGCAAGAGCCATCGGTCGCAGTCTCTGCAGAAATGAAGAAAGGACTCGCGGGGGATGCCTTGTGAGACGTCGACGGTAAGCTTGATGCAGTCATCGCAGAGAGCGCCGCCCGAGACGGTGCCGTCGAGAGGTGCGCCACAGTTATAGCATAGAATCCTGTGTCTCGATGTTAGTTCGCAGACTCGAAGAAGCGGAGGAGGATGGCGGTGCAGGATGTTGCGACGATACATACGTTGCTACTCGCTGCTGAGCCGGCGCGTCGGCGGGGTTGAACGGGACGACGTCGTCCAAGTCCATGTTGAAGCTGAGGTCAATCGTATCCCGTAAGAATCTGCTTGTTGCTATTGCCGTAGAGGCCTAGTCCTGCTAATCCAGATGAAAAGAAAGCCTTCGATATCGTTACCTCGTTAATCTCAAGTCGAAGTGCGGAGGAATCGCAGCAACAGCGGGGCAGAGGCAACAAAAACTTCAAGTTTGCCCCTCCAAAAATATTTTTATCGATAAGCAGAATCGACGTTAAAATTCTTAGTGCAGCTAGTCGCACCCTAAAAAAATCAAGTCTTGGATTTGATAGCAGTTGCACTGTTAAAAAGACTTGCATTTGTCATCATCTCGAGCGAGACCTTGCTTGGCTTGGCCCCAAAGGATCACTGCCGCCCTATTAGGATCGACCGCTTCAAAAGGTTGGGCCAAAACGATAGGGGTCTCTTTCAGTTCTTAAAATAAGAACGACGGTATTATATCTGTAGGAGCCGTCTTGGAGGTTCCTTCCGATTTTGCTGACGCCGAAGATGCTCCCGTCGCCCTCGGACGTGCCTGGGGTATCGTCCGCCTAGTCTCTCTGCGCTTCTTCTTCAACCCGGCGAAGAGATCTTCGTCGCTATCAGAAAGAATAATAGATGTAGTCTCCCGCTCCTCTTTTATTTCCTGTCTCGTTACGGCCGGTCTCTTTTCCCTGGACGGGTGCGAAATTGAGGGCCAAGTTGACTGGCGAGGGTGCTTAACTGCAGGCAGCCCCGGGTTGACCGCATCATGGCAGCTTTCTAAGGGAGTCCGTCTCGGCGCTGGAAGAGGGGGTAGTGTCGCTCTGCGCACAGGCACGTCCAGGTCATCCGGGTCGCTGCTCTCCTCCATAGTATTGTCCACCACTCTCACAGGTGGCCTCGTCAAATGTGTTCGTCGACTACTGCGCGCCTCGCCACTCTCTAACCTTGTAATGTCCCTTGTGCTCGGCGCTACGGAAGTGAGACGCGATAGCTTCACTGCCGACTTTTTGGGCGCTTCCATTAACCCTTGCAGCGAGGTCCCCATCAGCGCCCCATCATCATCGCTCTCGACCTCCAATCCCTTGCCCTTGCCCTTAGCGAGGGCCGCCTTGAGGCCATCCCTTCTCTTTCGCGCCCGTTCCAGGCGGTCATTCCTGGCTTGCACAGCTAAGCTCATCCGCCCTACAACGGGCCGTGATATCGAATCTATCGCCTCGGCATTACGTGCCTTGGCTTGTTGCTTTAGGCGGTGATACTCGGCGGCGTGGAGGTGAACTGTAAATTTCCTCGCGATGGAGATGAGTTCATCTTCTACCATGCGGTATTTGTCGTCATTCTCCAGGCCCTCAATCATACATCTGAGTAATCCGTAAGCGATGTGAAAGGGGCCCGTCTCACGAACAAGACACTTACATTTCTGCTGGGGGCTCCGGGGGTGGCGAAGTTGAGGGACTTCTTACTATAAATCGCATCAGCCAAACCGGTAAATACCTCCTTTCCCATCGCTGCCAAACACTTTCATACCAGATCGAATGTGTCGGCTCGCAGTGCTAGTTCTCGTGACCGAAGCACAGCTCGGACGCGGCGACCGATCTGACGCGGTTGGAGAAGGATGCAGACTGCGAGAGCCCCGTCCAGGGTCTTCAGTCCTCCGGCGATTCCAGGGAAGATTACGGCCCATGCTCGCGATCCAAAATTTCCGGGCCAACACTGAAATTTTATATCTCGACGTAATAACAGGAAAGGGGATGCAAGCAAGGTGAGAGAGGATGAAAGCTCACGGATCCGACGTGCTGGTTCAGTCGCATTTTGGTAGGTCTCGCGGTTGTTGACAGCTGGCAAGCCATCTGGGGGCTCACAGGGTCGACATCCATATCTCCAAGTCCAAACTGACATCACGTCAACGTGAGCCGTTAAATTGGAAGACCCTTTTTTTTTTTTTGAGAAATACACTAATCCCCGCGGGAAAGTAGCAGAGGTACAAAATCCTGTTTTAATCCCGCCAAAGAACAGCGTAAAGCTGCCAGAGGCGTTGGGAAATCCTTCATATTACCACCACTCGACTCAACCCTATTCATCTAAATGTGAAAGCATAGGAGAATCCCTTCTATGTATTCTCCTAAAGAACTCGTTCCCTACGAGTTGGGGTATACCGCTAATACATCAAGACGCGAGAAGAGAGAGGAGAAAAAAAAAAACCATGCATAAAGTACAGCGCTCTATGTTTCCCAGGACAATAACCATACTCTCGCCGTCAATATTCATCGAAAAACATTACAATCCTCCTCTCCCCACAAAACTCAAGATGAAATCGGTCGACCCTGGTCCTGCTTCTCCAGGTCCGCCAGAGCCCTATTATCCCACTTCCGCTCATTAGCCTCCTCATTATCCCGACTAAATACGGCCGTATCCTCGTCGCTTCCGCCACCAAACGCATCTGCCTCGCTGTTAATGCGATCATCCAGCCCACCCGATTCCTTGCTTGCGGGGACGCCGTTAGTGTAGTGGCCCGGAGCCGAGCTACCGTTGGGAATGTGGAATCGCTTGTCGAAGCGTAGGAGGGCGTAGGTGTACACGACGATGAGCTCGATGACGAAGTTGACGCAGTAGTACGCCGCCCGGTGGTGGTACCAGCCTGGGTTATTCCGCGGCCTTAGGTCGTAGGAGCCGCCAATACGGAAGCCTGCACCAAAAGCGAGGAGGGTCGAGGTAAATAGCACCAGCCTGACCTTTGACCTGAAGCGGCCCTCGCCAAACTTGTCGATCCTATTCTTGCGGGGCCATGCCCAGGCCAACAGGACGATGGGAATAGGTAGGAAAGCGAGAACAGCGAGATAGGTACCGGAAAACAGTTGGATGTCGCGGCAGATGAGGAGGATGTTCTTGTTGAGGGTGTAGAAGCTCCTAACCGTCGCGGTAATGACCATGATGAGCAGAGCGATGACACTAAAGTAGAAGAAACGGAAGAACATGGTGGGGATCTTGTGCCAGCCGAATTTAGGATGGTACGCCCTGACAAGCCTCTGGGCGAAAATAAGATTGACGATGAACAGCAAAAGCACGCCAGCCTGGTTGAAGATGTTGGAAGCGATGGCAATGCGAACGTTGGTTTGCCGACTCGCCCAGACTATCCTCATGATCAGGGTTACGATGCGAGCCATGCAGAAACCGAAGAGGAGGCCGGACATGATGAACTTGTGCTCTCGGCGGAGATTGATTTGGAGAACGGCCATGTTGAACACGGCGGCTGCGATGAAGAGGGCGAGGAGAACGCCGCATATCGGGTCGTCGATGGATGGTGTTGGCACTCCACCTAGGATTGCGGCGTTTGGTAGGTATGGCGGACCCTGTGGCTAGATGGTGAAATCTAGGTTAGAAGGGATGTGAGGTTTTTTCCTTTCTCTTGAGATTCAACGTACCATGGTGGGTGCGCCGCCCGAAGGCGCTCCATTGGGTGATGACATGATGTGAAAAGGAGGTTGTGCTTGTTGTGGGACGGGGGGTGCTCTCGAATTGTCAACCTCGCAACTTATATCGTGGGATAAGTCGTTATAAAGTATGGTCGGAGAGTTTCAAAGTGCGGCTAGTTACCATAGCGCCGTTGTTTATCGCCGGTAAGATTTGAATTCAAGGTTCTCTTAGAACTCTCGGGGCGAGTTTGATCGTTGGGACGTTAGCTCCATCCAGGAATAGATTCCAAGGAAATGAAGCTTTATATGTCGAAAGGTGATGTCGCCTAGGTCTCCCAATGCGAAGTTTACGAGCTGCAGTGGAGAAGAATTGCTCCGAGTCACACATCACCTACACAACCGGTTTCGAGCGCGAACGGGATCGGAGATAATAATTGTAGGTGTCGGTGATTTCGCAACGATATACAAGTACTAAACGTGAAAGTCTCCGCCTATTGCAGGGCAACCAACAACGAAAAAAGAACATTGGGAACATCGCCCGCGAACCGGTCTGCTGGTTCAATCTCTTCCTTCTCAATTTTTTTTTTCTTTTTATTTGACAGGGGGTGGGGGAAGGAACAAGTCGGCTGGGGAAGCCGGCTACGTCAACGTCAACCCGTAGCGCTCCTTCGTAGTGGTGGCAAGGGGCAAGGGGGAGGGGAGAAGTCGGCGAAGTCGGTGCCGGTTCGCCGACGTCAACATGATGGATCAGCCTCACAGCGCACTGAGCATGACTGATGCGCCTGAGGGCGGGCCACGTCGGAGCCGATCTGAGCACGAGAAAAGAGCGAAGGCAGACCATGGGGCCAACCCAACTTGCGGATCCTTGTGCGTGCCTGGCATGATGTTCTTCTGCTTCTGTCCATTCCTTGTTCTCTTTTTTCGTTCTTGGGATATAATAAGCCTTTCGAGTCCATTCCCAAGGACCTGGTGACGCGGTGCCTGCCTTGTGCCACGTCCTCCCCCGTGTTTCTAGACGATGAACGAAAGCCGATTCCGTCGTGTCATGTCAGACGGATAATTTCTGAGGGCATCACGACTCTTACTTTGTGCGCATCCCATCTCTTGAGACTCATATTTTCGCAGATCACAACACTGCGCTAGTCTACATCAACGACTAGGACATACATCAGCTGCCCCAGTCACAGTGGGACTCGGGAGGTTTTGGCCTGGTTTTACCCCATCTGTCATTTTATTCACGATGCAACAGGCTCACGTCTTAGCTCTCCGTTGCCCTGGAACATGGCAAGACTCGTCTCTAACAAGTCCCCGACATACATACGAGACCTGCAACCACGGCTTTGTGGCCCCACTGGCCTCCCGACAGCCCAGGTCGTGTAATAAAGACCTAAAGCCCGATGCCGACATCTTCAATTCTCGTTCACCGGGTCCGCACCTTATCTCCGACTGTCAAGATCCTCGGGCCAGTTACATCTTTACAGGTGCGCACGAGTGTCAATGGAGGATGCTCTAGGGTTGACATGTTTGCGCCTGCCAGTGATAAGAAATAAAAGATAAGAATAAAGTAATCGCCATGGGGCAGCTTGCAACTTTTTTTTCCCCTTCTTTCCTTTGTTCTCTTTGCCTTTATAACGCATCCTCACTTCGAAACAGCAATTTGAATGAGTCTCTCATCGAGCAACTCCCCGAGACATAGCCAGTCTTACTCTTCTTCACCTCTATGCGTCCCTCAAAATCAAGCTTTCGCGCGCCCCCCAAAAAAGCAATCCTAACCCCTCCCCCAACGAGTCTGATAAGCCTTTCGAAAGTCTACGCTAGTTCCCGCATTCCCGCGTCGGCGAAACTGGACGCTTCGACTGAGAGATAAGCCCCCTTCCCTGTCCCCCAGGCGTTGGTTACCTTGCACGGTCCATCTATGGTTTGACATCGTACGGTGTATTCTCAAAGAAGGTGCGAGAGTCTGCTTATCACATTTCTGCCCTCGGATTGCACACCGGACTGAGGCACGGGGATAAGCTTAACAAAGTTGACACGATTGCTCAACTACGCACGTAACAAACAACCTTGGAGAGTGACGCGAAGGAAGGTTCACATGTGCATTTGTTTTGTTATTTTCTACCTGGTCTTAGAATGCGCGCTCTCTATGTGAGCGTTACGGGAACACTAACCCGTCCTCTATCCATAACCATAACCGGAAATCGTCTGCGGTGTATATGCCCGTCGTCATCTTCAACCAGGCTCGTTCGTAAAAAGAGTAGAGAGCTTCATCTCCTCACCTCGACCACCATCACCCATCTCCTGTATAATTTTTGGGGGGTTCTTTTTTGGTTTCCATTTTCTCATGTTCAAAGCTTAGCAGCAGCATCTCTCACAACCTTGTCAATGGCCTTGGCCACGTAGTCGATGTTGCGGGTATTTAGGCCAGCCATGCTAATGCGGCCGTTTCCGGTCATGTAGACGTGAGACTCCTCACGGATCTGGAGGGCCTGCGCCTGAGAAAGGCCTGTGAAACTGAACATGCCGATCTGATCCGTGATGTGGTTCCAGGTACCGGGCGTGCCGAGCTCCTCGAGCTTCGCGCGCAGGGCCTTTCGCATGCTGATGATGCGACCGGACATGGTGCGGAGGTTGTCCTCCCACTCGGCGAAAAGAGCGGGGTCGTTAAGGACGATGCTGGCGATACGAGCACCATAGATTGGGGGGTTGGAGATTTCGGCTCGCTGGAGGAGGGTGAGCTGAGAGCCAATCCTCGAAATAGCATCAGAGGCATCGCTAGCAGGGCTCGTCACGAAGTGGAAGCATCCAGCTCGCTCGCCGTAGAGACCAAAGTTCTTGGCAAAACTCTGAGCAAGAGCGAGCTCAAAACCTTGCTCGGCAAAGTATCGGACGGCCCAGGCATCGCGAGCCAAATCACCAGAGGCAAAGCCTTGATAGGCGCAGTCGAAGAAGGGGAAATGATTCTTCTCCCTGATGATTACCGCAAGCTCCTTCCATTGCTCGGGGGTGGGATCAACACCGGTGGGGTTGTGTGCGCAGACGTGGAGAACAATAATCGACCTCTCCGGGGCGGCGGCTAGGGCTCCCTTCATTGCGGCAAAGTCTAGACCCTTGGTCTCCTTGGAGAAGTAGGGGTATTGCGCATTGGGAATGCCGACATTTTTAAAGATCTGGCCGTGATTGGCCCAAGTGGGATTAGACAGGTACACGGTCCTGTTGCCGTTGAAGTACTTGGAGAGGAAGAGAGCACCAAGGTGCAGAGCGCCGGTACCGGAGACGGACTGGATCGAAGCCACGCGCTTCTCCTTGAGGGCTGGGTTGTCGGCACCAAGAATCAGCTCCGCGGCCTTGCTGGTAAAGGAGGCAATACCCGCGATCGGGGCATATTCGTGGTTCAAGTCGGGGTCATTGCGAAGGATCTCATCAGCCTGGGGGATTGAATTGACTTGTTAGCAAGCTCTCTGGGAAGCAGAAGAGAAGCAGGAGACGCAAGCAGCTAAGGAGCTGGGGTAAAAATTTTAGTGCAGGCTTGGTTGGGATAGATGGACGAAGGACATTGGAACATCGATGGAAATAGTGGGGGGAGGGGCACAGTGCATCTCTGCAAATGTGCTGCAACGGATTCTATGAAGGTGGGGCTTTTTTTTTTGCTCCGTAGTTCAAAATTGGTCGCAATAGTGGGGTAAAATGGCCATGCAAGAAAAGCTACCGAGCTTCAGTTTCCGCAGGTGACATGCGGATCCGTTCTGACTCCTCGGCAGAGCATGAGACCGCAAACACGACCAGGAGGAAAAGGAGGTAGAGCTAGGAATCCATAGGAAAATGGATTCCCATCACTAGAGGCCATGGCAGAGGAGCAGGGTATAGGGGTTGTGCAGCTTCGGGCAGGAGGAGAGGGAATAAAACCAAGGAAAAAAGGGGGCACGGGGAGCTGCAAGAGTAGTAAAGGAGCAACAAGGAGCTCTCTTACCTTGTGAACAACAGGAAGAATCCAGGGCTTCGCATTATCATCTCTGTAGGCGCCGATACCCTAGATAACAGAGAAAATAGCTTGTCAGTCGAGCTGGAGAAAGAGAAACTGCAAAAAGGAAAAGAAAAAATGATCTTGAGCTGTTGGGCGACGGGATGGGAGAAGCGGTGAGCTTGGGAGAGGAGAGCTTACCAAGTCGACCTTGTCTGTGGACTCGTCAGCCCTGTACGCCCTCATGAGGCCGAAGAGCGGATCCTCCGGAGCTTGCGGGACAATGTCCGCTGTGAAGTTGGTCGTCGAAGCCATGGTGATATGTGTATTATGTAGGGGAAAAGAAGAAAAAAAGATGATGGTGTTTCTTCGTCGGTCGTTCTTCGAAACACTTTGGAGAAGAGGAAATCAAATGGAAGCTGGGATTTTTTCTGAAGCAGTGGAGGGGGTTTTGAGCTCGTCCCGTCATGCAAGAAGGAAGCACCAGGACAACTCGGGAAGAAAAACGTTTGCAAATGGATTGGTTTTGCTGGATCAACTGGGATCAAGCAAATTGGTGTAAAACTGCAACCACACCTTCCCGCCACGGACAATGTGTTCTAGAGTTCAAATGAGTCAAATGGGTTTTTGCCGTGTGTGGCACCAAACGTGGTTGAAATATGTAGGTTATGTACGAAGTCGGATGCGAAGTGAAACTACTGGAGCGCGGCTTCCGTCCCAACGCAAGCCGCAACTAAAACTGGCAGAGGCGGGGCTTTTACGTACCTTTTGAACTGCGCCCGGAGCCGGATCCCTTCCCAGTTGCATGTGCTTCCTCGCTCCTGCCTTTCCTGTGAGCGTCATCTCCGTCCGTTTGACATCGTCTGCTCCTGCCACCACTATTACCACTATTGATGACAAAATACACCACCCAACTCCCAAAATACCACGCTGTACTTGACCGAGTACACGAGATATACTTGCGCTTACGAGTACAATCGCCCGGTTTCCAAGTATCGCTCGATGAAGCCATAATTTTAGCCATTTTATGAAGAGCTCCGTGCTCCCTTCAATGTTCCTTGACCCTTCATCGGCTGACTTCTGCATTTTTCCCTCCACCCCCAAAAAAGCACGCGGGATACCTCTGTAATTGGAAGGGACATGAGCTTTCAAATCCTGCAATTGTAACCGCCTGTCGCTGAGCACACGTTCTGGAATCTCGAGCGACACCCCCTTTCGGTCCCTTTCGATAAACCCTTGCAGCTTCGCTAAGTCGATACAGGTCATAATCAAGAGAAAGCACTGACATTGATTGATCCCATTCAGCTAAAAAATTACGCTAGCGATGCCTATCGTTAGAGCCCCGTGATTTGCGCGGTTGGTCGAACCATTGGCTCAACTGATCGTAGCGCAGTGAAGTGTACAGTACTAGTATGTGCAGCTCCTTGTCCCCCCCCCCCCCCCCCCCAAGCGGCCCGCTCCCCCCTAATTCCAACTTCCAACTCCTTTACCCACTTGTCAATCCACGCTCCCTCTCGGGTTGAGTTCCCTGTCGCCTCGAACCACCAAGGTTGGTCAATGCTGTGAAATCGGACATCACGTTTCTTTCTATGTAGATGGCACGAGTCCACAAAGGCCCGGCGTCCCTCGGTTTCCTCCTATTCTCCTTACAGAACTAGAAGATCACCGTTGCTGCCTTGGCCCTGCGCCGGCTGCAGCACATGCTGAGGTGCATGTGCACTCACTACGTACCCACTCTCTTGCCCATTTCCCCCTCCTCCGAATACGTCACCTTGGTCAATCCTCATGGCTGCCATCTGCTGCGGACCGATGCTGGCAAAGTATGCGTCGGCATCGTTAAAGCCGCTGGACGACGACGCAGCTCCGCCATTGGAAGGTATTGCCGCCGCCGCCGGTCTATTCCGGAGGTCGATGTCAGACGGCTGTCCTCCTTTTCCGAACATGCTGAGGGTCTTTTGTCCGTCTCCGGGCGCCACTAAGGAGTCCCTCTGCAGGCAAGGCGAATCCTGCAGCTTCCGCGGCCGCGCTGAGCGGAAAACGGTTTGCACTGGCTTTAGATAGACCGTCGCCAGGGTCCCGACGTTCAAACACATCTCCTCGAGGGTCTGCGGGTCGAGCCTTTCCGACTCCGCCGTAATCGGTGGCTTCTCTCCCATTATAATCTGTCTGGCTGCGTTCATGTCCGTGGAGAGTAGGCGCCAGTACATGTAGGCTCGATCTCGTAGATCCGGGTTGTCCGTCTCTTCCGTCGCCCACTTTAGAACCTTGGGCACGAGCTCCTGGCCCCTCGTCGGTCGTTGGATGAAGAGCTTGACGGTCGCCGTGAGCAACGCTAATTGGACCTCGACCGGCTCCTCGGCAAACGAGTAAAGGAAATCCTCGAGAAGGGCATCCGAATTTTCGATGCGGTCGGCGTACTGGCCAATCACCCACACCATGGCTGCCTTGGCCTCGGGTTCGTCGAGAGAGTCGAGGTTTTCGCATAGCGTGCCGATAATTGACTCATATTGATTCGGATACTTTCGGAAAATGTTGCGAATCACCACCGTCGCTTCCTGCACGATATATGTGACTTTTGTCGCCACCAGTTCAAGCAGGAGGTTTATGCATCGTGTTGCTGCAGGCTCTATCTTGATGGCTAACTTTCCAATCGCCCGGACAGCTTTCCTGACAAAGTGCACGTCAATCTCTGTTGCATATTCCCGCAGTTCGGTTAGCACTTCTTCAATGTTGTTCTCGTTGGCCAGCATGAATATCAACTCGAGCTTCGTGACCTTGACGTAAATGGGGTCGTTGTATTTGCAGAAGAAAACACGGATGTCATTGCGCAACACCTCCGGGCGTCTCTGCAAGATGAGTAAAGCATTCCGGAGCGCAAGATACTGCACTTCTGGTCCTTTCGCCAGCAGAGTGACGAGCGGTGGCGACAGTTTTCTGCAGAGCGCCGCTATTTGCTTCTGATCCGAGATGTAGTTCATCAAGTACAGGATCACGCGTATGCAGGTCAGCACAACCGACGAGTTTGAATGCGAAAGTCGCGGGGATATGCGCTCGGCCAATAGCGACGCTTCCGAGGACTCCTGGGGTACATAAGTCATGAGCGCCTCCAGGATGTACGTTTGACCCCATCTATATGTAGCGTGTTAGCGGGATTTTAAGACCGCCTTGTCGGCGGCGGCGGCGGCAGCAAAAGTGATGCGGGGGTGGGGACAGGAGTGGGGACAGGAGGAGGAGCAGCTGAACGTACTCAGAGCAGTCGGGAAGGATAGCTACCATCTTCGAGGCATTGTTATAATCAATGGTAAGCTTGATGGCCTCACTTCTCTCCCATATATCCATGAGCGAGGCGAGCGCGCTGGCAACCACGGTCGGGTTGTCATCTCGGAGCAGCGAGTTCAACTTGTCGATCAGGTCCGATTTCTCTACCATGTGTTTGTCATGATCGTACAGCTTGGCGACACAGAAGGCCGCTGTCTTTCGAACATACGGGTCGTTGTCTCTCAACAGCTGCCTGACTTGAGGAACTGTGGCATGGACGAATTCTTTGACATGCACGTACGACATGGTACGGAGCGCTAGAGCTCGAACCAGAGGGCTCGGGTCGGCCATGTCCTAGACAACTGTTAGGAGGGGGTACTCGAGAGAACGCCTGGGAGTAGGATAGATGCAGACATACCTGTTCGAGAACGGGAATCGCCTTGACGGCAATCTCAGGGCGCATCCTCGAGTAGTTGACAAGGTAAAGGAAGCACCTTTCAGTCCGCCATTAGCATCGCACTATCGAGTCATGCATATGTTTAGTCCTCCGTCACGCGCGCTGTCACTTACATCTTTTTTATCTCCAGGCTTTGTATGTGCATGCAGCCAATAATGTCGGGAAAGAGGGCAACCATGTCATTGTTGCTCATAGTCATGTTGGCCACGATCTTCTTCAAAGCAATCTTCTTTGTCGAATAACTCTTGTCCTTCTTCCCCCCAGAATTTAGCTCAAGGCGCAGCTCCGCTACTTTGCCCTGCGAATTTCTTAGTCTCGAAGAGGAATAGAAAGAAGGTGGAGGCATGTACAGGGGGAACATGGTGAATATCAGAAGCAGAGAGGGAAGCAGAAACAGACTACGGTAGGCTTCGTCGAATGTGGAACAACAAGTAGAGAGCAAATGCAACAGAACATTTGATGTGTCATCGCAGTCCAGCGTGGAAAGCGATGGTTCCCCCAGATACAAAATAGTGCGAGGCAAGGGGAAATGAGGCTGGATGGAGGAGGAAGATCATGATGGGTGGCCGCAAGGGCGACTCAGGAGACATGAAGAAAATGAGGGGCGATGAACTTACTCGAGCAAATAGCTTCGAGTCGCCTCCCTGAGAACTCGACATGGTGCAGTTCCCTTAAACGGTAATTCAAGGTCTGGGCGATGAAGTAGTCCGGCGGGTGTGTGGCAGTAAATCGAGGGTGCAGAGACTCGTGGTGGGATGTACGTAGCCCCTGATTCCTGGAATAACCGCGAGGATGGAGGTCACCAGTTTCGAAAGATTGTTGCGCCGTGTAAGTTGGCTCTCACCCCTTCCAACGACCGTGGCTAAAACCAAGAATACACGCGAGGATTGTGTGCCCAATTGAGAGAGAATTGTGAGATATCGAAATATAGACAGTGCTGTGAGGGAATGCGAGTGCAGCGGCGCGACGGCATGTACCGACAAGAAATTTCCCCCGAAGCAACCGCGCGTATCTCCAGCAGCTCACTCTTGCTCAGCTTTTAGTATATACTCAACTCAAAGCATGAACTCCCCAGGAAAATTTTTGGATGGGATGCAGTTGCTCAATATATGATGGACAGACTCGAGATGCCAAAGGGAGTGTGGTTGAACTGGCCCCTGACTTCATTCAGTTGTTGCCCCCAAGCGGACGGTTCAAATGTTCCAGACTCGGGCATTGGCAGTATTACTAAGAGTGGGTCAAATAACATTGACCTTTCAAATCGTCACCGCACCACAAGAATCAAGCGCAGGCTGCGGAGCTCCCAGAGAGCTTCAATGCGAAAACGCCAGCCCTTTCCGGCCTCGATCTCTGCACCCTTCGAATCATCGACACCCAAAAATATTTACGTCGCGAAATTACACTTCACATAATGTGGCAGAATAAGGCGCAGCTCCCCGGATGGATTGCCGACCTGAACAATCCTCCGCTACCGAAGCATGCGTCGTCCGGAATCGTTGACCCTCCAGGCTTCCCTTCTCACAACAAGTCATCCAAGGCAAGCAACCCCCCTAGCCCTTCAAAATAACCAGATGCGATAAGAATTAAAGTGCTGACTTTCTTGCTTTGCTCAAATACAGAAAGAGAAGTCATCGAAAGATGCCAAGACCCACCAGCGACAGCCCCAGACCCCCGCCGAGATGGACACGCTCAAGGTCAAGAAGGCGTGGGAAGTGGCCCTCGCGCCTGTAAAGTCATTGCCCATGACCGCGATTATGATGTACATGTCCGGAAATTCGCTACAAATTTTCAGCATCATGATGGTGTGGATGGCCTTCAAGAACCCCATCATGGGACTCGTCTCGACGAACCAGGCCTTTGCACGCTTCGAATCCGAAACCAACCGCTCCCAGATAGTCCCCATCAAACTGGTATACGTCGCAATGCAGATATTTGCTCTTGGAGTGGGTGTATGGAAGATAAATTCTATGGGATTGCTTCCGTAAGTTTTCCGATCAACGACTCGACTGCATCGCTTGCATTATCACAAGTGCTGACTTGCCTCTTCTAGGACGACCCGGTCGGATTGGCTTGCTTGGGAAACGCAGAGGGAGCCTACAGAATACGCAATCCCAACCTTATGATGAGGCTTGAAATTGTATTATATGTTTAGTGTTACGACTTGACGGATGGAGGGAAACGGGTTTGGAACCCGTGTCACGTCTCTGATCGTTTGCATGGCACGAGTCCTATAGAGATACTCTTTCTTTTTACCAAGCTTCACCATCGTGGCCGGCCCTGTGCATCATTCAATCGTAGATACGTCGTAGGCTAGGATGGTGGCCCCAATTCATCCCTTGTGATAGAAGATGCGATGCTGGGCTGGATTGCATGATGATTAGGTAGATCCGGGTCATAGTACAATTATAACCACAATTGGCCGAAAAGATCAGAACAAGCGGAAAAGCTACGCCAGAGCCATATATCATCCTTACTTTTGAAGCCCCCGGCGGAGATAAAATATTCCTTTAAGCGTTGACTCTATCCTCGTTTGCAGCTTTGACGAATGACGTTTAGCTTCAGAGCCTTCGAAGATGCCAAGTCATCTGTGAGGTGGGCCTGTGCACTAACATTTTATCCATTGATCCTTCACCACATCACAGCGCGGTCAAGCTTCCACATGTTGGTATGCCGCAATAATACACTAGCTTGAACATCTGGCAACTTCAACCACACGACACCGCAAAAAAAATCGCAAGAATAGACACCAGGGCCACACCAGCCAACAGAACCCGAGAGAAACTCCAGGAAATCCTTTTTCATTTCAGCGTCCAAGCTATCGCACGCAGTTCTCGGGGGCAATGGACTTGTCAGCATCGTTTAATGAGCTGTTGCAAGCCCACAAAGCTCCGCCCATCCAGCGGAGGCCGGAGCTCGATCACCTCGAGGAGTTCCTGAAAGAGGCCTACAGGATAGTACGTGAAATGTGGCGATTCCTTCGGTCGGCATATACTGACAGGCGTCCTCATCACAGAACTCGCACATCTCCAATCTCCACAACGAACTTAAAGACGTCCGCCAAGCGTACCTATCCACCGCTCAGCCCCGAAAGACACATCTACGGATGGGCCAGGCCCAAAGATATCTTACCGATAGGGACCGAGAAGAAATCGACGCCAATGCCAAGCAAATAATACGCGAGCTCAATGCGAGTATACGCATCTTAGACGACGCCGAGAGCAAACGACGGCATGATGAAGAAGCGGCGATACGGAAAAAGTATGGGAGCGCGCTGGGAGCTTTGGGTTCGTGGGCAGCGGGGGGGAAGAAGACGGACGAGCACGAGGCGGCAGAGTCGAGGGCACGGGACATTGGAATACACAGGGATGGGATTCTCTGGTTTTTAAGAAAGAGGTTGGAGTTGTGCTGTGCGACCCAACAGTCCATGATGGAGGCGAGGTTAACGAGGGAAATGGAGAGGAACCGCAGCGTCTTAGCCAACGCCAGCATCCCCCTACCAGGGTATACCGCTCCCCAGGAGAAGGCTGCCGTCAAGGCATCCAGTAGCTCCTCCGACTTTACGTCTCCACAATACGAGTCCTTCGCGCCGGACTCGAGCCTGACAGAGGAGCAGGTGCAAATGTTTGAGAAGGGCAACCAGGACATGATGACACACTACCAAATGACGCTGGACAAAGTCAGGTGCGTTTCTTCCACCACCCCGAAACCAAAGATCACAATTTACAACTGCTGGAGAGAACACGAGGCGACTAACTTGATAAACCACAGAACTGCGGAACAATCACTCGTAGAAATCGCGGAGCTCCAGACCGTCCTGGTAAACAATCTAGCCGTTCAATCCGCCCATATCGAACAGCTCGTCGCCGACTCCGACAACATGGTAGACAACGTAGGAGGAGGCAACAAAGAGCTCAAGAAAGCAACCCAACGTCCCAGCGCGGCCAGGTACACGTTTTTCGCGGCGAGCGGACTGTGTATGTTTTTGATTGTGTGGGACCTTGTAATTTAATTGTGCAATAGAATCATGAGGACGGGACGGGGCGATGATAATACAATGAGCGAGTCTACTTTCACAGGTGCCAGGCGGTCACCATTGGGGAATTGAGACCGAAGCGAGGTGGTTATCATGATGGATATGAGGAGGCATTATTAGAGACAAGGTGATGGCATATAACATATTCATTTTTGGTAAGCTATGGAGTCACCCGCGGAAGACTTAAAGCCAGCCCTTAACGTTATATTGAATCGAGGCGGAGAGACAGACCATGGGTGGCACGACCAACGACCAACAGCCCTGACCTGGCGCAGAGATGGTGTACGATGTTTCATCAAAATCAGAAGAGCGCCGTCACGATCGCTTAGTAGGATTCAGGGTCAACGACTACCAATCGAGGTGGGGAATCACCAAAGTACTTGGGAAGAAGCCCTCGGAAGGGCAAATCATCCAGTGCCCCGCATTCCAACTCAGGGCAGTTATCCGTAGCAATGGCCGCGTAGTGGGCGGCCGTTTCCGGGTCCAAGGTTGAGCCGTCATCCGCGCCGTAATAGCTCTTGCGCATTTGGATGATGATGGTGCGTAGAGCCGGACATGACGTCGCGAAACGCTGGCACGCTCTGGCTAGGTCCTGGAACCCGGACCACGCGATAGCGACGTGCTTGAATCTCGACAAGTCATACTCGCTGAAACTCCCCAGAACCGCTGCCGTGCGGGCAGAGCAGCCGATGTAAATGACCGCCGAGTCGAATTTGACCCAGTAGACACCAGAGGTTCCTGCTCGGTCATTTCGGAGGTGGACGGGGCCTCCATAGGTCCGGTCAAGCCTGCTGCGAGCCACCTGACAGGACAGACCTACAAGATATGGTTTTGGCCCAACGAAGGCCACGTTGAGGGGCGGCTGATATGTGTTGACTCCATCGGAGGTTGGGTGCGCGCTAATCACAGAGAAGACGGTCGGCACGGCGAGCGCCTCGTCCCAAATCTGGTCTTGAAGCATTGGCGGCAGAGCGCCAAACTTGGGGAAACTGGTGGCCATTTTCGAATGTTTGTTGGAGATCAGAGATTTCAATGTTAGCTTGGCCAGGACGGCCGTCTAAATATAACTCTATAGACCAGTTAGTGGGCTTTGTCAAGTAATGGGGATCTATGCATCGATGATGATATGGGACTCGGACACCGCTGTAAGGAAGCCTCATTCCAGGTATCTTCCAAACATTCCGTACCAGATCTCCCACCCGCAAACAATCTGATCTCTCATTCACAAACCAAAAAAAAAAAAAAAAAAAAAAAAAAAAAAGAAAAAAAAAATCGATCGCCTACCCTCTAATACGACCCATCCCGTGCCGAGAATACAAAGAGAAAATATGACAAGCCTGTCAGAATCCTTTGTCGCGTCGATTGCGCAAAATCTCAACTGGGCCCAGATTCCCTGGGTCCTTTGGGGTCACTACCTCCTGATACTTCATGGCGTTCCGGTCTATCGTCGGCGTAGGTAAACCCTCTAGTAAAAATGACGGGACGGTTTTATGCTAACAAGCTCCAAGTCGATTGATTTCATCGTCCCAGACGATCGTCTCGGGGCTGGCTTGAAAGCCCTATCCCAACTTGAGAGCCTTTCCCCGTGTCCAGATGATAAACTCTGCCCGTCCAGCTCGTCAGATCGGTGTACACCAGTTCCAGCTGTCTATGTCCACGTCGAGGACTCGGAAGTCACGGTTAGGCTGTATCCGCAAGCTGATGTCCTCTGGTACCTCCCACCGCTAGACGGTTCGCTTCTATTCCCCAAGAAGTCGAAGCTCCCCCCGCATTTCGTTCTTGCCTCCGACGATACAGTTCTCCCGCCCTGGCGACCGGGTCGGGGATCGGGCTTTTTCAAGGAGGGTGGAGACAAAGTTGTTGCTCCCAAGTCACATGTCTTGCTGGAGGCCCTGATGCGAATATATGCACGGGATGCGGGGACACGCGCGGGTACGTTCGGATTGTCTATGGTTGCATATATCGAGGAATATGTCGACGATGACGGATTCTTAGACGTCAGCGAACTTCCGGAGCCGTTTAGGACGTTTTATGGAGAATTAAGGGAAGGGCGAAAGCCAGTTCGCCCATGGACAGTGGAGTTAAAGAGAGCTCTTCAAATATCGCAGTAGCTAGATTCCCTTTAGCAATTAATATAAAATATCTGCTTCGCAAGATGAACCACCCCTCAAGTCCATGGAGAGTCTGCAGCAGCGCAACTTGCGGGTCAGAGAGTAACCGGCTCGGCTTGACGGTGCTGACCATTCTTCAGCTAAATTGAAACCGTCTTCTCCCCATCGTATCCCTCAGCCTGGGCAAAATAGTACCCTCTCTGGTTTGCCAAGAGCCTCAGGGGCGGCGCTGCCGTGTCCCGCTCGACCATGAAGTCACAGTTGTAGTGCGTATGGCCAAAGGCCCAGAGCTTAACCCTATCGCTCCTAAAGCATTCTTCTCCTGACAATTCAGTTGAGAAGGCGCTTATAATAGGGCTATTCGCATGCCTAGGATCAACTGCACGTACGTCTCTCGACGGACTCCAATGTGTGAAGATCATGATGTCGCGTCCTTTAAGGGCAGCCACTTGCTCGTTAAGCCATGCAAGTTCTTGCTTGTGTGCCTCAGTATGCGCGCCAGTATCCCAGTCTAGGATTTGGAAAAAGTCATTAAGGCCGAAGCTAACAGCCATCTCGGCCTCAGGAGGGATAGCAGAGAAAAGGCTACAACCGAGGATAGTGATGTTTGTGCCGGGTAGACGAAAGGCTGTGCGGTCGAGAAGGACAAATTCCCCTAACAACGGGTCCTTGCGGACATCCTGCTCGAACGCGCGGAGGATGGCAAGCGTTTCGGGCCAGTTAGAGTGATAGGGTTCATGATTCCCGGGGACGAGCAATACAGCGCGGAATTGCTTGAGCTGTCGGATGAGGAAGGCGAGGTAGTCATCTTTATGTGATGCTGTGTTGCCGATATCGCCGAGAAGCGCAAGATAGGGCGCTCTTGGTACGATCTCGAAGATGTCGTAGGCTTTTGGAGCCTCCAGATGGAGGTCCGAGAGGATTTGGACGGCCATGCTATGGGAAGAGAGTGTTTGAGAAGCTGTCTGCCTTGAGATCCAAGACACTTTCGACCCCCGACCCAGCCACACCGAAGGCAGAGGGACTCTCGCGTATCACAGCCCGTCCCTTCGGGGTTGAAGTTGTGGTGCGCGGAACAGAAGAGGCTGGTTGGCGACTAGTACCTAACGCTAAGAGCGTGCTGGCACGATGCATTGGGGGCCTCTCTGCGGAAGGACTAGACATTGATGAGATATTTTGGGCCTCTAATTTCGCAACCGAAAGTACCCATAGCTTATCACATAATCCTCCTCAGCCCTGATTAAAAATATTTTAATGTTAATTGATTAATTGATTTGTCCCGTCCTCCCCAATAACGGCAGCTGGCCGCCAGGATTTTCGAATTCGAATTCGAATCCGACGACCACCCTCATTCCATTGATCAATAGAATCCGCACTCGACAGTTCTTATAGAGGCTTTGCGGTGGTTTGGCAGGAATCAATTGTTTCATGTCATTGGCCACTCATTTGTTCTCTTCTTCTACGTGTGACGCTGCGGTCAAGGTTGCTCGGACCCGTCCCGTATTTGATGCTGAATCCTGATTCAGAGTGTTTCCCGTCACACCTTTCTGCGCTACGCGGTCTCCCTGGACTTCCGGCATTGGGGAACACATCAACGGCAGAGAAAACGGGGTTTGGCGTTGCAGGGCATAGCCATGGCGTCGGGCAAGTTCGGATGGGTGGCCAAATTCCTCACCAGCCGAAACTCCCATCATCTAAGCTACGAAGCATGGCTCCGGAAGTGACGGAAGTGCTTAGAGTTGGCCCTAGGTCGCCCGGACTAGGTTGGAGGAGCGCACTTACCTCGATCCGCTAAGTCCGCCAATGACGACCGTATCCAGCCTTGGACGAAAAGGTCATGGAGGTGAGAAGCATCATAAAAAGAAATAAATAATAACGTGATCAACAGCGAGCAACTAATATAATTCCCCTTGATGTCCGCTTGATATCATACGTCAGGCCCACTACACAAGAAAGTACTTCGTAGTGTAAATGTGGCGGATCTCCCCGACCATACTTCCCGACTTAGGCGTTTGAGAATGAGATCGCCTTGGAAGGGTGGGTGTGGGTGGGTCACCGAGTTTGACACGAAAGCCATCATCGGAAAATACGGCTGCAAGTTCTGCAGTGCTTTATTACGGGTGTGCGCCGTGCGGGAAAGGGGAGAGGCGTTAACGTTAAGAGAGCCCAACCCGATCGACAGATGCAGAGGAAAAGGTTCCGCCATTCTAGAACGCATTGATGTCAATTGGGCAGCCTAGCGGGCATTTTCAATTTGCCTTCCATTGATGATCAGTCCCCTGTTTCTCTGATCCGCGGGGACCCATATCATCTGCTATAATATCCACATCTTGTGGTCCTCAAACATCTTGAGACAAGTCGAGATCGAACTAACAGCTTTATGTACGGCCGGGTTCTATCTAGGCAACGTACTCGTGCATTGCCTCGTCAGAGTCATGTCGCCGCAGGATCTCTGGATTTTTCGTTCTTTTTGCGAATTTCTTGAAAAATGTTTTGTTTCCTTTTTCTTGTTCTGGAACACCCATGATCCATCATCTGAGCTTCCTTCACCCGGATAGCCTTTCCTAATGTACAAGCAGGGCAGATATAGGGCCCGCAGGAAATCCCTAGACTCCAATTGACCGGAACGCGCTCGATTAATTGATGATGGATTAAATATCTTAATGATCAATGATGACACTTACAGGCTAGGTTACCGATGCTCCTGAACCTAATATCATCGTTTGGCAGCCCAATCGGGTACCGAAGCTGGTTCTGATTGATTTAATGTAACAGTAACTCACATCAGTCAGATCACAGTGAAAGTGGCTCCGGTCAACCTTGCCATGCGATGAAGGTTTCAATGGTTCATCGGTTGGCATTTTATGAGGGAAACTACTTGTAATACATCGTTGATGTCCATGTACGAAGTTGTAGGTTATGTACAGAATTGCCTGCCCACTCTCTTATCAACCAGGTATTTGATGGCAGTTGTCCCTGGTGTCAACTGATGATGGCCGTCAACATGAACTTTCAAGGCATGACAAACCCGTTCATACGCCCCATGTCCCATGTACAACTGGAGGATAAAGGATGATGAAAGTGATAAGTGAGAAACGTGTACAAGTATTTATCTTGAGCCCACCTAGGCTATGCGGTCCCACAAACACAGCAAAGGTTTCAATGTTGTTTAAACTCTCGATTTGTTAACCTTGATCGGGTGGCATAGAGCCCGCCCTGTGCTGATGATGGATCAATAATGGCAAACTGGCATTGGACCAAACCAAGTACAAAGTACCAAGTACTGCACTACAATCATAAGACGCGAGCGATCAATGATTGCTTGCTTCATGTAACGCCCCCTCCCCTCCTCCTTCCCTCGTCCCCGGATCCACAAGCCGGCCACTACAGTACGATCGAATTAGCGGCGGCTCCGTTGCACCACCAGAACGCCCCCTTGGTTTCCTACGAAGTATACTTCGTCGACCACTAAAGCCCTTCCCCAATCCATCTTGACCTTTGCAACATCGATCCTTTCCTGTTCCCTGCATATTTCCCTCGTACATTCTCAATTTCTATAATTTTTTGCGTTGCTTGCCTCATCTCGTTGAGCAGGAGACGGAAACCCTTCTGGCCTGAGAAGCGGAGCATTTGATGCTTTAGCGGTCCATTCGCACCTTCTTTTTTTTTTCGAATCGAGCTGCTCCAGGTACTCGGCTTCAGTACTTGTACATCTCGTCTATTCCTCATCTGACTGGCCCATTGCCCCATAAGGTTCCAGTTATCCATCATCGCCATCGATCGATTGCTGCTCTTGACTTCATTTCGAGCCTGCCATAGCGCCTTCCCCTTGACGCCAAACCACACACCCCTTTCTCCTAATTCCACCTCGCATTCTTTTTTTTTCCCTCTCGCGACGGGCGAATCTTCATCCTCTCTTTTATTTCCCCGCCGTCTTCTTTTTCCTTTTCCTTCACCTCCTTATTGACCAACCATCTGCGCGATGACGGATTTGTCGGATCGCCCCAAGACTGATATCCCTGAACAATCCACCACCACCTCAAAGATGGCGAACCCCGACCTGCCATCCGGCTCTCCCTCCAATCAGCCCGACGTCACAGGACAAAGTGTCGAGGCTTCAGATAGCAATGCGCATACCCTCGCAGCTGCCACCGATACAACAACCCCCAGTCCTCCCGAGGCCGTCCCTGCTCCGGCCCAACAAGAAGACTCTTTGGTAATTTCCCAAGAGACGACGGCGCCATCGCCGCCCGCTAAGCACGACTACTCTGGCACTGCTATTGAGGCGGCGACGAACGAGGACGCAACCAAGGCCATCCCGGTCGCATCGAAGGACGAGGGCCCCGTCTGCGTCATAACCTTGCTGGTGACGTCGGGAAAGAAGCATCCCTACAAGATTGACGAGAAATATCTCACGAAGAGGAACGTCCACATCCCCGGCACCACCGAGTCGGGTCACAAGGATCCCTTTAGTATCAGTGTGTACACTCTCAAGGAGTTAATATTGAGGGAATGGCGTGAGGAGTGGGAGCCGAAACCTTCCAGCCCGACTCTTATCCGGTTGATTCACTTCGGAAAGCTTTTGGCCGACAAAGATCAGCTAAATCGTAAGTATATCCTCACATCCGCACTACATATCGCCAGCGCCGTCTCCCTCGGGAATTAACCGTTCCCCTTCCCTTTTTTAAATGGAGAACTGACACCTGTGTCTCCTTTCTTTTCTCTAGAGTATAAATTTAGCGCTGAGACCAGCAACGTCGTCCACATGTCCGTTCGCCCTCAGGAGATTGTCGAGGAAGACGAACCCAAGGGCTCAGGAAAAGGCGGCCGGGATTCCAGGAGCCAGGACAGCGGAAGCCGGTGCTGTGTCATATTATGAACGGTCCCATGCCCAGTTCTACCCTGCGACGGATATATACCCCTCCCTCCGATATAGCGCCGAGAGCATGGTCGCTATGGCCATCGAAGGACTCTAATGGGGGGATTCATGCATCCGTCTCTTTATGACATACGAATCGTGACGGCTTACGACTCTTAGACCACGATCCTCTTGAAAGTCAGACGATGACTCCGCGATACTTGGACCTCATCTTTTCTGTCATTCCTCTATAGATTGAGAGACAACACCAACTTGATGACACTCTTTTACATCTGTTATTTTCCCCCCTCTAATTCCGGGAGCATTCAGGATCCTCTTGAGCATCCAACCTAAGCTCCAGTACATACCAGCACTCACAAAGTCAAGCTGATTTTTGTTGAAGGCACATGACCACAAGGGGTCAATGGTTTTTTGAGCTTTGTTTCTGAAGCGGATTTTCAAGGGATTGGCGCATGAGGTTGTTAACATGAGAGCTTTATTACCCGTGATTATTTGAGGGTGGATTGTGCTCCCCTTTTCTTGTTATTCTCTGTGTCTACGTGTGTTTTATATCATGTTGTTGTTCATATCTGCTTTCTTGTCATTTCCCTTTCTTGTTTGCAATGAAATTCGGAATGGCATGGCCAGAGAAGGAAGGTATCGAAGGTATGAGCGGAATTGGCGTCCTTGACTCGAGGATATCACAATATGTATTGTCTAGTTGTTTCTTCTTTCTTGTTCCTCTCGTCCATTTTATTCCATCCCCCTTTTGCACCTATGACATGAGCGAGAATTTTTGTTTTCTGTTGGTTAAGGGAGCAACGGTTATAGGGCTTACCTCTTGTCGTCTATAGGTGTATAGAGGGCTTTGAAATACACGCTAGCAACCTGAGATAGTTTGCTATTCTCCAACGCAGCAGGAATATCAAGCGTAAGAGTTGTGTACGTACAAGGCCGAGTGTAGTATCACGCGAAGGTTTCGAGTAAAGGGGATCCAGTGTCCTCTAAGTTGTTATCAATAATAGGTCTATGATACAAAGTCCCCAGATCCATCCACTTTCTACCATCATTGTTCTCTCTCCCAGTCCTTCCTCAACATTTACATCTTCAACTTCTTCTCCATCTCATCATGGAACCCAGCAACAGGCCTACTCTCCTCCCCAGTAAACACATCCTCCCAAGTAACGCTCTCATCCCTTCCCCTCAAAATATCCTCATGCACACCCGGTCCCGCAGCTCCCAAAACGGCGGGCCTCCACGTCGTATCCCTGACGATCTTGAGCTCCATGCCCTGGCGGATGGGCTCCGCCATGCCGAACATCCGACGCAGCGTCTCCATGCGGAGAGCCTCCTGCGTGGCGTCCCAGTTCTTGAGGCGCGCTTCGAGGGGGTGGGCCGAGTCGACGGGGGCCGGGGCGTCGGTGGAAGTGGGAGCGCTGGAGGGGCCGACGCCCGCGCGGAGGGTGTCGTGGAGGCCGGGGGCTGAGGGGGCGGAGGTGGATTTGGTGGTGTGGGTGAAGCTTGTTGCGGGGGCGCTGGCGGGGGTGATTCGCATCGACTTGGTTTGGGAGTATAGAGTCAGCGTTTGTGCCGCCTTTATTTCATTTTCTTTGTAGTGCTAATGCGAGATGGGGAGGGGGAGAGAGCAGGCGTGGGCCAGCTAGTTGGAGAGTTAGCTTACCATATTGAAGGTTTCTCGCGACTGTTTATATCTCAAGATGATTAATATGGGGGAATGCGTATAGAGAAGGCGATGAGTTCGTTTCAATGGCTGTTTGGGATAGAATGGTGGGTTGGATGTGGATGTGAAGTTGATCAGGTTTGACGTGGAGGAGAGCTTGGGAGCCAAGCACGTAGCTCTAATGCGTAGGCTGCAGGCATGCGTATGGACGTTGCACTGCAGCGCTTATTGGCTAGCCTTGGTGCCCAGTGCTCGATATTCGCACTGTCTATTCCGGAAATGAAATATGCATGGCGGGTATCTCTATATGCGATTAATGAGTATATCTCTATCTAATACACGCATAACTCTTTACGGACATCGAACCCTCCTCTAACAGAAGCAGAGCGAGGAAATCTGGATATTTTTATTAGACCCACCTCAGTCTAGTTTTCGCTGAGGTTCCATATATCCAACCATCCCTTGTTGTCGCCCCTGAGCGGCTTCTCAAGCCTACCAAAGCGCGCAGGTAGCCCCGAGTTGGCCTCGGGCAAACACACCCACTCCCTCACGCAGTCGGGGACTTCCTCCTTGATGTGGCTAATACAAACGAGGGCCTGATCATTAGAAAGTCCAGTAATCTTAACATTTCCAGCCTTCTTAACCTCGCTGTCGACGACATTTCCGTCTCGAATGATCTTCTCTTCTCCCGAAGAGAGGAAGAGGATGCACTTGTCTCTGACAGCTTCATCCATGCCACTAAGGGCCTCGTCGAGAACGACGATATCAGGACTCTTAACCATGGCCCTGATGAAGAGCGCCACGCGCTGAGCGCTGAACGAGAGCTCGCCTAGGAGATATTCGTCCGCCCAGGAGAGGTCTCGCGTAGGTTCGGTTGCTAGGTGGTATGACGGGTGTAAGTCGGGTGCGAACCAGCGCAAAGCCGCCTCTACTTTAGACGAAGCGTCACCGTCGAGCTTAGGCCGACTCTTGAAAGTGTCTGCCCAGGCGTTTTCGACGACTTGCCGCACGGTCAGGCTGCGGGGCATATGCTGGTGGACCTCGGGGCTCGAATGGCCGACTCGAGATTGAATGTCCCAGAAGGTGAGGACGGGTTGTGCGGAGCCCGGTTCGGGGAGCCGACTTCTTCCGAACAGTTTTATGGGGAGTGAATAGGTTTGAGGGTGATCGGAACACAGTAATGAGACGAGAGTTGTTTTTCCGGAGCCGTTGGGCCCGAAGACGGCCCATCTGTCGCCCCTTCTCACTTTCCACTGTAAGCCGGATTTGGCGCCTGTCGGTGTAGATTCTGACCAGTTTCCGAGGACAATCTTGTCCCCGTACTTGACCTGACACCCGTCCATTTCCACGAGCACGTCTCTATTGCTGTCTGGGGTGTTCGAGGAAGAGTTAGATGCAGCCGGTCCGCCCGTCGTAGGCACCTCGGCGTCATTCCGTAAGCCACCAGTCCATACTCCTTTAGTATACTCTTTGTGCCCATACAACACCTCGGTTTTAGGTCCCATAGCTTCGATCTCGCAGTCGCCCTTTAGATAAACGACATGCGAGATCCAGTCAGGTAGAGGATCCTGGGGCCTCGCGCTAAGTACGAGACGCGGATTTGCCTGATTCGCAAGGGACTCCAATAGCGGGTCGAGAGAACGCACAGTCGGTGGGTCAAGCCCCATGAATGGCTCATCGAGGAGAAGAACCTCGGGGGTTGTCAGCAAGGCCCTAGCAATGCGCGCGCGGCGGCCTTGGCCGTTACTGAGAAAGGCCACGGGAAGATCCAGTAGCTGTGAAAGGCGTAGATCCGTAACAGCACGGTCAAGGAGTTTAGACATTTCGGGACTAAGAGTGTTCTTGGATAAGGGGTTAAGCTCGGTGTTGCCTAGGAGATAGTCCCGCAGTGAGAAGTCGGTGGACTCACGGAGAGACTCGTAGCGTGCGGAGAGGTAGGCGGATGTAGTGACACCATCGGTGAGACCGCCCCCGTTGCGCTCGCCATCGAAGCCAACGTAGGCGATGGCGCGATCGGGGGTCCTTAGGTCATGAGGCACGGCATCGCTGGATAGGTAAGGGTAGGATCTAGCCGTTGGAGGGTCGCAGAGAAGACGTCCGCGCAGGATATGGAGGAAGGTCGTTTTTCCCGAGAGAGAAGGACCGACGACACACCAGTTTTGGGGCGAGTCAGAGAAGGAGGGCAGCTCGAAGTTGAGGTTAGAGAAGAGAGGTGGGTTTGCGGCCGACGCGAGGGCGTTGGGATGTCGCCGGAAGAAGGTGCCATTTGCGACCCGAATGACGGGGGAGCGGAAGAGCTGAGGCCGCATTGTAAGGACCAATTGAAGATTTCTTTATTAAGGAGGAGAAACGTAGCTCATCTCATGGTGATTCTCCTGCTCTTTTCGATTTCCGTAGGGCACACGACACAGGCAGCTGTCCGTGTTCGGTTGAAATAAGTCACTGGTCGCTTGGACATGATCCAGCGGAGTTTACGGGGTTAAGGAAAATAGGCTCTCAAAGGGCGAAGAATGACCGATCGCGGATCAGAACCGTCGCGATGACTCAATGTTTTGACCGCGGAAGTATCTTGTGTGAAAAAGTATCCATTGATGTATGCAGGAGGCATAAAAGCCTGGGCATGGGCGTTCATTTCAAGGGACGGGCAAATAGTGGCCGTGGTTGTTGACGAGCGGTTTCCTGCCGAAGTGATGCTTCGTGTGTGCCCGTTTTCCCCGAAGGAAATCTCTCGTTTATTCCTTTAAAGACAGCCCGAGAGTTCTTTTTGGAATCACCATTGGTGTTTGGATTCTATCTTCATTACGAAGTACGTGCTGTTTATTCAATACCACATACATATAGATAGATACAGATATTCTGTTCTTGCTTTAGAGTACGAGAGAGGGGGAACATCGTTGTGAGAAGATTTGCCAGACAACAACCATCACGGGGCGGGGTCGACTCGCCCTAACTTAGATCGTTGCCAAGGTCGCTATTATGGACAGCTGGATGGACAGTGGACGCGAGGGAAACGTCTCAAAAGGGGCAAGCTTCCCAGAAATCTCACGAGGGGCATTGTCTAGATTTCACTCTCCTGGGAGATCATCTTTAGAAGCATGTCTACATCATCCACCTCGCCTTCTAGTGCAAAGGATGGGCCGGGTCTCCGATAAAATGGGGCCTCCAACTCAGGTAGATAAAAGCCCGCATACTCCCAGTCGATAATGGCCTTGATCTTGAGACTATCAGCGTCGACAATGGCGTTGCTAGCCGAGAGATCGTTATGGCAGAAGACGAGGTCGCGCTTGTCTCGGTTTCGCACTTTCCAGGTTCCGCCCCTCGACGTACGCAAAACGCGGTATGGTGGGAGCATCTAACTATGATTTAGCGATCTGGTTCGGGTTCGCTGAGGCTAAGTACGGAGTCTTGATTAAAGCCTGGAGAGAGGATTGCCATGCCACCCGGCCCTCCCCAAGTGTCAGATGTCAGCTTCTTGAGAGTCTCTAGATGAAGCTCTAGCTCTTTGGCGACGGTCTTCTTTTCTTCGTCCAGGTCGTTCATCGCGGTCCTTTCGACATACTCGGTCACCAAGCAAGCGGCGCCATCATCCTTAAAGCAGACATAAAGCTTCGGCAATGGGATGTTGGTTTTCTCGGTAAGAAACTTGAGACATGCTCCCTCGTTCAGAATGCGCTCTGTATTAAACAGTGGAACATGCAAATATCCCCTTTGTGTCTGCCATTCATTCGGGCGAAGGCTGCGCTTAATCCGGGTTGTTCCCCCAACGCGGTAATACTTTCTTCGGGTGTGATGGCTACGCAGTGCTCCTCACGTTTATCATTGAGCTCCTGGTTTGTTGGAGGTGCCATCTTTGGTAAGGGTGAATTGAATCATTGTAGGTCTGACGCAGCACACTACGTGTTGAATCCAAGCACTCACGCGACTTCAAGGCAGCTTGAGGGCAACCACAGGCTACTTGACGACTGGCTGAGGCGCAGCTGGGTTTCTACTTTGTGTTGATAACTTGAAGATCCCCAAATGGATTAGCTGTTTGCCCGGAGGAACCGGACGGATCAGTTCCTTGGATCAACAGAGACGAATGACGGAGTCGTGCATCGTTGATTGGCTTGGCCCCTTGAAATGTTGAAACAGAAGAGCGGTTGCATGCAAGGTTATTTTGGTTGGTGTTTGCTCACAGAAGTGACCTCGAGTGACTTGGATTAATTAGAAATTTAGAATTAGAGAAAGCTTGATTTTTGGTGGTTTGCCCCGTTGCCCCGTTAACCGCGACGGATGCGATACCGACGCAACCGTTTGTGTACTTTCGATATTCCCACGACCGGACTGCAGTCTTCGAGCCAAATCCGTCCAGCTCCAGTTCTCCTTGTAGCTCCCCGCCGCCACACCCAAAACGGACCACGAACCCACAGCAACTTGGAATTGGAAATCTCTCCGATAAATCCCACGAGGAGCACAATCGTCCAGCTGCAGCCTTTGCAAGCCAGTCCACACCACACTGCCCTCTTTCCTCCTTTCCACGCCCAACCTCCAACTATAACCAGAAGCACCATCTCCCATAGTAATTGCCAATTGACGAGCACGAGGACAGGGCAGCTACGCAACGCCTATTCGAGGGACCAACCCCACAGCCTCCCGGCGCGACCGCCGTGTTTACACTGCGCTCCGCCTGTTGAAAAGGACCATCGTCCATCCACAGACACAGGCGCATCGACAAACTCCAACAGCCCTTTGATAACAGCAAGATGGACCACCATCCCAGCACTCCTACGCGGCCTCCCGATTACTCCCTTCCCGCCTATGAAGATGAAGACACACCCGGCCATGGAAGCGGTGTGAGGCTGCTGACCTCTATGGATGATCCTCTTGACAGCCGACAGTATGTGACTCGAACCTCTCCCACCAGGGAGCCGCTCGCATCGGCAATGCAGCCCGAATCCCCTGTTCCTTTGCCTCTCTCTCCAGGCGGGCGTGTGCTGTCCCATCCTTCTTTCACTGGCCAGTCGCCAGTCCGCACGCCAGGAAGTTCCTTGGCCGAGCTGAGGAGGAAGCCCGTAGACGGCTCTCCTACCGTAAAGCTTCAGAAGAAGAACAAGCCCGAACACATCTTGCAAGCGGAGATTCTCCAGAGCCTACCCACTCTGCCCGACGGGCCGTCTCGCAGGAAAAGTCTCCTTCGCGAACAGAGAACAGGCAGCCCGGTCCGCCCGAGAGCTGCTATGTCAGCCAGTGGTCTACAACCTGTAAGTGACAGTGACAACCAAAGCTCACCAGACCATGTCTCTAGCACGCGACCACTCCACCGGCCATATCAGCCTTCCGTGGCTTCTTCTCACTCCAGACCCTCTTCAATCCTCGATCCGCCGAGCATGCCCCCGCCAGATTCCACCTATGTGCCGTTTCAACGAAGAGACAGCATCGCCAGTTCCCGAGGCTGGAGCCCATCGCGGATGTCTGGAAGCTATGCGCGCTCTCCTCCGTCGAGTGTTCACTACGAACCTTCAGAACTCAATGGATCGCCACGTCCGGGAACACCCTCATCCAGATACGGCGGAAGCCCTCGGCGGCCATTGCCTCCCGAGCCCTTGTTCTCGACCGGAGCGAGGAACTCTGCTGCCTTCGCCGATGACGCTACTGTCTCAATACCTCTCGATGGAGATCACGACGACGATGTCTTCGGTCCCGATCGTGATTATGTGGAGTCGCACCACCATGACTATTACGACCATGACCACCATGATCACTATGATCACCACGACGACAATGACCACCATGATCATCATGACTACCACGACTACCGTGATCACCACAACCATGACCGAGATTCGTATGGGAGGGACTCTCAAACAACTCTGAGCGGAGCTGGCCACGGGGACGATGACGAGTTTAACGAAAAGGTATCGCACTACGGACCCGCCCCCGAGGGCGAGCAGGAACGTCGTGGCGTCAGGGCCCCTCAGACCTCCAAGAAGGAAGTCCAACTCATCAACGGCGAACTGGTGCTTGAGTGTAAGATCCCCACCATCCTCTACAGCTTCTTGCCGCGCCGCGACGAGATCGAATTCACCCACATGAGATACACCGCCGTCACCTGCGACCCCGACGATTTCGTCGACCGCGGGTACAAGCTGAGGCAGAACATTGGCCGGACGATGCGCGAGACGGAGCTGTTCATCTGCATTACCATGTACAACGAGGACGAGTTCAACTTCACCCGTACCATGCACGCCGTCATGAAAAACGTATCTCACTTCTGCAGCCGCAGCAAGTCGAGGACGTGGGGCGAGAACGGCTGGCAGAAGATTGTGGTCTGCATCGTCTCCGACGGCCGAGAGAAGATCCACCCGCGTACCCTCGACGCCCTAGCCGCCATGGGAGTCTACCAGCATGGCATCGCCAAGAACTACGTGAACCAAAAGGCCGTCCAGGCCCACGTGTACGAGTACACCACCCAGGTCTCTTTAGACTCCGACCTCAAGTTCAAGGGCGCCGAGAAGGGAATCGTGCCGTGCCAGATGATCTTTTGCCTCAAGGAAAAGAACCAGAGGAAGCTCAACTCGCATCGGTGGTTCTTCAACGCCTTCGGTAAGGCCCTGAACCCCAACGTGTGCATCTTGCTCGACGTCGGTACTCGCCCCGGCACGAACTCGCTGTACCACCTTTGGAAGGCGTTCGACACCGACTCCAACGTCGCCGGCGCTTGCGGCGAGATTAAAGCCATGAAGGGCCGCTTCGGCGGCAACCTGCTCAACCCGCTGGTGGCCTCTCAGAACTTCGAGTACAAGATTTCAAACATCCTCGACAAGCCGCTGGAGAGTGTTTTCGGTTACATTACTGTGCTTCCCGGTGCGCTCAGCGCTTATCGGTATCACGCTCTTCAAAACGACGAGACCGGCCACGGGCCCCTTAGCCAGTACTTCAAGGGTGAGACGCTGCATGGTCAGCATGCGGATGTGTTTACTGCAAACATGTATCTCGCCGAGGACAGAATTCTTTGCTGGGAGCTCGTCGCGAAGCGACAAGAGAGGTGGGTGCTGAGATATGTCAAGAGTTGTACCGGAGAGACAGATGTACCGGGTAAGTTTCTCACTCTTCGTCATCGCCATAGCCATACTTGTCATTCTCTAACTCTTTTTTTTTCTTCTTCCGCAGACACTGTTCCCGAGTTCATATCCCAACGCAGACGTTGGCTCAACGGCGCCTTCTTCGCCGCCGTCTATTCCCTCGTTCACTTCAGGCAAATTTGGAACACCGACCACACAATCGCACGCAAGATCCTCCTGCACATTGAGTTCCTCTACCAATTCCTGCAACTCCTCTTCACCTACTTCTCTCTCGCCAACTTCTACCTCGCCTTCTACTTCATCGCCGGCGGTCTCGCAGACCCCACCGTCGATCCGTTCGGTCACAACATTGCGAAATATATCTACACGATTCTACGGTACACCTGCGTTCTGCTCATCGCCACTCAGTTCATCTTGTCTCTAGGTAATCGGCCGCAGGGTGCTAAGAAGCTCTACCTGACGAGCATGATTGTCTACTGCGTTATCATGTTGTATACGACGTTTGGCTGTATCTACATCATCGTTCGGCAGCTCACTAAGAAAGAACTCGACGAGGACGGAAACGAAATCGGCCTAAAGCTCGGCAGTAACGTCTTCACCAACCTCGTAGTCTCCATCGCCTCAACAATCGGCCTCTACTTCCTCATGTCCTTCCTCTACCTCGACCCCTGGCATATGTTCACCTCCTCGCTGCAATACTTCCTCCTACTACCGAGCTACGTCTGCACGCTCCAGGTCTACGCCTTCTGCAACACACACGACGTCACCTGGGGAACCAAGGGCGACAACGTCATGAAGACGGACCTCGGCGGCGCCGTCGGCCAAGGCTCGACGGTCGAACTCGAGATGCCATCCGAGCAGCTCGACATCGACAGCGGCTACGACGAGGCCCTCCGCAACCTCCGCGACAGGCTCGAGGTGCCGCAGACGGGCATCTCGGAGGCACAGCTCCAGGAGGACTACTACAAGAGCGTGAGGACCTACATGGTCGTCACGTGGATGATCGCCAACGCCATCCTCGCCATGGCCGTGTCGGAGGCGTACGCGGGGCGTGTGATAGGAGACAACTTTTACGTGCGGTTCCTGCTCTGGAGCGTGGCTAGTTTGGCGCTCTTTAGAGCTTTGGGGAGCACGACGTTTGCGATTCTGAATGCCGTTAATATGATTGTTGAGGGTCGTGTTAGGATGAGTTTGAAGGTACCCGAGTGGGTGGGCGGGTTGGGGAGTAAGATGTCGGAGACTATGAGTAGCATAGGGAGTAGCGTGAGGAGGTGATCTGGGGATATGGTTGAGGCAAGGGTTTTGTTTGAATTTCGGGGTTCATGGTTGTCTTTTTTGTTCGGCTACTTGTTCGAGTTCTTTTTTGTTTCATTTTTTCTGGGATTTGGGTTCGGGTTTCTGTTGGGCATTTGATGATAATGCTGTTTGTTCATTTGTGTTTTTTCTTCGCCTTTTTGTTCTCTTGTTTGAGGTGTTAGACGATTCCGTTCTCGCAATGTGGTTGATTGTATGGGAGATGGCAACATGAAGAGACTGAAGGAAACTCGGCATGTAAGTCAAAATAATGATGAATGGGTACGAGAATCTCGGGGGCTTCAGTTCTAGAGTTATGTCTGTATGGAAAGAATCAAATCCACATATACCCTTCCCTCTCCTTCTAACCTCAATCCTGGCTTTCTGATGACGGCTTTTCTCATACTTCCCATGTCGAGATGCTACTTCGTACAAATAATCTCGCCATTCATCACCCCGAACCAGGCCTCCTTGGACGTCGACCACTTCCTCCAGGCCTTGACGCCATCCTCCATCTCCTCCTCCCTCATCACACCCAACTGCTTTACCCTCCACCTCAGCTCCGACTCCTCTTCCATCCTCTCCGCCACGCTCTCCCCCCACCACTTCACGTCCTCCTCCGTAGCAAAACTCCAGCTCCCAATCGAACAAGCGATCTTCTCCGCCTCAAAGCCCGCCCTCATCGCCAACCCCTTCAGCCGAAGCCCCATGTCCGGATCCGACCCCGCGGCTCTCATCGTCCCTTCTAACGCAACTTTCCACGCTTCCATACCCGGAAGATCGGGATAGTACCGCATCGAGGAGACGGCCATGTCCTTGCACGCCAGGATACCACCCGGTCTCAACACCCTCGTCATCTCCTTGACCGACCGCACCGGATCTATCAGGTGAATCACCACCTGGTGCGCATGCACTAGATCGACGCTCTCCGCTTCGAAAGGCAACTCTTCCACGTTGCCCCTCATAAACTCGCCGTTCGTCAACCCCCGCTCCGAAAAAGTCGCGCGCGCACTCTCTAGCGCCTTCTCCGATGCGTCGAAACAGATCACGCGGCCTTGCGGGACCAGCGCCGCGAGGTCCGCCGAGATCGTACCTGGTCCGCACCCGACGTCGAGGATCGTCATCGTTGGTTTAATGTGGGGGAGGACGTAGGGGGTGAATCCTGTCGCGGTGCGGTGGGCGTGGGCCGAGAGGACGGCGGACGAGTGCCCGTGGATGTAGTGCGTTGGCTCTTCGGACATGGCTGCGTCCTTGGATGGGTTTTGTGGGAGTTAGACCACTGGAAGATTCTGGAGGTATGGACAGTCTAGCTAAGGCAACTGGTCAGGTTAGGTATTAAGGAAAAGAAGAAAGTAGGATGGCGGGCAAGTTAAAGAATGGAATCAAATAAAATGAAGCAGGAATAAAAAAAATCAATGAAGGAACAATCTTCAGAGTGACGTCGAAGGTCTCTCGCCGGACCGTAGATCCGCGCTTGGAAATCCTTTCTTGATATTGAATCCAGGCGAAATCGGAGCTTAGCTTTCCTTGTCTGTCTTATCCCATTTTCATTTTCTTTAATCGAATGGAACTCTGCGCGCATGCTGCATATGTATGAGGACGATCAGGTCGGTTGATTTCCACCAGTCCCAAGAGACGTGTCGTCTGACGTAGGACATCAATTGATGTTTATTCTCCGTGTTCGGCGAAAGCTGGGTTGAGATCACGGTCGCTCACGCTCCGCGCCTTTAGAAGAGGAATCAACGGGACATACCCCTTTCTTCCTCGCCTCTGTGACGGATTTACCTTGATTCGTTCTCTCTTGGCTGTCACTGCGTTGGCGTCTAATGTATCATGTTATACACATGGACTCATATCTGTTGTTGAAGCTCTTTACGGCACTTGATATTTAGAAAAAAGTCTGGTCCTAGTTGATCGACACGATAACTATGCGCTATAACCCCGAACAACATCATTGAAAAAGGAATGGGGAAAAAAAAAAAGGAAAAGAAAATAATACCCTCCCAATCTTATCGGATGTAAATCTTGAAGAAAAAAAAAAGAAAAGAAAGAAAGAAACCTCTCAAAAATCATGCAAATGGTGGCTGGTATGTATAAGTGTATAAATATGTCCATTATCATGCAACTTTCCCGAATCTTCTTTACTCCTCGTCAGATCCATCATCCTCGGCAACCTGTAGTAAAGAAATCCCGTTAGCAAAACTTCTTTGTTTCCTCGCCGAAGTTATACTCATCAGGTAAGGCCAGAACTTACATTCTCGTGGAAATCTCTACCCTCCGCAGTGGCGTGGATGATACCCGCCCTGATGCAGAAGTCTCCAAACCTCTCACCGGGATTTCGCTCAGCAGCATATTGCTTCAAGAGGCCCTTCATAATGGTCAGAATTTCCTCCTCCTTGATGCTAGCCCTGTACAACTTGTTCAAGCGCTGGCCGTGATAACCACCGCCGAGGTACATGTTGTACGTCTCGTACGCCTTGCCAACAAACGCAACTTCAGCCAACCAGGGACGCGCGCAGCCGTTGGGGCAGCCCGTCATGCGCATGACGATGGAGTCCTGGCGCAAGCCGTGTTCCTCGAGGGTCGCCTCGAGCTTGCCGATGAGCACCGGGAGATACCGCTCGCTCTCGGCCATGGCGAGACCGCACGTGGGGAAAGCCACGCAGGCGGACGAGCTGAGGCGCAGACCAGAGAACTTGACGTTGTCCAGCTTGTACTTCTTCATCAGCGCGTTGATGGCGCCGACGTCCTCGTCTGCGACGTTGCTGAGAATAACGTGCTGGTTGCCTGTGAGGCGGAACTCGCCCTTGTGAACCTTGGCGATTTCCCGTAGGCCAGTCTTCATCTGGAAGTCCGGAGTGTCCTCGATGCGGCCGTTCTCGATGAAGAAGGTGAAGTGGTTCAGGCCGAGCTCGTCCTTGGTCCATCCAAAGGTATCCACGTTGCTCTCGAACTTGAAGGGTCGCTCCTTTCCGAAGGTGTGACCCCACAGGTTCTCAACCTTAGCCTTGTACTCCTCGACGCCCATGTCGTCGACCGTGTACTTTAGACGGGCGTGCTTGCGGTTCTTCCGGTCGCCAAAGTCCCTCTGCACGAGCATAACCTTCTCGCAGGCAATTTCGATCTGGTCTTTGGGGACAAAGCCGAGCATCCGGCCGATCTGGGGATAAGTCTTCTTATTGTTGTGCGTAGCTCCCATACCACCACCGATGAGCATGTTGAATCCTTCAAGGTCGCCATCCTCGTTCTTGATGGCAATCAGGCCGATGTCGTGCGCGTACACATCCGTGTCATTGTGCGGCGGTACGGCAATAGTAATCTTGAACTTACGCGGCAGGTACGTAGGTCCGTAGAGGGGTTCGAAATCTTGTACGGCGTCACCAGCAACCTGGGTCTTCTCGTCGTTGTCGTCCGTGAGCCAGATTTCGTGGTACGCCGAGGTAGCGGGGATGAGGTGGTCGCTAATCTTCTTGGCACACTTCCAAACCTCGCCGTGGAGCTTGGACTGCGTCGGAAGGCTGCTGCACATGACGTTACGGTTGACGTCACCACAGGCGGCGATGGTGGTGAGGAGGGCACGGTTGATGGCTTGCATGGCGGGCTTCAATTTGGTCTTGATAACGCCGTGGAACTGGAAGGTCTGTCGGGTGGTGAGCTTCATGGTTTCGTTTCCGAGAGACGTGCTGATGTCATCCATCTGGATCCACTGCTTGGCCGTCGCGACACCGCCGGGCAATCTGCATCGAATCATGAACGAGTAGGCCGGCTCGAGACCTTGGGCTTTGCGCTCTTCCCTAATGTCGCGGTCATCCTGCATGTAAGTTCCGTGAAACTTGGTGAGCTGTGAATCTGCAGCTGAAATTGCGAGGGTAGAGGTATCCCTCAATCCTTCGACAATGGTTCCGCGCAAGTAGTTAGAAGCCAGCTTGATGTCCTCGTTCGTCAGCGGCGGCGGCTCCTCGGGTAGACCCTCGACGTTATCCACGCCGAGCGCTTGCCAGATCTTGGGCTCCCATTCTTGGTAGGCCGTCTGGTAGCCATCGGGATCCTGGTCGTCGCCAAGCCCAATGTCCGCGAGGCGGGAGGCGCCCAAGTTGGTGAGAACCCGGTCCAAGTCCTTGGCAGGCTTGTTATAGTAGATCCTATCCTGCTTGCGAGGCCAGTAGTGGCTGTCACCGAGGCCGAAGACGGAGTACTTGACGGTGGCTAGATCAAGATCGGTAGAGTCCTTGATAGCATCCCAGAAGGGACGGCCATTTTGAGGGAACTCGCCCTGACCGGCAGTGGCGGTGACCAGGACAATATTTTGCTCGGTGAGCAAGTCCTCGACGGGGTAGTCCTCCATCGCCAGGGCAGCCGCCTTCAAGCCGCGGGCCTTACCGCGGTTCGCCAACCTCTTCGCGATCATTTCGGCCGTTCCGTTGTCCGAAGCAAAGAGGACGGTAAGGGGCTCGCCGAAAAGACCCTCTAGCAGTTGATTGTAGGCATCCTTAGCCTTGCGCTTCTGCTCAGCGCGGACCTCGGTGCCGTAGTCCTCCGCCAGGTTAGGCCCGAAGCGAGGGTGTTTCCGCATCAGCTGGGTTAGCTGATTATCGCGGTCAAGGAACTCCTTCAACTCGGCCTTGATGCGTTCAGAGTCCAAAGAGAAGTTAAGCTCGCCTCGACTCTCGTTGGTTGGATCCCAGCGGTAAAGTGGCCAGTAGCCAATGTCGACAGCCTTCTTGGTTTCCTGAAGAACCGTCAAGGGAGAGTCGTGTTCTCCGAAGTAGGGAAGATAGGCTAGGACAACGGAAGGACCCTCGAACTTATCCGCTTCGAGCATAGCTTGGAGAACCTGTGTGTACGAGCTATAGACGGCGACGGAGGCCACGTAAGCGTTGCCGAAGTTCATCGCGTAAAGGCCAATGTCCTTCTTTCGTCGATTCGCGTCAGCGGCAGCCCGTTCGGAGTAAGGCGTAGAGTCGATGATAAGCATGTTCACGTTGGCTCCCGAAGCGAGGACGTGGTGGACACCGGAGTTGCCCAGGTCGTAGGCCCAAGCATCGGATCCGACTAGCCAAAGGGACTCCTTTCGGAAAAGGCCCTTGTGCTGGAGAAGACTCTTGGCAAGGGACGATCCGTCAGTCTCGAGTCTCGAAATCACATCGTCAGCCAGCTCCCCGCTCTTCACGGGGTCCTCTGCGTTCAGGGACCACCTCGTCAACCACGTCGAAGGGGCGTCTGTGATGAAAGCACCGCTCTTGATGGCATCCTTGACTTCATTCACGAACCGGCCACGGTGTTCCCTCCGGGCCAAGAGAGATCCGAATCCAAACTCGGGGGACGCGGAAATAGTGGCAGAGATGCCGGCGTTGCTAGACGAGAGCGCGTTGGCAAGGTAGACGCGCTTTCCGAACAGCTGGTCCAGAATCTTCATGTAGGCAGTCTCTACCTTTGGCTTCTCGAGACTATATTCGTTCGCTGAAGGGGCAGCCTCAGGTAGGCCAACGGGGAGATTTTGAATCGGGGTTTCGGAGGTGAGGTTTTGGACAACACCCCTAAGCGCCTGAGTCGCCGTCTCAGCCGTTATATGCCCCAGTTGATATCCAACGACGGTGTTGACGCCGCTTAATCCACCCTTGACGGTAGACAAGATATCTAGAAGCAAGGGACCCCATTTCGTCGTCTTCCTGTAAGTCTGTTCCAGCACTGCAATCCTCTTAACGGCTCGTGGAATTGCCTCGAGGAGGACAGCACCCAACCACGGGCGATAAAGCCGTGGCGTCAAAAGACCGATCTTGGCAAATACCTCGTCGGATTTGGCGTTGTCAATGGCCTCGGCAAAGAGACCAGTGTCGGCTCCGAAAACGAAGATGCAGTTCTCGGCATCTTCCGGCCCGGTGTACTCGAAAGCGTGGTATTCGCGGCCGAAGACGATCTTCATCTGCTGCCAAATGCCATTGACATACTTGTAGACATCTTCCGATGTCACCTGGAAGGCGTGCGGTTCAATGGAGGTGGCGGGGGAGCTAGATGTGTGGGGAGGAGTGCTAGACTGGCTTCCGTGGCCTTCAGAATTCCTGGAGGAGCCTGACTTGGAGGGCGTATTCTGGACATCAAGGTGGAGACGATTGATATCTAATTGGGCGGTGGCTACAGGCAAGGGCTGGGTTTGGGTGACCGCTACTTGCCCATCATCCGCGTAGATGGTGGTTCCCGGTGTGGAGGACGATTGGAGCCTTCGAACGGTGTCCATATCAAGCAGCTCCCGCACCAAGGGGATATCCTCAATTGGGATGGGCTCGTCACGGGCCGAGGTCTCAGGGGAGAAGAAGTGGATGACACCCTTCCCGGACCTTAAAGCTAGCGCATGGGCAGTGATGGCCATGTCCTGAGCCTCCTGCAGGGTCTCGGACTGCAAGAAGGTCCATCCTGAGCCACGAATTGCTGTGATGGGAGAGTAATCGGCATTGGGGGTGGGATAGAGGGAGACGTGAATGACGACGGGGAGGTTGGCGAGCTTGTAAAGATGGGCAATGGATGGGAGAAGGATGGTAGAGGGTGTCGTGACGGAGAGCAAGCGGCCTGATCGAGCTAGTTGGTAGGCCGAGAGCAAAGGATCGGCATTGTGTCGGGTGGTTAGAATCTAGTCGTTGTGTTAGCAACCCCGACGGATCAAGAAAGTTAACGAGACACTTCAAGGTGTTCTCTCCCCCCCCTCCCCCCCCCCGCGGCTTGCACATACCTCTGGGATAGAGTCTGGGGTGGTTGCCACTAAGCTGCGACTCCCACTTGTGGAGAGCTGCCTCAGGTGGCTTGAGAAGGAGGAATCAGTGGCATTTGAGGGTTGAACGGAGATGATGACATCGCTAGCAAGGTAGGCGATCCGCGCAACTATGACAGGTGTGTTAGTATGATATATCGGAGACAATGGTTGCCAATGCCGTGTGGTAGAGGAAATCAGTGATATCGGACAGGTCACCGAAATCGAGCGGCACCGCAAAACCAGAGCAGGAAATTGATTCCCCCAACGAGACAACCTCTAGACCTCGAACAAATACAACGGAAATTATTCGGACGCGTAGCAAAACGAAATCCGGAACCAATTCGGCAGCTTCTGTAGCAATTGAGCCCTCGGAGAACCAAGTTGAATCATTGCCGGTGTAAGCTACTGGGAACGCGCTCCATGACCCACACGGCGATGACCTCAACCTCCAACTTCAGAAGTAGAGACGAACAACAAGAGAACGAAGGGCAAAGGAAGGAGGGCAGGGAGGCAGGAAGCAGCGTATCACTATGACTTACCAGCCAGCTCTGGCGTCTGGATGCGAGCAGCCATGGCTTCTACAGCAGTTGGTGAGGTGGGAGAGGATGTGGAGGAATCAAAGGCCCTGAACAGGAACGACATGACTGACGATGGAGAGGACGAGCTCGGCCTTTTGTCTTCTTTTCGTCGCTGCCAATAAAACGCTCGTCATTATTCAAAAGGTAAAAATTTTTTGAGTTTCTTGCTGGTTTCCTGCGAACTCGCCTCTCCACATGGCACATCCCCTCCCAAGAACTAAGACTACCGCATACTTCGTAATACTTTGAGGACAGCCAGACACTGGATCGGTTCGGCTGTAATAGATTGACCCCCCGCGAATGGAGGGTTCGAAGGGGTGGAAGGGGTGGAAGCTTTGGAAGGGTCCTGCAATGGTGCAACCCGAGCTCGCGGATTGGTCCTGGCAAGGCTTGGCTAGCCTGGAGGTCAAGCGACTCTTTCGGTCTTTACCCCTTGGTTTCTCCAGTCTTTGCCTCATATTTGGTCGCTTTCATATTTCCCTCACCGGACTTCCCTGCGGTTTCGTGGGTTTCGTGGGTTTTGCGGGGGGGGCCGGCGATTCCTCTATTCTGGCGTCCGATTGCGTGATCGACTAGTGCTGGGACCCTCCCTGGTCCTGCCTGCCCTGGACCCGTAGTACGGCTTCGCGGGAATTCAATTACGGAAGGCACAGGCCAATTGGCAGCTTGTAAGCCATGTACTTCCCGTGCTAGCGTACAGTGCCGATAGAACGCTCTGGGGATTTTACCTCGTGAGAGAACATCACACATGACCGCTTTATCAAGCAAAAAGTTGCTGATGACTGACTGTTTTCTTCGACTCCAGAACAAGAGCGACAAGACTATTTTCAACGTATTTCGAAGTAAGGGGTAGAATGGGGGAATTCGCCAATGCACACATTATGACTAATTTTTTTTTTCCTCGGGAAGACAGGGCAGGGAGATTTCATGCAAGTCAGCAACGTCTGCGATGGAGGCTATTTCCTTTGGAGACTCTCGAACTACACCAAAACCACGAAGCATCAGTGCCATTCGAGGACAAACACTGTGGCGGCGTGGGTGGGTACAAGTACATGCCGTGGGTATAGAAGCACATTTAGAAGGAGGGACAGAGGTTCAGCGAAAACCCGGCTAAAGTCTTCAAGTCTTGCGAAGGCATCTCCAGAGCGTCTCCGACTGCCGTTTATTCCAACTCAACAGCCAGAACAAGCATACATTAGCTTGTTAATTCAACGCCCTCTCTCGCGTAGCGCCCTTGTAGGCCTGATGATGTGATCGAAGCTAAATCTCACGGGCCGGACGAGATGAGAATGGGCTGAGGGTTTCTTTCGGATCCGAACTGGTGTCAACTCCGCCCTGTCTTGCCCTTTCTCGGGTTTACGAAATTTCTTTCCTTTTTATTTCAATTTTTTTTTTCTCTTTCTCTCTTTCCCTCTTGTCTCATGGAATAAGGCAAGGGCCTGCAATACCGCTTCAGATGCGTGGTAAGATCATATATGGCTGACGGGAGACAATGGCTGGCTCTTGTAAAATCGACGGATTAGTGAACATCTCGTCTGAGTCGAATGTCGAATGCCAGCCCAGCGCTCTGCCGCGCTAGACATTCCTTGATTAGAAATTATACACCCAAGGTTGGGTCGTCGTTAATACTAGTTACTTCGTAGTTGCAGTTACCCACTGCTGCACTGTCACATTGGATCCTCCCTCCGATTTCTCTTCCCCTGCCCGCCATCGCTCCATCGCTCCTCGCTCCCGCACTCCCGCGTTTCCACACCATATACCGGCAGATCAACTCCCCCGATAGCCGAGAAAACTCCGCTGGCGGCGGCTCTCGGACGCCCGCGAGCCGGAGAGGTAAAAGAGGTACGACCCGGGTGGTGATGCAAGATGCCGTGTCGGGTTAGGTCCATAATAAAACAAAAAGACGTGATTGTGTCTCGTATACTCTCTGTATCTCAAAAGAAAAAAAAAAAGGAAATGCTTAGGGTCTCACTACCTCGTGAGCTGTCCTTCAACCCTGGGAAAGACCCATCCTATTCCCGCATCATGCTCGCAGGGTGACACCATATATATTGCTGTAAATGCTTGATATGCTATTCGCTATGCAGTGTGTATAGGTTGTTGCTCCGTGGCTGACTATCAAACCTCGGCCGAGGCTAGGGACGTCGACGACTTTCGGAATCTTTCGTTCATCGATTTCGCCCACTCCTCTTGGTCCTTGTAATCGAGCCAATAACTCCTTCCCAGGGAAACGAGAACTCGCCCAACCCTGCCTTTCCAGCCCTCGCCCTCGTCGGTACCGACCGCAAAGGGTCCGTTGGCGTCCTTGGCCCGCGGCCTGTCGTTCTCCATTTCAAGGTCGACGTGTCGAATCAGGACTTGCTGAGCATAGGCTGCGACGATAAGGCTGAAATAAATCCGGACAAGCGTAAAGGCGGTGATGAGGACGAAGCTGAAAGCCGTATCGTGAGGCATGGCAACGGGCACTCCGCCCTGAAGATTCTGGAGTCGCTTATACAACACTGTCGACGCCCCTCTCGACACGAACGGCAGAGCCGTGCCGTTTAGCTGTTCGCCGGCTCCATGTTGCTGCGTGAGCACATCCGACTCCGCTACGCTGCTAAAGTACCACTGTACGGCAAAGAAGGTCGTGCATGCGCAGTTAATGAGCGTATCGATTATATGTAACCATGCCAACGACAGACACTCGAACGGGCTTTGTTTTTTTATGTGTGGAATAAGGATCGCGAGTAAACCGAGGACAAGAATCGAATAGATGTAGGTCGTGAGTTGCAAAAGCGAAAGTTCAAAGCCAGTCAGGATAGCGAGGATACCGTACAACCCCGTGAGCTTGTTGAAGGCGAGCATAAGAGAGATGAACTCCGTGCCTGTTTGAAGGCTGATCAATCCAAGGAGCGACTAGTAAACCGCCATGTCAGAACTTCGGCCACTAATAACCCTCCCGAGGGACTCTGTGAAGCCGTGGAAGGGGGATGAGGAAGGCCTACCTTTGGCCGCGGGACGCGGATGTGGAGAAACGATCGCATGCTGGACATTGGACCGACCGTGTTCGACCGCAGTCGCGTAAAAATGTCGACAGCCAGGGGAAAGAGGTCTTCCTTCGTAAACGCGAGCGAGGGAGGAAAACCTAGCCGGCGAAAGTGCAGCAGAGATTCCTGTCTGGTTGTGAGTCGATAATAATATTGCAGAGCCTTTGCCAAGACCCGTTGGCAAGGAGCCGCAAATAACGTCGAACCGGAAAGTGCGGATGGATCCACCCGAATATTGAATAGACTTCTTAATTGCATATCGGAGATAAACGATCCTGCTTCCAAGGTCGATCATTTCGTCATCTATTATTGATGGATTTGATCATTTCATTTTCATGTTGCTCTGACTCCCATCTGCCCAAGAATCGAGCTCTGGTCATTCTGTACCAATAATTTCTAGTGAATAAGAACAGAACTATGATGCTCCTAAATTATACGTCTTGCATTTAATCCGGCAGAATTTCCTCGGCGATCGTCCTCAAACGATTCCATCCTCGCCCAGCCGTCACCACATGCAGCATACCTGAGCATCAATTGCTTTTGTCGTGTGTGCTCTGCTGCGAGTCGACGCCAACTAATTAACTAGTTTCTCATGTAGCCTCTCAGCGCAAACCCTAAACTAACATCAATTGATCAGTTGATGCCCGCTACGGACGGCTTCACAACTCATGACTAAATTCTGCGCACGCTTTCCTCTCGTAGGCCCTCACGCTGTTTCTTCCAGGTTCTCTTCTGCTCCATTTAGAATTACCCGCCCGACATCCTCAAACGCCCAAGCCTGGATCCACTGCTCCGGTCGCGTTTCTTGCCGGAGCTGGCGAACGAAGTCGACAAAAACCATCGAGCTAGCCCCACTACGTCTCAATTCTTCGACTGCCCCTCCTCTCCGCCCCCAAGCCAGTCCCTCCTTCGCAACCAACAGTGCTAGACCAAGAACCATGTCGTCCGCCAATCTCGTGGAGTCCGCTAAAAAGGCCGCGGCCTATCGCGCCGTCGACGAGCACCTTGACCCTTCGTTTCGTTTCGTCGGCATTGGCTCCGGCAGCACCGTCGTCTATGTTGTAGACGCAATTGCCGCCAAGGGCCCCGCCTTCTACGCCAACATGGTCTTCCTCCCGACGGGAAGCCAGTCCAAGGCCCTCATCAGGAATGCTGGCCTCACGCTCTGTAGTCTGCCTGATCGACCGTCAGGCCCCGATGGCCTTCCCGTTGCTCTCGACGTGGCGTTTGACGGCGCCGACGAGGTGGATGCCGAGCTCAATCTTATCAAGGGTGGTGGTGGCTGTCTGTTGCAGGAGAAGGGAGTCGCCGTGAGGGCGAAGAAGTTCGTCGTTGTTGCGGGTATGTTTGATGCCTTCCGTCCGCCCTCCATTGGGCGGCGACGTGTTTGCCGATTTCTCGCGCGGCTGTACTAACCCAATTTTTTTCTCTTTCCCGATAGACTACCGCAAAATCTCGGATCGTTTGTGCACAAAATGGACTTCCGGCATCCCTATTGAGGTAGATCCATTCTTCGCCTTGGATGTGTTAGTCGATCTCAAAGAACTGGGATCAATTGAGCCCAAAATCCGCTTGGGACTCCCGGCGAAGGCTGGCGAATGTGTCACGGATAACGGCAACTGGATCATTGACGCCCCGTTCAAGCCCCTCAAACTGAAGAGCGATCCCGCCGGCGATGGCTGGGAAGTGTCGCAGCTCGGGGCTGCCATTAAACAACTGCCGGGCGTCGTGGAAACCGGACTGTTCTGGGGTATCAACGGAATCGAGGCTGCGAATCTCACCGGCCGGAGAGCGGCTCCCCAGAAGCCCGTCGCCGCATATTTCGGAATGGAAAACGGCGAGGTAGAAGTCAAGACTGCGCAATAGAAGTCCTCCACCATTGGAGCCGTTGCGGGAACATAACTTCATGGAGTAAAGAACCGACAAAGAAAACTCTCCGCCATGCAGTCATATTTGTGTCATCTCACTGCAGGTTTTTGGTCGTATAAAATAGAAATAAATATATGTGAAATATGCAGGTGGCTCAGTCAGAGACTGAGACTGACTATTATTGTACTATACCAACCCCATGCTCCGCAGCTCCTGTGACACGCTATGCTTAGATATCCTATTCCAGTGAAGCCATCCTTGAACCGAGGCCGGCTTGTTAGCCCTCCAGCTTGACGAGAGAGCTTAGCAAGCACACCCTTCTTGCGGCGCTTGGGTAGTATTCACTTTGACATCAATCACTACACGATATTAGCAATAGCTAAGAAAAAGCGAAAAAAAGGGGGAAGGGGGGGAGCGTAGGAATAAAGTCCCGCCGCCCGAGCAAAACGCGCTGCTGAGGGGAGACATACTCTGGTTCGAAGCCTGAACTGCAGCATCGGTCCCCTCCATGCCTGGTAGGGCTTGCGCGATCCTCTTGAATAATGTCTTGACGTTATGGCCAAGCTTCGCGCTCGTCTCGATGAACATCAAGTTGTTCTTCTTGGCTTCCTCCTCGCCCTGTTGGGTCGTGACTTCGCGCTTATCGTTCAAATCCGTCTTGTTTCCGACAAGGACAATAATAACATCGTTGCCGCGTTCCGCTCGGACATCGTCTATCCATTTTCTCGTGTTTTGAAAGGACTTTGCGTCTATGTAGAAAAGAAAAAGGTCTGTCAACAGGTCAGGCTCAGAGACCTGCTAGGAATCTCGGCTCACTTGAAATGTCATAAACAACCACCGCAACGCTCGAGTCCCGTATATATGATGGTATAAGACTCCTGAATCGTTCTTGGCCTGCCGTATCCCAGAGCTGTAACCGCACTGTCCTATCCTCAAGATACATGGTCTAGTTGCGGGTAGAGTTAGCATGGCATCCGTACGCCTGGTGGGTGCGTGCGAGTGCGGAACGAGTGGAGTATGCATGCCTTGGAGAGAAAATCGATTCCGATGGTTGCCTGGTACATGTTGTCGAACGAATCGTACATGAAGCGCGTAATGAGCGATGTCTTGCCAACTGTGGTCCGAGCCGGTCAGTACGGGTCCGTGAAATACTGTGCCTATGAAAAAAAACTGCGATATGCATACCGCTCTGCTCGCCGAGGAAGACTAGCCTATGAACTCCAGAGTCAGTCTCGCCCCACAAACCATCGGGAAATGTAAAGCGTGTTAGGAGAGGAGTGAGGATGTACTTGAACTTCTTCAACGGAGCATTGTATGAGCTCCCCGCGTGCGCCATGGTGAAACGCGGAATCAAATATAGACTTGAGCGCAAATCGAATCCTCAGCAACGGAGATGCACTCCTCGGGGAGGGAGTTCGTCGAGGCTCCCTTTGCGTGGGTTATAGCAGGATGGTGGGGTAGCAAAAGGCGGCAAGTTCGGTCAGGCAAGGTCATGCGCAGGACATTCAAGATTCCAGAATAAAGGAATATTGGTAGTCGTGGAGCCTGCGTGTCTTCCGAGTTTGGTTGAAGAAGGCGATGATCAGTGATGCAGGATATTTGGTTAATTAGATATTCGAAGTTGGCCTCCTGGGCTGGACTAAGGGCAAATATGTCATTGCCATTCGATGTTGCCTTGGACCTCTGCTTGTACCTTGGTCACCTCCCCGGTAGAATAATATCCATCATTCGAATGTTACTTCCTGGTCTTCGACGTACCCCGGAAGTCTCTCCAAAACCAGGGTCCAACCATTAACAGTACTTGTACAAAGTCCGGAGGTATCCAAGCATAGATTGGGTACCTTCATCGTACCTGTGTACTCTTCTTGGAGTTTTAAAGATCGCACGTGCCGATAAGCTAACTCCGTTACTGCGATAAGGCTGGAAAAATTTTGGCGCCCCTCCATTACTATCTGTTGCCATTTCAATACAAAGTACTAAACATTTCCTCTTCGCAGGGAAAGCATAAACCTCGAGCGCCTCCATTCAACAGTGTTTGGAGCATTGGCAAAGCAGCAACTTACCCAGTCTGCCATCCAAGGACGTGTAGAGATGCCTGTCTTAGAAGCTCGTACCGGGTCTCTTGACCGACCACAGCAGCGCAATCAACCATCTCGTAAAGGCAAGAAGGCCTGGAGGAAAAATGTCGACATCTCTGAGGTAGAAAAGGGCTTAGTCGAACTGAACGAGGAGATTATCAGAGGGTATGTCCTAGTGCTGGCCCCCTCGGCAGTTTTTTCTCAGTCAGATGTCGAGCTTTTCTAATTTTCTTCCAGTGGACCAATTGCAGAAAGGGATTCAACCGAGCTCTTCACCATCGACACCGTCGGAGACCATAACCTCAAAAAGCAACTGCCCAGGAAACTACGGACAACCCTCAAAGCAGACGAGATTATCGCCCAGAGGTCGAAAGTCCCCGCCGTCTCCTCTCGAAAACGGGCGTCCGATAAGACTACGGACGGCTTGATTCCCACGAAGCGTCTCCGAACGAATTACGTCTCTCACAAGGAGCTTAGCAGGCTGAGGAAAGTGGCAGATGGCCACCATGACCAAACCGTCGTGGTCCAGGATGCCACCTACGATATTTGGGGCTCCGCATCTCCGGCCAAGACTGATGGCGAAAAGTTTGCGTTCATTCCTCCAGTTGTGAAGGCAAAGGTGCCTGGATCACTCCGTGAGAAGCCCATATCCTTGGCAGCGAACGGGAGGGAAATACCGGCCGTGCGCAAACCCACTGGAGGCTACAGCTACAATCCTTCGTTCCCAGAATACGAGAAGCGGCTCAATGAAGAGGGCCAGAAGGCTGTTGACGCGGAGATGAAACGCTTGGCTGCTAGAGAAGAGGAGAAACTAAAGCGAGAGGCTGCTGCTCGCTCAGCCGCGGAGGCAGAGGCAGCCGAAGCTAAGGCAGAGCTTTCAGAATGGGATGAAGATTCGGAATGGGAGGGCTTCCAGAGCGGTGCGGAGGACGCTAAACCCTCTAAGCGCCCTGAGAGGAAAACACAGGCCCAAAGAAACAAGATCAAGAGAAGAAAGGAAGAAGAGAGGAAGAAGAAGATGGAGACAGCAGCGAAACGTAAACAGGCTCAACTGAATCTTGTGAAGAAATTCACACGGGAGGCAACGGAGCAGGAGCAGGCCATTGTGGCTAAAGCGCAAGAAAATGAGAGTGATAGCGAGGGAGACGAGGAGAGGCTAAGGCGGCGCCGATTTGGCAAATCGAAGGTGCCTGAGAAGGAATTGGAGCTTGTGCTACCCGACGAACTTCAAGATTCGCTGAGACTTTTACGGCCTGAGGGCAACCTCTTGAGAGACAGGTATCGAAACCTGCTCGTCCGCGGAAAGCTAGAGTCTCGCAAGCACATTCCATTCAAGAAGCAGGCGAGGGGCAAGATGACGGAGAAGTGGACGTACAAGGATTTTACTTTGTTTTAAGAGATGAGAGTAGATATCCCCGGCAACCAATGTTGAACGGCTTATTAGAAACGACTCACGTCTCCTTCTGATTCTGGCTCCCTCTACGGGTAAGAACTCGTGTGCCTTTTGTGACGTGTGTACCCAGCGTAATAAGGTCTGGGTCCAGTATGATCCACCAGGTACCGAGATAAGAACATGCATATACCGAGGGTTCTGCTAACTTTATCTCTTTGTACCCGCTTAAACGAACAAAATAAAAGAAACCATATCGTGGGACCCCGACTAGGGGCAAGTCGATCTAGGGTCTATTATCATTATCTGTTTGGCTAGCGCCAGCAGTATTAGTGCACCAAGTACGAAAAGTACTCCAGAGTCGTGCTTCATCCCTCACAAGCCCAGCTGAGGATCTCGAGGCAGTCAATGCTTATCGGCTGTACGAAATAGGTCAGGGGCCAGGCACAGTTGACTATCTCGACACTGGCGCCTCCTGGCGAAAAACCGAGCCGATCCTTTGCCGTTGCATCGCTTCATCGCTTCACGCGACCCCGACCTCGACCTCGACCTCGACCTCGAACGTTCTATTGATCTTTGTGGGATTGAGAACCCAGCCTCCACCCACCCCCCTCGAGTACCTGCATGACCCCGAGGCAACGTGAGCTCCACCACGGGAGAGCCTGATTCAACGGATCTCATACCTTTGTACTTCTCTCCGCTTCAGCCTCACCGTCCCGGTCCTTATCGTGACCCGTCGTAGCTTGAGCCTCGGGGACTTGCATATACTCAGAATCGAGAAACACAGTCGGCACATCCTAAACCCACCTGTTGATATGGATACGAGCAGAGAGGCCGGTGTGCATGCTTCCATAAAGAAGCGGGTGCATTACTCTCCTCCATGGGCCGATGTTAGTATCATTGGTATCGCGGGGAGCTCTGGCTCCGGAAAGTCGACATTATCCCATGCCATTGTGAAGCAGCTGAACCTGCCCTGGGTTGTTATCTTGTCGATGGACTCATTTTACAAGTCACTAAATGAAGAGCAATCCAAGAAGGCGTTTGCGTCCGAGTACGATTTCGATTCGCCCGAGGTATCAATTCCTCGCTCCCCCTTACCATCCCCTCGGTCTAAACGCCCCGGACTGGTCAAAGACTCATGGCAACCATGACCATAGGCACTTGATTTCGATGTCTTAGTGAAAGCGCTGCGTGATCTCAAGGCAGGGTACGTTTGAACAACCCACCATACAGCTTCGCTTTATCGGAACAGTGGATTTATCTTGGCTGCAAGTGACTGCTGTCTTTGCTCTCACCAACTCCCATTCTTGCTGATGATGGTCATTCATCTAGTAAGAGGGCCGAAATCCCTATTTACTCATTTGCCAAACATCAACGTATGGCGGAAACGACATCGATCTACTCGCCCCATGTCTTGGTCCTAGAGGGTATATTTGCCTTGTACGACCCCCGAGTTCTGGAGTTGCTCGACATGAGGGTAGGAAGATGACCGTTCCCAATCGTCTGCTTGTCTATTCCTGTAGATCTAAACTAACTGCCTTGGTAGATCTTCTGCGAGGCAGACCTGGATACTTGCCTCTCGAGACGAAGTTAGTCAATATGTGCTTTTGTTGTAGTGAAGTCTTTATCTGATACTCGTTCGCCACTATAGTATTACGCGACGTAAGGGAACGAGGCAGAGACGTAGAAGGCTGCATTAAGCAGTGGTTTGCGTTTGTCAAGCCCAACTTTGAAAAGGTCTAGCCGCGATACCAGCTCTCACGTTTTTGAAACTATCTGACATTTTCATGCTTCTGCCAACAGTACGTTGAGCCGCAGCGGAAATCAGCAGGTACGACTACTCCCTTCTTCAGGAAATGACCAGAGATGTGCCGTGCATTCTCTCCCGAATACTAACGCTAAGAGCCTCAAGACATTATTGTGCCGAGAGGCATCGAAAATCACGTCGCGATGAGTCCGTCCACCGGCCGAGGAAAACCATCGAGGAGTTCTATCCCGCGGCTGCTAACTAATACTACCAGGCATGGTTGTACAATACATTGAGAGAAAACTGCTTGAGAAATCGACACACCATCGCGCCGCTCTTTACGAGTTGGAAATTGGATCCAAAAGCCAGCCGCTCTCCAAGAAGGTATCCATCCTGGAGGGTACTCCTCAAGGAAGGGGCATGAACACGATTATCAGGGACATCGACACGTCGCCAGAGGATTTTATTTTCTACTTTGACAGGCTGGCTTGCCTTTTGATCGAGTTGTAAGTTGGCTCTCTCTTTTTGTTTTCTTTTTTTGACCTAGTGTTCTACAAGCGTCGAGCAGGGATGGGGGCTCACTCTACATTTACATGAAGGGCCCTCAACAATGTGCGATTCAAGGAGCTGGTCGTCGAGACGCCGGCGGGATATACGTATCGCGGTCTTGAGGCCAAAGGCGAAGTGAGCGCCGTAGCCGTGCTGCGCGGGGGCGCCGCATTTGAGACGGCATTGAAGAGGGTCATCCCCGACTGCAAGATGGGCCGGATGTTGATCCAATCCAACGTGAGGACCGGCGAACCGGAGCTCCATTTTTTGAAATTACCCGAAGATATCAGCACGCACGAGAGTGTGTTGCTGCTGGATGCGCAGATGTCAAGCGGAGGGTCGGCCCTGATGGCCGTACAGGTTTTGCTTGACCATGGGGTTGAGCAGGAGAAGATTGTGCTCGTCACCTATAGTGCCGGTCGGATGGGCCTTCACCGCTTGACCATGGTGTTTCCGGAAATCTCGGTGGTGCTGTGCAGCGTGGTGCCGGATATCGAGGAACGGTGGGTTGAAAAACGATATTTCCGCTGTTGATCTCAGCACTTGCGAGGCATTTTCGGGGCTCAGGAATAGGTGGCCATATTTCCAAGTCCTCGAGTCACGTCAGATCTTGATAGAGCGACAATCAACTCTCTGAGTATCAACTGTCGTAAACCAAAAGACACCGCGTCCGTTCCCAGAGGATCCAGAGGATGTGGACCACTGGACAACCAGACATTGGTCAGTTTGATAGCAGTGAAGTAGCTCGGGAAGCTCTTATAGGTACCATGTCGCTTGAGTGGATGGTTCAATGGACGGGGACTGAACCCAATCCATTGGGCTAGGGTCGGATCATGTCAACTGATATTCCATGAAAGCCAATCCTTGTCCGTTCGCAAACTGGTCAATCAGTGGTTGCGACCGAAACTGTAGCTCAGGAATATGGGTCAATCGAATCATTTTATTCATGACTCCCTCTTTGCTTGCCTAAGGTGAAGGAACCAAGGGACGCCCACCTAATGAGCGTCACTTCGGGGCTCGCTCACAAGCGGCAAACAAGCAGACGTTCCCAAACCTGATAGAGCTTTAAAGAGTCTCATCGTTGCTGCAGTGTTTGTAAGTTCGTAAGCTGGGTATCCGATAATGTGTGGTCCTCGGAGTTGACCGATTTAGTTCTCCTCGATACTAACAATACAAAACATTAACCAGTACTCCTCACGTATGCGTACTTAAGAAGCACACGCTCGATGGATCAATAGATTGGGTACTGTTACTGGTTGTGGTCGGTCTCGTGCCATCGCTGTCGAAGTCTCACAATCAATCGATTAAGTTGTATCAATCGATTAGCATCAAGTCCGCTGGGCCTAGGGAATCAGCCCCAGAAGAACCATGAATGATGAATTGTAACTCTTATACCTTAGAGTTGGTGAGTTTAATACCTAAGAAAATAAAAGACCAGACGTCTTGGCGTCCAGTTCCGCAGGCAGCGGTCATGCTATTTGATCGATTGATCAATGTCAGTCAATGCCAATGCAATGGTCCATCCCCACATCCCCAGGCCATCCCCAGAAGCTGAAGTGAGCCCCCCGGGCCGATGACGTCTGAAGTACATCGAGATAGATGAGGGACGAAGTAGACAGTTGGCTCGGTTTCAATGTTAATGTACGTATTAAGGGGGGTTAGATATGTACCATGTTGTTACGAAGTATTTCTTCAATTAATGTTGACGTTGGACCTTCCATCGATGTACTTCAACGTGTCTCGGTGCTTGGTCCTGCCAACATCAAGTGTACGAAGTACGGGGTACTTCGTACGTGCATCGATGCCATTCGGTACCTGGGAAGCGGGCAGCCAGCTCGACAATGAGCTGTGTGACAGTGGAACACCTCATGGTTAATTGATCCATCCTTGCAGAGCTGAATGGTCTAGCTTCCTTACTCCATACAACTTCGGATTAATACATTGATCTTGCTATCCCCCCCCCCTCTTCCCCCTTCTCATATCCACATCGCGCCGCCGTCGCTTCCGGAGTCATCTCTCGCACTCCCAACATGTCACGGCATTCGTGCCCGTCCCATTGCCCGCCATGAAGTGCTTTCCTCGATTTCTACGGACGGCGCCAGCCTATCGTCCAGTTGCGGTCCTCAATGCGCCCAGTTTCTACCGCGCTGCTAGCACCCGTCCCGTCCGGTCCACGCCCAATTCCTCCGTTCTCGGTCCACTCTACTTCGCCTCCAGGCCTTCCCCAGTGTTGCGAGGTCAGAATGGCCGAAATATCTCTTCTGAAGTTAAACCCTCCCCGAAGCGGAAGTCGCGCTTGATCACCACACTCTACAAAACTGCGCTGTTTCTTGGAGGCTCTATTCTACTGGTTGGAGCTGGCGTCGTGGCGTTCTTTATTTATGATGCATCTACTTACAAGGAGCACTCAACAAGCCGCGAGATCAATGTGTCTCTTCTATCGTTGAATCCGAGACGCGGCGGACCAAAGAATCTTCCCATCGCCGATGCTTTCATTGATGACTATGATACTGAAGAGCGGAAGATGCTAGCTGGCAAGCCGCGTCTCGTCATTCTCGGCGGCGGCTGGGGAGCAGTCGCCATGCTCAAGAACCTCAACCCGGGCGACTACCACGTTACCGTTGTTTCCCCTACCAACTACTTCCTCTTCACGCCGATGCTGCCCTCCGCGACCGTCGGTACCGTCGAGCTTAGGTCCCTTGTCGAGCCGATCCGTCGCATTCTTAATCGCGTTTCCGGCCATTTCATCCGAGCAAGGGCTGAAGACGTTGACTTCCAGAATAAGCTCGTTGAGGTTTCCCACGTGGATGACGATGGGTTCGAGAGTAGGTTTTATGTCCCGTACGATAAGCTTGTTATTGCTGTCGGGTGTCACTCCAACCCCCACGGCGTGCGAGGTCTTCAACACGCCTTCTTCCTGAAGAATGTGCGGGATGCGAGAAAGATCCGCAACCAGATCTTACACAACTTCGAAATCGCCTGCCTACCCACTACATCTGAAGAAGAGCGCAAGCGTCTCCTCTCCTTCGTCATCTGCGGTGGCGGTCCTACCGGTGTCGAATTTGCTGCCGAGCTCTACGATCTGCTGAACGAGGACTTGACACAGCACTTCCCAAAGCTACTCCGGAACCAAATTTCGGTGCACTTGATCCAGAGCAGGGGCCACATCCTGAACACCTACGACGAACAGGTATCCAAATATGCCGAGGAACGCTTTGCCCGAGAGCAGGTTAATGTCATGACCAACGCCAGGGTAAAGGAGGTTCAAGCGGATAAAATAATCTTCACCCAGATTGCCGACGACGGTAGTGTGGTTACCAAGGAGATTCCTACTGCATTCTGCCTCTGGTCCACTGGTGTTTCGCAACGGGACTTCAGCAAACGGCTTGTCGCTAAGCTTGCTCCGGACCAGTCCAACCAGAAAGCCCTCGAGACCGATACTCATCTCCGTCTGCTTGGGGCCCCTCTCGGCGATGTGTATGCCATAGGCGACTGTGCCACTGTGCAAAACAACGTCGCTGACCATGTCGTCTCGTTTTTGCGAACGTTGTCGTGGAAGCACGGGAGGAATCCCGAGAAGCTCCAAATTCGCTTCGAGGACTGGAAAGAGGTTGCCGCCGAGGTGAAGAAACAGTTTCCCCAGGCTATTGCTCACCTGAAGCGCCTCGATAAGCTCTTCGAAGAGTTTGACAAGGACCAATCGGGGACTCTCGACTTTGGCGAGCTTCGTGAGCTTCTCAGGCAGATCGATTCCAGGCTCACTTCCCTGCCCGCAACCGCCCAGCGCGCCCATCAGCAAGGCCAGTACCTAGCCTTTAAATTCAATCGCATGGCCAAGGCTACAGCGGCTCTAAAGGGTGACCATACCGGCCATGGAGACCTCGATTCGGCTGTGTACAAAGCGTTCAAGTACCATCACCTTGGCAGTCTCGCCTATATCGGAAACTCGGCCGTCTTTGACTTGGGCGAGGGCTGGAATCTCGCGGGCGGCCTTTGGGCAGTGTATGCTTGGAGATCCGTCTACTTCGCCCAGAGCGTTAGCATACGGACTCGAATCCTTATGGCTATGGATTGGCTTAAGCGAGGCTTATTTGGTAGAGGTGTGTATTTCCTATATTTGCATGTGTTTCTTTCTGTCAACTACCATTCGCTAACTCAGACGATGCAGATCTGGTGAGTTATTGAGAATTGTCTGACTGGGGTAAGGACTTTCTTTTGTCGTTGTTAATGGCTTCTATTCCCAACTCGCATACTCCTCGCCCCATTATGGGTGGGAGTCGACGAAGGCAGAATCGAGATCACAGCTGCTGGTGGAAATCGCCCATGAGTAGAGTCAATACATACAGAGTCGAGCTATCAATGGACAATGCTGCATTATTGGGAGTCTCACAGCGTCCAGCGCGATGAAATTGTCCATACAAGAAAGGGCAGAAACGCCAAGCTCTTCCTTCTAATTAATTATCCATAATTTCGTGTCTCATAGGCTGCTTTGTCCTCCATTTCAGTCGTCTCATTTCTTCTTGTGAATTGCACTTTCGCTTTTTTCCCTTCCTTTTGTCCCCTCTACCAACCCCAAGTCTTGGCAGACGCAGTGAAGACTGGCGGCGTCCACTGGATCCGCGAAGGATCGATGAACCTCCTCCGCTTCGATTTCTGCTTTTCTCTCTGCTCGATAAGCTTGTCGGGTAGCACGATTTTGTGCTGGCCTCGATGATAGACCAGAAGCCTAAGGAACTGGAGAGTATGCTCGACATCCTTGATAGTCATCGCGAGGGAATTGGAAATTTGTTCCATCGTGCACCCTTCCCCGTGTTCATTGATCTCCAATAGCATCTCGACAATATTCTCGCTCCAATACTGCCGGTAACTTAGCAGACCTAAGTCTGACAAGGGTTTCTCTGGGGACCCTAGCTTTCCTTCAATCTTCGACAATTCGTATGAGAACTGGATAAGAAGACGACCGTACCCCTTCCTCTGATATTGGGGAAGGGTAAGAATACAGGCTACGTTGTAGCCTTCGGCACTTTCCTTTTCTTTGGAAAAGTACCCTACGACATGGTGACCTTTATCATCGACGCGAGTCATCACGTAGAAGAGAAAGGGATCCACGTCGTAATAGAGTGTTTTGTGATCGAGAAACATCTTTGACAGGAGACAAAGATTTCGACACCATGTACGCTGCCTTCGACCATCAATCTCGAAGAACGATACGTATTCATCCCGGTAAATCTCATTCCCAGGTGGGTGTTGCAATGTACACTTCTGACGGTGTCGCGCGAAAGCCTTGAGGTCGCCGCGATAGCAGAGACAGAATTCACAGATATACACCATATCACACTCATTAAGAGCTTCTGGATATGGTGAAAAATACCAAGGGATGAGATCCCACTCACCGAATTGAACCTTGTTGATATTTCGTATTCGAGCAATCTCCGTTGGGTTCTGCGTCATCGATCCAGATGTGCGTAGCTTCTCGACCTCTTCCTCGCGGTTGAAATTGTTTGTTCCGGTCATCTCAACATCCCCATCAGGACCGACTGGTGGTACTCCGTTTCGGGGTGTACCGACTTGTGAGGCATCCTGTCCCTCGCCGTTTACCGCACTCGGGGTCTGGTCCTGTGACTCGGCCCAATCTGCAAGATCGCCAGACTATTAGTTCCCTGTTTCTGTCACTCTGGCGCAAGTTATGTTCAAGAGAGGCAACTCACCCGACCAAGGACGCGGCGTCGCGGCTTCAGACGTCACGGATTGTTCGCGCTTCGAAGGTCTTTTCTGGCCTTTCTTGGGTACCGTCTTCTTTGCGGGTTGAGATGAACCCTTCTTCCCTTTCCCTTCCTTGGGCTTGTCCTTTTCTGGATTTGGCCACTCGATCTCCTTTGTGAAGTCTATCCTCGAAACAGGGACCCACTCATCCAATCGCTTATTGAAATTGTCGAAGTTACAGTAAAACTGCCGTCCGCTCTTGGTATCTCGTATACTAAGGATTTCGGCGCGCCGGGGTTGACCGTCCTATGCACGTATTCATTTCGGTTAGAAGAGAGAACAAAGATGTCAACGGATGTGAATTCGCGCATTCTCTAACCTTCTCGACCATTGCGATACACCCTACTCTGGGACAAACTGTCAGCGAACCTGCGACGGCATGGGGCGGGAAGAGACAAACCTGACTGTGTCGGGTGTGGCAATGGCTTTTTGGCGGGGTACATCTGAGCCCACAACCGGGCCATCTTTTGGTGGAGGACTCATTATTGCGTTCAAGTTGATCGGCCGGGCTCCAATGACTCGACGGGCGTGATGGGTTCGATGGATCTCGATGCCTTTGATGGACGGCGATGAGCGATCAGGAGGAGATTCTTGAGTTGGGAGAAAGGAAAAAAAAGAAGGGCATCTTTCGCATAGTTGCGACGGCAGAATCAGGTTGCTGCTTATCTTATCAGGCGGTGAGAGTCATGCATCTAAAAGGGTATCGGGTAAATGACATTCGACTACCGAGGCATAGGATTCCAAAACCCAACCTCCCCACGCCCACCCACACATTCATTTTGTTTCCCCACCACCATGACCGAGCTGCCTACAAAACCGCATGGCAACCTTTTGATGGCAATAAAAGGAGTCTCCACCCTTTGAAATATTTGCACCTTGCATCTCTCCCTTCTTCCCCCAAGATCTAAGGTGGCTATCCGCCAGAGACTTCCCATCAACGACCATGTCTTCTGCGACGACAACGCCGATAAACCATTTGTTTTCTGGGCGTTCTGAACATGCCTTACCGTATAATCGGTGAGTCTACATTCCGTGGATCAGTTCCCTCGTCTGCGGGTTTGAGTGTCCATCACCACCCCTCGATACCTGATGAACAAATCAACAATGGGAATCTCTCCTAGCATTTCTCATGCGGAAATCCTTTGATCGATCTTCTTCTTTTCTGATGTTTTTCACCGCCGATCCCCGACTCGCACGCCTCTGCATCTATCGACCTTTCTAACAAGCTTGGCCAATTAGCGATGTTAATAGTGAGATGAACGCCCTCATTCTCGACTACTTGACGCTATCCGGCTATTCTCGGGCGGCAGCAAACTTCTCGCGCGAGGCAAACCTCGATCCTCACCAAGACAACCAGTCTATCCTCACCCGCCAGAAGATCCAAAATGCCATTCACCGAGGCCATGTCCACGAGGCAATCGAGGCTTTGAACGACCTTGACCCAGAGGTAAATATATGTCCTGGCGTGCCCTCTTTCGTCGCCTTGAAAAACTCTCCCAACTTTCCATGATTACAAACCAGTTGTACATGCACCACTCTGAAGCATCAGGCTGTGCTGAGAACCAACCACCATTTTTTATGACTTGTTGCTCTATCCCTATCGATATACCGTTGATCTTTGCGTGGCTTGACCTTGTCTAACGCTCTTATCAGATCCTCGATGGCGACCCTGTCCTTCATTTCTCTCTACTGCGACTCCAGCTTGTTGAACTCATCCGGCAGTGCACTACGAGCCCGGACGGTGATATAACGCCTGCCCTGCATTTCGCACAGACACATCTGGCTCCTAGAGCGCCCACAAGTCCCCAGTTTCTAGAGGATCTTGAGAATACAATGGCGTTAATCGTGTTTCCTCATGACAAACTCGGCCCAGATTTGGAACCTCTCCTCCATCCCAACCTCCGGAGAGAAGTTGCGGATAATGTCAACAAAGCACTTCTTCAGAGACAGGCAGACCGTCGGGAAGCAGCCATTAGAATGCTTATTCACACGAGAGCTTGGGCCGGCAAGACCGCTCAAGACTCAGGGAAAAGCCATTCCGAACAAATGGGGCTCGACCTGAGCTTGGACCTGCTAGGACACCGCTCAAGGGCATCTGAGAATGGGAGTGAAGAAATGAATACCTCGCTATAACCAAACCCTAGTCAGGGAGTTTAGCTTTGTAGGGGGATAACCGGAAATCGGGATAATCCTTGATGTAATCACGATGTATGATTGTTACGAATATTGGGCACGGAATGGGAACGGGAACGGGCACTTTTACGGAGTTTAAGGGAGGGTACGGCAGGATTATTTAGGATTTGCATGCGTTATTAAACGGATTGGTTCCGAACCTATCATTGAGCGGAGAACACGAATTGTCCTCGCTGGCGACGGGAATTCACCGTCTGTTACCATTGCTAGCGTGGGTGACGGTTAGATGACTTCATCAGCTTGATGTTCTAATATAATTTCTTTTTGAAGAATTGTTCTAAAAGTACGCAGTGCCCCTGTTGAGTATACAAGTAAGAGTCTCTTATGCGGAGGCCTGGCTCCGTTTGCAAGGTCTTCGAACTGATGTGCCCATCATGAACCAGGGAGGGTCAACGAATCTCAGGGGCAAGTGAGTGTCGTTTCTCCAATTGTATGGAGGTGGATACGTGTATTGTCAGCTCCCCATATTATTTCGTGCGGGCCATCTTGAGCTTTCCTGCCGAGTAGGTGAAGTTGTTGGCGTATGACTTTGGCTTAAAGGCACGGGTGTTCGGCTCCTGCACGTAGTATTCGTAGCCTTGCTTCTCAGCGAACCGGATCGCATCCTCCTTGGATTCGAAAAAGATCCTGGTTCCCTGCATCATGTCGCCCGACGACTGCCATCCCATAAGAGGATTTTCCCATCGGTGGCCCTTGGGAAGGATATCCCAATCCATTCGCCAGTGGTGGCCTTTCCAGTTGCCAGATTGAGTAGCCGGCTTAGTTTCCTTGTAGATTCTGAGGTGGACAGGCTTCAGTTAGAACAATGGGCAAGGAGAAGTTACGGTATCATGGAAGAACACGTACCTCACCTGCCTGGCTTGCAGCTCGATCGGAGCTCCGGAGACCACGGCAGCCGGGATGATGTCGCTCTCCTCGCTTCCATCCTGAACTCGCTTCGGCACGGGGGTGAAAGTCCTAGAAGACATGTCAGGACCGCTCGGAAAGTCATTTGGATGTGCAATCGGGTATGAAACCATACGATGTCGCCTTGTCAGCCTCAATGCTATAGTCGGGTTGGTTTTGGCGGAGGCCAGGAGCTGCGGGCTGCTCCGTTGGTGAGAGAGAACCTTGGAACCGTCGATTGGCCACTGCGGGTCGGAGAATGGCGGTCCTTCGAAGGACGCCAGCAGAAATTGCCGTCCTCAGAGTTGCCATTGTTGTCGATTTAGTTGCTGTCGACGAAAACAAAGATTCGAGTTGGACGTCGACACCTGCGCTCTTTGAACAGGCGATATTATGGCAAAGGACTTCTTTCCGAGGGCGAGGTGGTGTTGATGATTGGTGCGATCTGATTGGCTGTCCCGCAAAAACGTTGTGCCGAAAACTGCGTGGTTTTGCAGGGAACTTCGGCAGACCAATTCATCACGCTTCCACTCCTCCTTGCACGCAAATCATTCTCAAAGCCGATACTGCCGCATCTCGTCCCCGGCCTCTCTTCTCGACCTGAACACACCGGCGTACGGAAGTCAATTGAGCAGTACCGCGAAAATGAGCTACGTACCTAAGCGAGCGTTGTCCACGCTCATCCCCCCAAAGGTATGCCTTTCCTCGGTTGGCGCCTGTACTGGGACGAGGCCACGTCCATCCAGCCACACACAACAATCGCTAACAATGTCTCTAGGTTGCGTCTCCTAAGGTATTCATTCCCTTGAATTTTTTTTTTTTTTTTGTTACCGAACACTCCCTCGAGCCTCCCGTTTGCAAGCGACTCCGAAAAGGAACATCGACTTTTCTTCTCCCAATCGATCGACCCTGCTGAACTAAATCCTCGGGTCGTGGCTGAGGTTTCTCGCGGGACTGGATGCTAACCGCTATTCAATACAGGCCATTGGAGCCAACCCCGATGCCGTCCGAATGCAGAGGGTAGTAAACTTCTACGAGAAGCTCCCCCGAGGTGCTGCTCCTGAAGTTAAGGCTACCGGTCTTCTAGGCCGATACCAGGCCAAGCATTTCGGAAAGACCCCCACTGCCAAGCGTACGAGCAACAACATCCCACATCTCTATACTATGGAGGTCCAATGTTTCTAATTCATTTTGACCGTCTAGCCATTATCCACGTCGTCGTCTTCCTAGTTGCGATTGGTTATGCCCAGAACTACTACTACCATCTTCGTGAGTAATAAGTAGACAGACTTGTCGATAACACCCTGCTAACTACCTCTTATAGGCCACCATAAGAACAACGCCCACTAAGCCCGCATTGTTCGGATAAGGATGCCCATGTCGTCAAGTTGGAGATGTATAAAAGATGCGGGACCGTCTGCTAGGTAGCACCAGAGCTCACCAAGGCTCTGTTTCAGCGGTGTCTAGATATATGACTATAGAAATGTCTTCTCTGTATTAAACTCCCAATGTCCATATCGAGCATCTAGACTTAAGATGTGTGTGTGCGTATGCCTCGGCAGTGGATGATGTTATGGTGGATCGTAACCCACTACCTCCCTCTCTTTCACGGACCCCAATGGGGAATCAAGCCGGACCTGAATTACCAGTATTTCGTACCCAAATGAAGCGGGCTGAATTGGTCTAATTGATAGACCAATTTTCTCGCATTCCTAATTTAACAATTGGATCAATCGATGCTGTGTTGTCGAACAAACGGCAGGAGTCGTCTCCCACAAGAGCCAGGAAAAGAAAGGCCGGCTTATATTCGGCTAAACACGTCTCTTTCGCAAATATGAACTGGCGCTAATCCAATTTGGGAAGGACTACAAGCTGCTGTTCGAAACCAACTCCCCAAAACTAAACGCATCCCTCATTTGTACACTACTCAGATACGTAGTATTGGAAGACTTTCGATCTCAGCCTTCTTTTCCTACTTACCCGCACCTTAATCATCAACCATCAGCGCTTGGCTGTTGCGCCCTTACGCCTAACTTTATTTCGCCATCGAGGCACCGATATCTCTGACAACACAGCTGCCACGCGCATCATCCCGCCGATAAATCTCATTTTACCAATCCATCCCGCATAGCGTTCCTTCCATCTGCCGTCACCTCGAGGAGCCCTCCCGAGCGACTCGAGACTCCAAATCCGTTCAAAACGGCGCGTGTCGACGACGTATGATGGCCACTGAAGCCACTCTTGAGAAGCCCGCCGATGCTCCTGCCTCGACCGATTCTCAACCCGTAAGTCACACTATCCATGGGGCATTAGTTACCCTCTGCTGCGCCTTCTTCCATAACTTGGGGCACTAGGCTACACCAGCTTCCTTCCCGTGTCCGCTCGATTCTCATCGCTAACTTACTAGGTTGACTCTCTTCAGACTCCTGACTTTGAAACTACCCGCCAAGATGGTGTCCAGAAGCCATCTCTAAACGGCGGCCGCTCCAGCGACGACATCGAGAATAAACGCATCACCGCCGTCGAAGACCAGAGTCATTCCACGGACGTTAGCGTGAGTGGAGGGTCGGACACAGAGGCATCTAGAGCGGACTCGTCGAAGCCTCTGAATGACGACAAAGGCCATGAAAGGACCTCATCTACTGTTAAGAAACCGACTACCTTCAAGGCGGTTTCTGTCAACAAGACCTTCCTGGCGTCCAAGGCTGGAGGTTCAACAGCCGCTGCTAAATCTAGCGACAAGAACTCAGCAGCATCGGGCATGTCAAGCTCGCCGCTGAACTCCTCGGGTTTCTTATCCAACCGCCCACGGCTCATCGCCAAAACTGGCAGCGGAAGCCGGGACTCGATTCCACGATTCGCAGCAAACGGCGGCAAGCCTGCAGCAGCACCAGACCCAACTAGCGTCTGGAACAAAAATCGACGTAAGCTCTGTCATCCTCTAAAACAAATGCGTCCGCTTGGTGTTATTTTATTTTTTACTGACAGTTAATCACGACAGCAACACCTACCCCCGAAACCAAGAAGATGTCAGACGAAGAACTGAAAAAGTACGGTATCCACATGGCAACTCGACTTCATTCAGAGGACAACAAGGGCCAGTCAAATTGGGCCGATATCGACGACGACGATGACGACTGGGCACCAGAGACCATCACTTGGACGGACGGCACAAAGATAACCCTACCCCCTCCCGATGAGACGCAAAACAGTTCTGTGGGGCCCGCCCAGGCTGGTGGAACCGCGATTGCAAAAGACAAGTCAGCGAGTGACAAGACGAGATCAGCGGCGCCGTCGAGGACTGCTTCGCCTTCTGTCAGATCAGGTGGTCTAGCATCCGGCAAAGGCTTAATCTTGAAAGCGGGATCTACGGAGAAGGTCACTCTAGTCACCAAGCCTTCCGCACCCCCACCCCCGGCCAAGTCTCCATGGGCGCCTCTGCCACCTATTCAGAAAGCCTCTCCGGTGGTCGTAGATTCCCTTCCCCTACATACGAGCCCCCGCCTCCCGCTGAGGGAGCCCCACGCCCATAAGTCGTTCCAGCACCCAGCAGCGAGGGAAATCGCCGCAGACGACTTTAGCCGGTCATCTTGGAGAGATGGCCCCAACATGGCAAGCAGGGAACTCTACAACTCCCAGTCCGGGCGCTACGAGCCAGTGCAGGATCGCCGAGGCTCGTTTAGAGGGGACGTGTATAGTCGACCGGCCCTTCTACAACGCCCTCACCCACACCACCATGATTCCACTGAACCATCCCCTACTTTTCAAGCCTCCCGGCCAGTACAAGATGGTCCATTCGGCAGACGCCGTGGCTCTTCCAACGTTAGTGGTGGCAGTGGACTTCTGCAGAGGGCAGGGAAGGGTTACGACGCTGGCTCTATGCCGCCACCAGATGTTCTAAATACCCGAAGAGGGTCGTTTGCCGCCTCTACCGACAGTCACATTTCACCGAGGAATTTCTCGCCGTCCGGTCAAGCCGGAGCAAGGCTTCAGTCCAGTCATGGCTGGCCGTCTAGGACTTCTCCGGCCGCAGCCTATGCTACTCCGCATTATTCCCACGCCCATTCGGAAAAGCCACCTACTCCTCAGGGTGGACCCGGGTCTAATGTCGCCTTACAATCTGAAGAGGACACAGTGGAGTTCCAGAAACGGTTGATGCGGGAAAGGCGCGAGGAAGCAATCAGACGGAGATTAGAAGAAGAGGCACGGGAAGAGGCCGCAAAGGCTGAACGTATTCGCCTGAAACTCGAGGCTATGGGACCTCCCCCAGAGAGGAAGAGTGCAAAAAAGGAGCTCACTACTGCGGACAACGCGGACGCCGCCACCACCACCCCATCCCTCGCCCATAGCACCGTTTCGGTTCCCGGCCAGGCGACCACCACCGCGAATGATCAGAACATCGCTTCTCAAGAAGACCAAGGTACTTCCAAACCGGCAACCATTTCCACGGCAACGACTTTGCCGGCTGGTCTTCCGAGCGAGCTATCTGCAGACTCCCAGCCACAGTCAAAGCCTACGATGCAGCAAGACATGGGCCAGCCTCATATCTGGCAGGCTCCAGCACAGCCATCTTCCAGTCGGCTGACTTCGTGGCCATCCAGTAGCCAACAACCATCACGCAACGTATGGGGCTCTCCAAACAATGACCGCGGCTTAGGGAACGGCACCTTCAATCCAGATTTAGGGCGGGTACCAGAATCCCGAGCAACTCAACTCCCCCAACACCCAGCGAAAGAGCCAGCTCCGATTGGACCTCCCAGCGCAAGAGTACTCAGCCAACAGCCACCTACGCAAGCTTACCCGGCCGCTCGTCTGGACAGATATGGCGCACCTGAACCGCGCCAATACAGCGAGAAACAGAATCAGTGGGTGGCATCGGTTCTCCAGAGCGACGCCTCCTTACGGGAACAGCGGGCAAGGGAGCGAGCCGATTTTGACCAGCGTCTTGCTGAGCAGGGCTTAACGTACGATGATGCTCAACCCACCATTAAGCAATCCTGGCGCCCAGATTCAGGCCCATCCCGACCTGAGCAAGTGTCTCGTGTAGCGGCCACTTCCTGGGGACGAGCCGTCGATGAAGGTAGCAAGCATAGTAATTCGATATCTCCGGACACACACGCTCCCAATGGTGTGATCAGCGGTTCCGGGGCAGCCGCCATTCTCACTTCAAACGCTTCGGCCGCCACATCAGCGCAACCACGCGCGTCGAGGTTCTTCCCACCCAAGGAAAGAGACACACGAGCCGGCACACACACCAATTCGGAATCCGAACGACCAAAGTCTCCATCACCTCCACCCCCTACAATGGACGATCATCCTGCCTACGATGGCGATGCATCCCACCCTCATGTGTCCTTGCCCCCGCCTCAACCCATTGTTAAACTGCCACCTGCTCCCCCAACGTCGGCATCTGGTCAAGCTCCAAAGGCAGATTCGACTTGGCTCAACTCCACCCATCACAGGCCTCTTCACAGCTCTTCAACAAGTGGCTCAACCGCGGCCCATCATTCCTCTATAACCATACATAGTCCACCACAATCTCAGCAAGAATGGCAGGAGAAAATATACGAGTTAACCGGACGTAGGGCCGCACCACCAAAGTCGCCGGCGGTTGAATCCGCAAGCCGAACCATGCTCGACCACTCATCCCAGCACAACCCTGCCACAGTTTCACTTCCCAGCCACATTGCAGTGAAAGAAATGGACAAGGGCGAAGTGACAAGCAAACCCATGGCTGATGAGTGCTTTGAGGAACAGGAAATGGGCTCGTTGCCCCTAATTCGAATCCCGCATAAGGCACCAGATGCAGCCTGGCAGCCGGCCGTGCCCGCTAACAAGCCTCTTCCGAGGACTTTCATGGTGGTCGCAAATACGGCAAAGCACCTCGATCTATCTGATCACTCGGTGGTCCGCATCTCCTTCCCAGGCATGCCTATGGAAGTCAAAACAGTTACCTTCCATTCTAGCAATAGAGGAAGTAGTCGAAGCACAGGGCATGGCCGCTCCAGTGGACGCAATCGTGCTTCGGGCTCAAATTATCGAGGCGGGAGCGGCGGGAAAAGGGACGCCTCCAGTGGATTTACCAACGAATCGACGAGTAGCGCCCAAGGCCCAACCTCGTCCTTAGGATCCAGGGGCCGTGGAGGCTACCGCACTAGAGCGGGAGAGACGTGGTCGCGGCGATCCACTCACTCGACAAACAACTAATCGGACGGCCTAAACTATCTTAACAAGAAGACGGAATCGGAGGTCACCTCTATATCCCCTTATCCTGAAGCTTGAATGTGCTCCAGTGGACATGTCTAGTATTCATCAACCTCTTTTCAAGTCACGCGTCATTAGGGAACTGGGGTTTTCGCCATAGTTTTCACACCGTCCTTATCAGTTCCCTGGCCTTCCAGCTCTAGACCTCGTCGTCAATTTGATAGTTTTGCCGAGCCCACAGGGCTCCGCCGGTGAAACTTTCCCTGCCTCCGATCTTGTCTAATGATCACGGCAGTGTGTACAATTTCAGTCCTATTAGTCTCCTTACTTTCTTCCGACCTATTCTTCTTCGCGCGACTACCCTGCCGTCCTAGTCTATTCCAGTCATAACACACGGAATTTGGAGACTTGGCACAACTCTCAGGAGGCAGCAACAACGTGTGGCGAAGGATACCCATCATCCTGGGCGAAGTATCCAACCCCTTGGTTCTGTTTCTATCTCTTCTTCCCTCTGCGTTTCTCTTTCCCTTTTTTTTCTCTCTGTCTTTCTCCTTGTCCTCGATCCTCTGGTCATCAGGCTTCGCCTACTCACCTCGGCCCCCAAGCCCTCCTACATCACCATTTACCTCTCTCTCGGTCAATCCAGTGTTAGAAGGAAACTTTTAGTATTGGCTGAATGAATGGTCATGATGCATATGGATTAGAAAAAGGGAGGAATTAGTGTTAGTGATTTTCGGGATTGGGACTAATCTTGTGGTGCACAAGGCGTGAAAGGAGCACTGCAGTTCTCTCTTATATCTACCTTGTTGTTGGGGAGTGGGTGCCCCTGGAAAATCCATACTTCTGCCGGGCAGCAGGTGCCAGAGGTGTACCATTGCCGTGATGGCAAAGTCTGTCATAGCTGAGAAGAACGACGCGGCGAAGCTGATACCTACAAAATACATGAGAACTATGATCTGAGCTTGTTTTTGAAATTGGTTCGTTTCTATTGATCCGATGCATGGTATATGTGTATAGTTTCATGCCTAAAAGCCTGATGAAACCCGTGAGGGCAGTCAACGTTCGTAGATTTTTCAAACACAGAAGAAGTTGAGAATTAAAGTCATGCATTCATCTCTACATATGGTTTACCAGGGCAGTGCAGACAACAGATTCGTAGACGCCAAACACCTTAAATACCCCCTTGTTCGCCCCTCCAAGACAAGATATAAACTCGTAGATTAACCATTCCAGCCCCTCTGCCAATAACAATATCTATCATCCATCTACACTCAATACTCCTCCAAAGCGCAGTTGGGGTGAAGCACATAAACGACCTTGGCAGTTTGGGACGGGGCACCTTCATCCTCGTCTGCTAAATCTCCGCGAATGGCCATGAGAATGTTATCCTAGAGTTGACACCCACAGTTAGCGACGAGGCTGAACACAAAGGGAGGGGGGAAACCGAAAGAGTAAACAATATTAGCCAATCTTACCTTGACCATTTTCTTCAATACCATCTTGGCTAGAGCCATCTCCCGATTGTAGGCTTCCTCACCATCGAGCTCCTCCTCCTTCTGCTCAAGATACCACTGCACGAGCTGGTCACCCTCGACGCCCTCACCGGAGCCTGTCTCATCCTCGTTCACACGCTGGACGAACAGATTAACCATGCTAATATACTTGTCGTACGTGATGGTCTGCTTGGGGCGTGCCGGTGCAGGCGTCTGGCTGGGGCGTGGTGTGGCCTGCGGTCGCTGCCCCTCCATATCCGAATCAGAGTCCACGTCGGAACCAGCACCGGTAGGTCCAACAGGTGAACCTCCCTCGGAGCGACCGGCAGCTTTATCAGCGGCGCGACGGAGAGTCTCTCCGTCTTCTTCTTCATCTGGTTCATCCATCTCCACGTCGTCATGCTCGACTGAGATGATACTCTGCCGAAGGAGATTGGACGCCTCGATCACCATGGTTGCGCTGATCTCCTCGACACAATTGACTTTGGCGATGGCTTCGGATAGACGAATCATGCTCTCGAGCTGACGGACAGTAATCCGATACGAGTTTCTCCCAATACCACCCTGCGCGTCATCTGCTCTGAGTTCCTTATATTTCTGGACGAGGACGTCTTTGGCCTCGTCGGTAAACTCGGGACGGAAAGTCCGCGCAAAGCGTATGTATCGTTGCAACTGCTCCGTGCTAAACTCCGGCTCGATGGCGTCGTCGCGCAATTGGTGAATGCTAACAATGTGGTCGGCTAGCCTCCTATCAATCTGCTCATTACACTCGTCAAGAATGACAAAGAAGAGATCGAAGCGAGACATGATCGGAGCGCTCATGTTAATGTTAGATCGTAGGTTGGTCTTGCGGTTATATCGGCCTCCAACGGGGTTTGCGGCGGCAAGAATGCTAGTCCTCGCGTTAAGTGTTGCCTGGATACCAGCTTTCGCGATTGAGATAGTTTGCTGCTCCATAGCTTCATGAATAGCGACTTGGTCTGCAATGTCCATCTTGTCGAATTCATCAATGGCGCAGATGCCATTATCGGCAAGCATGAGGGCGCCGGCCTCTATCGTGAACTCGCCAGTTTCTTCATCTTTGACGACCGCCGCGGTAAGACCAGCTGCCGAGGAGGCTTTACCACTGGTATAAACGGCTCGAGAGGCAAAGGAGCAGACATACTTTAGAAACTGAGACTTTGAGGTTGAGGGGTCGCCAACAATGCAGATGTTGATGTCGCCTCGGAGTTGCATGCCTTCTGGCGTTGACTTGTGAACGCCCGACATCAACTGGAGTAGTATGCCCTTCTTCACGATCTCATGACCATAAACCATCGGCGCAATAGAGTGAACCAAGCGGGAGTAAATGTGGTCGCTGTGTACCATTTGCCGCAATTCCTCGATCTCAGAAGGGTTCATGGAAGCAAGAACAGCTGCCTGGGCCTCCTCAACAGACTCAGCTTCGTTCGAGGAACCTTGGGTCAAGGCACTGATGACGTCGGCTACAGACCCCTTGCCAGCTGCTGCGGTGGTATTCCCGATATCAGGGGTAACCATACAGGCCAGGAAAGCGAGGCGGTAGGTAAGATCCCGCACACCGAGAGTCTTCAATCCCGTCACACCGTTCCCGCCAGCATCGTTTCCACGCATTGCGCTTTTGTCGTCGCGGACTGCCGTCGGCCTAACACCCGGAAGACCGAGTTGACTAACGTCGGGGACCACGATTAATGCTCCTGTGAAAACGCACTTCTCGCCAGCCTTGGCTCGGTCGACCATCTCCCCGCGAAGGATCACATCCATAGTGCGAGGCATGCTACCGGTGGGGATTTCTGAACTGTTCTCCTGAATGCGCACTTTTTGCCAATCAACAAAGGTACTGTGGCGAATGTCGAGCTGCCAGGCTTGCCGATTCAAGCAGGTCTGATTAGGACATTGGGTTGGTTCGGTATACCGGAATGTCTGCTCTACATTGGGTACAACGGTGCGACAAGCTTCACAGACAAAAGTGGCCAACGACAGTTCGGGTCGGACTTCGGACGTCCTCGTTACTGTGCCTGAGATGGAAAGAAGCATGCCGATATTTTTCGCTCTCAGGCTGCGGATTCTCGACACCAAGGGGAGATTATAAAACGCAATGGAGAAGAGCTTGTCGGTTTGCTGATTGCTCGTCCGGTTCCCCAATTCCGACTGGCTCGCGGATCCCGCATTGCTCACAGCAGAGCTCGCAAGATTGCTCGACGTGGTGGGTTGCCGGTGCTCCCTAAAATACTGGGGTTCGTGTTTGGCGATCATATTGTGTAGGCCGGCAGTTAAAAAAGGTAAGAATCGGTAGTATTGATTCATTATACCATCCGCTAAGCCGCCATTCTGATACGCAAGCAGATGCCTAAAATCAACGTAGAAGGTTGACAATTGGTAGGCTCGCATGTTATTGATCTGGGCGACATAGTACTTGTCTGTTGTGACGGCGCTGGAGACAGGCGCTGCGGATGAGGTTGGATCTTCAACAAATCTACGAAAATATGGGTTAGTCGAGGATTCTCGTTAACCATAAAACAAAAATGCAGCTGCGGACGAGATGCCATACTTTTCAATAAAGTCTTCAAAACTCTCTTGCACAGTCAAGCCCAGCTTATCCTCGACTCGCGGGATATCTGCCGCTCCGGCGCGACGGGACCGGTGAGGTATCTGGTCATCGCCGAAACCATCGCCTTCATCGTCGCTCGGGGCTCCGACATTAGACTCTGATGGAGGGGCTCTTGGCCGCGTCCCTGAGGAGCTGGGAAAGGCCGGTCGCCTGGCCGTTCCTACCCTTGACAAGGTATCCGACATCATGTAGCCAACATCGCTGGATGGCGCCATGTTCGCACTAACCCGAGGACAAGCAATGGCGAAGTAGTGAATGGACAACTGTTGTGAATGAAAATGGGGGAAAAGAACACTGAGAGACGAAGCCTTGCTGAGGGGTCTAGAGGCATCGAGAAGGGTTAAATTGATTTTCGCGTCCCACTCGCGTCAAAGCGCGTTGCCCTGGACAGGAGAACTCGAATAGCACCGAGTACGTACCGATATACCTCATAACACAGGTACTTCGTACCTTGACATGTCTTGAATAGTCACAGGCAATTGCAACTGAAGTAGCACTAATCGCTATACAAGGTACACAAGTGGTCATAAAAATCATAATATTCAATATGCACATTTCCTATCTCGTGCTATTGTTACACCTAAGCTTCTTCAGGTGTGTTTGCTCCCTGTTCGCACTATCGTCATGCACCCGTCCCACGCCCAGACTATTTTCCTGAAAATGCATGGATCTATTCGAGTTAGCAATAGTTGGGAAAAGCTGACTTAAAACAATCAACCGTTCCTTACCTTCCGAGAAGCCTGTATGAGCTCGTCTACAGACCTGACATACGGATCTGATGATGCATCAACACTTGTCTCCTGTGTCCAGACGATAAAGTCTTGGAATTCTCCCAGAGTCTGCAATCTTTCCCCCTCATCCGGGCTTCTTTCCTCGCGTTCATTCACAGGACGCCCGGCCTCAGTAGTTCCGTTTGTTAACTGGTCACTCTGTTTTTGTACGAGGAGTCCACGATGGTCCTTCGGCAGTGGGATTGCCTGGCCATGAAGCTCCCGGCCTCGAAAATACGCACTTTGCATTCCGTCTATTATCATGAAGGTCAGGCTTTTCTTTTACGACGGCAGAACAAGAATTCAACCGTTACCACCGGCGCAACATGATATTGGACTGAATAATACCTCTCGCGGTCGTAGAATTTGAAGTCATCCAGTGGGACTGGTTCGCAGAGACGGGGCCATTATGGTGCACTTTGCAGGGTAATAAATTTGCAGCGACTGATGTCTGAGGCTGGTTATCCAGGATGAAGTGTTTCGGCTGTGTCATTTCGTTCGAAGGGCGAATCCGAATTCAAGCGAAACGTGAAACTACGTACTTTCCGAAGGGAAAAAGATAGAACCAAGGGCGAAGAAGGGAGGAAAGAGAAGGGTCCGAGAAGGGTCTGGTCCGTACTCATCCAGTAATACTTCTAATACTTTTAATACCAATTCGTACGAAGTATAGAAATCCCATCCGGAGCAGAGATCAATCTCTCGACGCGTCGCGTCCCAGGAAAGGGCAAAAGAAGGTTGGTGGCACTGCAGCAGCAAGCCAAGCATGACGAATTGTTTGCACGTGACCTTGTTCCAGGTACCTCCTTGATATGAACATCACAAAAACCACTTAGTTTAAAGGGCATCCAGGACAAATAGCAACGAGGACTCGTGCCCCGCACGCTACGAGGGCACGGGTTCCTCCCGTACCTCTCAAGACCAACTTCATCCTGCAGAGTCCAGGTTCGACATCGCAATTGCAGCTGGCCTCGCCTCGTACGTGCCCATGCCAACCGACAGGAGCGGCAATTGTATTCCCCTGAGTATTATGATCTATCAGTGTAGTCTTGCCTCCAGGGCCGGGGGATTTATTCTGTGTCAACAGCGCTTTCCGAGGTTTCCTTGTCTCAGGTTATCGTCCTAGAACCGGTCCGAGCGAATCCCCGGGCCCGGACCCCAATCCCGATCTCGCTTTGATGCTGGACGCAGCATGCAGCATAGATCAACCCCGTTCATACACACAGAACCATATATTACCTGCCACTCTATAAGCCGGATATCTGACCGCAAGCCAAATGATTGCCGGTGCTAAAACAAATCAAAGTTGAACGACACAGGGTGAAATGCCAGGGTCGTGACACCATCCCCCCCTTTCCCCCACGTCACTTGCTCGTTCACCCTGGCTTTCCGACGCTGCTCGTACCTCTCTCCAGAAAGAGGGAGCGGCGATGTCTTCCACACTATAGAAAGCAGCCCGATCCCCCCTCTCCAAAACCTAAACTCTCCTGCCTTGTTCTAAACGAAGCTCCCGCCCCCCTTAGATTGCCTCTCCCTGCTTAGGAAACACCTTTGACTCCGCATCTTGTTTTCCATGTGGCCCATACTCCCATCCGTAGTTGCAAAACAATTTGCGCGAGGTGTCGACAATGTGAGAAGTACCGTTGGCGGTCTAACATGGGGCCCAGCTTTGTCTATAGCAAAACCAACAATTCTTTCCGTCTTCTCGCGGATTGAAGCTGGAACATTGATATTGACCGATGAGACAACAGGGGATCGACACATATTCGGTCAGAACCTGACGTCTAAGTCCAGTACTGGGACCAATGGGACCCGACTCCTCCGCCGAGCTGATGGTGTTCCAAGGGTTCAAATAACGGTGAGGAGCGATGCTTTCTGGGTGCGGGCCTTTCTCTTTGCCGACATGGGCTTCGCCGAAGCCTATATGCTAGGTGAGGTAACCTGTGGCGACCTCACCTCGTTCTTCCAGGTAACTTCCTCCCATGCGCGGCGCATCCCTTGCAACGCGCAGATGCTCCAAGTCGTTTTCATAGAAGGCGCGCATATTAACATGTCTTGCGGCACAGCTCTTCATCATGAACCGAGACCAACTCGGCAACGGGACAACTTGGATCTCAATCCTCTCGTCGGCGGCTTCGGGCCTTGCACGGAGCACAAATACACTTTCAAATGCCCTCCTCAACATATCCGCTCATTACGACATCAGTAATGACATGTTCTCTGCGTTTCTTTCCCCAGACATGACCTACTCGTGCCCCATCTGGGCCCCTGTGGGCCCAACTGAGGGCTCGACCGGGGAGAGCTTAGAGGACGCACAGATGAGGAAACTGCGTCGATTCATTGATGGTGCGAGAATCAAGCCCTCAGACCACGTCCTCGAAATAGGAACGGGCTGGGGCTCGTTTGCAATCGAGGCTGTCAAGCAAACGGGCTGCCGTGTAACCAGCATTACTCTGTCCAAGGAGCAAAAGGTCCTCGCGGAAAAGCGCATTCAGGCGGCTGGGTTCTCTGAGCGGATCGAGGTGAAATTAGTGGATTACCGAGCACTGACGGTTCCCTCGACCCCGTTTGATAAAATCGTCTCCATAGAAATGCTTGAGGCTGTTGGGCCAGAGTACTTAGCCACGTATTTCGAATGCATCGATAGTCTTCTCAAAAGCGATGGGGGCATTGCGATGTTTCAGTGTATCACTATGCCCGAGGGCCGCCACGCTGCGTATTCGGCCTCGGAGGAGTAAGTCTCCGAGTCCGAGCGCCCCTGATTTGTCTTCTGAGAGTTAAAGCTAACAAGTTTCGCAGCTTTATCAACCACTACATCTTTCCGGGTGGCTATCTACCATCCATAACCCAACTCCTCAATCACATCAGCACCGCATCCAAGGGCACACTGATTGTGGAGAAAGTGGAAAACATTGGCGGGCATTACGCGAAGACCCTGAGGCTGTGGAGGGAGGCGTTCCTCGCCAACTTCGACGAGAAGATTCGCCCCGCCCTTGAACAGGAAAACCCAGGGATGAGCGAAGAGGAGGCGGAAGTATTCAGGAGGAAGTGGGAGGTAAGTACACTAACCTCCGCTCAGTCGCCCCGGGAAGGGGACACGGTCTTGGCAGGGAAGCTAATAATTGAAACCGTTAAGTACTATTTCACCTATTGCGAGGCAGGCTTTCTCACCAAAACTCTCGGAGACGTCATCATTACCGTTGGGCGGGAATGCTCGGTGGAATTGATGGAGGGCATCCCACTCTAACATCAACGGGAATGTGTGCACTGGGGGTGGGAAGGTGAACGGCGAGCAGCAGTAGGTAGAAAAGATTGGCACGAGAATAGCCTCAGCCGCATGGCCCGTGAAGCATGGATGTCCCTGAAAATGAAGGATTGGGGTAGGTGTGTCCTCAATGAATATGCAGTCTAGGACTTCTTGCCATGACCTTTTGACTTCTTCTTATTGTTGGTTTTATTACTCCTCTTCTTCTTCTTCTTCTTCTCCCCCTTTTCCGATTTTGCATCCGATGACCCTCTATACCGCGCGGACGAGGAATCGGGGAATCTTGCGATATGGTCGGAGTCGAATCGCGGCTTGAAAGAACGAAAGAGTGCCATGGTAACCCTAGCATCTTCTATGCTGGAATGGACACCCTGGTGTACCTCCAGACCTAGTATTTCATACGCCAATACCCTCAGCGAAGGTTTGCCGCCGTTGGCATAGCGGCGAAAGTCCCGAAGCATGACGGTGTCTCGTATATCCCGTTTTGGATGTTTGAGTTGTAGCACACCAAGGTCATGGTAGACATCATGCCCGACTAAGACCCTCCCCTTAAGAATATTTGCGACGAGCGGCTGGACGATATCGAATGCACGAGCATGGCTCATCTGTTGTGGTCCAATGCCGGTGATATCGGTACGCCAGTTAGTGACCTCCTCCCTCGGACGCACGAACGAGTCGTAGACCTGGCGGCCGTGGAAATCTACTATGCTGACACGAGCTAATGTAGATTCGACGCCTCCTCGCCCGACGCCCACCATCTCGCAGTCGAGAGCCACATAGTTACCGAGTCTCAAACCAGGTGTTAGGCCATGGTTCATCTGTTCGACCTCGCAGGTAAGCATTGCGTTATCCCTAAGGCCAAGGCCATATGCATCAGCCAAATCTTCGGCTGAGATTTCGCCATAATCCGCCAGCCGTAACACCGACGCAGGAGTCCTGGTGGACGGCGCGGTGATCTCAATTCGCGAGCTTTGGGCGTGCCCCATTGGGCAGGAATCTGTTGGCGGAAGTTTTCTTTTCCTCGCGAAAGCCAAGATGAAATCTACTTCCTCAGTTGCGTTGTGCCATGGCGAATTTGGCTCCCGTTCATCTTTCGCGGTAATCCAAGAGTGATTCCAATATTTAGTTGGCAATTATGCCGTTCCGAGGGGAAGATGGTAGAGGTTTTTATTGGAGCAATAGGTACTAAAGTAGCTGATGAAAATCATACCTGTTCCTCAAGGTTTGGTGTACTTCGTACTTCGCGAAGTTGAGGTGTCGACCCTGGGAAGTAGCGAAGTGGGGACGTGCTTTGGTTGCCTTCACATGATCCAGGGACTGGATCCAGCCCAAGATCAATTTGATTTCAATGATGACAGACCCCTGGCTTTGAGATTACACTCAGGTGCGACCTGCTCCTCCACTCCCACGATCACCGTCACCAAATGGCCTCCATGACATCCATGGCTCAAATAGACGACTGCATCGTACACAGGTAGTTTAAACGTATGTCTTGAGCTGTCTTGAGCTCGGCCCGTGCAGTTTACGCGAGTGTACTTCAGCGCGACGAGCCTTCCATTGACAGATGCAACGACAAACTGCGTCCCCCCCGAAAGTACTCAAATCATTGATCTCTAGCGCCGTTCATCCCTAAAAGCCTGGCCGTCTGTCCCTAAATAATCAACTACAAAACGTCATTGTTGCCCGGCTACAAAGTAGTCTAAATACTCCCAGACCCGCTCCCCTTCATCGTCCATGAACTCGAGACTGCTCGAGATCGACATCAACGCCATCCTCGAACTCCCACTATAAGCGGCGGATATGGGTGACGTTGCCGAGTTCCTAGTTCAACACGATCACAATTTTAGGAGGTATGCCTCCGCACGATAGCCGCCAAAGCTGAACGTGTCGTGGTCTAAGCTAAAATGTTAATCTATTACGCAGAGCTCGCTTGCCCGCTCTCTATTCAGATTTTAGGTCCCAGCGCACTCTCAACCCCGACGGCTTCCACGCCAATATTACTGCTTGGAGGGACGCCCTCGCGCGAGCCACTAGGGAGGGTCGGATATCCTCCGATGCGTCTACCGCCGACCTATTCATCTTGTCGGTAAACGACCATCTCCTCCGCAGCCTTGAATACAAGCAGTATGGCCGTCCAATTGCGCTCGGGTCCGTAGTCAAAGAAGCTGTGTCTGAAAAGCAGTTTTTCCCTCTAGACGAGTTTTTACGGTCTAGGGAGAGCATATATAGCCGTTCCTGGACAGCTGTGCCGAAAAGTGTTGTCTCCTGGGCATTCCAGCAACTATGGTCTTCGGATTCGGCGAAGGGGGATGAGGGACTGCCTCAGGGTCGTTTTGTTGTCCTGAAGAATGTTGAAGCGGGAGCTAAAGCCTTGGCCGAGTATGCGTCGACCTCCGCATCGCCCTTCGATCGCACGTTTACAAAATCTCACTTCTACAAAACATTCTGCAAAAATCTCATGGGCGGCCATCGTATTTCTCACCGCGACCTGGACGTGTTACTCAAATACGCTTCCCGTGACAGGAACATCATAGCCTACGACGGCAAAACGATCAGGCTACGAGGAGATGTCACCAATCCCGACCGTAGCAGTATTACCGAGGAAGATGCGGCAATCTCATCACTCAAGGAGCTCATGGACGATATCAAGTCTCAGGTAGCCGCCATGGAAACTCGAATAGAAGACCTCACTTCAAAAGCGAAAGAATGCGTGGCGCGAAACAACAAGATCTCTGCCCTGAGTCTGCTGAAGTCTCGGAAGCTTACCGAAACCGCCCTCGAGAAGCGGCACGCAACCCTGACGCAACTCGAAGAAGTGGCCCATAAAATTCAGCAAGCTGCTAATCAAGTGCAACTAGTAGAGGTCATGGAGGCCTCAACTGGAATCTTACGCTCCCTTAACCAGCAAGTCGGCGGGGTCGATAGAGTTGAGGAGGCCGTGGATAAGCTGAGGGAGCAGATGGAGGAGGTTGATGAACTCGGAAACGTTCTCGCGAGCGCGGGTACTGCAGCAGTTGTAATTGACGAAGCGGAGCTGGATAGCGAACTTGCTGAGATGGAGGCAGCGCAGAAGCCTCAGATGGAGCAAGCACAAGGTGCCTCCGTGGCAGAAGGCGCCAAGGACGCAGCGGATCTCGAACGACGGCTCGACCAAATACCAGCGGTACCATCGGTAATTCAACAGGGCGGCATTGCGCACGAAGCGCAGGAAGCAGCACTGGGTGAACGAGCAGGGAGCCCCACGGATGACGTCCTGCAGCGCACTGCGGGGTTACAACTCGAGGGAAAGTAGGAGCACGAGAGGAGGGCTTAAAGAACCAATAGAACCAATTGTACATCTACACGGGCATGTCCAACAGGTTTCCTGGGAATATCATCTGCGCGGTCAGAGATGATCCTCAACGCCGAGCCGGCATGTTTGGCACCCAAGCTTCTATGAACTCATAGCATCAAGTGTGCCTTGTTCTGATAAGGGGACGCACTCTTCTACGAGGTGCTGCCATGCTTACAAAAAGAAGTAACAAATGGAAGAGAAAAGTTCTTTGAGTAAATGACTCTCATCAATTAATTGCTTACAGACTCAGGACCTCGTTGCTGCAAGCGTCATCGGCAGCATCCCCATCCTTCTTCGGGGATTCCGGCTTCTGCGGTCGATTCCGTCTCGCATTAGCAATAAGGTCCTTGAAGGATTCGTCGTATTTCGCGGCCCATGCGCTCCCATCAAACTCCTTGTCTTTGATCGAAGTAGTATTTCGGAAAGCAGGCGGAGCCCGACCGCCTTGTGTTCTTTCCCAAGTTTCAAGATCACGCAATAATTGTGCTCTCGGCTTTGGTTTGACAGCATCGCAATTTGCATTCCACATAGTGCACCATTCCTTATGCCGTCTTTCTAGGAGCGCACGAGGCCCAGTAGATGATATGCCTAGTTCGGCTAGCTTCTTTCTCAACGCCTGTTCCTTAATCATCGAATAATTTAGCGCTGGCAAACGCTCCATATTGTTCTGCTGCTTTCGGGGGCTCGCATTGGATTGGCGACCGGCTTCTAGATTGCCTAAGGCCCTTGAGGAGGATGGAGAAGAGGGAGTTGGGCCGGAGCATTTGTCTAGATGGCTGAACACCTGCCATTCCTTCATTCGACGGCTGCAAATTGGACATGCTGTCATACCGTCATCGTCTGAAAAGTAAAAACCGAAGGGTATGTTAGAACTATTAATCCACTGGGGGGTAAGACAGCAAAATAATCTACCGGAAAGTCTATGTTCCTCGTCCCCACTGTCTTCGATCTGTACGGGGGGACGAGGTCCTTGAGACGTTCGTAATCTTGTCGACGAACGCAGCTTCTTTGGTGCAGGAGCGTCATCGTCTTCAGGCGTTTCGGTGTCCATTTTGCGTTTAGGTGAGCGTTCGCCTTCATTTGTATTCCTGGCGAAGTCAAGGACGGCAGCTCGTGTCCTGACATAGGCATCAACCACATCGTCCATGGCACCGTTCCACCGCAATTTTGACTCTTGGTCAGGTGCCCGGCACAAGGGACACTTTCCGTCATTGGCGAGAGACCTGCGTATGCAGAGGGAGCAAAATGTGTGCAGACATGTCGTTAGCATTGGTGTTTTGTAGAAGTCTCGGCACACTTGACAGCGAAGGGTGGATTCGACGGCGGTTAGGCCGCTGAGGGGTGTCGCAAGCCAGTCAGTGGAATCTGCAATGGCGGAAAAATCCGGTTCGGCCATCGATACGGGAGGAGTTCGTAGCGGGAAGAGTTGAAAGGGAGGAAGGCCGGAATCTAAGGGAGCAGTTCGGGTGTTGGAGAATGGATTCGTTAATTATTTCTCGGTGGTCATTATCGTCAATAATATTCAAATTCCGAAATCACTTTGGTAGCGCGCCTTGGGCGCGACGCAAAAGAAGCACGACTGGAGCACTTTCAGCAATGGGGATTATATAATGGGTACTTAGGGGTGACTTGAATACTTCGATAAAGGTAATACTTCCTATTTACATCCCACCTGCGAGAGGTTGGCACAGTAAAGGCGCACTTTAGTAGGTACCAGGAGAGTCCCTCTCAGTCACATGATTTCGCGTTTTCCTCCAGGCATTGACTTGCCATCCTCTGTTGCTGAGAGAGGGTTGACGAGCAAACCGCCCCAAGCCTCTGGCAAGAGTCTGCAGCAGTCGCGCTTTGAGGCTAACGTTGAAGCGGTCTTGGACTGTCAACGGCGAGAGTTGTGGCCAACCCGGTTTCAACCACCAATTCACCATCATTCTCTTACTCTTTTGTAGCCGCCATCATGAACGAGTATCAGAAATATCTCGCTACGGAGATTCTTTCCTCCGCAAAGCCGGTAACTAAATCTCCTTGCCCTAGACGATAACTTCGTATTGCTGATGATGACCCCGTAGGTGACTTATCGCGTACTTAGTCGTGCACTGAAAGTTCACGTAAATACTGCTAAACAGTTAGTTGAGCTGAGCAGATGAACCTACCTGTGTTTTGAACGTGGATGTGGGGAACTTACAATTGTGCCACTCGCTTCAAGAATGCTCTTCGAGTTCCATAGGCTTCAGAATCAGAAGTCGCCGAACAGTGTTTATGCAACCTACCTTGTCTATGGAGAAAAGAGTGTAGGCTCTCCTGCCAGTGATGGAGACGTGGAGATGAGCAGCACTGCGGATACCGATACGAGCTGGAGGACAATTTTGACACTGGTTGAAGAAAAGGAGCTACAAGGCAAGTTGCAAAAAAGTACGCCCAGACAGGAATGTCGAATGTTAACTAAGATTTCGCTCTAGGTGCTCTCAAAGAGTATAACTCTGTGTATTCGATCCATGTCTACAGTTTAAGCCCCCATGCAGGTCAGGTATTTATAACCATTCTGTTTACTAGGTGCTTTTTGGCATCATGAATCTCTGATCGACTTCTCTAGGACCTGCAGTTACTCTCGGAATCGAATAATGACGGTCTGTCGGGTTACTCGGCCAACCTCGGGCCTGTGGGTGCTCAGAATCATTTTGGTGGAGTTGCAAATTCCCGGGTCCGGCTCAGAGATCGCCGGGGTTACAAACCCCCCGTGATCAATGCGTCCGCTGCTGCCAAAGAGACCCCATCGCAAAAGAAATCAGCTTGGAAGGTTTCAAGCAACTCCCAAGAGAAAACCGAGTCACCTAAACCTGCTGCTAGTTCTTCTCGGCAAATATCCTCATCTGCCAGGGCACCAGCCAAAAGTGGGAGCAAGGGACCCTCAAGCAGTATCATGCAATCCTTTGCGAAAGCCTCTGTCAAGGCTTCGAAGTCTAGCAGTGCTGCTGAACCCGCCCCCACCCCTACAGCAGGCTCTGATGCGGATTCACAGCAGCCGGCCATGTATGACGATGATGATGATGATGATGATGATGATGGTGGCGATGACGACGACGACAGCGCCGTTTTACCTCGGCCGAAAATCACTGGCGACGACGCGGAGAATCGCAAATCTCGGCTCCAAAGGGAAGCTGAGCTACGGCGAATGATGGACGAAGATGACGAAATTTCCGGGATATCTACCACTGTCGACATCGAAAAAAAGGAAAATCCATCCGACAATTCTCAGGCGGAGACCACGGGGGACGGAGGTGAAGAAGCCCCTCCGGATAATATGGAGACTAAGGCAGAACCTATAGCCACAGAATCAGGCAACGGTGAGGGGCGGAGAAGAGGCAAGCGGCGAGTGATGAAAAAGAAGCAAATCCAGGATGAAGAGGGGTATCTTAGTAAGTCATGCCGAATGAAACAGAATTGCCTTCTTACGAGAACTAACCAGACAATCTTCCCAACCCCAGTTACTGTCCAGGAGCCTGTTTGGGAATCGTTCTCCGAGGACGAGACTCCCCAGCCACGGAAGCCTGCGTCGGCAGCCGCCTCTACAAAGGCGAAGAAGCTAGCCCCGAAGGGACAGGGAAGCATTATGTCCTTCTTTGCGAAGAAGCCGTGAGCTCGGTGGGAACCGGGGGTTCCCCACATTAGGTTGTTACATTGTATGGATTGATGTTGTTCAATCTTCGGTTTGGCGCTGGTCTGGCAATACCGTTTACAACCGATTTGACCCGAGGCGCGAATACCTCTCGATTGACTTTGGTATGTCTCCATAGCAAGTAAGAGTAACTATTTCGATTTAATCAAATACTTCAATATAGAAATAGACCTTCTGATGGTTCTTGGGCCCACACTATCGAATGCGGATTAGTGCATATTTAAGTGTAACTACGAGATGTTGTAATCCAAGTTACAACAAATACGAAGTACCATCTTCCTGTGAGCCGAACTCTGCATCGACTTACTCGAGGCATCTTGCGTGCCAATGTACAATGGGTGAAACAGTCCGCAGTCCCAAGGCACGGGTCAACCTCCTCAGGGGTTGGCCAGCGCCCCAGTCACTGCCTGCAGGTCAGCTTCGTGAAGCGGCTCTGGATCTTCTCTCCAATCCAACAGAGTACGTTCCTGCGCTCCAGTATGGACCAGATCCGGGGTCTCAAGCCCTGAGAGAGGAGCTCTCCCGGTGGCTTGCAAGAATGTATTCTGTATCGCCGGACCCTGAGAGGATATGCATTACTGGCGGGGCTAGTCAAAATCTGGCGCGCATTCTACAAAGATTCACCGATCCTCGTTTCACGCGCATGGTTTGGATGGTGGCGCCGTGTTACTATCTAGCCTGTCCAATTTTTGAAGATGCTGGGTTTTCTGGCAGACTACGGGCTGTTCCCGAGGACCCAGAGGGCATTGATATTGCCTATCTTGCCAGAGGACTAGCCCTTTCGGATTCCGACTTGTCAGCCGACGCACCTGTAAGTCTACGCTCTAGCACGCTATGGGTGAAGCCTGGAGTGGCGATGAGCCGGCAGTATCATGGGAAAGATACTCTGGGAGCTCCCCTCTCTCGCCTGGGTCCAATCAAATTAACATTTCATCTTAGAAATACGAGAGCAGGGACGAGATTAGAATTTATAGGCACATCATTTATGTGGTCCCCACGAGCGCCAACCCGTCGGGCAAGTCCATGAGCCTCGAAAGAAGAACGCACTTGGTCCATCTTGCTCGAAAGCATAACGCCCTGGTCATTAGTGACGACGTGTATGATGCCCTCCAGTGGTCGTTGTTGACGGAACCGGGCCACGGCAACGGAGCAGCTGCTCCAGAAGTTCTGCCGCGATTGTGTGACATAGATCTTGCTCTCGAGCCTTCTCCAGATGATCCATGTCATTTTGGGAATACCGTAAGCAACGGGTCCTTCAGCAAGATAGTCGCACCGGGTATGCGGACAGGGTGGACAGAAGCGACGCCCAAGTTCACCTATGCACTCTCCCAAACGGGATCGACTCGTTCCGGCGGAAGCCCGAGCCAATTCGGAGCTACGCTGATGTGGAAACTTTTGAAAAGCGGCGATCTAGACGCGCACCTAGAGACCGTTATCATCCCGGGGCTCCAGCGGCGGCACAGGCAACTTTTGAGAAGTATCAGAGAACACTTGATTCCACTAGGCCTAACCCTCGACGATGCCAACCACGCTGCAGGCAGTTCGCAGTATGGGGGCTATTTTGTATGGCTAACACTACCGAGCAATTTGGACTCTGAAGCCATTGCCTCCCGGGCGGAGAGAGAGGAGAATCTGACTATTGGGCATGGAAAGATGTTCGAAGTGCGAGGCGACGAGGACTCGGCCTTGTTCAGGAATCACATCCGGCTCTCTTTTTCTTGGGAGCCCGAGGAGGCTCTGGCCGAAGGAATCCAAAGATTGGGCAATATCGTGAGGTCACAGCTAGAGCAGTCCATGACATGCATCCCGTCCCAGTAGATGCAGGGGAGGAAAAGGACCAGGAGGGCTTTGCTCAAAGCTCCATTACTTGGCTCATGTACCGAGATCGAGTGTCTCGGGTACCGCATTCGTTGTCAACAAAGTAATCTCGCATCTCGCCCGCCCAAGAGTTCAAATGGAGCCAGGGCATTTACCGCCGCTATCGGCTATCAGTCGCCATATATCCGTGATGTTCGCCTCTCGCTGCACCGCACTCGCCCTGGGCCGATTATGTTCCGCCCGTGTTGGACGTCGTTGCTTTATCGTCAAATGCTGTGTAGGATCACCGTGACGTTTTATCAGTATTGGCACGCTTCCGAGTCTGACCAAAAAATCCGGACATAATATGAACATTCCCCTGCGACGCTGTCATACACGGGGATATACACCTCTGGTGTTTATTTGGATTCGTCAACGGTCAGTCTCATTGATCGATACACCACCAAGTCTCAAACGCCAATCTGTGAGGTCGGCCGGAGGCGATTTCTTTTTACGTTGGAATAAATGGGGCAGTGGTGTTTTATGATCAATGTTTTAGGCAGACTGTGCGACGAAATAACAATTTGAATTTCTCGGTGCTCCTTCACCCAAAGCCGGAACACGAAGGAGCGTGATTGCTGGCCGCACTGGGCACTGGGCACCGCGGAGCTGTAACTTGTGGGCGAGACGAGCCCGTGAAGGTTAGGAACGACGATGACTTAGATCATTGATGTTTTGGGCGGGTTGCGGGATTCAAAATAAAATTAAAATTAATAAGGAATGAGATCACTGACCGAGTCCATTCAATGTTCCCATTCACAATTCACACACCACCACTCTGGCTGGCACCCTCGGCCCAATCTCTCACCTCTCACCCTCGCTTCTCACATTTTCCCACATTAGAGGTCATCAACTAATATCAATTGATACTTGTGGAGGCGCGAGCTGACGGCTTCAGGCCTCAACACCCTCACGTATGCAGCGCGCTGCGTTAGCGAACATCAAATAATACAATTTGTCCTGGAGCCCTTAAACCTGGCACTTGGGGATCTCGGGCTTTTTTTCCCTTTTCTTTCGTTTCTTCTTTCTCTTCTTTCTCTCTTTTCAACTCGAATCGCCGCCATGGTGCTTCGCACCGCAGCCCCCTGCGTCGCGTTGGTGATGGCCCTCTTCGCGGGTATCATTTCCGGTCATGACGCGCAAAGGCCGATCGGCAACGTTGGCGTCGGCGTCGGCGTCGGCGATCCAGAGTGCCCTGATTATGCTTTGTACTCCCAGTACCCGCAGTAAGCCTCTCCCTTCTCTATCTTCTCGTCGAGAGGGTAGTAGTCGTCCTCGGGAGTATTATACCACCTAGACTGACACCACTTCCCAGTCCACCTTTCAGCGAAGGACCGCGCCGACTGCCATTTCAGCGTCCGGCGGAGGCATGTCGAACATTTCGCTCTCAGGCCATCGAGAAGGTCATCAAGGATGTCACCTCCAGAATGAAAGACCCGGACCTGGCGCGTCTCTTCGAAAACACCTTTCCGTCCACGACTGACACTACCATCAAGTTCTACACAGACGGCAAATCAATCAGGTTCATGGATGTTGATCCCGGAGAGCCGAACAACGAAGGAAAGTGGGAAGGCCCCCAAACGTTCGTCATCACCGGTGATATCAACGCGGAGTGGCTGCGAGACTCTACGAACCAGTTGTCGCCATATCATTTCCTAGCAAAGCTAGATCCCCATCTCCATACTCTTCTTCTTGGCGCCATCAACACTCAGGCCGAGTACGTCATTGAATCGCCGTATTGTAATGCGTTTCAGGCACCTCCTATGAGCAACTTGCCTCCGGTAGCCAACGGACAAGATGACACCGTCCATCCGATGTACGAGCCCAGCTTTGTCTTTGAATGCAAATACGAACTTGACTCATTGGCCCACTTTCTCGCTCTCGCCAATGATTTCTATGAACACACCGGATCGACCGAATTTCTCAATTCGAGATGGCTGGCGGCTCTTGAACGGTTGCTCGACGTTCTCGAGCAGCAATCCCTGCCTACCTTTGACCCCGCGACTGGCCAGCATCGGATGAATGAATACACTTTCCAGCGTCAAACAAAACTCGGGACCGAGACCTTAAACCTCAGGGGTATCGGCAATCCCCTCAACAACGGCACCGGGCTTATCAGATCAGCCTTCCGGCCCAGTGATGATGCCACTATCCTCGGATTCTTGATTCCGGCGAATGCCATGATGGCTGTTGAACTGCGGAAAGCTGCAAAGATGTTTGGGGATGTAGGTAAGCTGGACTTATCGAAATCTTTGTCTCACTGGAGCCAAAAAATCTCAAAGGGCGTGTGGGATCACGGTGTCATCAAGCATGCCAAGTTCGGAGAGGTGTTTGCTTTCGAGGTTGACGGATACGGCTCTCATATACTCATGGATGATGCAAACTACCCGTCTCTACTTGCCCTCCCGCGGATGGGCTTCCTAGACAGAGAGAATCCGGTGTACCAAAATACGCGGAGAATGCTCCTTTCTCACTTATCTAACCCGTATTACTTGACCGGCCGACATTTTCACGGCATCGGAGGTAAGATCCATAAACGACATCATTTGGGGAGGGCTGAAGAATAGCGGGCTAAGGATGCGGTTCACTAGGACCACATATTGGCGTCAGTAATGCCTGGCCGATGAGCCTGTTGATTCAGGCCCAGACTTCCGATGACGATGAGGAGATTGAGGAGTGCCTTGAACTCGTTATCAGATCAGCTCCTCTGGGCCTCATGCACGAGAGCGTTAATGTGAATCACATTGCCTCATATACTAGTGAGTTCGCCCTCCATCTCGTGTGGATCACCCACCGGCAGGATTTATCAAGGTTGCTGACATACTTAACCTCCTACCTACCACAGGGAGCTGGTTTGCTTGTAAGTTGACCGACAGCCCCAAAAGTGAAGCGAGCAGGTTTTAACCAATTCCAGGGTGTAACGGCGTTTTTGCGGAGACAATACTAGACCTTGCGAGGCGAAAGCCTCATCTAATTTTTACGGATCCCACACCTTACGAGGGGCCGGGCCATGCTGTAGCTTGATTCGCATGTAGCACATTTCATCCCAGTCACGATAGTTTTCCTAGTAATAGCATGCATGGCAATGTTCCATCGGCTGTCTATTCATAAGCACATCATCATCCGATGAAGGGTATTATTTACACCCTTCTGATTCTAAATTAAGAAGAGAAAGTAAGAGGCATGCTGCCGGCACAGGCCTATCGGGCCGAACCCGGTGCGCCTTGACGGAAAGTCGCCATGACCAGAAAGAGTAGGGCAAGCTATCCGCTGCCCCCAAGACTTCGATTCGTGATTAGTCAAATGCATCCTGAGCTGGACCATTTTCAACAGTATCGCTGCCCATTGCGTCTCTCAGAGGAGCTGTTTCTAAGTTGGCTGCCCCAGCGGTTGCGGAGGTCAGCGTGCCTGCCCTCGGGCGCCGAACAGGTACGTCCAACGCCTCGCTCTCCTCATCGACCACTGGCGTTGAATAGTCCACACCACTCTCTAGATTGGTAGGATGTGGCGGCTCCAGATGCTGCGCCAGGTGTTCCTGTAGATTGCCCATGAAATCACTAGCAAAGGAAAACTTGTGTATCTGCCCTTCCGGTATTTCTCCAGAATATACCGTCTGCGCCAGGTCGAGGCATCTCTGAGCTTGGATGTACTTCCCCTGGGCTACCCAGGCCTCTGCGCTTAAGATGCTCCATAATGCCGCTTTCCGACGTCGCTGGCCCCAAGAGTGGCTTCCGATACCACGTTTGGAAGAATAGCACACAGCAACCCTCTCCTTGAGTAATGCGTCGGCTACACGGCCGGGGATTTTTGACTCTATTAGTCTAACGCCCCATCTTGCCGCCTCATCGATGCTGCTCCCGCCGCGAAGCCTGAGGAGCTCCATGCTAAGCATTACACATCGCAGAGCACCCAAAGGATCGTTGCAGCGAGCATGGTAAGAATAGAATGCGGCGTCCAACGTTTGATCCGTTGCTTCTACGCGCGATTTGTACACCAAGTGTTTTGGAGTTACCAAGAGGCTTATTGCAGCCATTTCGCTAGCCGCTGCATGGTATTTCCAGGCTTTAGCTTCGTGGAAATCGCTCTTGACGAGATCATAGGTCGAATGCGCCAGTTTATAATCTCTGAGCATGAACGCGAAATCGGCAAGCTTCCGCATGGTTGCCTCGGGTGTTTCTGGTCGATAAAAACCCAGCGTGTCATAACCGTTTGATAGATTGGGAGCGAACTGGCCTGAAGCACGGGAGGTAGTTCCGAATCCTGCCCACTTTTTAGAGAAAGTTACTAGCCGCCCAGCGATTCCCCGTCGGCGCGACGCAACATTCTCATTCCACAGGGCCACATGGCGCTCCATGGTAGGTATGATGGATTGTGTTACCATCTCGCGAACAAATGATCGTATGGCAGTAATATCAGATTCGAATACGTAAGATGGTGTGTGGACAAAGTCATCCTCTGCCTCTCCTCGCCGAATTGCTTCGAGCTCCTCTGCAGCTGTAAGCCACGCACTCTCTGGCAGCACTTCACCGTCGTCATCTGTCTCAGCACACTGGCTGCTCCGTAATCTCAGAAGATGACAATGAAGACCCAAGTGTCGTTTCATCTGTTCGAATAGTGATAACGATCGCTTAATATCGTCGTTCTCTTCGTCGTGTACGAGCACATAGTAGCGAAGGTATTCCCCATCGACCCAGGCAGGGAACTTATGACATCCTTGCGAGGTTTCGTTATATAGCCGTCTAAGCTCTTCAATCGGCGCCTCGTTCCTGGAGCTAATAGCAATGACACAGGCCACAGGGTGGGAGAAAGTAGTGTGTGGCGCAAGCGGGATGCCGGAAAGGATGCGGCGTAGATAAAGAGAGTAATAAGGCGAGCTAGAGTTAGAACCTGGTAGTTGTCCCGCCAATGCATCGGGCCGGCGTGCCACGAGCAACGAATCCTCGGCGTATTGAAGATGGCGTTCAACGACAGCATCGGCATCTCGGAGTCTGGACTTCGATATTTCTGTATTCGCTAAGGTGTTGCCAGGGGCAGTTTTCCCGGGTCTCGACGTGTTCGCCGGCTCCGGGTTCTCCCCGATCTCCCCCGTACGGATAAAACGTATGGAGAAATCCTCCCATGAACGGCTTGAACCATTGCTATCCCTTATAGTGACCTTCCCAAGAACGATGTCGCCAAAGGGCCGGAGAAGTTGCCAAAGTCCACGCTCGAACCCCTTTCCCTTGACCAAGGCATCAGTGTCTTCTGAGGCAACAACCGCCACATGGGGCGCGAAGGCCTGAAGGATTAAATTATGAGGCTCGCCAACGCTACTGGCGGACCGTTCGCTCAACGGGGTATGAACATCGCGGCCAGCCATAGATCCCGGCGCTGCTCTGGACGGCGATCCATCGGCGGCGGGCGACATGGATCGCGAACCGGGCGGGGTTAAAGTAGCCGCGAAGAGGGAGGTTGGTGGTCGGCCTGTCCGCCTGCGAGGAACAGTCGTCGGATCTGAACTGCCCAGTTCATTCATACTAGAGGCCAATTTCCTTGCGTTTTGCGGCCTTGTGGTGGATGCGGCTGGGGGTAACGACTGTATTGCTTGAGTGGCGACTTCATTGTGGTTAGACTTCATGAAGGACGGTCGCTATGCAGCAGGTGGGATCGGTCGGGTGCGACGTCTCCGCGTTGTTGGCTCGAATTAATGGGGTCTAATTATCAGTGGCCCTCATGGTCCCTCCTATGCCCGAGTATGGCGCTTTTAGCCACGCCTTGCATCAAATTATATCAGCCCCGGAGCAGTGCTTCGAAAGGGATGATCGAAGTGGGAAGCGCAGCAGGTTAGAGTGTAGAAGGAACAGTCCACAGGTAAGAGAGTACGGAGCTGATGGAGATTTTGAGATTTAAAAGAAATGTAAACGGTTCCCCTGGAATCATGGAATAGGCAACAGCTTCATGTTCTCATGATGCAGCACTGAGGTTTGGCGACGGTGAGTTACTTCGAGGAGCAAAGGAGACCTGGTTGGTACAAGCAGTGGTGGAAGCCCAGAATGTAGATGTCCGATCCAAAAATCAGTGCCAGATGAATAATAATTTGTGACAGAGATGGAGTGAACGGTTATATTCATGGACACTGTGTATCCCATACATATTATATGTATGCAAGAACCGAGACATAAATATTTATTTATAATGATGTGTGTCCGTGCTTTAAACCGGGTTTATTCTTTAATCATGTATTAATTACATCAGGCGGCGACCAAGGCAACAGTATTTATTTTATTTTCGAAGTATTTCCAAACACTTCAACGCTACTTTCAACGATTCCCATCATCCATTGCACCTCGTGCCACATCGCAACCCACGACCTTAGGTATGCCTCCAAGCTTAGACTCTTACATCGCCACGCGCTATCTTGTCGCAGACCCCAAGCCAAGTAAGAAGAGGAAACGGAAAGGAGCCTCCGAAGAGGCTGGCTTAGTAGTGACTGAGGAGGATGAGTCTGGCTGGGGACATTTCGAAGCCAAGCCGCAGGCAGATGGTGAAGATGACGGCCCAGTCCTGGTAACCGGAACGACTTTCGAATTTCGAAAGACGAAAAACTCAAACTGGAAGTCCATTGGTGGAGGAGTTCGACCCTCTCCACGCCAGGAAGATGCGACGGTCGCGGAAGCAATAATCGCGTCAGCCGCAGCCGAGCAGCTTGCTGTTTGTGAGGCTGCTGATGATGCGCCTGTTATTGCAGGAGACTCGGATGTTGTCAAGATGAAAGATGGGACACATGCTGGCCTTCAGAGCACAGCCGCCATCGCGGCCCAGCTCGAGAAAAGACGCCGCGAGGAACATGAACAATTCAAGCACGTACAAGCAGGTGGCGAGGAAGAAACCGCATACCGTGATGCCGCGGGCAATCGCATCGACATATCTATGAGACGCGCGCAAGCAAGGAAGGCCGCCATGGAGGCCGAGCAAAAGGAACGTCTTGCAAAAGAAGCCTTGAAAGGAGACATCCAGAAGATAGAGGCTCGTAAACGCCGAGAGAGAGTCGAAGACGCAAAATTCATGCCACTAGCTCGGACCATTGATGATGAAGAATTGAACCGCGAATTAAAGGAGCAGGAGAGGTGGGACGATCCCATGATGCGCTTTTTGGGCGACACGCGACGCCGGATGCACCAGGCTCCTGGGAAGAAGAGCAGCCACCCAGTTTATCCCGGCCCGGCACCTCCGAATCGTTATGGCATACGCCCTGGGTACCGATGGGACGGCGTAGATCGGGGAAATGGATTCGAAGCTGAACGATTCAAGGCACTCAACAGACGAGAGATGAATAAGGAACTGGATTATTCGTGGCAGATAGATGTGTAGATTACGATACCAGCATATGTACTTCGTATATATTAATACTTCCCTCCATTTTATGCCTTCTAGCTACAAGGTTTCTGTATACTGCTACACCTCTCAGATTTGCTCACGATCGCAACCCTAAGACCCGGGAGTACAACCCCCGAGATTTTTCATAAGAACAAATCCTCTATTTCGTTATATTAGGACATAGTGCCATGGTGCGAGGTTGGAGCATTAATGCCGTGCGAGTCTCAACTCTTGCGGCGCAAAAGCTTGTCTGGCCCGTAGTTGCAGTTTTCCTTGACCAACTTGATCCAGTCCGACTTCGCCATCCTACCCCCATCAGCCTTATCGCCGACGCGTCCCTCGAAAAGTTTCAGGAAATTTGTTATAGTAATGCCATCGGGAAGTTGAGGCAGTGCCTGCACAATTTCCCATGCTTCAATAGCGGGCTTCGGGGAGCCCAGGCGCATGCTTTGGCTATCCTTCGTGGGTGATACAGACGGCGATCCTGAGGAAATGTTAGCAGAAAATACCCAAGACGATGGCCGGGGAGTTACAAGGGTGGGTTAGGGAAAGCTTCTGTCGAGCGTAGTGCATACCTGCTGGCTGTGCTGGGAGCGGACTCGTAGCCCGTGAGCCAGTTGGTGTCCCTCTAGCGCTCGTGGCGATGAGCTTGATCTTTTTCTTTCTCGGCTGGCTGTCCGACGTTTCCCCTGCAGTGGCCTCGCCATCGCTGGCCAAGCCGCCCATTATTTTCCTTCTTTGGCCGGCTTGGTTTGGAGCCGGTTGGCCTTGAGGTAGCGGAGTTGTGGAACGACTCTGTCCCGGAATTGACTCTGACTTCGTCTTTGCCTTCTTTCTGAGGCCAGACTCATTTCCACTAGATTCAGAGAGATGCGGCGAACCGGGTCTTTTCAATCCCTTGCCTTTCTTGGTAAGGTCGACATGCCGCTTCCCGGAGGGTGTTGTGGAGCCCTTGGGTGGTGCAGCGCCAGGTAAGGCTTTATCCTTATCACCCTTAGACTTGTCCTCGTCTTCAGCCTTGACTTGGGATTCACCTTCGTCCTCCTCGTCTTCATCCTCGCTCTGCTGAACATGTTAGCGCTTCTACAAATCTTTCAAAAATATGGCAGGCGGCGGCAGTCGCGGGTTCGGATTTAGCGATATATCTACTCACCGAAGAGCCGGCAAACGGATCGCCGGATGATATGGAGTCATCGGATTCGATGTCGTTGATATTCTCTCTCTTGATCAAAGTCTTCTTCAGCTTCTTCGTAGCTTTACGCCGCTCCAATTCTCGCCGCATTTCACTCTCCTCCTGCGCATCAACTTCATTCTCATCACCAGCCCCGAAGAGGTTTGCCCCTAACTGGTTTTGTCGAATACGCGCATTTGAAATCTTTGTGTCCTCATCATCGTTTTCAAAGCCCGGGTTTTCGTCATCGTCGTCAAACTCATCTCCTTCCATATCAACCTCGTCATATCCCCTGGCCTCGTTGGCTGCCGATGCAGCGCGCGGGGGAAGGCGCTTTCCATAATTGCGGAATTCATCCTTAAGTTTTCTCTCCTCCTCTCGCTTCTCCAGGGCCTGCATCATCCAACGGCCAGGCAGGGTGGTCTTCTTCATGAAGTCTTCGACTTTATCATCCGGAATACGTTCAAAGGCGGGCTTTGCTGTGAACTTGTACCACTTCTCGAGAGGCACCATGCGAAAACGGGGGCCATCAATTACAAAGGCGACGTTCGTCTCAGATAAGGCCGCAACGTAGTTTCCAACCCAAACATTTCGCCCGTCAACATCCTCCAGGTGCCACGGGAGAGCTTCTTCGTAGCGTAAGTCCGCCTCTTTTCGCCCTTCTTCCGTTCTAGGCATGCGGTTGAAACTTATTTTCTCCTCCTTCGGTTTCTTTTGCTTCTTTGTAATCATGTCTTTGACAGTGGGTGCAATTTTAGCCTGATCAATAGCTCGCTGCGCTTCACGTTCTGCCTTGATTTGTTGTAGCCTCTCGGCTTCTTTGTCATCGACGGCCTTGGGCTCAGGTGTGACCTCTTTCACCTGTACTGCTCTGCCGGGGGGCGGCTGTCTTGGATCCCGACGATGCAAAGTAACAGGTCTCGTAAAGGCATTCTGGTCAGTTGGATCAACGGGTTTGCTCTCCTCGGTTGCTGTAGGACGAGAAAACCTCATGACGTGGTAGCGGATACCCTCTCGTAGAGCCTTAGCGGTAGTTACAATTGGAAAATCTCTGAAATTTTCGGGTGCGGGTTCAGACCAGCCACCATATTGTTTCCTTAGACTCTCCAAGTTGGCAACTGACTTGGCCTCGCCAAGGGGGTTGAGACCGAGCGGCGGGCCTTCGGTAGGCCGTGGTGGCCCTAACGGCCGAGCGGTTGGGTTCCTTCTCCGACGAACCAACGGGTCGGCGGGACGTCTCTTCGAGGGACGATTAAAACGACGGAGGTCGGCGTTCAACCCCTGAGGGGCCGCTACATGTGAGGCGTCTTGGCGTTGGCCATTGCGCGGAGCCGATGAAGTAGGGTTCATGGCGAATTCGAAAACGACGGAGGCAACCAGAAAATACCAGGTGTGGCAATATAGACTCGCGCGGGCGGGTTGCGCGGGTGAAGCTCAACTCTATCCCAAGATACTCATCTCTTAGCTGGGAGGTAAGAGCGAGAGGAGAGGTGGGATTTTGTCGATGGAGGTATTTACGGGCGGTATCGTGGGGGGAGTAGGAAGTTACTGGAAAGGCGACACGCAGATGTTTGGAGGAAGGAAGGCGAAGTTGACGAAGTGATGGTAGGTGGTGAACAGGGAAAAAAAGAAGAAAAGAGAATAGAAAAAAGAAAGAACACACGGGTTGGAGGAAATTTGGTGGCAATGGATGATGGAACTCTAGCCTAGTAGCGGGGTTGGTGGCTAGAGCTGATGTCGTTGAGAATTATGAGAATAAGAATTGATATCTTGGATGCGAGAGTGAAGGAGGCGGATGGGAACTTGAAGTCTGCCTGCTGTAAACTCTCCAGTGGTGATGATGGCTTGCGACATTGGATGATGGAATGCGAATAGTGATTACGTAACAACGCCTCGACGCAAACCACAGACAATGACAGTAAAGAGGTACCCACGTACGTACTACCTTTACACACCACACGAAGACAGGATGACAAGCTGATACTGTAGGCTAAGATGAAGTAGCACGAGTAAACTACGAAGTACCTCGGTACCTTCGTAGGTGGAGTCAAAGACTCAAAGGTACATTGTCTTTTATCTTTGGGGGCCTTCAAACTGCCACTTGAACTCCACATTTTCTCCAAGTAACATTGAACTCTGCGAAGCAGCTGCGCCAGGCTTCCTCCAGCTATTATCAACTGTCCACTTCTTACCTCCGTACTCAATTTAAAATCACCCGAATTGCACTGAGTTGAGGAAAGTGGGGTTGCCATCAATATTATTGTCGTCGTTTCTTGCGCCCTTATGCCGAGGGCGATCCCACACGACTCGATCACGTTAAACGCTGGATTGCTTCGCCCTCCCCTCCAGGATAACTTCTAGTCTAACTTATTTTGCCCCTCGCACAGAGCTAGTAATGGGCATCTCTACCTCTCTTAGTCGATATCCCACTCATGGTCTACAATGAGACATCAGACCCAAGAGGTCCCCGGCATCGCGGGAATGGATGATAGTTCCCATTTGCAGGGCGAGCGCAATACGCTTGAACACCATCTCCGAGGATTGATACTCGGCAACGCTGCCTCTCACGAAGACACACAGCCCGCCCACCCTGGTCTCTCCCCGAACCCTAGACTGCAAGCACCGTTGCAAAACCCGTCCGGTCAGAGCACCGCTTCCCATACGCAAGCTTCCGGACCCGTTTCTCCGAGAACGCCAAGAAGACGCCCGAACCAAGCTCAGCGGCGACAGATGAGTGCTCAATTGACCCTACCGATCGACACTCGGCCCCCGGTACATCGCCCCGCGCCATCCTCAGCGCCCTACACGGCCCGCTCAAATGGTAATTTCACCAATTATTCGAGTCCCCTCGAATCTAACATTCAGCATTATACTTCCCACACGGTTTCGGACACTTTTTCGAACCAGGGCTGGAGCCAACAAGCGACGTTTGGCGGCAGGCAGCATCATGTGCACGTATCATCGCCATGGTCAAGCGCACCGCATCAAGCATTGCCTGAAAATTTGGCGACCCCATACACGTCCCCAGGCCGCCAACGCACGCACTCACACCCGCAGGGACGAAGGATACACCGTTCGATGGGATCCATCCCTGTTATGCATCCAGATGACTTAGAGAGACCGGGTCAAATCCATCAATATTTCATACATCAGAGCCACCGAGATGCGCGGAAAAGCGATGTGTTGGCACGTCAGGCCAGTCTTCTAGACGAATTATACCCGAGGATACTAGCCGGAGCTGAAGTTGACCGGAGTGACATAGCTGAGAAAGAGGCTTTTCGCGTTGTTCTTGAGTCCATATGCCGGGATGTCATTTCGAAATTCGAGCGCGAGTGTGGCAAGGCATCGGATTTCTCGGAACACTCCGTTCAGCTCAGGTGCTTCGGCAGCCTCTCGTCTGGCTTTGCGACGAAATCCTCCGACATGGACCTTGGCCTGCTATCGCCGAAATCATCAGTCCAGCCGTGTGCGCCAGGCTCGCCCATACCGCGCCTTCTTGAGAAAGCTTTCCTAGACCTCGGCCTTGGTGCTCGCCTCCTGACGCGCACGAGGGTCCCGATTATAAAGATATGCGAGAAACCGCCCCCTCAGCTACTAGCTAACTTGCGGAATGAGCGGGAGAAATGGGAGAGTGGGCTAGACAATGCGGATAATGCTGATCTACCCGATGACGTGCAAGAAGAGACCGAGAGCGGAATGGCTTTGGGAATTTCGAAAATCGCACCTCAGTTCACGCAGTTGCGAGATGTTCCCTCCTACGATCCTTCAGAGTCGCACAAGCTCTCGCAAATACAGGATATATCCGACCCTGTACTTATTCCAGACCGGGCTTCAGTCCCACTCCACCAGGGGGAAGCACAATCTCTCTCAGCTTATTATTCATCTGCGAAGCGTGTCCTAAGAAGGCTAGGTGGCTATGACCTATCCATCTCAAACTCAAAAATCCTTACCGATAAGAATTGTGAGGTCCTCGACACGGTATGCTCTTCTTTCGTCGCAGGGCTCCGCGACCCAGCCCTGCGAAATCGACTAGGGAGAGAACAACCTCTCCAAGTTCACCCACCATCAGAACGACAACAAAATGCACGTAGCCTTCTTGCCCTATATATTTGCGCGGAAGGTGAAGCAATGCTCATAGGGTGGGAACGTCGCAGATTCAGGGAGAGGGTGGAGGAGCGGGAACAAAGTCTGATCGGCGTCGTGCAAACTTGGCAGACTCTGCGCCAAAAAGCTGTGTTTGGTGCCAATTTGGCCCATCACACGAAGGAATTGCAATCATCCCTCGAGAAAATGAAGAAGTTCGCATCTATGCAACTGATTCTTTTAGAACAAGGGCAATACGAGTCGGCAAACCACTACTCGGACCGAACCCTGAAGTTGCTTGCTGAGCTCTCTCCGCAGCAGCCCGACACTGATGCGGATTTGAGACGACACGTAATTGAAAAATATGTCACCGGCATACAGAACTGCGATATCCGCCAGGCAGTTGCGGAATTCTCGGCTGGCTTGAGAGGAAACCCCTCTCTCCGTGGCACTTTTCTCAGGCACAAGACGCTCCAGCTAGCTCGAGAGTTTGAGAGGGCTTTAGTAAAAGGTCTATACCCCGACACGGAAAAAGAGAACATCGAGAAGTATATGCTGCTACTCCGTGGGCCCTTGAAGTCAGTTTCATTTGGAGGTACAGAAGAGCTGTGGGTCGTACCGGTCACCAATGAGTCGGCGTCGGTCCTCGCCGCCATTCGGGAGCTCCCTGACCCAGCCATCCTCGCGCCGAATAGGCCGAAGGATCCTTACAACGACAAGCTAGAGTTTCCCAAGGCCGGGGTCGGCGTGCAGTGCGATATTAACTTCGCTGCCCATCTTGCGCTCCAGAATACGCTCCTGCTCCGATGTTACTCTCATACAGATGCCAGGGTGAGACCCATGATTCTGTTTATCAAGCATTGGTCGAAAGTGAGAGGGATCAACTCTCCTTATCGTGGGACGCTGAGTAGCTACGGATACGTGATAATGGCATTACATTTTCTAATTAACGTGGCACAACCCTTCGTATGCCCAAACCTACAGATGTTAGCACCTACCTCACACGCCAGCCTCTCTACCACTGAGGCTGAGGAACAAAGTCTATGCATGGGCAGGGACGTACGCTTCTGGCGAGACGAACAGGAAATTCTTCGGCTCGCGCAGTGTAACAGTCTGAACCAGAATAGAGAAACCATTGGGCAACTACTTCGGGGCTTCTTTGAATATTATGCGCAAAGCGGGGCTTTGTCGACGCTTTCGGGGAGGGGATTCGACTGGGGTAGAGAGGTCGTGAGCATTCGCACTGCTGGAGGCCTTCTCACAAAGCAAGAAAAGGGATGGACCGGAGCCAAGACCGTCACCGTCGTTGACCAGATACATATCGAGTCAACGCTACCAAGACCCGCTCATGGAATAACAGATCTCGCCTCCTCGTCCATAACCTCCTCTATAGCGGGGTCTCAGCCGAGCTCGGCGCCACTACGGCCTACCCATCGGCCCCAAAAGAGTTGCGAAGTGAAAGAGATACGTCACCGGTACCTCTTCGCGATAGAGGATCCATTTGAGGTTGACCACAATATTGCCCGTACCGTTACACATAACGGAATTGTCTCCATCCGAGATGAATTTCGAAGAGCATGGCGTATTATCCAAAACGCTGGTCACGGTCGTCCGGATGAAGACCTCCTGGAAATTGTTGAATCCGAGAGCAAACAAGAGACAAGGAATGCATTCCTCGGCCTCATCAATGAAATTCATGGAGCTACCTGACCTCCTACAGCCTATGGCATCGGAATCGGGAGCCAAATGTGATGCGCAAGGCCTCGCAGACTTCGCAATGGGATTCAGCATCGGGGCCAATTGGAACGGACCCCTTGACAATCTCATCTTTGAAAATGGAGAAAAGTTGTACCGCACTATTCACGTGGCCGAATGGTCATAATCTTACCTCCCCCATAGCATGTCCGGCATGGTGCCAGATGCACAGGATGCCATGTTCTATCGCCAAGTCATCAACACTCCTAAGAAGGGTGCTTCTAATTGAATATATGGGGGTGAATCTATGTATGCAAGTAATAAAACTAAGTAAAAGGAGATGCCTGTGCGAAATTTTCTCTTACCCCTTACCCATCCGCCTTGTTTGGGGAAACCCAATTCGAGGTGATATAAGCAAAGGGCCTTCAACATTCGCGAGTTCAATATACCAACGCTCCGTTAAGAACCCATCTCTAGGTAAGAATGGGGCTCTTGCTGTCCACAGACAGCATCGTTGGGTCGACGACGCTATAAACTTCAGGCCAGATCACAATGCCGCCATGCGAGGTCAAACAGTTAGCACGATCACTGGCGTCATCCTCAGAGTTGCTGCCATGTTCGCCATTCGCCTCGTCCCGTCAATGCAAGATTCACTGCAGTAAGCTAGAGGAACAGTAAATAATACTTTATACAAACCCTCGCCAGAATGATCAAGAGGAAAGATAAGAGATGGAAGATGTGAGCTTGGTTTGAGGAAAGGGCTGCAGTACCCAGCCTTGTGAACCTTGTTAACCTTGTTTCTGGGTACTCCTTCAATCCGCGTAGTGCTGGAATAGTGGCGAGATGGATTCGCCATAGTGGTTTCTTCTTATGGCCTCTGCCAATAAGGAGGATAAGTCAAGGATAACCAGTTTGCTAGTGCTTCGGGCCTGCTCTTCGTTAATCGGAAAGCTGTTGGTCACCACGATGGTGTCGATGCATTCGCAAGCTTGGAGTTGCGCAAGGCTATCGCCTCCAAAGACGCCATGCGTTGCCATGCAATATACTTTCTGGGCACCCCCCCGCTTGACAACAGTCTCGGCGGCCGCGATCCAGGAGCCAGGTTTGTCAATCATGTCGTCGACAATAAATACCGGTCGGTTCCTCACGTCGCCGACAAGGGTAATCATATGTTCTATCTTGGGATCCTTCAAAGTTTCTTCCTCCTCGTCTGAGGAAACGGGGTCTTCGCCGCCTGGCGGCCCGAAAGGATGTGGTTCCGCTGCGAAAAAGGAGGAGGCATGTGACATAGTCATAGGATCCAAATCGGGTTGACTCGCATCCAATGCAGATATAGCAGGTGACGGGAAGTCATCGTCCACGATATGGCCTTGGACAAGTCGCCCGTGAGTAACTTCACCAGCTGCGCGATCATCACAGCCAAGGTCGGCGTCTTCAGAAGTACCATCCACCTGGGAAGATGGATCATTGGATAACGAGGAGTGCGGTGAGGAGGATGACCGACTCGCCTCAGACTGAAGCAATGGCTCACGACTGGAGTTAACTGGGGAGCCATTGGAATCGGCTAGAGTTCTCAAAGGTCTGGTAGGGACCCGATGTGGAGCCGAAGAAGGATCGTTATCTCCAGCTTTCAGCGGTCCCGTCCGGCTCCAGGACTCGAGGATAGACAGCCGTTCAATTCCATCTAGATGATTCATTATCATGCTAGTCGTCAAGTTTGGACCCCGCTTTTTATCAGTTGTCACAATGCCAAAGTTCAGTTTGAGGGCATCCGCCAGCGAAGTCACACGCTTGGTTCCCCCAGCATTTTTGGATACAACAACACCTTCTCTCCAGTTAGGGACGTTGTGGCGAATCCATCTGGCAACGAGGGGCTCGGCATGGAGGTTATCAACAGGACATTTGAAGAAACCTTGCATTTGAGACGCATGGAGGTCCACGGTAATGACATGCTTGACCCCGGCAACCCCCATTAGGTTCGCCAGAAGTCGAGCAGTAATTGTCCCACGATGCGACTTCTTCTTGGATTGGCGGTTGTACGGAAAGTAGGGAACAACAGCTATTTGACGATCAGTTTTAGAAATGGTAGCAAAGTTACGTTCGCCTCTTACCAGTCACCTTGGTTGCGGATCCGCCCTTGCAGGCAGATATCATGATCAAAAGCTCCATTATCGTATCATTGATTCTGGGACTCCCAGACTGCACCACAAACACATCCTTTTCCCGGACACTTGTCAAGATTCTGACGCTGGTTTCGCCCTGCAAGATTCGAGTTGTGTGAGTAGCACCGAAGAGACTCTTGTCGGAAGTAAACTCACATTGGAGAATTGGGAGAGCTCCGCATCTCCCGGTGCCATCCCGAGATTCTCACATATCTGACCTGCAAGGGCTGGGCAGGATGTCCCGGCGAAGATTACCGTGTTCCGCATGATTTCTGGGGAAGGGAAAAGAACGATTGGAAAAAAAAAAAAAATAGCAGGGATCTAGAGTAGCAAAAAAATAACCTTATTAGTTTGGGGAACGATTTTTGATCCTGGCTCTGCTTATTTAATGCATGCTTAGTAACAAACAACGACGCCCATCACAATTGCTTGCCGCTTCTTTTGTTCCTTGACAATCTGCCTGCTCCACAATATTTGTTTGAGGAAACCGATCAAATATAGCCCTGGAAGATATATCATGGGCCTCTGAGCGTTGATTAACTTATTGGATGACGCAAAAGTTCCGATATGGGAGTAAAAGGCCTGAGACGCTGTCTCCAGCCTCTTGCTGTTCAAGTGGAATTAAGCCATGGGAGGGCAATCATCGATGGCCCAGCTTTTGCTTATCATGTTCATAATCTCTGCACATCCGCTTCGCCTGCAGTCCCGTCGTGCGAGACCCTTGAAACCGAATGTGTCAGATGGCTAGATAAGCTGAGCTCATCTGGTATTTCGATGCGAGTATAGACCACATCCCGATTCGGGAGGTCCCTAGCTGACTTTCCTCTATTAGCGAGGCCATCTATTTCGATGGATATCTTCCCCAGGAAAAGCTTCCCGTTCGCATGGGTAGGGTTCTGAAAACTACCGCAGAATCCCTACTCCTATACCGTTCTAGTCCGAGCGGTTTGCCTTGCCAGCCTCCCGAGCTGCACAGTAGCGCATTCAGCGGTACTCCCCCTCGTCGCTCATCTTGGAGAGCCCGTCACCGCCTTCCGCATAACCCCTTTACGGTCCAATGTGTCATAGATATCTTGAAGGAATCCCAACACTACAAACATATCACCCATGTTGTTCCAGACGAAGCCGATGCATTCTGCGCCGAAAAGGCTCGTCACACCACGGACAGCTTGATTTTAACCGGGGACTCTGACCTTCTGATATATGACACAGGTGGTAGTAAGGTCGTGTTTTTCGATGACATGGACTTTTGCGATGGGCATCGCGGCATCCGATGTTCGGTTTTCTGGCCAACGTCTATATCACAAAGACTGCTTTTTCAAGAACCTAGCTCCGAGGGTATCATTGCTCGCCTGGCGTTTGAGCTCCAAAAGGCACCTCGAGATACGCTGCAGCAGCTTCTAGTAGCTTGTCGGACCCCACCAGATAAAGGCACATTTTACAGGTTCTTAACCCCCTATCGAAGTACATGTCATCTTGACATCGCGGCACCTCTAGCTGTTGGTACGCCCCAGCTAGATGTACGGCTCCTAGAGCTAGTGCTGCAGTGCGGCCATGGCAAGCGCATATATCCATTCCTGGAACAGGCCACTCATCAGTGCGGAATAGCGAGGATCTTTCTACCTAACATACCGGAAAACCCAGTGCGCTCTAACTGTTTTAGCCCTAGCATCAGGGTGAGGCAGATTGCGTATTCTCTTCTCCGCCCTGGCTCATTGGGGAATATCCAAGGTGTCCAAGAGTTCACGCGCCTTCAGACCATCGAGGGAAAGGGGTCTCACGTTTCATTTCTTAACAGTGAGGAACTGGAACGTTCCGTCCTCAGACTGGCTGATGATCTCTCATTCATTCGACTAAAGCATGACGGATTTTTCTGGCCAGCCGTGACATTCCACCTAGAAAATGACTACGCACATTCTAATAGCAAAAGGGGGTTGGCTGAGGCCCTGGTCAACAGCCAGGGACTGGGCATAACACAGGTTCCCCACATGCCGTGGGACTTGGTACATTTTTGCGCCCAGATCCAGGCGTGCTGCTACTCATTTCGGCTTCTCGAGCAAATACTCTCTCTGTCACTTCATGGAAAGCCAGGGAAGGATGCTCAAAATGCGCATGCCTCTCTACAGCCCTATTTGGCTACGATTCCACCACTTCGGGACTTTCCATCGTTAGGTGCTACACTAGATTTTTTACACCACCTGCAGGCTCGCTTGATACCGCCGCGGCCGGTCGCTAATCCAACCCAGTCCAAAACCGTAACAGAAGGCAGTGCTGCTCCGACCGGTCTATTATCACGAGAGGAGGCTCATGTCTGCGAAAGCAATGGAAGAAAAAGGCACTCGCCATCTCTTAACAGATTTCATGCCCTTGGCTTCGAGTAATGATCTAATTTCGTTATAAATAGCCTATATTAAAAGAAGAAAAGGAAGTCAATGAAGAAAAAGAGAGAAATATAAAAGAAAAGCGAAAATGCTACCCTCATTCTGCCTTGTTTCTTGTGAGCTGCTTGTGTCGGGGACTTGTAAGTCAGTAAACCACAACCACGACAAAGATGGAAAACGTGAATGCTTGACAAATACAAATAAGGACTTAAAAATTTAAGGTTGTATGGTCTAGTGGTTAGGACTCCGGATTTTGACTAGTCATTGACTAACATGATTTCCGGCAGCCCCGGTTCGAACCCGGGTACGACCTACTGTCTTTTTTTGCCTCCCGTTCGGAATTTTTCTTTTTTTTATTTTTTTTTTTTTTCTTGTACCTACAAACAACGGGACTATGGTAAATCTTGTGATGGACCGTGGCCTACTCGGTGAATAGATAATAGTGGTCAGGTAACATATTTCTCGGGGCCACTTGTAGGTAGCAGAGTTTTCAAGTTCGGGATTCATATAAAATAATTAACATCGTGTAAGATACTGAGTAACTTTCGGTTGTCGAGGGAAGGTAATATGTTTAAATATCTTAATTAGCAGTGGAGACATAAACGAACCTGGATCTAAAAGGATATCCGAATCACGGGCTCACTGCATCCTACTCCTAATGTGTCAGTAAAACCGGAGGATGCTTATTAGGTAAAAAGCATAATCCACTTGGCGTAGTCCTGGTCCAGTTGGGGCGGAAGATGGTGCAGTATTGCGAATAGGCCTAGGATGGAAGAGGCGCCCCATGATGCTCAAATAGAACGTAGCATGGATGCACCGACAGTCCATCTGTCATTCCACGTCCCAGACATACCAAGTAAGTCTTGAATCGCCTGATCCATTCTGGAGAAAAATGCGAAAGGGGGAGGGCTGTCCGGAGATAGTGTTTGGAAGAGCTGTTGGACGTTCGAATTTGAGGGGTAATATTTTGTCGAGCCATTTCTTGGCCAGTCAGATCATTACGCGAATGGCATAAAGCGCAGGGATTTACACAATGAAAAACTTCGACTTTCCCTCCACCACAATTCCCTGTCCTCTCTCACATGATGGCAACAACCTTGCGTTGCATCCTTTGCAAAGACCCGTGGATTTGGGGTGCCACTACATCTGGGATCAAGTTCAATGAGGATGGCACAGGAGAGGTAACTAAACTTCCCGTTTCCTGTAAGATCCCTCCCGGCCATTCCTAATACTGGAACCAGTTATACTTGAGTTGGGATATGATGTGGGTATTTATCGCCGCGGTAATCGACTGGAAGCCCCTGTCAGAAAGAGATGCAGCATCCCTTCATCAGGTCATCGAAGTCGATAATATGGGCGAAATCCCACCCGTGGACATTACCATAACCATGTCTAAACGTCGATTGCCCGACCACGAACAATGGACAGAGCTCCATGACACGACCCTCGCCCCCGAAGCCTTCAATGCTAAGGAGTACAGCATTCGGCTAGACAAGGGCACGTTTCCCGTTAAATACAATGGGTGTGGATATTGTCACTGGTACACCTTACGCCTCCACATGGACCCATCGCCATATCCTCCGTTTGATGAATGGATCCAGAAGCGGCCGGCGGATATCCATAAGTACTGGGAGTGGAAGGATTTCCATAGGGAGCAAATTGAAGGTGATAAATATTATGATCCTGAGAAGGGAATTTCGCGTCGAGAGGAGCATGCGGAGAAAGCGCGTGAGATCAAGGCAAAATTAGCGGCTATTAAGGCACGCCGTGGTGATGCCTAGAATGCTTTTGGGAAAGACGCGAAGGGCGAGGCCTTACATACTTTTCCACACTCAGATCTCGCAATTTGACGTGCTCCTCGACGTGAAACCCTCGAGAGAATCAAAAATCTTAATCAAATAACCTTCACTTTCACGTTGATGGCTAAAGCGCTCTCACATTGATCGTTGACATGGCATCATCCTCTTACACACCAGGACCATCCAATCCCACAGCACTCTAACTGGGGGGAGGGCATTGGGTTAGCCTACAGCGGCAAGCGGGGTTACGACTGGTGTGATCTATGTCGTTTCGACTATGAAGATCTCGTACAGTTGAACATGATCGAGGTCAATGCACAAACTAGTGTGGCTTGCAACCCGGATGGCTTGACATCGGCAACTGGTAAGTCACATGGGATGGTCCAACTCTTAGAATTCGAAGTTACAACTGTCCTACCGAGTAAGTGCCGCCGACCACGGGATACGCGGTATCGCGTTTAGCGCGGATAATCTCCGATTCTTGGATGTTCGTGGGACCCTGTGCAAGTGTGGGAGCTGGCCGGAAATGACCGCGCAACAGAGACCGCAGAATGATGCGACCCCATTATTAAAGGCATCGAAAACGAAGAAGTGGAAGTCGCAAGTATGAGTCTGCACGATTCTGGTTAATTCTTCCTCTCTGTCTCTCTCCAGGACATTGTTTCCGGCGAACTGCGAAAAGTGCTCTCTCGCCATGCCTATGAGATATCTATTCTTCGATTTTCTATGGATCGCTGAAGAGTTTCATTGCGATCAGCGACACCGCTTGCCGGTTTATCGCCTGCTCTTTGCTTTGTGACCAAGCCAGTGACCGGAGGGTTGCAAGGAAGCTGATGGGCAGACGAGCGGACACCCTCGTCCATTAGCTGCTGTTAGATCCGTAAAACGAATTTATGCTCGTCTCGACAGAGAAATTCAATACTGTTTGGCATATGAACACAAAAGAGTTACGAGTACACGGACCTGGCAGCATCCGCCGTCATGTTCTTGGCTCAAGAACACCTCCACTTTTGCGCACGCAGGTTACTAGTCGTAGAGCTCTCCCAGCTATACGGTCAGAAGTCTACAAGAGAGGCAGTTGTCTTCAACTTGATCACAGTTTACTCTAAAGGCCATTACACTGCCCCATCTACTGTGCTCGACGCCGTTGGGAAGATGATCAGACATGATATTGACGGTTGCGGCACGAGGCTGCTATTCGTTGACGTGAGATGGGGGGTTTGCTCGGTCAACGCTAGCCAGGACAATTTACGTCACTACGTGCGCCACTTTCCTATCCGGTGAGACTGGAAGAACCAGAAAGGAAGACTGCAAATGGCTGTTACTCGAAATGGCGATAAACTGTTTGTCTGGGCCATCATGATTGCCGTTATCAGTCCGGGATTGGAGTTTGGGGAACGATTCGATCTGGAACAGATCGGATTTGCAAGGCTCGATGCATCATACAATATTATGGTCATTTCGCATGTGTTAGTAAAATTATTTAGATACAGACTCGTGCCTCAAGTTACTCTATATACCCAAAGAGAGAAATGATAACGGGCATCTTAATCTGAATGCCGATGACCAGGATCCCGGGAATGCGAAAACCGAATAAATCCGACCATGTCTAAGTCCCAAGTGACATGTTTATATCCAGTGCAAACAAAGGGGATGCCAGACAGACGTTAAAACCTGTCTTCGCCACGATACAAGTGTGCGTCCGTAGTACGCCATGGCTATGAGGCCCAAGTGATTGGAGTCATGTTACCCCTCCCTAATTTATGAAATGATGAGGCTCGCCCGCTGGGAATGTGTAGGGGCGGGAAAGTGAGGGGGTGACAACTGTGACGTGGCCGAGTTTATTACGTTGTGCAACATTCAGAGCCTGACCTCAGATAAGCCGCACCGGTCGCGTTTTATCACTTCTCTATTGGATGCAATACGAACACCACCTCGTTGCGGGCTCACGTCTGCCGGAGGGCTGTGGGAGGCAAAGCGACATTGGGTGGTTCCAATCCGGGATGAAAACGGCACTTTTACTGAAGTGCCGAAGTATCGCTCCAACGACAGAATGAATGGCTTGTTTCGGCTCACCTTGGAGGTTGGACACAACGTACAGCTAGCTTAGACAAAAGGGAATCATTCTAGCGAGCACTATCTCACCCATAATAGCCATGTCCCGTTAAAAGATGAAGAAGGAGAAAAAAAAAAAAAAAGTAGCGAAAGTAGCGAAAGGTGTAATATTACGATGATTCCTTCCAAGAATAGTGAAATTGAGCGCCAGAACACTAGGGAACGCGCTCAAAGACCCAAGTCCACATATCCCCACTTTATTTTATGCACATCTCTGTTAACATCTCCATGCAGCGGGGTGGTCCTCTCTTGCATTTAAAGTACTGTGGGCAATACAGTCTGGATCTGGAGCCTCTCAGCCCAAGCACACACAGACGTGGTCGTGCCAATGTCGTCTTGTCGTCCTCACTCAATTCTCCCGCGAGTCCACCAGTGGGCGCCGAACAAACTCTCCGCGTTTTCAAGGTTTTCATCTCATCCTCGGCGTATTGATGGTGTCTAGATCTCCTCCAAGCGGGCGATGGCAAGCGTGAGCCCAGTCCAGTCCCCCAAGGACGCAAGGTGTGGTCCCCCAGGCCTCTTTTATATTCTCGCCCTTCTGACGGCCGAAATCCAAGTAGCCGACAATCTTACCAAAGTTTGGTTGACGGCCTGCTTAACACGATCATTGCAAGTACGGGACAGGAGTTGTTAACGTGGAAGCTCTAATACTCAGTGTAACTCGCCTCTAGGGTGATGTGGCGCGGCATGCCCAACCCAGAGCACTCGGTTTACTGGGCAGAAGCGGTTGATGTTCTCTGGTTCAGGGACTGGTCGTCGGCCCGATGTTTACCCCTTCTGCCGTCTTTGACACCCTCAGGCCCCTTCCCTGATGATGTCAGATCATAATAATCGTGGCATACTTGCCCTATCCTCGTACGGAGTACTTCGTACACCTCGGCACTTCCTTTGCGGAGCCATGCCACCGCTGAAATTAGGTAATATTGTTATCATTGGGCGCCAAGATGAGGGTCCAGAATCGGAGGATCGACGACTACGGAATCGTTCCCCACTGTACGAAGTAGTGTTGATTAGTTTACATTGCGCTTGGCCTGGCCCGAGGTCGACGGTAAACCTATTTGAAGACATGTTGCGGTCTATATATAACTTAGGAAGAAGACAGGAGGGAGATTCAGTAAACTAAAACTCTCAGCCAGTTTTCAGGGACACCAAACTCCCACGCGCTATTTCGTAGCTCGGTGAATACGACGTCTTTCGCACTCATCAAGGATAATTAATACATTACCAACACTGAGCTGATCACTGGTTGGCTCAATTTGGTGTGTTTTTCCTCATGTTCAATGCTACTTCATATTGGCAAGATGAAGCGTGTTACAGCCTGGTCAGGTCACAGGGCTTGGCGCCGGGACAAACCAGGCCACTCACCACGGGCGCGTGGTAATTAAGCTAATATGCGTAGGGAAATAAACTACACTCCATTAAACCCAGGTCGCTCGCTTCTCCCCGAGCGTAGCGAACGGGGCTTCCAGGATTAACAATCACATCATTCGTTTGACGTGAGTCGTACCTTGACCCCCCGCATTGCGCTATCAAAAATTTGGGAGAGATTTCATGCCCTCATCTCCCGTCGTACTCTGTGAGGTACGAGATAGGCCTACCACAAGCCCTCTAACCGAGCGCTCAGTTGCAATGCACCCTCGTATTCGAAGGACGAAGTACACCCCGGCACCTCTCATGCAGGCCTAGTCCAACGTCTTGGCAGGCACACCTCGACAATCCAGGCTAGGAACCAAGGAATCATGGCTGCCCCGCATTGTCGGCAAACTCCTTGTGTAAATGCATGGAATCGAAAAAACGGGGTAGAGGAAAGTTTGGATTTTAGAGAATGAAAAGGAAAGAAGGGAAGAAGACAGGGGACCGAAAAAAAAAATTGAAGAAAAAGAAAAACGTCAAAAAACGCGAGAAAATGATCATCCAAACTAATGGCGAAGATGGGGCTGCTGAATCAGAAAAAATCGTAGCAGAAAGCTGCCCTGACTCCTCCGACTCGTCTTAGGTTCTTGGCAGCCAAGGGGTTGTCTGAGAGGCTAGACCCAGACACAACAACAGGATGAAATGAGACCTGCCAACCTGCCAACCCGCATATCATGCGATGAGGAGTCGACAAAAGGTTCGCGTCTGCCGTCCGCAACCACACGTCCCAGACTTCCCCCATATAACAGTACTACTTTATAGGAAGCCTTGATAGGGGGTTATCTGATGTGAGGTACACACGAGCCAATCTTCTCGCTTCTCGGCCGAACCTGGAAATCCATTGACGTTGGGCTTATTTTAGAATGCGCTGTCGGATAAGCAAACCAGGTACCCCTGAAAAAACCTTCCGATGGGCCGTGGTTGTCTTGGCGTTGTCTTGGCTCTCGCTCACATCAGTCAAGAATCCCCTGCCGTCTTTTGGGATCCGCACATCCCCAGCTCACACATCACATATTACCCCTGTTGACAATCATGAACTTTGTGAATGGGGACCAAGCATTGGTGTGCAGAACCAATAAGAGACAAAACGGCAATCTCTTCATGGGGCATGGGGCCCGACTAACAATGTCTTTGTTCCAAAAGTTTTGTGCGTCTTCAATATCTCCGTGCTAATACATCGCTAGGTGCTTGGCGCGAGATTTCTGTTGGTTGCACGCGCCCCACGTTCATGTTTCGGGGGTGTGGTGCCATCGAGAACCTCGTGTTCTGATCATTGAGAACGAGAGTGGCCATGGGGCCCAAACTAAGGAAATGAGAAATGGGAAGAAAAAGAAGAAGAGAAAAAAAAAAAATTAACACTCGAGTCCCCCTTCTCGGCGCTAAGCGAGGTGCATTACCCGGGACCCAACTCTTGGGACACACACCCGAAGAATATAGGTAACACCCGTCGCCCGGTTCGTTTGACTACCCCCAAGCATCAATCAACCCGGGTTCGAGTTTCGTCTCTCCGTCCACTCACTTGGTCGTACTCACTTGACATGATCTAGCCGGATACTTACACTCTCTTCATCGACTCTTGAGTCTTATACCCCAACCGACCAAACTACATTCTTTCTGGGGCTTAAGACGACCCAACGACACTCGTTTAACTTTTGATACAAACGTTCATTACTCGATTCAAAAACAACTGTCCATCTCGACTGCTGCAATGATATCCCTTCGTGGTCTCAGTCTGGCCTTGGCTCTAGCCGGGGCCGCCATCGCCGACATCTCGGATGTTCCAAGGCCGAGGATTGGAAACGCGCCCTATGGTGTCGACATCACAGCCTGTTCGGTCCCTGGAACTCTGGCCCTCACTTTCGATGACGGCCCCGCCGAATATACTGGCGAGCTCCTCAACATTCTCGCCGAAAACGATGTAGCGGCCACCTTCTTCGTTACGGGTCTCAACGGTGATGCGGGACCTATTGACGACCCGTCGACTGGCCGCCCAGCTCTCCTCAAACGTATGCTTGCCGAGGGACATCAGATCGGAAGTCACTCGTGGAGCCATCAGGACGCGGATCTTATCGGCCCCGAGGAGAAGCGTCAGGAAGTTATTCTTAATGAGGTTGCTTTCACCAAGCTGTTCGGATTCTTCCCCACCTACTACCGCCCTCCGTATACCCACTGTAATGGAGAGTGCTTCGCCGTGCTTGAGCAATTCGGCTATCACATTGTATGTTGTCCTCGCGATCTATGGATGACCATGAGCCTTCTCGTGGTTGCATTAGCGAGGATAGGCTTCTAACTGAACCTGGTAATTAGACCAACTACAATCTCGATACCAAGGACTGGGAGGTCAGCGTGTCGCAAGCCAAAGACAACTTCGCGGGCTTGCTCGGCGGATTCAGCCCCCAGTCGTCCGGCGTCATCGCCCTCGCTCACGACATTCACGCGAACACCGTTCGCGAACTCACCCAGTTCATGATCGACAAGGCCCGCGCTGCTGGCTACAACTTGGTCACTGTTGGTGAATGTCTCGGCGATCCCGAAGTCAACTGGTATCGCGATTCCAAGACTGGAGGGCCTGTGGATGAATCAAGGCTTCGAAATGCCGGCGCCAAGCCGACCCCCTCATCGTCGAGTTCCGCTCCTGCTTCGACCACTACGTCTTCTGCTCAAGCCTCGTCCACTTCTGCTGAAGCCACGAGCTCTCTGGAGGAAAGCACAGCTCCCACTTCGTCCTTTGCCGCCCTCCCAACTGAGACTGCCGATGGAGAGCTGCCAGGACCTCCCGAGAATAAGGGAGTTGAGACAGTTGGCGAGCAGTCGGCGGCCGCACGCGGTGTATACCCTTCCCTAGCTTTCCTCCTCGGCATGGCCTTGTGGTGGATGTAAGGTCTTCGACTATTCCCTTCTCACTGAACCTTTTATCTTACTCCGTAATTACCTATTAATCTTCCATGCAGTGGATGCATTTCCATTGCTGGCTCTTGTGTAATACTAAGCGGGTTTGCATATGGATAGAAACGGCGTTCTTACTGTTAGTGAATTCATGTATATATAAAGTGACTTGATGGCTGGCGAGGCATGTGCCGGCAGCCAATGACACGGTCTTGTGGTAGAAAGGACGGGGAAATAGGATCCCCTTGATTAATGAGAAGGTCATGAGGTTTTCTTCTTCTTTTCCTTCTTTCATTTCTTTAGTAAGGTTATTTGTTTGCCGATCAGATCCCAGGCCACATTCGCCTGTATGGGCAGAACAACTTAGCTCTGTCTCTCCCACGGACGTGACTCTTTTCTCGTTTCCTCATAGACTTCTTCAACAATTTACACATACCGGCTCGAACTCGGTCCCATTTTCCCAGTGCCCCTGTTATTATTAGTACCTCCACCGCCCTCGACGACGACTTTCTCGTCGTGAACCGTGACCAACTTCGACTAATCGAGCGATTCTGTGATGATAGCGAAATCCATCTAGGTAGGGGATGCAGTCTGCTTTCTACAAGAAGCGTCTACGCCTACAATCATCAGGTTATTATAATAGTTATTAGGCTATTATAATGATTGCAGTTACCCCTACGGACGATCTAGAAGCTAGGAGCAGAGATATAACAACCCTTCCGTATGATTTTCTGCTTGTCTAGGACTGGGATATATATCCAGACAAGTCGCAAGATAGAGAAGACTACAAATACTTTATGCGGAGTCGAGTGCCCAAGTGTCCAAAGACAGAGGTGGAAGATTATCTAGATAATGCGACGAGGTTACGGAATACTGGACTAGTATTGCGAGACATGAAAATATATGAAGAGGCAGAGAACAACCTGCAAAAAGCAATGGAGTTTTTTGAAAAAGCATTAAGAAGCATAAACAACCTCGAGGTAACTTACCCGGATCACAGCCGTTAGAGAAAGGGAGAAAAGCTAGAGGAAATAATAGATCTACTTATCGAGGGCAAAGGCGTATGGACGCCGCGGTGGCTAGCAGCAGCAAACGGGCACGAGGCGGCCGTCAAGCTGCTGCTCGATACCCGAAAGATCGACCCAGATGCCAAGGACAGGGACGGATGGACGCCGCTAAGCTGGGCGGCAGCGGAGAGGCACGAGGCAGTCGTTAAGCTCCTGCGAAGTACATTATGATTTCTATCATAGCGGACACACGATGGATCTAGGAGGATATACGGATATATAGTAATCGGATGATAGAGCGGAGATCTCTTATCATATAACTAAGATGTGGGTTTCAAACTGCATTATACTCTTTACTCCACTGATCGTATTCCGGATGCATCGAAATGCAAACCGAGGCACCATTGGTCCTATAGGCCTCAACCATGGTGGAGGAAAAGAAGACTGTTACAGCTTCTGGCCATAAACGACATGACTGCATTACCCGTCAGCCTTAAGAGCTAGTAGTAACTTAGAAGGTGGCACTTACAAATCAAACTGCGCGTGAAACACACCACACTTCAACTCCTTCCGAACCTGGGCAAGTAGCGTCAGCACCTCTTCCTCCTTCCACCCGAGTACCCCACAAAAAAGCTGCAGCGAGAACCCCTCTAGTCTATCGAGAACCTGTGCCAGGTTGCAAAGACCTAGGTCCTTCTTGTGGGGATCTAGCGGCCATGGACTAAGTGGAAACTTAAATCGACGATGGACAACATTTTGGAACCTAGCATCATTGACCCAGTCTTCGAGTTTTGGCCCTGGAGACAGGTCGCGGCCGAGTTTCCTAGCGGCCTGAAGGAAATAGTTATCCCACTTTAGAGTATGAAACTCCTCTGTAAGCAAGCTGTCTTCTGAATAGAGCCGCAGGTTGTAATCCTGAAACTCAACCTAGCCGCCCGGATTCAGGTTGCTAAATAACTTATAAGCGGAGCTAGCCTTAAGCGGAATATACAAGGAGAACCTACTCAGAGATATATCTAACTAGCTTCGGCCAGTCTAGAATAGAAGCAGCCATATACTGACAGAAAATGAAGTCAAACTTTGTGTTTCCTACCCACAGACTTTCAATATTATCAACTTCAAACTTCACGTTTGGAGGAACCCTATATTCCGGTTAGCAAATGTCAAATGACTGTATAAATATGAAAGGATTTGATTTTGCGTACCAAGCTGGCTGGATAGGGCTTAAATCATTTCTAATGACCTGTCTGCTAGTTAGTATGGAAATATCAAGGTAGGAATATATTTATAGGAACTTCCCTTGGCATTTGGGAATAAGTTGCCTACTTCTATAGCCTCTGGTATCGTTAGTTCGGAGATAGCTAAGTTTATCGGGATATATGATATAATGCCTACAAATTCCCGTGCCTGTTCCAATATCGAGAATCCGATGGATTTTCTCCTCTATGATCGGAGCGAGGAAGAGTTTGTTCCCAATTCCTTTAACTATCGCCAAGTAGGTCATATCGAGGCGATCTATCTCTTTCTGAGGTGTAAAAATACAGTCAGCAAATTCGCAGTATGTCTAGCCGCTTCGGATGATACCTTGTCATTTAGAAAAGCATATGCTATACTAGTTCTGTTAGCTAATAACCTCAAAAAAGGTCTAAAGTTACTTGCCTCCTGCTCGAAATGCATGGTAGCGCCGCCCATGGTGTATTGGATAATTGAGGACGCTTGAGGTTAATGATGCTGTATACGAGGAGCTAATAACTTGTTAGCAACGCACTTGTGTATGCCTTATGGTTCGTATAGTTGTTCATCAATTGCGGAGTCGTTATCACCTATCTGCGATATATGTTAGCTCGACGGCTACTCGGGGCTAGAAGGAGTTTAGAACCTCATGTGCTGTGTCGACCTCAAGCGGCGCCGAGTCGACCGCATCGGAGGCAGAAGCATCTGTGGCCTGTGAGATCCCGGCTGGAGCAGTTGGTGATCCAGCCATGTTAGCTTGCTTGCACGGTGATCTGATTAATTAACTTGGAAATAGAGGCGGAAATGCTGGGGAAGGGTGGACCGATGTAGTTCTCGATTTCATGGCGGACTAGTACAGTTGCCCGGTGAGAAGATCCTATACGTACCTCCCCGCATTTTGAAAGCGGTGGGCCAACAAATGTTGCAGAAACTGGTCTGCGGGCGGAACCGAGTAGTCATTACCCGGTCCAATCTCAACCCCAGTTTATCGGCCTGAACTCTTATCATGTGGGTCAAGTGCTGCCATTATGATATCTTCTTGCCAAGTTCTAAGACTGCCAATACGACAGTGGCAGCTACATGCACCCGATGAATGCTTGCATCGTTTCCAGCCAGTCAGACGCTTATGGCATGTGAAATATTGTCGGTGCAGGGGTCAGTGTACCCCAAAACGCGCATATGGGCAAGGCGATAGGAAAGCAAATGTAAGAAAAAGCACTCTTACACGCACACTTTTACATGCCATTATTACCTGATACGATTCTAAGACATCGAAATTACCTTTTTTGGACCGGACTGGAAAGGACGCATTTTGGATTTAAGGTTGGACCATATGTCCCTTTACGATCGCGGGTATCCAGTTCTTTGTGAAGTCAAAGATCTCGGCGGCGATTGCATAGCCAATAGCACGGTCTTGGGCTGGAAAGGGACGGGGAAATAGGGTCCCCTTGATTAATGAGAAGGTCACGAAGGTTTCTTCTTCTTTTCCTTCTTCCATTTCTTTAGTAAGGTTATATGTTTGCCGATCAGATCCCAGGCCACCTTCGCCTGTGTGGGTAGAACAACTTGGCTCTCAATCATCGATGATGACGAAGGAAAGCGCATCATCGAGTGCCCAGAGGGTCAATCATACTTGCCAAATAGGACGATATTACACCCCTGTTAGGATGCCTTAAAGGAACGAGCCGGGTTCAAGTAAGTGTAAATGTACGCAAGTAAGGAGCCAAGCAAGGAGCTTATGAGCTGGTATTAAACAACTAGGTAACGACCCGACAATACTCGATCTGCAAACACTTCTACGCTGAACCTTTGCTGTGTCTGAAGGACGCTTTCGGCTCACGGCACTCGAGTATTTGCTAAGACCAGACCTTGCATTCATCACTGCATGTTATGAATACCATCATCTCTCCCACGGATGTGACTCTTTTCTCGTTTCCTCATAGACTCCTTCAACAATTTACACGTACCGGCTCGTACTCGGTCCCATTTCCCCAGTGCCCTTGTTATTATTGCCCCCGGCGATCTGGGGATTACGGCCAAGCAGCCTGGGCGTGGGTTTGCGGAATGCCTCCTGTACGGCTTGGCTCGCTTTTCCTGCCGCAACACGAGACCCGGTAGCCACTACGAAGTACAGGCCCTAAAAGGTGTGTAGCCATGGCGGGGGTTACTGAGGGCCAAACCCAGCCCCTCCTCTGTAGCTACAGCGATGGTAGCTGCATGCCCTTCCCAACTGCTCCCTAGTCTGGAAGGAATACAGTTATGATGGAGCTCAAGGTGATAGAGCGAGGTATTACCGACAGCCAGGAGATCTAACCAGACAAGGGGAGCGGGGTTGTGTTCTAACCTGTGGCTCGTGAGTGGTGAAGGTCTTCTGGAAATACGAGAGGTTTCTTCATCAGCCGGAGACTAGGAGTCACGCCCATGACCCAATCATTCACTAGAGCTGTCACCCTTCTGCGTGTGCTAATAAACTCGGTAATTAATATTGGAACACGGAGGAGACCTAACATTAAAAACAAAATGGTGTTCCTCTCTGACAAATCCGTCTGAGGAGGAACGAGAGTCCTCCTCGGATGTTCGGCTCTGCGACGAGAACGGCGCATTTCCGAACTGGTTCTCTTTGCTTAACAGATCATAGATTCATGCGCGGTAAAGAAGCCATCCTGTTGCCGCCAGGCCCAAAGTGCATCCGCTTCTAGAGGCGAATCTTCAACGTTCGATAACCTTATTTACACCAGCGACAAGCCGGCGTGCACTCATCCTAAATCAGAGGGAGAAATCTAGGGCTGCATGACCAGAAAGCGGTGAACCCTTCCTTCTCCCACCTTCGCCTTCGAAGTATTAACACAGACGAGAGGGAATGCGCATGGGAGGGAACTTAGGTATATCCAAACCACCGACTTCTCCCGCTCTTGGCGTGTGTATTACTGAACATGTCCCTCTCAGTAAAAGCCGCCGCAGCCCTAGTGTAATATTCACTGGGCTTGCAGAACGGTTTATGTCAACCTTCTTTACTTATACCGAGATCCAGGACGGAGGGTGTTTGGTTTTTCCTCCGCCTCCTCTATTCGAGCCACCAGATGCCAGGATGCTGGGGGGGGCCAAAATTAACAATCCACCCACCAGGATCCTCGATTGTTGAAACCAGACTAGATGCCCGTACGCACGGAATTCGTTTCGCCTACGCACCGGAAACTAGGCCGGGGTGGTGGGACATATTAATACTGCTCCTTTCGTGTGAGTCCATTTTTCGAAACAGGAGGTATTGAGAAACGACCATGGGCGTAACATTATTGCATAACGGCAGATTTTGGAGCAGAGCTGTCTAGTAGGACCACGGAGAGGGGAAATAGAAACTGTTTTAGTACAACTATAGTCGTGGTGCTCCTCCTAAGTTCTTATATAAGGTAATGTGGGCTATTAGTGATCTTCCCTGCGAATCTTGAAATGAAAAGACATAATCTTGTGTGATATGCCTCCTTTCTCCCTGCTACCTTGTCGAATTGGTGACCTAGAGTATCAATATGTTGGTAGTGCGGTGTAATGTTCGCTGCAGATCTGATAATAAAGTCTGACCGCCTGTTCTAGACCACTCATTAGCTGGCGGCATGGCAGGTCCGATGCCCAAATGTTCGGGCTCTGAAGGATTAAATTTGTGGCGGTGGCTCTGAAGGATGGGGCTCACCGCCGTTCACATCTTTCGCCAATACTTGTCGTGCAGGACATTACCCAATTTTATTCAAAGCCCGACGTGAAATATTCCGCAGCAATTGACTAGGCTCTATTCACTCCTCTGAGCCGCTATTCCCAGAACCTGTAGAAGGATGGACGAACCACGCAATCCACCCGATGGCCCTTGGATCGGCCAGGCTACTATGAGTTTCTCGGCCGCCAACGGCCTGTCCCTCACTCGCCCTCCAGCCCCGGGTTGGAAAAAGACCTTGAGACCACCGTCGCGTGGCTCAAAGGGGATCCTGGGGCTCCCCGCCGAGCTACTGCAGGGTATCCTCAACATGGCGGTGCCCCGGCACTCGCGGTACGACCTCAGCGGGCGCGTCACCCATTACCGACACTTTCTCTCGCTCATCAGGACTTGTCGGCTCTTCCACCGGCTGACGATGCCCATGATGTATTCGAGCTTGATCTTTCATGTGGGTGCAGATAAAACAGACCCTTATTGCGACAAATGGTCTGCCGAGGTCATGAGGAAATTGCTCCGAAGCTACCAGGAGAATCCACATCTTGGAGAATACTGTGAGAAATTGGATATCAGATTTAACCATCCCAGGGACATGGGGTCAGATCACTGGGAGCATCTGAGCATCCCAGACGTCCCGCTTGACGAAAATGCTGAGGTCGATATCGAGGTCGTTACGGGGTTGGCATCTCTCCTCCGCGGAACAAAGAGCATTCACTTTTCGGGCGAGATCCGCCGATATGAGGGTATATGGATCATACTTGGGATTGCGACCGCCAATATGCCGAAGCTCGAAGTAGTCGAATTATCTCAGTTGGACTACCCTATAGAAGGTCCAATATGCGACTCGCTCTGCGCCGCCGGGACGTTGAAATACCTCCAAGTTATGGGTATTTCGGAGATATCGGGTGCATCGGCGGAGGTCAAAAAGGCGAGCCTCTCATCCTTCCCCCTCCTTTTCCCTTCCCCCTACACCCATTTCTACTCTTTTGACTCATTCTGCCTGGCTTCATCTCCTTACCTAGTCCTCGCTTCCTGTCTACAACCTCTTATCGCCGCTTCCTCGCAGAGAGAGCGCACGTTTTCTGACTAGCATTGATAGCGACACCCAATGTTTATCCAAAATATGAGTATAAGCAGCCTCGGTGGAGACCTTAGGACAATCAAGCACCTAGTTTCCTGGCCGGAGGCCATTACCGAGTTGGAATTTGAACCTTTGTCTATGTGTCATTATGACAGCACCAGTGACATAAATGCCTGGGGCTTACAGCAGCTGATGCCGATCCTCACATTCCAAAAGGATAAGTTGCGTCGCCTCTCCATCTCGAGGCTTCCCCTGGATAATACAGGCCTTTCTGGCTTCAGTGTAGCGGATTTTCCGTATCTCGAAGAGCTCAACCTATCCTACTGGTCCACCGGCTCGCAGGTGGCGGAACAGGCCAATCTTCTGGCTCCGCGTCTGAGAAAACTTACCTGGTCCTTCAACATCGATGGCATGATCGACGGCATGGGGTGCCATCCGTGCGAGTTCGGTGAGGCCGAGGAGATGTGGGTACGGAGCATGATGAGGACGGCCATGGCGAAGAAGTCGCGCCTGAGACACGTGCACATCGACTTCTATCCTTATTTTGAGGGTTACTCGTTCGACGCAGCCACCGTGGTATACCCGTGGGACAGGATAGACGCGCTGGCCAAAGAGTTCGAGGTTGTCGGTATGAGGCTCACATGCGAGAGCAACGGGGCATCGCAGATTTTCAAGTCACTTTGGAGGCCACCAGGCTACGTCTCTCCCTCGCCGCCACCACGCACGCCGCTACCCGAGCCGGGCGCACACTTGCCTGGATATCAGTCGGATTCGGAGAGCGTGGTTTCGCTGGATGGGGAAGGTCAGAGGAACAAAATTACGACGTACTTTGAACGCCTGCCAGTGCGACCAAAGATTGAAGCAACCAGGTCGACATGAATGGATATGCCTACCTGTATCGAATCACATAAAGAGAGGACAAAAGATGATTCATATCTTCTACATATATATATTTTAGGAAAAGTATACAATTTATAAGATAACTTTCTGCAACCCTCGCTTCTAACAACTCTTCAATGCCTCAAAATTTGTTCAAATCTCAGTAGCATCGACGCTTCTAGCGGTGGAAGAGCATTAGTAGCAGACCCAACATCTAGTGCGGCAAGTTGCTCGAGAAGAAGCTGGACCCTTCGTTTAGCCTCTTCACCCCCAATAATATCACTAGAGCTCACGTCAAGCTCATCAAGATAGACAGCGCGGATATGCCTAATCTTTGAAACCAAACCAAGGCTGTTTGCCTCGAACACGGATTGCGGCATATGGTTAAAAATTTCGAGGAGGCTATTTGCACACAATATGCCTCAGTTATCAAGACTGAGCCTCTATTCTTCTTGGTAATCGGTCCATACTTTATGGTAACCTCCCTGATTGAAATTCGAAACTTGCAAAGAGTTTATATCCCTCACCCCCGTATAATTTCTACCCAACCAGTCGTCCTCCATTGCCCCTTGTTCCCGGCTCGTATAATCCGCCTAGTACTGCCATCACCCCTTTCATCAAATGCCAAACGTCGTCGATGTTCGTGAGATGTCATGGACTTTTACTCCCCCAGCCCAGCGCTTGCACTCGCTCCTTTAGGTGGTGAAGCTCATCGACCACGTCCAGCAGAAACACCGTTTGTGATTCTTCGCTTGCTTCCAAGTCGTCCTGCAGTTCCTCAAGCCCAAAGTCGCATCCGATGCATGTGCGGATGCTCCGTGGGTATCTAGGTCCCATCTGGTTCCTCAAGATTGCACATAGTTTTACCGCAATGTGGTAATCTGTCCGATGATTGAGGGCCGGCTTCTTTGAGTTGAGAATCTCTTCACGTAGGTTATGCCACGGGCGTGAGAATCTAACTTCGGGAAGGACAAAGCCGAGTCGGAAGAGCATTTCGTTTCTAGCGCCGGACAGCAAAATCTCCTCACCACTGACCAAGGTGAGATCCCGAGCCTCGGAATACTGTGTCACGCTCTTTTTTATGGGCTTGAAGAATTCTACTTGAAATGAGGTTGTCACAGTTATATCTCATCCTCTACGGATAGTTCCCGAGTGCTAAAGAACCTAATGTCCTGACTGCGCCATGTTTCACGCAGCCATGGCGTGGAATGAAACTGTAACATCGATGCCACGAGAGATCTGGCGAAGTGGAGCGCTACAGCTAATGGTAGATGGCCGTTGATGGAGTTTGTGCCGATCCATGTAATTATCGCCTCCAGATATCGTAGCTATATGGTTGGGCATCTGGCAGCTTCGAGCGTCGCGGCTGGCCGCACTTGATTAGGAGCGCCTTGTCTTCGACCTCTGTGGCTCGTTGGAAATGCGGAACCGAGATTTCTCCGGTCGCGAAGCCACATGTGGCGGGAGAGCTTCATCACTCTCAATTAAATAAATACCTCGACCTCAAGCAAGTAATTTCCGAACAAAAAACCAAGCCAAAGAGACCATTCGAACAAGCTCATATTCAACAAAACGTTGCTATAAACAGCCCCCTCTTAACCGAAGCCACCTCGCTCCTTTCTGCAAGAGAAATAAGGCCGAGCGCTACGCCCGACCTGTTCTGAAGTCTTTTCAATGGATTCGTCTGCTAAAATCTTATCTCAAGACGATTTCCCGCCGATAGGAGAAAGCCTCTCCCAGTTTGAGCATCTAGCTTCTTGATAGAATCTCTCATCCTAAAAATGGGTTTCTTGAATCTCCTCGTAAGGGCGGAGAGCGCCGAAGGTGCAGCCGAGCGCGGCTTTCTCGAGTACCATGAGCCTACTGGTGTGCTATTCCCTTCTCCACTCTATGGTTGATCTTCTATATCTCAGATATAGAAGGAAATGGTGCTCTATGTAATATTCAGTGGAAAACGAGTTCGCTGACGATCGGTAGTCATTCCGTTACTCACTCTCGTCTCTTTCCTGTTCTTCTTGACTTTGTCAGATTGGCTCGCTGGAGTCATCGTCAGGGCTGGACTGATCGGACAGATTGTTGTGGGTCTGATCTATGGTGCCCCTATTGGGAACATCCTGCCGATCGAGTGGCAGGAAACGTTCGTTGCTCTTGGTTATCTAGGACTCATCCTCATCGTATTTGAAGGTATCGCAACATTGGTTGCACTTTGTTGGAGAAGTCGTGCTGACTTATGCCTAGGTGGCCTCGCCGTACGCCTGGATTTGCTGAAGAAAAACTTCATCCTCAGTGTATGTGCCGCTTGCATCGGCATACTAACGCCTATCGCGTTTTGCTATCTTCTGCTCTATCTCGGCTTCGGCTTCAGGCCCATTGAGACATTCATCATTGGGGCTGCGCTCTCGGCAACCTCTCTCGGCACGACGTTTGTCGTAATGAGCCCGGCAAACACCGGCCTTGACTTTATCCAAACTACTGTGGGCAATGTACTTCTAAGTGCCGCCTTATTGGACGATATTTCTGCTCTTGTCATGGTTAGCGTAGTCCACAAACTCGGTGCCCTCTCCGGCTCCCAATCTCCCAACGTCGGCTGGATCATCGGCCGCCCCATCGTAGCGAGCTTCGCCATGGCCGTCTGCACGCCGCTGTTCTGCAAGTACTTGTTCAGTCCCATCTTCAGGCGGTACTTGGAGCCAAGGCTCGTCAAGTTTAAGCATGTGCCTAACATCATCCTCATGACACTTGTGCTTTGCGCGTTTATCGCCATTTCGAGCTTCGCCGGCGCGTCTGTGCTTTACGGGTCGTTCCTGGCCGGGGCGTTTCTTAGCGCCCTGCCGAGCACGCATCCTGCTGGGCCTTACATCGTCGAGAGCAAAGAGGAAGGTGAGGAGAAGGACGGAAAGATGCCAACATTTGCGCACTCATTCGAAGAGTACATTGCCGGTGCGCAAACATATATTCTGCAGCCTCTCTTTTTTGCTAGTATCGGGTTCGCCGTCCCATTCTCGGCCTTGTGGACTGGCAAGGCTATCTGGAGGGGGATTGTTACAACTCTACTGATGGTGGTTGGCAAGGTGAGTCGTTTCCCGTTGGGCTATGCGCTACGAATACCCGAGGCTGACGAAATTGCTAGGCCGCTGTTGGGATTGTCGTCCCGATCACGGATGCCTTGACCCGTAAAAAGGGAGAGGCAACAAAAAGTGGCATTTTGAAGCGGACCTGGAAACCCGCAACATTCCTAGGCATGGCCATGGTGGCCCGTGGAGAAATTGGTCTACTCATTATCCAAGTTGGACTCAACGAGACATCGTACCTCTCACAAAACGCTTTCATCACGGGAGCTTGGGCTATAATTTTGAACACCATAATCGGACCCGTCTGCGTTGGGTTGCTCCTGCGGAAGCATAAGATGGTTGTGTACGAGGACGAGAAGTGGGGTGCTCAAGAAAAGGAGATGTCTGGCCTGGGTGCGGAAGTTGGCGGTAAGGAGAGGCCGTTGGGGGCTTGGGCAGATAGAAGTATTCCGGCAAAGAGACTTGGAGATGAGAACAAGGCTGGGGCAGCCCAAGTTCAGGCCCAAGTTCCTGTTTCTGAGGTGGGATCTGCGATGGAGCTCTGAGGCACGGGAAAGGAGGCGGGGGTAGAAGCTCTCAGTTTCCTTTCTGGAAGCGAGCATGCTCGCTTCTGTTAAAATGTATCAGTGCAGCCCTGAACGAAACATCACACATAAGGAAGAAAACAGTGGCTTGGTGGCCAGTGATCAATACCAGAACCCGTATAAAGAACTTTGAATCTTCTACAACAACTGACAGACGCCGGGTCCGTCGATTAACGGAAAATCATGTGGGAAACACACAAGAGTGGTTCTCAACGGAATGGGAAACTGAAACGGGGTTCGAGGTGGCCTTGTTTACACACAACCTCACTGTAAAAGGTCAGTACAACGCGGGTGCCAAATCTGACGGAACTAACTCCGAAGAACTGGATTGAAGAAACGTAACAGACCGAACCCTGGTGGCTGGTAATCTTACTAGTAACATATAAATATATTGAGATCTAACATTAGGATCGCTATATATACTTAGGTATAATGTCAACCCGGCTCATTCAAAAATAATTCGGTCCCGACAATCGACACTGCCAGGACGCACGAACGTCGATACGAAAGCTCGCCTATCCCGACAAACCAGCCTTGATGATGCTGGCACCGTGTTCAGCAACACCGTAAACACTCGCCTGGGGATTAGCTCGCGGGATCAGAGGAAATGATACTCGCATCGCAAACCCGCAAGTTTTTAGTTCCATAGACACGGAGCTGCGGATCGACCACGCCGCCGAGCTCAGGTAGCATCATGGAGCAAGTACCCACGAAGTGATGAGCGTCCATCGCCGTGCTCCGCGCATACTCTCTAGCCTTATCGAGATCTGAGAAGCCTCCGGGTGATGGCGCCTCGGGGTTACGCTTGCCGCCGGGCTTGAGGCGGTCAGAGAGTGGACTCGAGGCCACAAGTACAGTCTCGAGGTGGCGCAGGTGTCGAGCGAAGATTTCCAGGTCCAGCGGATGAGAAAAGTAGTGTGGGTCAAGATCGACATCCTGAACGGCGGCGGATGCCGATTTAATATGCGTCGAACCTCGAGAGAGCGGGTGCGTAGTTAGCAAGGCGATCGAGAAGTAGCCTTCTTTGCCCGGAGGTGGGGGAACCATAGCGCCAGCGGCATCGAAGCCCACGTAACCTGGAAGTGTAATGTAGCAGCCAGAAGCCTCCTCTGGCGAAGCCAAGATGGAGCGTACAAAATTCTTGTTAGCTTCAGCGGCCAGGAGCGCGGGCTTATCCTCATCGACTTTGGTGTTGAGGAGGGTGTCCAGCAGGCGGTCAAGTTCACGTTTTCCTTCGTCAGTCTCGATGCCTGGGAATGGGAGCTGGGCAGTATTCGAGGTTCCGCTGGTGGCTAGTGGTCCCGTTAGCCTTGCATATGCTTCCTGGGCGGCGGCAACGGCCTCGGGCTCCTGTCGGGCCACGGGGTCCAAGGTCTTTATGCCGTCTTTGGCCTCAAACGACAAGATGCACATGACAGGATCCTGAAGATTCTCTCCGACGTTGGGATTGTTGATTACGACGTCGATGCCCAATTTCTCCAAGAGACCGGCGTCGCCAATACCGGAAAGCTCGAGCACTTTTGGGGAATTGATTGCACCAGCTGCAAGCACAACTTCCTTTCGGGCGCGAACAACCTTCGTCTCCCCAGCCTTGGTGTACTGGACACCCTCCGCCAAGACCTCGGCAGGGTTCGACTTGTCAAAAAGAATCTTTTCAACGGTGGCCTCTGTCACAACCGTCAAGTTGCCCCTGGAGAGGGCTGGCCCAAGGTAGACACTTCCAGCATGGCTTCTCGTTTTCGTCTCAGGATCGACTGTTTCCGGGTTCACAATTAATCCATTTGCTTCGCCGGTGAGGAGATCGCCAGTCACGGGGATATCAAGACCGGCTAGAGTGTCTTTCCAGACTTGTGGCCACTCGTTATCGGAGTTGTCCGGGAAAGAAAGCTGAAGTGGACCATTGTTAGGCCGGCCGGCCAAGCTGTAAACTTTGCCGAGAGACTGCGAAAAGCTGGGCCATTCCCAGCCAGGGTTGCCCAACTGGGTCCACGCATGAACATTGGACTTGGGCGTAGGCGTGAAGATGAGGCCGTTCATGGCGCTAGAGCCACCGAGAAGTTTGCCCTGGGGGATCGGGCGCTCGCGACCCTCGAGGTATTTCTAGATTCGTTCAACACTGTTAACAGGGTGCAAATACGACCTTCGTGATTTGATGGCCCGAATGAATCTGACAAAGTAGGTTAGAAACATGAAACGTACCTGTGGTGTGGTGCGGAAGGTCCAGTCTGCGGGACCGTTGAGCAAGGTATGCCATAGGGCCGGGACATTCACCCGCGGATCGGCTAGCTGATCGGCGCCCGCCTCAATGACGAGGACCTCAAGCCCCGGGTCCTCCGAGAGACGAGCGGCAAGGATGCATCCGGCGGTTCCACCTCCGACAATGATAACATCATAGATAGTGGATTCCATCTTCTCTGGACGCCTGGAATTTAAGTAATATCAATATAAATAGAGAACAAGCAGGGAATTGAAATATGATGGGCACGAGTATCAGCTACTCCTCCGGAATAAATGTGGCGTCAGCTCGATCACGTCCTCTTTGTCTATTATTACCAGCGACCACAAGAGGATGTTGATCTGGCCTGACCGGGTCCTATTATACTTTCTCGAGATTGGGGCCGTTTACAATTAGTCCTACTCGACAAGGAAACAGTTAGACAATGATGAGATGTAACCCGTCAGCCGAGTTGAGTCGCTACGTCTCAGGGCGGGGGCTGACCACTTGCATTGCGTTAATCGGGCCTACAAGGTCTAGTCAGAGCAATTGAAGACTCCAGATACCCCACATGCCCCAGTTTCGACTGCTCAGTGCTCATCCATTCAACGAGTTTAGAAGCCCTAGCAGGGCGGCCGCCGTTGGGGAAGCTGAAGTCCGTTGGCTTCGTGGTACTACCGGCCCACGGGTAGGCAACGAGCGTGATGACGTCGATCCGGTTAACGGTATCCGCCCCCCACGTAACCTTATGGCTTCGGAAAGCTCGGTCGACCACGAAGCCGACGTAAACGGCGTTAGTTGACCGGTCAAATCTCTTGGCGAAACATCAATTAATCATTTTTTAGAAGTTATGGTGGTATACTATCATCTTCAATGCCCCATAGAATCCTCCCTGCCAGTGTGACCCTTATTATTAAATAACTACATGTGAGCATCTTCCGGGCTTCCAAATCGATGAGAAGATTCCAGCCATACCAAGTCCAACACATGTGCACCTAGGATAGAATTTCCTGGCAGAGAAATATGAAGATGAGATCGTGGTGGTTTGGGAGCGTTTACCTCTTTCGATGCAAGTGAGATCTTAGCGTTGGAGAGCTGGAGCCGGGACTCTCATTCCACCCTTGACCCTTTCTCTTTGCACAACGGTATTGCATATAAAATAACACGAAACGATGAATATTGCGGCTGCCAGCCGGTCTTTTAATTGACTGTTGGTACAATTTAAGGATTACCGGCCCGTCATGGTGTATTTATCTACGCTCCCGATATCCTTTGTTTCCGCGTTTGGCTTAATGCCCCCTTTCGCGGGTCCCAGTTGGGGGAGTGTTTGATTCTATTGTGTAGGTCGGTCGAGGATACCTTCCAGCCCTCGTTACAAACATTGCATAGGCAACGAATACAATCCGAGTTGCGGAAAATTCGCGTGGAAATTCGTGTGGAACGCACCTTCCCAGGTTTGAGTGTGACAGTTTGCGCGCGCGTGTGTGTTATATATGAAAATCCAGCTCGGCATTCTCGACGACTCATGGAAGCTCAAGTGGTCGAGCGGTGACGCACTGCTTACAAGCTACTTCCGCAAGGCGCCGGCGTGGAACCCGGTCTGGTCAAACCATGAGGCGCGGAGGAAATTGGGACTTGGGGAGGGAGAAGTGGGATTTTTATTTTTATTTTTATTTTTATTTTTATTTTTTTTATCGTCTTTTTTTTTATTTTTTTTTTATTTTTTTTTTTTATTTTTTTTTGGGCTAAATTATACTGGAAATATTTTCTATCTCCTTTTTCCCGAGAAAATATCTCTCTGGGCGCTCTATTGCAGTTGTAATATTTTGAGATCTTGAGCTGGAGATGTTTTGGGTGGAGTTGAGGTAGAGCGGGAAAACTTGGAGACGTTGCTGATTCGAAACGAGGACTTAACTTTTGCACTTTCTTTTTTCTTATTTGCGTTTTTGTGGAGTTCGCAAAGCAGCTCATCTACAACTCGACGATACTAAATATTGGAAGAGTCTATTATAGCGCATTAAGTTTTAAGTTCGGAAAGCAATTGAAATTAAATATTGGTAGAGAATTCGAGAGACTGCTGTAGCTGTATTCGGCCACAACTCTCTGCGACGGGATGAAGTCCCCAGACATCAGATCATTGGGCATACTTCTGCGCCACCCCCTCCAATACAGCGCTTCTGGCGTGCAAGCAGAGCAACGCGACCTCCATGCGGACCCAGAAGGATCGGATCCTGAATAATGGAAGGAAGGCATCGACCTTATTCTGCTGCCTAATTCCTCGTCTCAATATCATACACATCCAAAGTACGCGTACGCATAGGCTTGAAATTTATTAATAAATTCATTGTCTTTTCTTCTTCGTCCACTTCTTAAACCCCTCCCTCATTAATCAAGTTTCGACACCTGATCTCTTAACATGAGCGAACCACAGAATAGCCACAGCGTCAATGAAACGTCTCCTCTCCTGCGCAATCAGGACAGAGAAGAGGGCCAGAACGGCGGCCCAGCACCCGTAAAGGATGCGTGGCAGAGGGTGTTCATTCTTGCTACTATCACTTCGGTGGTGTCCGGCGTCCTAACCATCGTCTTTCTCCTCGCAAGTAGCATTGTCCTGACGGGTCAGCCCGACGATTACCACGCGCCGTTTGACCTCTATTACTATTTCGCTCCTATCGCGGGATTTGTGAGCTACCCGAGCCCTGACTGAAAGAATGAAATCACGCAAGATCCATTAAAGCGCTGACTCGTTCATCCCCCGTCAAGGCCATCGTGGCCATCATACACTCCATTATCACCCTAGCTGGCACCAAAGACGGTGTCCCACCTCCGCAAGGCTTCACAGGGATACTCGTCGACATATTTGCCGGCCTATTCTTCTTGTTCCATAGCCTCTATGGTATGCAAGAGCTCCTCTACCACGCCAACCGATGCCGCCCTCCTTGGGACGAGAAACGCCCCGCCGACCCGGAGTGTGAGGCGTGGCGGCGACGTGCTGAGCCTTTGTTCTGGGTTTATCTCTTCGTTACCTTCGTTTTTGGGTTCGTGTTCATTTCTTTTCTTCGCTAGCGTTTCTCCGCCTTGCCAGCTAACGATTTGATAGAGTGACTCATGCGCTGCTGCTTTTCCTTCGAGCTTCGCAGTGGAAGCGCCCGAGGCCACCGGTACTACGAGTTCAACTTGTCAGAGAAGGCGAGAGCGGCTGAGGTTTTTAGTAACGCAGGCGATACACAGAAATGTGTGTCGCTGGAAGAGGGAGTGGGACAGACAGTGTGAGAAACCGAAGAGTTCTTCACTCATGGTGATCTTGGTCAACTTTATTAGGGGCGGAGGATGGAATTTGGTATGTTTTGATCTCACTTTAGTTTTAGTGGTACGTCTTTAGGACGATAGAATTGAGCTATTGATGCATTTGAGACTAAAGCCGTTCCCAAGAGACACCAATAAACCCCGTGTCTTGCTGGTCCTTATCAGCTATGTAACGTCGTCCTGAAGTTTGACCCACAATGGTATTCCGAGCGGACTCGGGGCGGCACCATCATTGCAGATGTAGTATCAACTTTCACCACTCCTAAAATCCCAGCTACCATTATAGGCAACCTGGCTTTACGGACTGGCATTCTGTTGATTTTTCTCCTCGAGAGCCGTCCAATCTCAATTCCTGCGACAGCCGTCTCAACATCCTCACATCTAATAAGAGCGCCGGGGCCGGAGTCCCAGATGGATAATTGGCGGCGATTTTACCACGATGGGATCGGGGTATTATCAAATAGCGATGATGATGAGGACTTGCTTGTTTCTACAGAGTGTAGTACACAGAACATGAACAACTTACACTCCGACATCAGAAGCAAAGGTCTTAAATCTACTCGGGTCAAGAATGAAAAGTATGGTATCCGCTTGCTATTCTGTACTTGGTCGGTTTTCCGAGTTCACCACCAAATTCCCTGTATATGGCCCATGACTATTGGTTATCGCCCTCATGTCTCTCCTGTAGTTGTGTCAAGAGCTCGCTCTTGGGTTTCTCATCGACCCACCGCCTGCGTGGCAGATCAAAAGCTGACATGATGCGACCATAAGCCATGCCCCCGAGCTGTCCAACAGGGCGCAGCACATTCAAATCAATATGGCTGTAGTCCTCGTTCGCCGCGTCTTCCCGAACAAAAAACCGAGTTGCTTTTATTAGGACCAGGGACGCGACGCTCATCCCAGGCTGCCCGTGGTCTGTAAACTCCTTAATGTCGACAACCTTGCCCTCCACAGACATCACTGATTCCTGAACTCGTGATGGTTTGACTGTTGTGGTCGGAGCCTCGTGAAGTCCCGATATCTCCCACTCTGAGACGCCATATGGGGCGTCAATAGAGGACGCGTTGACGGCTTCGATCATGTTCTCGGAGACGGTGTTGATCACGCACTCGCCAGTCTCCTTGAGGTTACGGTACGTGTCTTTCACACGGCCTGGCCGTGATGAAAACTCGACCACAAACATGGGCGGATCATGGTCGATGACCTGAAAATAGCTGAATGGTGACAAGTTCTTGGTTTTGCCGTCCTTGGATACTGTGCTTAGAAATCCAATCGGTCGTGGGGAGATCGCGGAGATCAAGAGTCTGTAGTTGTTCACCATTGGCCGATCTTCTGCATACGGATCGATTTCTTTGTGCGGGATATCGAGCTTGCCAATATCTCTGGGCACTCCGGAACCATACTGCCAACCTGGGTTGGGAGATTTGGTCATTGGGATGGGGGCATTGCTGTGGTCGAAGTCGGGGCGGCCAGCCTCGAGTTTCTCAAAATTGTCGGCCCTTTCCACGATCTTGTATTTTTCGTCAGTAGTAGAAGAGGCCTGCACGGCGGCAGCCCCGGATTGATGTCGCATGGTTGAAGGCTGGGGCTGCTTAAAGAGAGGTCCAGCTGCTTTTCTGATCACCGCAGAACCAGAGCTTCTTGAGTTGTTGTGTGTTAGCGGGACGCCAGCCAATTCGTCCAAGAGGGGAGTGAAGAAGCCTGCGACTTGCCTACAGGGGACTGGCTTAAAGCGAAAAGGCTTTGCTACCAACATTTTCGAACGAGGTGCTACTCCGAACTAGTCGGCTTGAGAAGCACCTGGGCCAGATGCGACTTTATGGTGATGAGGTTGGAGTTCTGACCCACGTGACTGCTAACCCATGACCGAGGGGGATCGTTTCTTGCGCTATTTGTAATCGTTGGACCTGAGATTCAGATTTGGAAGGTCAAGTCAACAATAATTCCAGCTCGAAGGGGGGTCCATCGATAACGATAAGACGAAGATACCCGCCATAAGAGCTATGCCCGATCTCGGCGTAGCTAGGTTATCACGCAATACATCAATGATCTCTTCAAAGGTTCAAGTACGTTCTATTAACGTCGACGCCCTGACTTCGGCGCTCGACTCCAACATTGTATTATAGAAAAAAGAAATAAAATTGTCGTCTTGGTGTTGCAAGAGAAAAAAAAAAAATTGGCGCTGTTTGCGGTCTCACGGTAGGAAATTATTGATCAGACGAGGGATGTGATTTTGTATTTTGTATTGCCCAGTGGTAAAGCCGTTGTCAAAGGCCTGAATGCTCACGAATAATACTTCCATATAGTGCTCCTTGTATGGAAAGAAATCTAGTTATGCCGTCTCTAGCTGGAAGCCGGAATCGTCTCTACTCGCCGCGACGATGGAAGCTAAGCTAGCAACTTCAGGCCTCACCGGTGTTATAATCTTCCGGAACGGTCTCCGTCGCGGTAATGTATTGTACCTCCCCCGTATACCGCCAGCGTTGGAAGATCGCCTTGCCCTCTCCAGGACACTCAACTCCTGTCCCTTCACCGTTGCAGGTGGCGTAGACGCCGACAAGGCTACCAACGAAAGATCCAGTGCCGCCACTCAAAAGCTGCCCAGAAGCAGTTGCAACAACAATCTTACTCTCTGGGTCGTCCACAGGCATTGCCGATAGTTCGTATTGGGAAGTGCTCACGGCCTGGATTTGCAACCGGATAGGCCCGCTTGGCCAAGTATCGGGGACCGGAACAACCTTGGGCTGTGGACGCATTCCGGTACCCTTGGCCCGGAAGCGTAGAGAAAGCTGAGGGTCTGTCTCAGACAAACGTACCACACCAAGGTCTATGTGGTTCATTTGAGTTAGGAAGACCGTGACCCCCGCCTCTTCGTTGTTTCCTTGGGGATCGAAGCTCAAATCGACAGTGAAGTCGAATAGCGAATGGGTTTGCCGCCGACCAACAAATGCTAGGCCGCGGCGACCACTGAGTTCGGCGGTCTCTCCAGGCCCCAGGATTCCGGTCAAGTTGTTGCGACTAGGCACAATCTCAAGACCATTTTCCGCTACGGAGAAGGTGCCGTTCTTGGGAACACGCCAGTGGACGAAGTGGGGAGGAAGACCAACGTCTTCACCAAAGTCGTACTCGTCGGGATCAGAGTTGAAAGGACCATTTCCGGGAAGGTCGCGGCTTCTTGGTGGTAATGGCCACCCAGTCATCTCGCCTCGAACTGGTTGCATGACAGGCCATTCGCCGTCCTCCCAAGTAACGGGGAAGAGGACAGCCTCGCGGCCCATGGGATAGATCTGGTACTGAGGACCTGAACGCGTGGCAAGACACATGCCCCACCAGTTCCCATCCCCATCTTGGAAAAGGTCAGCATGTCCAACTGTCTGGAAATACTGGTTGGTGCCACGGTTCGTCAAGACTGGGTTTTTCGGATTGGACTCATACGGCCCCGTGATGTTCTTCGAACGGGCAATCGTGACGGCGTGGTCGGTTGCAGTTCCGCCTTCGGCGATCATCAGGTAGTACCATCCATCCTTTTTGTAAAAGTGCGGTCCTTCAGGCCATACGCCTCCGGTTCCCGTCCAAATCTCAATCGGTGGCTGGCTCATTTCTCCAGTCTCGAGGTCGAGCTCTTGGAGGAGAATGCCTTGCGTCGCTGCATACACTTTGCCATCGTCATCCCAAAAGAGATCCGGATCGATGCGATCCGTGGCGAAAGTTACCGGGTCGCTCCAGGCCTCGTCATCGAAGATGTCCGATGTCTTAAAGACGACCCCGACCGTGCCCTCTGCCATCCCAAGGTATTCACAAATTAGGTAGAATTCCTCATCGTGGTAACGAAGAGTCGGTGCATACATGCCCCGTTGTTGCCCTTCCGATCTCCAACTTAGGCCAGGCAGTTGACTCTCTCGGTTCCATCCATGGCTGGCGAGTTTCCAATTGACCAGGTCCTTGGACGCGTAGACTGGGAGTCCAGGAAAGGCGATGAACGTGGACGTGACGCAGTAGAAGATGCCATCAACGTGGACACATGACGGGTCAGAGTGCCATCCGGGGAGGACAGGGTTATAGTAGGTGGAATTCTCTGACTGGGCGGTAACCGAAGCCCACAGGAGGGAGAAGATAGAGAAAGAAAATCCGCGTCGATGCATCATTCTTCATTAGTTATCAACCTTTCTAGGGCTTCGCCTCACTGGTGTGCTCGCTAATAACCACACGACAGGAGGCGAGGATGGCCATCGAATAAAGAGTAGTTATATGCCATTTCGTGGAACTGTAATACATACCCTCCCTGCGGAAGAGCGGACCCAAGTTGTGTAGAAAGAAGACGTTGCCAGCGTCGGATTGCTCGACCATTTAGCCTGTTGTAATTACAGGCGCCCCTATCAGGCTCGAGGAATCAACACCCGTGGGAGCCATTGCATTCTGCCCCGCGTGCCATTTAGGAAAATCTTGAACTGTTCGTACCGTCGGAGCGATGGGGAGTCCGCGTTTCCGAGAAATTGCACGAATGAATATCCATTCAGTCTCCTAGAGGTATTCATGACGACACGGATGCCGTGATAGGACTGACGGTAATGGGAACAAACTTGGTAATTCTAGACGCAAAGCCACGAATGTAACTCTAAGAGGCGGCGTTGCCGTTAGGTATCATCATCGTCTCTTGTCAATACGAGTGTAGGACTCCGCGCGAATAAAGGATCCCAGTACGAGTTATCATACGATTCGCCGAGGCTCAGTTCACTTGGAGGTGGGGGCGGAGCGCCGTCGCGCCAATAGACATCCGAAGGCGTAGGACCAGTGTTGCTGGAAGCAATAGATGCGGCCGAAGCCCGCGGGAAATCAATCTGGGGGGCGAGGGCGTAAAGATTCTTGAAAAACGTTTTGAAGTCTCTTGCCTCTATTGATTCGTTAGACGTTGCGACGGTAGACAAGGAGGAACAACGGAGCGAGGAAACACCAACACTTACCATCAACAGTTTCAAACTGTATTCGTATCTGTCCATGAGGTGAGGGCAAGCTCGCTCTTATCCTGATAGTATCCGTTTCCTTTGGTTTCCGAAGGGGATATCTCGTGGCAGATACATAAAATTCGGCATCTGGATGGTAGTTTTCCAAGTTGTACTCCTTATGGCTCTTTCCGGGGCCGGTATTCAGAGATGACGCCAGGAAAGTCATCGTCAACTCCCGAGACCCATCGGGGTTATCTCTTCTCCAGAACCTAAGAACTTGTCGTCGAGCCATTGCAACACCATTTGACTTGAGCTCAACAAAGTCAAACGCACCCAGGTGCCTCCGCTCTCTCAGGGTCTCCTGAAACTTGAGACATGATTCTAGATTTTTGAAGCGGTACTTAGGGTCGATGTTGTAGAGGTGATATCCGTCGTTGTCGATAACGGTAATGACGTGTGTATGGAGAAAAGAGACCCGTGTTGAGTCCTTAGTGGATGTCCAAGGGATACAGCCAAAATGAACTATATCTCTAGTTAGAATCTCGGTCTAATTCTGAAGAAGTTAGAAGAAAGTTACCAATTTGTGTGACTTGGATGGAACCATCTCGATTTTGGTAAAGCAAAATGCGAGATTCGTTGTCCCTGGCCATAACGTGGACTCGTTCCAAGTCAAGGCGTTTATGCTTTTTCGGAGCATTTTCTAATTTCCTAAAGCCAAGAGAATTAGTGGATGGTCCAATATGGTCAGTCAGTTTGTGAGGTGCACTACTCACAGAGTTGTTGGTGCGGTCTCGTACGACACGGATCGATTCCGGAATTCTGCATGGGGATCTGTCAGTGTCGATCCCAAAACCCTACTCCTTTGTGTTACATGCTGAACGAGAACTTGAACTCACCCTGGTAAGCGACTACTTCCGGCAAGTGATGTACGTCGAGACCCAAATCTGACCAGCACTTTCGAAGTGTTTGATCGAGCCACTGCAAGGTTCTCTCCACATGATCTCTGTCTAGGTCTGTTTCCAACTGCTTGATGCCCTGGGATAAATCATCAAGATGCTGCGACGGGACCACGGACGGTTTCCTTTCAAAGACAGCTTCGGGCTGCTTGCCTTTGCTGCTTGAGGGCACCGCTAGCTCGGTCTGAGCCGTGGTCCGAATATGTAGAGTGCTAAGGAGGGCGAGGTCAGCTACGGAAAACTTGCTCCACAAAATGGCGCATTTTGAAGGGTAGGCGATCATTTACCTAGTCGTAAGCCAGAGTGGCAGCAGGATTTGGGTAAAATGCCGATCCACTCGGGCTTGGTACCGAGCAAGCTGAGTGCTATACCGAGTGCTCCACGCCACTTGATGCAAAGCGGTCTTTGCTCTCGCCCTGTCATAGTCATCAAATAATGCCTTACAGCATTGCAGTGTGACGTAGATCTCGTCTGTATCGTCTTTATGAATGAGTGAGGATCCTGTCGCTTCGTGTTCTGCTCGGAGCATCTCAAAATGTCGCGACAGTCGCACGAGCGAGACCCGAAGCTGGCTTAATTCGGACGGCGCATTTTGTGCTTTCTCGAAAACTTTAATCACCTTGTCTACTGCTGCGACGACCTGCAGCACTAGCGAAGTGATGGCTAGAATATCACCGACTCCCAGCGCGGCCATGACGATTTACTCATAAGATGACAAGACGGGACTATCCGGGCGGGCACTTTCCCTCTTCCTTCTGCTTAAGGGTAGACCTAAGTAGTAGTTTGATCGCCCGAGACCCGAGGAATCATGTTCGCGTGGACATGCTCTGAGCGGATCTGGTATGCATCGCGTGGGACATAACGTACGCCAGAACCGTGGCTGTGGGATGGCTTCCGCCCTGTCAAATCTCATTTGTCTTGGCTCACACCAGGAACTCTCGCGTTGCTCTTTGCACCCTTGTCCGCGCCTAATCTTACCGCCCACTCAGATCTGCGAATCTGTCCACGCCCCTAGTCGATTGGATATAAACGGCCCGCACCTCAAAGGGGAAAATGACACATGGTCTTGGACAATATGCCCACAACGACGACGGAAGGGCAGTGCAGGGGTGGGTTTTCTTATTTCGTGTGCTCGAGCAGGCTCTTGATATTGAACTCGTGGTCTCTTTAGCCCCGGTCGTACACAGAATTCCATCCCTGTAGACATGAGCACGAGTCGGGCGGGAACCCGCTTCCCGAAGATGCCATGTCGCTTAAGTCCCAGGGTCCATCCCTTATCAATTGGGTTCCTCTTAATATGGACGCTGACCAGTAAGACATTTCCGGGTTTGGGAGTTTGCTCAATTGTCACCATTTCACTGCCATTTGCAGGTCTGTGAGCATGGAAGAACCGCAACCGACTCCGGTCCTACGACAAGACAGCGAGCCCGCGGTCCGAAGACGCCGCCGGTGGCAATGGTGGAATCGGGATGTGCACGACGAAGTGAGCTACCTGACCACCGTCAACTACGTGAGTTCGACCCGTTCCGGTGATCCACTGGATTGTCCCTCTTCGGCCGATCCCCTACCTATTCTGGCAGCTAACTGGTGCCCCTCCACTAGAGCGTCAAGGAACGAGAAATGCAGATCCTAAGGCTCGTCGATGACAACGGCTTCAACTTCAAAGTATTCTTCGTCGCCGCGTCCGGATTTTTAGCTTCTTCTTACAGTCTTTTCTCGACAAACGTTATTACCCCGGCCGTGAATTACATTTACCCAGCATGTGGTCGCTTGGGCAAGGACTCGGGGTTGGTGATCGACTTGCTGACCTTGATTGGCACGATCGTTGGAATGCTGGTCGTTGGCCACTTGGCTGATCGTGCTGGCCGAAAAAGACTCTATGGTTTCGAACTTTCCATTCTCATTATTGCCACTATCGGCATGGTGCAAGCTGGAGAGGGATTCATCTACCAAGTCGACGACGGCATCACATACAAGCACTCGATGAATATGTACGCATGGATAGCTTGGTGGCGGACGGCTCTCGGATTTGGGATCGGCGCAGAAGCAAGTGTTTCCCCCATCCACGACAACATGGAGAGAACCTGAACTAACTTGTTCTATTCAGTACCCGCTTTCTGCCATTATCACCGCTGAATGGGCTGCGACGGAATCTAGAGGCACTATGCTTGCCGCCGTAAAGTCGATGCAGTCCCTGGCACGCATCCTCGCGGTCTCCGTCGGCCTAGGGTTTCTCAGAGAAATGACACGACATACGGATACGGACTTCAAACATCCTCTCACAACGCCTACAGAGATAAACGAATCGAAAATAATCGTGGACAGCGTGTGGAGATGGGTGATTGGCATTGCCGTCATTCCAGCTGCAATCGCCATCCTCGCCCGACTCACGATCCCCGAGACGCCGAGGTATTACGTCGATATTATGAAGGATCTGCGCAAGGCCGTCAAGAACGCGTTGCAAGTTTACAAGACGAAGAAAGTAACAGAAACGAACCCTGTCGCCGCGGGTCCCGTCAGACAAAACAGTGATCAGAACGACCATTGGTATAGTGGGGCCTGGGCGTATCTCAACCGCGACTCGAGACGGGCGCTATGGAGGCTTATCAGCATAAGCGTTCTATGGGGTCTTATGGACGTGGGATTTTACGGACTCTCTTTAGATAGCCCAAACGCTCTTTCCACCCTCGAGAATGATCCAAGATCTGCCACCCAATCGCAATCGTTGTCTGTTGACCCGAGCTGTCCAGACTCCATGAACTGGCTCGCAACGCTCGAAGACCCAAACACCACCATCTACCACATGTTGGAACTGAACTCGGTCAGGTCACTTAGGGTAGTTTCCATTGCGTCGATAGCAGGCAGCATCACTGCAATTTGTCTCGTCAACTACTTCCAAAGACGAAAGATACTCGCCGTGACGTTCTGCCTGTCAGCGTTACTCTTCACGATAACGGGTGGGACGTTACTCAAGGCTAGCGCGGATGGGAAGAAGCCCACCGCGTCTCTCGTGTTCTATGCTCTTACCCACTTCGTGTACAACGTGGGGCCGAACACATTGATTTTCGTTTTGGCGGCTGAGATCTTCCCAACAGTCTATCGTGGGACGTTTTACGGGATAGCAGCGGCCGGCGGCAAAGTCGGCGCCATCACCATCCGGGCCATTATTGGAGCCACGCAGAATACGCCCCGGGCACTGGGAATCCGACTCCTCGTATGCATGCCGCTCATGCTTTTCGCGGCAGCCATATCCTGGTATCTCCCAGCAGTCCAATATCCCCGGAAACCGGCAGATATCGAATCCCCTCCCGCAGAGCCCTTGGCACCAGGGGCCGAAAAGTCAGTGGCGCCCGCTCAGACCAGTATTGTGCCCGGCCAAAATGGCCAAAGTACTGGCGCAGAGGCAGATCAACAACAAGAAGGCGCGGATGATGCAGCGTCCGATACTGCCTCCACGGTTAGCACGGACACAACGCCTTCGCGGACGGACCGAAAAAAGAGAAAAGCCACCGGCTTCTTCCCACGGTTGCAGAACATGACGCTTGAGGGTATCGCTCCAAACCCTAACTTGCGGGAGAGGAGGCAGAGGAGGGCGGGCGTGGGTCTTGGCGTCGAGATGGCAGCTACTGGCCGGACAACAGGGTCCCAACCTCAGATTTCCGGGGCAATTACTAGTGTATAAGGTGTATTAATGTAACCCAACCGGATCCAGTCCGGCACTATAATTTGGACAATTTTCCTGACACTGAAGGACCTTTCGGCCCCGTGTCTAGTCTCCGGCCAGACGGAAAAAGTGAAGTGGACGATTCTATGCGCTTATCAGACAAGATTTATTGCCGACAGTAAGAGGTCAAAAGGTATGGACCCTCTCCTTGAGTAGGGTGAGGCAAGTGTCTATTTCTGTGCCATTCCGGGGAACATCGCAAACTAGTTGCCCTGAATGGGCTCCCTATCAAGCAATTCTAAGAATAAGAGCGAAGTAAATGACATTTGCTGGCAAATACTTGACCACGTACATGCAGGAACCGGCGGCCGAATTCCATAAACTGGGGTTGCACCAGACCAAACTTATCACTTTACCAGAAATAAAAATAGAAAACAAACATCGATGATGTACAGTAGTCCAGATAAAAATGTTTGGTGTCAGACGAGGATTACTCGCCTTTCTGATCAGCCGCCATCTTGCTGACTCTTGGACCGGACCAATCAATAGAAAAAGCTTGTTCGGGGTCCAAGATTAGGCAGTGATCTTACTTCGCAAGCTTCGCGGTCGGGGAACTTGAACCATGTTTTTTCAAATTCCCGAACATCGCGGGCACAGCATCATCGACTATCCGTCATCATGGCCAAAACCTTCCACAAATTCTCTTATTTGCCTTTCGAGCTTCGGGATTCCGTCTGGATGGAATTCCTTGGCGAGCAGCCCCGTCAGTTGTATGAATTTTCGTTGGCTCCCGAACCTCCAGCCCTCTGGCATCGCGTCGGCATGCTGTATATTAACCCCGCGTACGTTATCCCCATGGGGGTTGCTTCTCGACGCGGAAGGACTCTTTCCGCAGTCTGTAGCGAATCCCGCAGACTGGCCCATCGCATCTTTCCCGACACAATCGAATTTTATCTCCCCGACCCGGACCAGGTCTCACCCGCCCCATCCTCAGACGTGAGGCCCACCCCTTCCTCGTCGGTTCTCCGTTACAATGCCTTGAGGGACGTCATCTCGGTTGCCGCTGAGCTTTCAGATAGGCAAATGTTTATCGACGCTCATCTCAGCGGTGACCCAAGGACCCCTACCTATCATGGGATCAGGCATCTTGGTATTTCGGCCATGTCATTTTTCGAGTACCGGGCCGTCTTTAATCAAGTTCCTCATTGCCCTACACGTTGCCGAGGAGCCGAGTGTTACCCATCCTGCCATTTAGACAACTTCCCGAAATTTGTCAGTCTGTTTCCGAATGTTACGCATCTCTACATTTTTGATAGCTCAACGCCGGGATACAGGATAAGCAGAGACGGGTGCTTCTGTAATATCGACGACGCAGCTCCACGCGGACATCGAAGTATCGGGCCCCAGAAGCATACCTGGCCTCGGATCAAGGGACTTGGAACCCCAGAGCATCACTTTGGTACCATGCGGTGGGAATGGTTTGCGATCCGCGACGAGGATCCAGAGTGCCCGTTTCTCCTACCGGCCGAGGTGGAATGTCAACGTTTCAACTGGCCTAGGTTTCGATTCCCGTATTATCCTCAACTATCTGGTCTCCAGGTCAAATTCCTCCAGCCTCTTCCAGTTTGGCGGGGGCAGGGACCAGAAGAAGATTATTTGGGTGAAGTAGTGCGCCCCAACGGACAGGGAAGAAAGGTTAGGAGACGACGCCTTCGGGGCAGGACGACGACAGCTGCATCACATTCGACCGCTTAGTTGGAGGATTATAGTCTTTCTTCACGAAGGTAGAAGAGGATATGCAGTAAACGCTAAGAAAAAGCGAGACTTCCTGGAATCCCCTTCGTTGCCCAGCCCTCACATCAGGCACCTGCGCCTCAGTGTACCGGGACTCACTTCCTCGCCGAAACGCAAATACCTCTTCCTACGTCTAGATCGACCACATTAGCTACTGTACTATACCGGGCTCGAAGTCTTTTTGGCAGTCGCGGCGGCATGCGCTTTTCAAGTTGTCCGGCTGTTAATTTCTACCTTCATTCCCAGGCCGCATTATCCTACACCTTTCTTGTTAATTCTCTTCCCTAACGACACTTACTGCTTTTTAGGCAGAGTCATACATAAAATTTAATGAGATGGAATTGTTGACATTGCTCGTGTGGCATTTTCCTCAATTTGGGCCACAAGTTACTTCTGAGGAGATCATGAGAAGGACTGTGTAGACTCCCTTGGTACCCTAGAACACATTAGAGTAAGTGTGGAAGGGAAAGTAGAGAGAATGTAAGACAAGTTGGCAAATTCGGTTCAATTTATTGCCTCGGCTGTGCGAGTCTACCAGGAGAGTGACAAAAACCCTCGATCTGCCTTCAGCAAATGTTGACAGTTTCGCCAGATTGCGAGATGCACCGCCCAGGCAAGTATCCAACCCCCACCCTTTCGTAGACTTTGTATCCTTCCTGCTGTTGAGAGGCGGTCTGCGTAATTATCAGCAGATAATGAAGCATGCTGCCTAAGTCGCCGCGCCCCCTTTCCCTTCCAAGAACGACGCACATCGTCTCTGATTGCTTCGATCCGCCTGGGCTATCAAAAATAACCTGTGATTCGCTCCCAGCAAGAGTGGGATCGACCGTATACGCGCGAGCTTCTGCTGTTAAGAATAGGCTCAACCCACGGCCTTCTGTGCCCCCATGGCCGCCCTCCAGATCACGCGACCACGGAGAGCGTATGTCACACCAGACGATACCACCGAATTTGACATCCAGGTAGTCGATGCTGCCCATGTAGGCCATCCACGACCATGACGGAACGGCGGAGATTGCAGCCTCCGACGGAAACTTGATGCGGGACAGGCTACTCGTGTCTTGCCCACGGCGCCATAGTAAACTTCGACGAAGTAGCCCTTTAGATTTAGGGTCTTCAAGCACACCGAAACCGCCTTTGGCTCTCATGGCCCGCAAGAGACGACTCTGCAACCCGTCGATGCCCAACGGTCGGTCAAACCAGTTGGTAAAGGCAAGTCTGGAATACGTGCGGTAGAAGTTCTGGTAGCGAAGAATCTTCTCGCCTTGGGACGCGTCCATGACAATCCGTGGAAAGTTGGGATCGCCAATGAAAGCGGCCAAGTTGCTGTCAGTGCAGAAGTAGTAGTTAGTAGAAGAGCGCAATAGATTACCTGCAAGCCTGGCGGGAGCGCAAGAGTATAGTAACTTACTTGCGCATTTTGGTCATTGTCTCGCACCTCACTCCGTCACCACACTCCCAATACGTTTGATGCTCGGTAAAGAAAATTGTTCGGCGGGCAAGAGCATGCTCCTGCAGCACCCAGCCTCGCTGATTAAGTGCGCCCTCAAGAACATGGTTGTTGAAATTGTCGATAGTCTCGCAAATATAGAACGAGGTTCCATTTTCATCGCGTAACTCGACGTAGTCTCTCTCGTTGCGCGGTCGAAGGAACCCAGAGGAATGACTATTCACGCGGCTGGCAGCGAGGACGCAGTAGGCCCCACTATAGACGTCTTCCATTCGTCTGGCTTCGTTTTTGAAGTCGCCGTCTTTTCCCTGAATGATGCAGATCGAATCTATCCAGAGGTATCGACATCCCAGTGCTCGTGTAGTAATAACAGCGTCTCGAAAGGTGGCTGGTAGAGAGTCCAAGGCTATGCCTTTGATGTGGTTTTCGATGTTCTTGCGAGTGGTACAGAAATGTTTTCCAATCCCCCACTGATGGGAGAGGGCAATCCACCTCCCATTATCCTTAGGCCTGGTCTCCCAAAGCCGGACGATTCCGTCCCCTTCTCTTCCAACATCGATGAGCCGAGTCGGCAGCCGTTTTTCGGGGTTACCTTGCTCGGGTTTCGTTTGAGTCCCTGAGGTGATTTGCTTACAGGTCGAATTCTTGTGCTTTGTATCGCAAGCATGAAGCCACTGCCGGAGGATCTCAAAATGAGCGGGGCTGCCAGCATGAGGGAGTTCCGGAAACCCGATTTGGATTTCGTTCTCAGGTCTTCTTCGCAGACCTGGGTTGGTGGCTTTTGTTCCCGGTGCATCAGCTTACAAGACATTCCAAGAGAAAAGTTGGTGGATGCTGATATGACCACCAATTTCGCTACTTACCAGGAGTTCTAAAAATGGACAACACGGGCAGAGTTCCGCTGTTCAGTCTAATCGAGGAATCAGTCCGGTCAAACTTGGCAGACAAATAGGCGGTTGCATTGTGCCGCTCGCAAGTTCTCCAAAACAGACTGCACAGGCTGCAATTTCCTGATATGGCCCTCATCCGCAACCGTGCTGTAGAATATGTGACACTAAAGGCTGGAGTCCAAAGACTTTCTCGAAATTCTTGACATTCAGCACAGAGGCTCTCGACCCCGTGGGTTAGCACTTCAAAGGTCCTCGAGTTTCGCAAAGTGGAGTTTATCTTTGACGCGAACTCGTTGTCTACGATGAATTCCCACACCTCGTCAAGCTGTCTCGCTGGTCAGCTACCTCGCTCTACACATCTCTAAGGAGGCTAGAGTACGAACATTCTGCGAAGGTCATTGTCAGTTAGAATGGAAACACTCTGGCATGACTTGTCCTGATCTTACCGGCTAAGACATATTTTTTCCCCGATTAGAAAGATGGAAACCCTATCAACGCGACTGGAAGCTAACCGGCCTGCTGCACACATCACTTACATACTATGACGACTGCTTAGTTTATTTGCCGATGTTAAGATTGGCTCGCGGCTGCAAAAAGTATAGAACTTACTGCCTAGGGAGGGAGAAAAACCACTGTTAATATGCCTGCGGCTCTCCACGCGTTTAGGAGCTCCATTATAACTTACGTACTTTTGCATGTTAGCCTAAATCCGATTTTAGCCAGGAAATGGTTCGTTATGTGCGACTTACATCCTGCATAATGGTTCCCTCGTATGTTAGTGAGGGTAGCTACATTTTCTCAGATGCTATGTATGACCTACCACCTATGAGTGGATGGTAAGAGTTCCCGCGTTAGAATGATGGTGGAAGCGTTTAAGAGAGATTAGGGATGAAAGATTGACAGGGGTATCTTTTACTTGTTCTCTAGTAGGCACGGTCAGGACTTGGGAACCTGACTGATTATAATTCCCTGTTTCATCGGACAAAGCCCATGTCTCGGGGCTGTAGTCCTTTCTATACTCATAGCCGTTAGTTTTATCCATCTTCGGAAGGCATCGTGGAACCCCTGAGGTGGTACTGACCTTGAAGCAGGTGGAAGCCAGTATGTCTCGTCCTTTTCATCGCTCAGGATATGACCTAGCTTTTGCAGAACTTCATCTGCTCTCAGGCGCCCCGGAAGGTTTTGCCCACCTCGCGTCCGTGACTCCCGTTGGTCAGGAACACTAACGGAATCTAGTGGCGGGCTGAAGGTGAAGGTGGGGATATTCTGTTGTGGCTCCTGTCCCTTTTCCAGTGTTTCAGGGTCTGGTAATGAGCTCTCAGGAGTATCATTGCCACGTAAGGGCAAGACGAGCTGTGGATTGGAAGGACGCCCCGACGATGCTGGTGCAGAAATTTCAGGCGGAGGCGCCTGACGCCGTTCATTAGATTGCACACCATCCGTTTCGTTGTCAAAAAGGTCAGACCCTTTTCTCTCGCTCAACTTGACCACGAGCATGTCATCCCTGACGATCTCGAGAAGATCCCCCAACGCCGTTTCACCAACCTCGCACGCAGGGTCCTTAGCCATGTTCTTCATCCAGCTTATGACTTCGTCATGGACTCTGGCGACCTTCTTGTTGTTTTGGACACTGACCTGGTAGAATTTTGGTTCGGAAGAACCTTCTTTGATACGCTGAGTGAATAATTTCAGTCCGTGCGTGCCATAAAGAAGCCAGATGATACACTCGAGAGTAATACAGCCGAGAGACCAAATGTCGTATAGGCGCGATCTCCGATTCCGCGGCTGGTTTAGGAAGGTAGGATCCACTCCTGTCACTATCTCAGGCGGCTCATAGCGCACGGTTCCGTATCGGGCTGAAGTTGCGTGAGCTCGCAGTTCCGTGTTGATATTGTGCTCCTTAGCGATGCCCCAGTCTGAGATTTTGAGGGTGCCAATCAAACCTCCATCCTTGAACCACAAGATATTGGCGGGCTTCAAGTCCCCGTGCCTATAGTGACCCGTCTTTTTGTATCCCTTGTGGATGACGGAAAGTGCATCGACCAAGCCATTCAGCTGCTCGACTAATGCCTTGACTAGGTTCGCGTTCAAGACCGGCATTTCGTTTTGGTCCCACAAATTTTCGAGGTTGCCACCGTCAGCCCACTCAAACATGAGGTAGTGGTCTCCTTTGCCATCCTCGCCACGGCGGAAGGCTGTGATGAACCGGACAATATGTTTGTGGTTACGTGAATTCATGTCATACAGGGCTCTCGCTTCTTTTTCCCAGTTCTTGGTTAAGTCCCGCCGTCCTTCATCGTGGTCTGAACTTGGCAGAATTTCCTTGACTGCGAAGAAGAAGGAAGAGGTCGGCTGCCCCTGATAAATGAAACGTTAACGAACGGCGTTTAATCATTGCTCGATCTCCCGAAGCAGACATTAGACTTACTAGTTCGATGTGATTCTGATGGATTTCGTATTTGCGGACGCTACCAAATGACCCGTTCTTAGACGCGGCACCTTTCGATATGAAAGGGAGAATACATAACGAGGGCAAGTCGTAGGACATCTTGGTCGGTGAGAACACGGGTGCCAGAAATTCCCACCGTTTACTTTCAAAGGATTTGATGCGACGCGAATTCCAAAGTTTTTTCCGACCAGTATTGGCAGGCTCTAGTGTCGCCAGCAGATCAGGCCAAGGGTCTGAATGGACGGCGTCAGGGTCGGTGCTTGTGGTTTGGGGGGGACTGTTCAAGATTTCGTCGCAGATTCCGTTGTTCTTGAATAATGCCATCACTTTCCTCAGCTTCTCGAATTCAAAGTGGATCGCGGTTGCGATGGCGAAGAGCTTCTTCGCCTTCGAAAGGATGAATCGGACCAACTCCTGATCATCTGCGTCCAAGTCACCTCCATCTTCCCACATGTAGCATTGAACGACTTTTTCAGTAATTGCATCCTGTAAGGTGCCTTCTGGATAAAAGTCGCATGGTTTTTTGTCGAACACACTCTCGCAGGCGCATCTTTCTATGACGGTACCCAGCGAATCATCCCCCGCGGCATCTTCTGGGGCCATGGCGATGGTCAAGCACTGGATCGGCAAATAAGCTAATTCGGGCGGACCTTTGGGTTCAAGATGGGGGTTTCCATTAGCTTGTGAACTTCAAAGAGGAGGCGGGCAGTGCCTAACTCGAGTTAAAATGCAAAGAAAAAAAAAAAAAAAAAAGAAAAGTTCACACCGGCAGGCCAGAAAATACACTACGAATTCCACACGTATCTTTCCTAATTACGAATCAATCCGAATCCTGCTATCCGCCGCCACACTGTCCCTTCCACTCTTCTAAGGCGTTCCCGCATCTTAGCCCTCCTCTGTTCCCGAAAAGGAAGGGAAAGTAAGCAAAAGGACGAGAAATGACTGCTCGCAGATATCTCCCGTCGGATGCCAGAGGCCAGGAAGCGAGGGGAAAGTGGATGGAGGTTGTGAGGGTGGTTAGACCACACCAGGCTCTGCGGTGGCTTGTACACTTGACCTACTCACATATTGACCAGGGGGGAACAGGGGACAGAGCTATCACAACCTCAGCCAATCAGTGAATAATTAATTAAGTTTCGGTATGCAGAGCCTGTCGGGCCGTTTGGAAATATGAGCTCACATCCAGTCCTACTGGCTGGCTGCGCGTGGGAATGCCTAACCGAACCTGCAACCTGCGCCACTATCATGACCATTGGGTTCAGCGGATGCTCTTCCATTGGTGTGACGTGAATAGAGTCACCCTTCGTTGGTCTCCACGCCGCATCAGCCATTCTCTCCAGTACGGCGCCGCACGAATTAGAAGTGCACAGTAAGGGTGGAGAGAGGGTTTGCGGCGAGCGGGCTATCGGCATTCGGCGATCTCCTCCTGCATCAGACGAGGTGAGCAGTTTACTCTCAGCTTGCGATCGTGGTTGGAAGATTGCCGTATGGGACTATGGTAATTCCAACTCACCAGCGACAAGGGCCTCGGCGCTTGGATGATGTATTCGTTATGCATCATCTATGGCCGAATGTCAATAAATGTTTAAAGGGCAGAATAGATTTTCCTGGGCGGATATGCATACAGCTATTTTGAATCGTCCGGAGCCAAATGTAAGTCGCAGCTTCTCGACCAACTTGGAAGGGTTAATATTCCCGACACTTAAGTCCTGCTGTGCAGAGAAGTCTTCCTTCCCAGGCTGCGCCATGTCGGTAGCCTGGCAACGTGACGCACGCGACACAGATCGAATCTGAGGATGGTACTAGGGCGGGGATTGCTTTCACTAGAGATTAGCAAGCCGGGAGCAAATCAGTTGCATCTAGGTGTTGCCCGGATTCGAGAGAATGAAAGGCTAAAGGGAAGAGGTTGATGGGAAGGAGAGAACGGAAACGGGTGAATTTAAATATTTGGAAAGGGAGAAACGTTTGGAGCTGATCTTTAGGTTCCCTCGCGATCAATGTTTTATTGACCCTTAATATCCATCAGTTGGGGGTGATCGTTCCCTCTTATGCCCCTTCGTCCCTCGTAGGGCTTCGAGATCATCATCCAACGAGATTGTCAAGCGTTGTCGAAAGGAACGAAACGACTGGGGCATGATTTCAAAGTAGAAAAACCCTAGTGACATAACATAGCTTGTCTCCGAGTCCCCATGCCCCGGTACATACGACGAAGCACTGCCAGGATTGGTCACACGGACATACCATCGACAGGGCTCCAATGACTCCGTGACAAGGGTCATTTCAGCTGCAGCCTGCTCGGCAACAATGTCTCGCCTACGAACAGACCAGGCCTTCCATGCCGGCCGGCAATCAACTTCGAAGAGGCTTGAGAGTGGTTGTATTTATTTATGGAGGCTCGGTACTTGTGTTTCTGCTGACTTCTCATAAATCATTCTCCCTGCTAACTTGAGCGAATCGTAACAATCATCGATTTCAAAGTAACCCGACATGCCTGCACAAGATGTCAGAACAACTTCTACTCGGATTAACATCTAATATGGGAGGTACAGACGCCAGTGTCGGCTTGCAAGGGACCGGATTAACACCGGGGAGCTTTGGCTGTCAGGTAAAAGAAGTACCTTGACAACAACCGAAACTCATCGTACTCATGGCTCACGAGTTATTATAGGTCGCTACTGTCCAGTCTTCTTCCCTGGGAGGGTGTGGAGGGGCTCGCGCAACTCCACGCAGGCCGCTAGACATTGAGGCTCTAGCAATAGGCCATAGGCGAAACCGAACCAGGACTCGGCCTCTTAGCTCGGTCGTCTCGTATGAGCTTCGAGACAAACTCTCTGATGCCATGGTCGGGGTCAGCCCCAAACATCCTGATCATAAGCGGTCATTCATTCCTACGAGCGAACTCTCGAGAATCATCAACGTGGAGTCGGTTGTAGAGATCCTCCGAGCCTGCGAGAAGTCTCGGGTAAGAGTCCCCGGGACGTCGTTCAGAACATCCGAAGAAATTGAATCCGATGCACGAAGGATATGCGGCATCTCAGAACAAGACAGGCCCAGGTCTGACGGAGAGCCCAAGTCGTACCGCAAAATCCTCGCCGTTTTGTTGCTGATAGAACGAGAAAATAGAATAGACCACTTTGTCCAAGAAGGCGTCTCTGATGACGACCTCCCGCTTATCAAAGTCAAGGAGCAACCTGGCACACAGCGGGAATCGTTCAGCCTTCGACGCGGCCACGCCTCAGACTCCCCTGTCCGTTGTATCAACGGTTATAAGTGGAGCGAGAAGACACAAGCCGACTTTTATAAAACCCAGTGGAAAATGCTTGCACCCACGTTCACCTTGGATAGGCGAGGTAAAGTCCAACACTACTGCTTCTTTGACGACCTCATCCTGCCCTTTACGTCTTGGAAACTGGTGGCTGCCTCGGGAATGGGCAGAGTTTATAAAACTGAGATACACCAGGATCACCACACCTTTCCCAACGTCAGCGTAAGCCGTACTCCACGCCCCGTCGTATAAATGACTCTCGCTAAAAGTAAAACAGGGCTCTAGCCAAGTCTTTGCTATCAAGGAGTTGCCAGTGGAAAATAAAGCAGAATGCGACCTCGAGGCAACAATATTACGGAAGCTTAGTGAACCGAGGCACAGCCATCGTCATCTCATCTCGCTATTGGCAACCTATGAGCAAAATGGGTCGTACTATCTCATATTTCCATGGGCTGGAGCCGACCTCCGCGATTACTGGAAGAACATCAATCCCAAGCCACGCCATGACACGGAAACCATCATGTGGCTGGCAGAGCAATGCTTAGGCCTTGCGAGTGGACTCGCAAAGATCCATCGATACCAGACCCTTTCCAGCAGTGCCCTCCTCCAGGCGTCCTCTCCAGGAAAGACCCAGACGGAAACCGTTCGAACCGCAATGGGACCAGATTCAGCACCAAAAGAAGAGAACATGAAAATCTTGTTTGGACGTCATGGTGACATCAAACCGACCAATATACTGTGGTTTCCTAAGGGCCCCGAACGAGACAAAGAAATTCTGAAGATAACTGATTTCGGGATCTCTCGGTTTACCACTGTGAACTCAGTGTCAGCAAGAGAAAGAGGGCGAGCACCCAACTCCCCCACTTACCGGCCTCCAGAGTGGGATCTCCCGCACCCTATAATCAGCACATCGTATGATATTTGGACTCTCGGGTGCGTTTATCTGGAGTTCATCGCGTGGTACCTTGGAGGATTTGTGTACCTACAGGAGTTCGAGCAACGACGCCTTGCCCCCGATTTCGACTGGGTAGGCGTTTCTTGCGACACCTTCTTTACGGTTGAGAGCCGGGGTTCCTCGGCCCCCATCCCCAAGGTGAAGCCGGCAGTAACAGAGGTGCGTCTCTTTCAAGTTTTGGAAATCTAGTGTCATCCACAGCATCGATTCCAAAACTGGCTATTGACGTAAGCTTCCTTGTCAGTTCATAAACGATCTTCGTTCACACCCGAAGTGCACCAAGTTTCTCGTTAAGTTTCTAGATATGATCCAACAGGAAATTCTAATTGTCGAGAATGAGACTCAGCCAGGAGGTAGAACAGGCCGGAAAAGCGCCGGAAACATAGCCCGTGAGCTCGCAGCTATCAAGATGGAGGCATCAGCGGACATGGAGATAAGAGAATCCTCAGATGCTCAACGTTAGTCGAAGGTTTGTTTCCCGTAACCGATATGATCTCCCTAACTGTTACCGCAGGGCTTAGCCAATAGGTGGTAACCCTCATCCCATCCCAGAACATTCTTGAATATGGCAACCTGACATGGGATAGATACTCTTCCCAGATAATAGCAGCGTCTGGATGTCCGCATTAACGCAACTTTTGTACCGTCATCTTCGGATGCGTCCGGTTGTCTTCGGTGGGAACAAGAGATGGAAATACGCTCACTGCCTCGGTAGGGAGCATGTACAGGTGGGTACTCTTTGTAGGGGCTCTTCATCACACGGTGTGTCGCACTAAGTATACATTAATTAAACCTCCGCTGTGGCATTTCACCAAGAGGTGGAGGTATATCTAAAGAGGGGCGATGTACGCCGCGTTAGCCTTGATCGGGATTGGAAGTCGCGTATCTTTGAGGGAACATCTAGAGATAGAAATGTCTGCCTCTTCAACGGGGAGTTGGAGGTCATGCTCGGCCAACCTGATCGCAGGCAGTCTGTGCTTATATTGGCCCCAGAGTGCCGCTGGGGATAAGGGACACAAAACCTTTGGCACGGCCTTGTCTATTTAGAACTGGCTATGTAATTCATCTACTCCTTACAATGTAATAGTCGACATCGGCGCTGCGGTGGCTGTTGATTCCGAATCAGAAGGTCGAGCTCAAATGTCGTCACGCGCAGGGACTGTGAGCCCCACCCTGGCCCATTTTCAGCGGAAGACCTATTCTCGAGGTGACCAGTATTATACCATCATATAATTCGTCAAATAACACCCAGGTAGCAACAGGCAGCAGCTCACTTCTGGTCCCTCGGTTCTAATTGGCAGAGGCTCTCAAAATACATCCCAGCCATTATCCTACGAAGCAGATTCCAGTGACTGCAAAGCGGAAACCCCCCCCCCCCCCCCCCCCCAAAAAAAAACAATATTAATCCAAGCCGACGGCATGAAAACAATCACCCTCGCTTTGCGCTGTAATACAACGAAATGGACAATAAACTATCAGCTCTTCCTACCGAGATATTACACAGTATTATCGAAGAATTTCCCCTAGATGACCTCGCACATCTGCGTCTAGTTTGTCGGGAACTGGGCAGGAAGGTAGTCGGCAAGCGGTACCTGGCCCATTTTGAGTCACAAACAACAAATCTCGCTAGGCAGAGCCTCTGCTCCCTCCAGACCCTTAGTCGCCATGGCAGATATGGGAAACTGGTCCGACATGTCCGCATCATGGCTGAAGTGCCAGCCTTACTGTCCAACCAGACCGACACACAAGACAATCCAACCCGGGATAGTGCCCTAGAGGCGTCGGGGGAGCTGGCAGGTAAGATACGGGAGGACTTGTCCTGGATGCAAGAGCCGGCAGATGACATCGAAGAAGAAGACGTCATAGAGCTCCTGTCGTCCATTGTGGCGTGGGAGGCACACGGGCGGGGTGGTATTCCACGAGTGGAACTTGATGCGCGATTCATTGACGGTCCGGGAAACCAGTACGCGAAACCGCATGAACCGCATATAGTTCCCGAGGAATGGCAGGCGCTGTTCACCAGAGCATCGCAGGTATACCGCCTCACGATGGCGGCAATTGTGCGAAGCGGTGCGACAGTCCCTAACCTTGAGATCTTCAGCAACACGATTTGTTGCAGCGTACCGTCCTACGACATCAACGTTGGATTAAAGGGCTTGGTCGAAAATGGGCTCAAGTTTAAAGCAGCGGTCTCCGGCATCGAGACGCTGGCCTTGAGCTTCTCCACCAGGGTAGACCACGGTTGGAAGGGTTGGATACAGGCCTATGGGGCGGAGGCGGGGGAGGTCGAGCGCGCACAGCAACGAAGACAATGGGCGTCTATATTCGACGAAGAAGAGTACATAATGAGCGATGAAGAAGATGGCGCCGAAAATTCTAGAGAGGATTCCGATGACGAGGATGAATACGATGCCGATTTCGATAAAGCTATAGAAAACGAGAAGGGCTCTGAGATTCGCGGCCGCTACGGAGACGACCTTCCCCAAGCGCTCTGTCGCGGCAATTACCCCGGCGTCGCGGGCCTGCTCCTTCATATGACGAACCTACAATCCCTGGACCTGCACATGTATCAAACCTTCCAATACGAGTGCTACGCGAGAGGCTCCCGCCTATGCCACTATCACCGGGTGTTCGGTGCCTTAGTACACAGGCGCGTCGTGCTCCCGCAACTACGACGTCTCGTCCTCCGCGGACTCTGCATCCGAGCCGGAGACCTCCCTGCCTTCGTCGAACGGCACCCACGCCTAGAGCGCGTCGAGCTTCTTAATACGTTCCTCGAACTACGCCCGGGTTACGGCGTCGACTGGCGCCGCGAACTGGCAGACCTCGCATCTAGATCAGCTGGCCTGGCCAGCCTCTACCTGTGCGACCTGTCCTACCTGAACCGCAACTCGGACCCAGGGGCGTTCAAGCCGCTCAGCCTCCAACGCGTAGCCGAGTCTTTCAATGAGGAATGGGTCCGCAGGGGGTGGGGGCGGATCTGCGACTGCGGGGCACATGGGTTGCTCTGGGCGCGGGAGTTCGGGGCGGACGAGATGGCGGAGCGCGGGTGCTTTGAGTTTAAGGCTGCGCCGGTGTTGTCGAGGGGGTCGCATGTGCGGCAGTTCTTGCAGAGGGTTATTGCTAGGCGGTCCCATGATACACGCAGACACAAAGTGTATGGCACCGCCTATCACTAAAGCAATGTATGATTGGCCTGAAACAATGGATATCTGTAGGCATTGTCAATGATTGACCTTACCAGCGTATGCGTCCGAACATTGATCTTGCCATAGTCAATATAAGAGCCCAGAACAGTGGCAATCCATTCATAAGGTTAAAGCGAAGCTACTAGGACAGAAATAACTCCCACAGCAGGATCAGAAAGTCCCAGCACCTTGCACATGTGGTTCTTATCCATATAAACTATAATATACTTCACAGCCAAATCCAGCACATAGGCACACATATCCTCTAGCATATTAGCAGCTTTCTCAAAATCCTTTACATCATAATATACCATCTATAACTACCAGATCGCAGTCAATCCCATCTTCGCGAATAACCCCCACTATAGCCTCAAATACACATACTCAAACACCAAAATACACACAGCTTCCTCAATACTAAAAGAATACTTATACTCTTCCTAAATAGCCTAAGTCATAGTCTTGCAGCGCCCACTATTTTACAGCTAATAGTGCTAGAGCAGAGACCCCAGGCGTCGACGAGGACGATGCGCAATTTGGGTTGCTTCTTGAACAGGGTGCGTACGAGGTTTATGCCTGTAATGCCGGCACCGATGATGATGATGTCAACCACGCCCGCGGGCCATTTAGACTGGTAGCGTGCATGGGGATGGAGCTGGGAGTGCTAGAAGGTTTGGGTGCTGTTGTGGGAGGGGAAACTAGGGTCTATGATGTCTGGTTTGTAGATGCCTTCTAATGCGCTCGACATTGTGGTGTTTCCGCCTTCTTTCTTAGCCCTAGTAACGAGTTTCCAGGATACCAACATCGTTATTGTTGCCTGTTGCGTAACGCCTGGTTCCGGTCGGTGAGCTGTTCGACGTGGGCGGTTGGAGTGCCGTCCCACGCGAAACCCCTCAGGCAGCTGGTTCTCACAATCCGCAGGGAATCCTAGCCTTCGAAGAATTGCTGACCATAGCGGCTTACATTTCTGTCCGGAGTTAAGTGGACTTGAGTCAGCAAACTCCTTAAGCCCGACACGACATCAGCCCCCCGTGTTACATGCAGTATTAGTAGAAAGAATAGAATAGCCAAGTAGGCACAGCGCAGACGAGAGTGATTATAAAGGGAACTTTATTGTTTTAGGTTTCTTGAAGGCGTAAATACTCTATGTTCAATGCCGGTAAACGACCCCAGCGCGGCCTGGGTTTTCTCTAAAGTAGTTCCGAGCGACTGCTACGGGATCAACTCTTATCCCATCTCCCATCCGCTTTTCTGCTCGGTGAAACTCAATCCTATCTAGAATGTATTCACAATCCGCCCATATCCTCGCCCGATTTCGCAGTCCTTTTAGCTTAGGAAGGTTTCCTGTAATAATTATGAATAGCCGCTGCCAATCTACCTCGGTATCGGGCAAGCGGTACGCAGGGTGTGGTCGAGTTCCTTCATCTCGTCTCGGCGAGAAGTTGTAGACTGTGCTCTGAGTGTTGATATTGCCATCTCCAAGTCACCCACTCTGTAATTTTGGCTTTCTTCCACTAGAATGGGAATCCTCCAATCATTTAGTTCAGCGCGCGCTGCGCTTTCCAGCGACTGCTTAGGGCTTGCAGCTCCGCCTCCGTCGTCGTAGCCCAGAATGAAAAGGGTAAATCACACCAGCCTTCCCAAAGCCAGGGCATGTTCTCTAGCAAACGCTTGCGGAGGAATGATTGTGGCATTTTTCGGAAGACCTGGCTTGATTGGACGACAATATCCACCCCCTCAAGGTAAGAAAGGATTTCAAGTTGAAGCTCAGTAGGCAAACGTGCGAAAACGTTGCAAGGCGAATTGGTCAGCTCCAGGTTCTCCCGCTCCGAGATCCTAACAGAGTCCAAAAGAGACGGAAGCTTAGGAATAAAACAGGGATTTGCAGCGAGCCATTCGTCGCCGGCGTGATGCTGCCATGTGATCCCTCTTCCTCGCCATACCGGGGGGTGCCTTGGAAATGAATGGAAATCCCTAACGTTATTCTCAAGACGATACCAATCTAATAAGGCTTCGAGGCCTAGCTTGCCAAAGCGTCGCAAACTTGCTCGTTTATAAACCTCCAAACAATACGGATGAAACGGCATAGACACCTCTGCAGCGGCGCCCCAGTGTGCAAGATAATTTCCCGCACCCACCCTCCATACTCCGTGACGATTTGGCCATACAGGCGGAGAATGCCGCGAATTTGTTCTTGGGACTATATCGGTGAGACCACTTAAGAAATAGTCGCCCTTTTCAAACTCTTCGTCGTCCGGTTCGGGGTTCCAGGGTCCTCCGTAGAGGTATTGTTTCGGGACAAGGAATTGAGCAGTAGTGCATGCTCTCATCTCCTCGGCGGAAATACGGTGGCCATTGTATCCTTCCGGGCACTGGCATTCCCTCCCTGCTATGTGTTCTGTGCCATAGAAAAGGGGGCTTTCCAAGTCTTCGGACTGCGGGTCAAACTTGTCCAACCCCGACAAGATTCAAATGACTTATCCGTTGCTAGGACGTAGGAAGATGCCAACAGAGGCTCCCCTGTCCAGTCTGCATCGTCTTTACCGCACCAGGATGAGCTAAAAGGCTCGTTGCGGTGGCGGATACGGCTGATATTGAAGCTCACTCCGCAAATTTGACAGCAATACTCCAGATATTTCCATGGATCCGAACTGTGCAAAGAATCTGATGAGACCATGATGATTTCTAGATGCCTTGTAGGAGACTATCCGCGCGTTTTATTCTGAGAGTACTTGGTTGGTGGTGAGCAAGAGGTTAGATTTGGATGAACCAGCTGGCTCGTACAAATTTTTATGTACATTAGGGTACACGGTCAGTACCATGTTTGCACTTTTTTTTTTTTTTTTTTTTTTTTTTTTTTTTGCAATATACTCTTGTCACTGCCTTGCAAGTTTAATATGTAAGATACTTAGCTACACTTTGAGGTTACCTTATAACCCTGTGTCTCTTAAAGTGAGTTGTGTGTATATAGTAGGTCAGTGTAACAATTTCCTTTTGACAACGAAGGGATAGGTTCTTCCCGGCCGGAACCAAAATCTGCCGGTCTAATTGTTGACTCCCAGCGCCTTGATAATATTTCCCTGGCCAGGTGATTCACTGCCCCAATTGCCTTTCCAAAACAGACTGCACCACATCACTCTGCCTAATCAGAGCCTGACAAAATGCCCAAACTCGTGAGGCAGGTTGAGACAAGCACCCAACTTCCACAACTAAGGTTCTTTTTTTAATCAAATGAGTGTCTTTTTCCCTGCTTCTATAGACGCGAAAATACACTTTGCCCTGGGTGATATGGCTCATCATCAAATTGTCATGCCCCAGCTGGTTCGTGTAGTTGATTCTTGATACTAAACGGAATTGGCTACGGCCTAAACAGACGCACCCTCACCTGCTCAACACCTAAAACTGGATGAGTAAGCCATCCTCAAGTTGGGGTCAATGCCAAGGGCTTTGTGAAAGATTGTGATTCTTTCTACAGTAGCTTCCTATAAACGCTTACATTGCCGATATTATTTGATATTGTGTCGAACTTGTGTAGTAAGTAGATATTTAACAATCGGCTTTTTCGATAGATTTGTGATAGTTGAGAGACCGGAGGAGCTAGGCCCAAAAAAATCCTTTTCATGTCTCACCATCGTTATAATATAGAGCCCGGCCATAAAGAGGAAATATGGTTGATTATGAAAAGTCAGCGACTTGGGGAGTACACTCTAGACTCCTACTACATAAAGGGTATCCATACAAAGGAGGCGAATCCATCTGTCGGATATGGAGAAAATTATGAAGCCAAGAGGACAGCTCTGAGCTCGTTGGCGCCTATACGAAAACAAATGCCATTCCCAGTCATCTCCCATATTCCCTGGCACATTAAAGTAACAGTCGAGGAGCTTGTTGGAGATTATAATTTTCCCGCACTCCTCATAAACGGCATTGATATCACCAGTCAATCTCTGGCTGCAGAAGGTCAACCATCATGCCAGCTAGACCTTCCAAATGATGAACAGATATTTCGACAGCTGTCAGTCTGCCTTCCAGGCTCTGGTGAATACTAAGGAAAGGGTCAAAGTGAATTCCCCATCTAGGATATATCGCTTCGGGTCTTCCGTCCTGGGTGTAGACTGCCAGTGTGCCCTCGGTGTAAATGACCCGAAGCATTGGTGCTCGACTCACAGGTGATGGGTCCTACTTCGATACGAGCAGACACATTTGCTTGTCGGACGCGTTACTTTATGGGTTGGCAGCGGGGGAGAGTTAAGGCTCGGAAGCAAGATGACAAAAATGTCCAAGTGACGGAGTCCCTATATGTAAGGTTGCCCTGTCTTTTTTTGGCCTATCCAGATTCACAGGCATCTCAGATATTGTATATAAATCGGAATTGTCACAAAGTGCAAATTACACCTGTTGAAGATGCCGGGATCCCCATTTATCCAAAGGAGTCGACTCTGTTCGTCGTCGCGCTATCGACGGACATCGGCGTTATTAAAAATCCAGTTGCTTGCGCTCGGTAATAGGCCACCTTTTTGTGGCCTCAATACGCCGCTTGTCGTCGCGGGGATCCATCAGTCGGAGGCCCCAGAGACATTTCTCGTTCTTACCTGCCGCTACTTCTTTTACCTCTTCATATTCTCTTAGAGAACTTGGAAGAGATCTTGTGCCCGCTCGGTAGTTTCCTTGAGAGACTAGGAAATGCTGGAAGGCAGTCCGAGCACGGACTCAAGGTTTCTCCACACGGCATTTGCCGTTATCGACAGTAGACAAACAAACGTCAGAATGAAGTAAATGGTTTTACACTTCTTGCCTCCATGTCTCTGCCCATCCAATGGGGATGCGTTGTCCCATCTGGTTCCAAACATGTGCTCCCACCTTTTGGGCCTCCGCTGAAGTCCCATCCAGTCGACGTGGCTCTGCTATCTACTGCTCTCTTCTAGTTGGGCGACGCAGACTTTTGAGAGTGTGGGAATGGAGGCTTCTCGAGTAGACAAGATCACGTTAGTATGGCAACCAAGACGAACGCTATCTTCGATATCGTCTGAGCAAAATTTCCCTGCCCTCCTGGTGACTGGTCTGTCTCGAGCTGTCTGGCTGTCCTTCGCATGCACACTGTCCCCCCTCCTTAGAGAGACCCAGTCTTTGCCCATTCAAAGATCATCCCATCTGACTGTCAGTTCTCAATTATCTCTAACACTTTCCCCACAAGGTACCCCAGGGGATAAGCAGCCGAAGGAGCAAGTAGAAAGCAGGAAGCAGGACCCTTGAATAACGACTGAGCATACACGAATGTATCCCTTATTGCCCACAGGACTCGACGTTTGTAAACTTCGCCGACCCCTTAACGCCTTCCATACATTATTTGATCCCCGGCCTGCCTTTGCTCCCCACTCTCCGGTTGCTCAGTGGACTTGGATATCTTTGACTACGCACATACCTCCCCAGTTATGCTACGATGGCCGTCTACGTCTGGCTAGCAGCTGCGCTGCTCGTCGCGGTAGTTATTATCCAGAAAAGCCACGAACAAAGAATTCCGAAGCTTGACTTTCCCGTCGTCGGCAAGCCGGGTGATACGGACTTTTCAGGCGCGCTCCTCGAGGGTTACCAGAAGGTAATACGTCCGTCCCAACGCCATTTCACCTCATGGCTATTCTAATGCGAGACCATTCAGTATCCCAACAGCCCCTTCATCATCCCGGTTAGCCCACCCCGCGTTGTGTTGCCAATGGCGTTCTTCCAGGAGGCCATTCACGCGCCAGAGAGCCAGATTTCCTTCATGAAAGACGTCTATGATTCGTTCCAAGGCAAATACACTCATGTTGGCATCCCAAACCCTGCTATCATCATGAGCATCCGCTCCGACTTGACCAAGAACATTCCCCGAATCCTCGCCTTGATCCAGAACGAGAGCCGGCATGCCTTCGACAAGGAGCTAGGAAACCCCACAGAATGGAAGGCAATTCCCCTCTATGCCAAAATGCTGCGCATAGTTGCCCTCCTTAGCGGCCGAGTCTTTGTCGGATTGCCCGTGTCTCGCGAAGAGGAATGGATTCAGGCTAGCATCAACTACGCTACTGATATCGGCGCGGTTTTGCGTGCGTCTCAGAAGTGGAATTACCTCATCCGACCTTTTGTTGCTCCATTCTTGCCCGAAATTAGGAAGGCTCAGAATGACTTAAAGATCGGCCTCAAGTGGGTGGCGCCCCTGGTTTCCGAGATCATGAGTGGACGTGGCGGCGAGAGGTCAGGGCCTGTCAAGGCTGGGACAAAGGGAGCATTCATTTCTTGGATGCTCAACTACTTGCCCGAGCATAAAAAGACTGCAGGGACAGTTGGCACTAACCAGATGCTCGTAAGTCCCCGCCAATGCATGATGGCTAAGATTGTCCGCATTGCTGATGACATGTAGATCTCCTTTGCGTCTATCCATACGACATCCATGACTGGGACTTTTGTAAGGCTTCCTGACGCTTAAATGCTCCTCTTCATCAAGAAACTGACTAGTCCCGCGGGTGCTCTTCGACCTGGCGTCTCGACCCGAATACATTCAGTCCTTACGAGATGAGGTTGAGCAAGTTATCCAAGAGGACGGTATGGAGTTGGATGAATACGGGAACCCATTTATCAGAAAATCCTCATTCCAGAAGATGTGGAAGCTCGATAGCTTCGTGAAGGAGAGTCAACGCTGGAATCCGCTTGGCTTCGGTGAGTTGATCCCTCGACAAGTTGTCTCGGCCCTGCCACCTGACAAGGTAAAGACATCGGTTCTCGGACAGTTATGACCGACTTCACGTTATCGAACGGAGTAGGTATTTCAGGAGCTCATAGTTTCCTTTTTGAAGGCGGAACTTAGAGTCGAGGTAGCCCGGCAGAGTTCTCTGCTCGCGAGACATGCCTCATTCTCCCACACTGACTCCCGCACAACTCATTTTATTGCCAGGAGGGGAAATTGCTACTCCTAGAGTTGAATAGTTGACCTTGCCCAAAGGCACGCGTGTTACCTGGCCTATGTGGGGAATCTAGTGAGTCCTAATTCGCCCGTTGTTGGCGTCCCAAACGTTTGGGAAACCACAGAGCCAAGCTCACCAAGTACTTGATTCGTAGAGAGGATCATACTGACATGATATCAGCAACTCCACGGAGACAACCACATTCAGTCCCGAGTACAATGTTGCAGCGGGTAATCCTGGACCCGAGGTTTTTGATGGCTTCCGCTTCGCTAGACTGCGTGAGGTCCCTGGCCGTGAAACGAAGCACCAGGCCGTCGCCACAAGTCAGGTAAGGTGCCTGAGTAAAGGTGACACTCCGCAGTGTTGACCTATCTAGGAATCATTGAACTTTGGCCATGGCCCGCATGCCTGTCCCGGACGATTTTTCGCCATCTATGTAATTAAGGCCCTCATGATCGACCTCATCCGTCACTATGACATCCGTCTGAAAGACGGTAAGCAGCCTAACCACGGGATTGACCAACTCGCCAAAAGACCCGACTTCACAGCTATGCTGGAGGTCCGGAAGCGCGCTACATAAGCTGTGTTCGGGAACCTACTACTGCTCTAGGACCATGCTTGTGAGGGTAGACTTTATGCTTTAAGATGGAATAATTAGTAATTATCTGTCAGAATGATGACTTTGGGCATTGAAAAAAATTTTATAGGCTTAAAATTAATGTGTCTGAATCCATGCGTCTGCCGAAAAACTGCTGCGTTCGCAGACATTTCTCCAGCTAAAATAGGTAGATAGGTAGATTGATGGAGGGTAAGAGGTTGAGGGATGAAAAGTGGCTGGAATGGAATATGGCTCTTCGCACAATCGCCAATACTAATATCTTTACCAGTACACACAGCTGCCAGATCACAGTGACGACTAATCCAGGTATGGTCGTAAGTCACAATTCGCCCTGCTTCATCGAGTTAGAATCTCCTCACACACTTACACACACTGAGGAAAATACCTCGGAGTTTTGGAAGATGTCCATTAATAGTTAGGTAGGGATGGTTTAGCGGAAATTAATGAAAGCAGCCTGGTGGAAGAAAGAAGAAAAAGAGAAGTTGGTATTGTCGGTGGGCTTGACTGGTACGTGTCAGGTACCTACAGCTGGTCCCTGTGTAGGTTACGCCCTCCATCCTCCGATACAGGGCAAGGTTGGCTATGGGGGGTGTGGTGGCTGTGAGATGGTTGGGCAGCATCCGCTGCAAGGCTGCCTAACAAGCCGCCTCGTGCATGCGAGACCTGGACTCACCATGTGTGCCAGGGACTTCAGCCTGGCTGCCTTGATTGCCCAAAGTGAAAACGGGTTCGTGGACGATGTCTGGCATCTGCCCAGGGTTTGTGGATGCAATGCCTGCGTCCATTCTACGCATTTGCCGGGCTCGATCGGTCCCCAACCATTCGATGCTTAGAAAATGGCGGAAAGAAAGGAGGGGAAGGGCTACTGGGAATGAAGATAATGAGGATAGGAGGGAAATATCAGCAAGGACAAAGGAAGGATGCATCATGTTCGGTAACTAAGTAAGGAGAGCACAAACCGAAGGTATACACGCCATACTCATTTTCTTTTCGAAGCCAAGCCTAACTATAATGGTGAGTAGACAACGGCAATTTCTAACTGCAGCAGTGACGGATTTGACCTCGCCTACAGGAGATCGTTTCCGCCGCAGCCGCCATTTCCCAGCTACCCGGGCAGGCAATCTTGGTGGTCTAGCACATCAGGCAGGCAAAAGACACTGTGCAAAATGTCCCCAAGCGGCTCAAGGACGGTAAGCAGGACCTAGATGACCTACTGGATACGCTCTGCTTGATCAAGCGAGAGAAAAACCTCCATACCCCGGCCGTAAGAGACCAGGTGCGAGCAGTTTACCTGATCGCGGTCGAGATGCATGAATCTCTCCGGAAAATGGAGCAGGGCGCGTGGAGATCCATCGGCCATCAATATTTCCATGCTCTTCGATATTCCAAAGACAAAGATCATCGCCTCGGCGCCCTTCTCCATCGGCTCCATGCGGCGAAGGACGAGCTTGCGACTCGAATCCTGCTTGTGTAGGTCCATATCACGGGGAGGCTGAGTGATGGGATGACAGCTGCACTTCCCATGATTATAAGGGCGAATGAGAATGTCCAGCAAGTACTTGACGGGCAGATATCGTCAGTCATCGAGGATGACGGCCAGTGTTCTAAGACTCGAAGAATCGGCCCTGATGCGAACATCTCAGGACTAACCAATATCAAAAGAGGTAAAGATTCACGCAGAAGCGAAAGCAATACTCCTGGTCATAAGTTAGACCCCCCCTCTTGGACCCCCCCCCCCTTTTG